CTCCATGTACTCCATATTGGAGATGCACTTACCTAACTTAGCCTCATGGACCGGGATTGTATCCCCTCTTCTTCCCCCCCCCCAGCATATTTGCGCGTTGCGCAGTCACTGCGCATTTTCATCTTGCAGGGGTCCTGCGGTGTGGATTCGAATGACGACTCACATCGTCCGCTATACGTTCGATTTTCTTTCCCTTTCTTTTTACTATGGCTAATTTAATTTTTTGGGAATTTTCCTCTCTTCCCTCTATTTCTTCCTTGTTCTGGTTTGTTTGATGTTTATCCCGCAGGAAAGAGGATCGTCGAAACAACCCCATTTCCCTGTTCATACTGGGAATTGTATTGGTCACCACTAGTTAGCATGTACTCCGTAATGCAACACCAACGTTCAATTCAGGTTCGGGCTTTGCTTCTGGCATTCTGCATCTGCATCTGCAATTCGCCTCATCTTGCCGACGTAGTATTGACTAGGCAGCCTCCCCGGCTGCTTAGATTGCGTGCGCAGTGATTTGGAACTAGGATGTGGTTTCTGGTTTCTAGTGGATTACAGAATCTCCTCATCTTTTGGTACCGAGTTGCAGACGGCGTCTATCGCTAGCGGGCTCTGGAGAAAGTGATGGGGCGATGGCGTCGGCCGTATTGTGGATATAGAGGATGCAACTGGGCTTGCTGATCGGGCGCAGAGAGGGTCGATTAGTCTCCATACTCTCTGTATCTCAAATCAAACCCTGCATCTAGCTCGGGGAATGAACCTGATTTGAATTGATATGGGGCGTGGTCGTTTTATTCAAAATGTTTTATTTTTTTTCCCTTTCAAAGAAATAGAGAGAAACTTGTTCGTTTCCAGGGGGGGGGATTTTCAGCTTTTCAAGTACAATGTAAGGGAAAATAAGTATAAGCGACGTAGAGAACAGTAGAAGATCGATCGACGAGAATTCGATACATCCTTTTTCTCACATTTCTCCCTTCTCTGTCAGCCCATCACAAAAAAGTCGTTTAGGGATTTCGCTGATTGGTGGAACGTGTCATCTATTTTTTGTTTTTGTGTTTTTTTTTTTTCTTGTTTATTTCAATTTATTTTACCAATTTCATTCTAATGTCATATACTGTTATACTGTTATACTCCGTACCGTACGGAGTAATCCGTACCTCATACTCGATTCGATCAGCCACGTTCTACCCTAGTCAAAAATGCCCGTTGAAAAACTCAGTGCAATATGCACGACATGACTCGTGCGAAATGTGACGTTCCGACCGTAGATAAATTTAGTTGATTTCAAATAACGCCTCCGTTTCCATGGTTCGGAACAAGATCATATTCCGTGTTGTGGATTATTCTTTCCCTTGAATTTGTTCCACTTTCCAAGCTGTTTATCTGGTACAGAGTACTCCATACACAGGGCGTAATCTATGCTCGGTTGTGATTCACTCGGAGTCTCCGGGCGGATATCACACGTGACCAAGTTTGGCTGCGGCTACGCGACTAACGCCGTTTTGACATTGTCCTGATTGGTTCCGGTGGAGCCCCGGTGGGCCTGGAGACAAAGAAAGCGGGCGGGGTTACAGGGCAGGAGCCATGTTGATCTTGATCTGCACGGAACCGGGAGCTCTAGCCCGTTCTCATTGAGGCGTTACGGGGCGGCAAGGCGAGAGGGGGGGAAGGAAAGGGGTGAACAACAAAGAACAGAATGCAGGCAGGGATCTTGTTGGCGAGAAGGAAAAGAAGGGGGGGGGGGACAAGAAAACAAGATAGATGAGAAACGAGAAATTGCCAAATTGCCAAATTGCCAAATTGGCCAAAAAGAAAACCCCCTCAAAAAAAGCATTGAGAAAAAGAACTAGAAACGGGGCGGAATTGCCGCTATTGAGCTAGAGGCGCACGCCAGTTGATATTTTGATTCGTATATTAGTATTCGTAGGCTTAGCTATTGTACATGAAAGATTGCGCGTTTATCTACTGGCAGCTGTCGTCCGGTATTGTCATGGCCGAAACGATCCCTACTAGGAGTATACTAGTACACACTGTACATTCTGTTCTCCGTTAACTCTAGAGTCGCAGAACACCGTGCACTCGTCGTCCCTGTATCTGAAGAAAATCCAAGCCGTTGCAGATGACGATCAGCATGACGATCAGGCCGCCATCTATGTAATAACACAGGATATCCGAGAACTTTTTCTTTATTTGATTTCTCTAAATTCCGATGTTTCCATATTTCCAAATGTTCCAAATTCTTCCCGTCAACGTGGAAACAAAGGACTTTGCCCGGTTTGGAGGGTCCTGAAGTCCTTTCTGGTTTTTGACCTTGATTTTTGGTCTTGACCTTTTGGTTCTTTTGTTTAGATGATCCGAGGGGTAAAGTGGAGCATTCCTGAGTCTCGACTCTCCATCGTTCAAGGGTATGGGTGGGGGAGGTGTGGACTTTGTAGCTCGGCTGGATCGCCTGCACATCTTCAAATTGAACAAAGCCGAGCGGGATAACTTCGCGCAGCTTGTAAAGTTTCAAAGTGGAAATTTCCTGGCCCCGGGAGCTGCCGATGGGGGCCATCTATGCGCATCATGTCCCCCCGCGCAAGTTTGCCAAAGTGGCACATTTAATATTTTGCTGCAACCACGGCTCGCTTGATCTCGGGGATATTAATTCAAATCATTCGGAGATCGTGCTGTCAGCAGTCAGATTTTGCATATATTCTATCTTTTACTTCATTTGGATCATGGCGAAAAATATCAGATGAAAAGAAAAAAAAAAAGAAAAGAAACTAGTCATCCTTTTAATGTAGGGGGGGGGATAAGAATTTCATGTGTATCTAAAAAACAAGAATTGAAATAAAACGAACAAAACGACCAAAAAAAGCCGCAGTACAGGAATTAATTACGAAACGGTGAAATGATGCAGATGCGTTGGCAGACGCAAATTCCCCACCCTCTGCATCTGAGGAGAAAATTGAGCTTGCATTAGCTCATGGTTTACGAGATCTGATTGGTCAAGTGGGCCCAGTGCCACGGCTTCAGGTGACTGTTTGGTGGTCCAATAGACGCCATGCGTTACTGTTGGTTTTTTTCTTTCGACTTCTTCCATATAACGTGCGAGTCAGTCAATTCGCGCCGTCCATCCGCCATTTAAAAAAAAGCAAAGCAAATCAAAGCAAAGCAAAAAAAGCCAAAGCCAAAATAAATAATTAAAATAAAATACAACACCAGACCCAAAAAAGAGGGTCTTCAACGCTTTCCAGAGCTAGGTCAGAGCGTTTCTTACCCACTAAACTAAGAGGAGTCTCTGCTACAATCTACTGTCCAAGAAGTACCTACTCCATACTTGTTGCTCACATGAAAAAAAAAAAAATAATAATCAAAAAAGTGGGTTGGGCATGGGCACCAAAACAGAAAATGCACGCGAGTACGCAGCTATTTCTGATTCTGCATGATTATCTTCTTGAGGGCTACGGCCGGGATTGGCTCGCATGTTTCCCTGCCCAATCTGATCCCTGCAAAAAAAAAAGTTGCTCGGTCTCTGCACAATCATTGGCGATGGGATGATCCCCTTATTGCGTAGTTGTACTGATCATCTTTCCCGGATCAATTTGGTGTTTGATTTGTATTCTTTCAAGGGATTGCGGTAGTATCATTCAAATGTTATAAAGATATTGTATAAGGGTCGGTTAGCCATAGATACCAGACATATCGGTACTGCCGAATACAATACGTGTACTAATTACACGCGCGTTCCCCACAATTTGTCATTCTTTTGCGCGGGAGATGAGTGTAAAAGGCTAATGCTAAGCTGCTGTATTTTTGTTCTGGCATTTTGCATAGTGGATTCCCCCCGCGTAAATTCCCCCATCCACTTCGTATTTGACCGAAATGAAGAGAAATTCGAAAAATCAAAAAAGATGGAAAAAAAGATGGAAAAAAAGGAAAAAAGAAAAAAAGAAAAAAAAAAGATCGTCCGTGCTGGATTGTGTCATCGTTAAAAAAAAAAAAAAAAAAAAAAAGCTGTTCCACCAACGGAGGAAAGTGCCGCGTTTCTTGAGACAAAGAAACTCTACCCACTTGGAAGTAAAATCGATCCATAAATGCAATAATAATCATAAAAAAAAAGCCGATCACTGAAGATAATAATATTACCCGATCCATAGAAAATTGAAAAAAAAAAAACCTCAGCTTCTTTACATGACCGAATATGACCGTAGATCGCCACCAAAAGCTGTTCATGGAATTTGAGATATCAATTTATACAGTGGCGAAATGAAGCATACTACATTTTAATTTCCTAAGTAATTATTAACTGAAAGCACGGAGCGACCTGTCCGGTTCACCGAAGTACCCTCTTTTTTTTTACATCTCTGGGGGTGGAACCGAATGTATCCCCCTGTTAGCCCCAAAGAGCCTTGTGTGTATCCGCGGTACCAACTACTATACAGGGGGCCAAAGGAGCGACGACCAGCCCGACCCGCGTAATTGGTACGCTGCACCCAACAGCACGGTTAGCTTGGGACTTATTACATTTTCGATTTTTATTTTCCTTTTCATTTAAGCCGGTGTGTGCTCCAGGTGATCTGCCATATTGTTTTCGATCTATAAACCCCAAGCTCCCTTCTTATGGCTTTTCTTTTTTTAAGATTTTATACTTCGATCCTTCGTACCTTCAGCTTGAACCTTGGTCTTTCTCTCCAACCCTCCCCTACTTACATATTCCACCTTGGAATATCCATTGGGGAGCGAATGATTTAATATCTTATATCGACTTGAGTCGTTTGGTCTATTCAATCCAATCCAATCCTGGGTGGATCAATCCAACTTGACAAACAACCCAGACTTCGAAAACCCAAAAATAAAAGAGAAACAGACACAGAGAAAGCAAGAAAGACAGAGCATCTATAGAACGACCCACTACATCTTCGTCTTATAGTCTATCGCATTCGACATTCTGCATTCTACCCCCACCACCAAAATCACCGAGGAACAAGAAGAAACACAGGCACATCAACAATAATCTTTTCAAAATGGTCGACAATCAGACACAGCTGCCCGCAGTGAGGCAAAGTCGCATGAACATCGACGCACTGCTAAACCCCCCAAGTGATGAAACGGAGTATAGCACCACTGGCTCCCCATACACCCAACACGCCACCATTTCCACCTCACACAACGCCGGCTACACAACCTCGCCAGGCTACCCACCCAGTCCAAACCAATACTGGTACGGCCGATATGGCGGCTACCACGACACCAGCCCCGGCGCCGCCTCAACAGCCACAACAAACAACAGCAGCACATCAAGCGGCAGCATGAGCCACCCACACCAACACCACCACCACATGTTCCTAACCTACCGCCCATCAGGCGGCAGTGTCGGCGGTGGAGGCAGCAACGGCGGCGGCGGAGACAGTGGACGAGGCCCCGGATCCACGCACAGCTCTCCAGACCCCTACCACCCGCGCGAGCGCTACGACTCCGTCTCCAGCAGCTCCAGCAACAACGGTACAGACCGTCGACGACCCCCTCGACCCAAGTACGAGGAAGAGGAGATGTACTTCATCTGGTACCACCGCGTCGATCTCTGCCAGGAGTGGAAGGAGGTGCGCGAGAGCTTCAATCGCCAGTTCCCCAGTCGCCAGCGCCGCGGCTTCCAGGGCATCCAGTGCAAGTTTTATCGCTTTATTAAGGAGAAGAGGTGTCCGACGCTGAGGGAGCAGCGCAGGATGCGCGATGGGGAGTTCATGCGTGATGGGTCTGCGCTCGGTGCTGATCCTAGTGGGCCGCGCTTTGGCGTTATTGAGTATGCGAATGTTTGGTATCCGTGGATGCGCGAGGATCGCGAATCGGCCATGCGCAAGCAGGCGATACATCAGCAGCAGATGGCGGCTGAGGCTGCGGCGGCAGGAGCATGATTCCTGGTCTTCATTTTTTGAGTTCGTTGTTTTGTTTTTTGTTTCCATTTGAATGCTTTGGGTGTTTTGTTCTTATATAATGATTGGGAGGTTATTTGTCTTTTGTTCTTGGGAGGCTATTTTGTCTTGCGTTTCCACAAAGATACCTCATGGGAGTTTTGTTTTCGGGAGGTTATTTGTTATTTGTTCGCTCTTTTCATGCGCATTTGTTTTTTTTTTTTTGGTCTTTCGCTTTTGCTTTGGGGGATCTGGAGGCTATCTCATCTTTCGTTTTTACCTGGCCGAATTCAACCGGCCCTTCTACCTCATGTCTTCTTATCAACACCTACACTAAACTGACATCAATGTCAAATTCAGCAATGATCAAAAGATACTATTCTTCGTTCGAGCTTTGTGAGACCTCTAAAATCTATGGAACCCGATCTTCTCTACTACCAGAGCTGCGAGTCGATCTCCGCTGGCAGGAACTTCTTCAGCACAGCCTAGTTTCCAGAATTAGAACTGGAACAGGTCCTCTACATAGCCTCAGGCTAGCTATGCTCAAGAACCTCTGTACAACTCAACCAAATTAGTTCAACCCCTCTCTCAGCCTTGCCAGCCTTGCCAGTCTTGCAAGCTTGTAAAGACTTGTAGCAATCAGGTATGCATACGGTAACAATACGAAAATACCAGCGGCAGTGGGTCGGTAATCCGCAACGATACGGCCATTATTCAGGGCCCGCATCTACACCAAACAGGAAAATGGGGAAAGAAATATTCAATGTTAAAAATAGTGCCCAGGCAATGTGAAAACAGCAAGAGACTGAAAAAGAGTAAGCAAAGCATCACGGCAATTTTCCAAGTTGGCAATGGCAATTGATCATGGAATACTTTCAATGTAGAGAGACATTACTCGTGCTCCGTAAAGACAGTACTACTAGTAATGTTGTATACAAACAAACGCCTCTCAAGATTCAATATTTCCCCTTAAAACGCAGATCCCGCCCACCGAACCGAGCCGGACGAACCCACTCGAAGAGGGCCTAGCCAGTTAGTCAGTTATTACTTAGCCCCTAAGAATAATTAGAATGGATTTCCATCCTCTAAGCGCGAAAAAAGAGAATGGACTAGAGTAAAAAGTGGCCGTGCGGGATTCAAGTCTAGAGCCGGGGAGCTCGGAAACTTCGGAGACTTCCCCGTTCTCTTTTTCCTACTGCTGTCCAGACGTGGTCTTCTTCCTTTTCGTTTTCGTGCTTTAGACTTCATTGGGTGATCCTTCACGCCTTCAACGTTTTTTTTCCACCTAGCTTGGGGATCGACTGGTCTGTGTTCAGATGTCCACTTTCAATGGGCAGACTACTGGACCTAGCGTTGTGCGAACTCCAGATCACCCCTGGATGTGTTTTACCCCCGGGGCCGACGGGACGGCTGGTTGGGGCTTTGAGCTTTGGGGCTGGCTGGAGTGCGAGATTGTATATTGGGACTTCGGATTCCGGTCGGGTTTTGGGGGTATTGTGATGGATATGTGATGGAATTAGTATTTCCGGAGCTCAAGGACCGGGAAATTGCCAATTTTGTTTTTTTCCTACCTGTGATATCCTGTAGACTGGAGGCAGTATGAAGCAAAGAAGCAGATCTCTTTTTGCGGAGACGTTGAAGGATCAATTGATCTTCGGGGGTAAATTGGCACATGGTAATGGTATGATCTCAGCGCAACAATAGGGGGTGCATGGTGCCTCACCACATGGAGCGTAGACTCACAAGTGCAATCTCTCAATTAGGCTGGATGTGCGGGATTCATATGAAGGAAGCAACTCTTCTCCACGTAGAGCACGGCCCAAGACCTATCGAAGGATTTGACCTAAATCCTTCTAGTCATTCCATGTTCCTTCTCTGCCACGAGGGATATAGAGTTTCGTGCAACGGTTCTTATCTCTAATATGACCATATTAAAATTGGGCTCCATTTATTGCTACATAATGTGCTGCAGTAAAGACTCCGATTCGTCTTCAAAGATATGTTAGAAACCTCAAGTTGGAAATAATAGGGGTTTAGATACCGGGTAGATGGACCTACCAGTAACTTCAAATGTCCATGGATGTTATAAAGATGACGGTTCAATTAGTAATAGAATGCATACAACTTAAAGTGATTCAATATTCATTAACATGAACGCCTTCTGAAAAGTAAGAGTATAGTTAATTAATTAATTAATTTGAATGTATTTATCGTCGGCTCCGACCACTGCTTCCCCCGCTAGCCTGGACCCCGAGCTCTGTGCATGACCCTGTCACAATCTCCCCATCCGCTGCACTATCTACTAGGTACTACAGTAGCAGTCATGTTGAATGCAGTGGGGGGCAGGATGGTATGTCTCAGCCTCACCGCGACTCTCTACAATCCAATGAGATGAGTTCAAAAAGATGCGCACTGTTGTAGTATTGGCATAGTGATGCAGCCTAAGACAATACATACCATGTGCTCCGAGGCCAAGAATTAAGGGGCGGTCTGTGATCCTTCCAAGGTTCTTCACTGAATTACCACAAAAACACTCTGTGGAGACTGCATTACGAATCCTCCTATCTATTAGCTTCAACGGTGGCTGTTGGCGTTTCCTGCAGGATTGCGCTGGAGTCCTGGAGGGTGATCACTATGCAATGTTGAGTAGCAGTTGCCATGTACGTCCGGTTGTGTTGTTTATTTATGTACTTTGACGACGGGATTGTAATTATCGAATTGTCACAAACATTCGAAACTGCTTATGCACATTACCAGGTATACATGTACATGCTTGGCACAACATAACATAACATATGAAAAGACTCTTGATTTCAAATGTTCTTCAATACAGTTGATGTGGGACCTTTTCCTCGATCAAATCTCGTATTGAGCTTACTGTGGAAACACTCACATCCACAATTATCTCGGCGGAATTCCCAGTAATCGGCGTATTTGAGTTGCGCCATGGAATCGGGTACGAGGGCGAAAGCTACGTCGAATAGAAGATCAAGTTGAAATTCCGTAGTGGAATAGCATCAGCACTAGTGCCAAATCCGGTAGCAGCGGTGTCGTCTTGATTCGTCCGGAAATGTGATCTGGGCTCCCGCCACCCATCGTCTCGGGTAAACTAGCACTATCGCGATGAACTCCATGTTCTCGTTTGGCGTCAGGTTAGGTGCCTCTGTTTTGATTCTCTCTTTCCTTGCATACATAAGGGCAACGCGAGTTCATTCTCAAAGTAATTCAAGGATGAAGATAAATTCAATTCAAATTGATGAGAGAAAGGATTCCTAGCTTTCAAATAGCGAAAACGAACCTTGAAATAAAAGTGGACAATCATACAGCCTAGTACCTCGATGATCTGACGTCAAAGTGAAGCGAAAGCAAGCCTCACCCATTGGGTAAATTAAGCTAGAGTTCATATATAACCTCTTTTTTTTCACCATAACCTCATATCCTCACTAAACTTGTCTCAAGTTTAGTCTCCTCGGCAGCCTTGTCCAGCTAGTACCCACGTGGCACGCGAACGACCTCCACCCGCTCACATTCAAGACCTGGCTAAACAAGGCGACGTACAAGCCACAATGTTCCGGCCGAGACTCCTCTTCTTCATCCTGAGCCACCATCCACTCCAGCTCATACGGCTTCCAGGGTTGATAGATACCCATTCAACGCAGGAGATGGTTGGCATCGGCCGGCTACCAAGTTGGTGGTGAAATCCGCACCGCAGCCCCAGAGATATTAGTCGGCCTCATGCACGCCCCGACCTCTGCAGTTGAAGAGGCCTGCGAACATGTTACATACTCGCCATCGGCCTCGGAGAACCCTCCAACCCAACTCCAAGTGGTTTTGCCTATGTGCGCCCACCCGATATCGCTAAGCGACCTTTGGTTCACGGACAAAGGGCGCACAAGTGCTACCGCTATTGCCAGCTTGGCTTCGATGTCGGACGAATGGACATTGTCGAACCAGACTTCGATGCCATCGCCTTCGACGTCCGCCATGACGGAAAGCTTGCCGAGTGTGAAGTTATCGATATGCGCATCGATGCCGTCCGAGAATACCCCCCGATGTTTTCTGGCCGGCTACTTCGAACAAAAGAAAAGCTTCTTCGCGCCTGACGATCGTTCGCGACGATGACGCCTGCACGAGCGGCAAAAGCACTATTTCCAAGGAAGTTGTGGGCGACTGCACAAAAGATCTCGAGGAAGCTCATTGCTCCGCGTCCTTATCCGGGCTCTTCCCCTCCGAGCTCTAGGAAAGGCGGCTCTGCGACTTTGAGGCCATCGGAAAGCTTCAGTAATAACGGCTACCATCCATTACCATTACCCATTACATGACTGGCGGTCGACAAAATCCGAAAGGCCATTTGCTGATATGTTACGGTCGTCCAAATTGGTGGGCATAGGTTAGCATCCATGTTTTACATTCAACGTCACCGAGGACGGTGGCGATTTGTCGGAGGAGGGCAAATGTTACCGTACCAGATTATTCAGAGATGTACTTGGAGATGACTTGAAGTCATCTGACAGACGGTGGCTTATCCTTCTGCGGAACGCTACATCATCCCTAGAGAATCGAGCTACATTACCACATTTTCTGTGTTCACTATTAGACTCCGTAATAACTGGTAGCATGTAGAAGTTGCAATTGCAACGCTGCCTCTTTTGGGATACCTCTTGACGCCGATTAACTGAAGAAGCTCCTTGGATGTCAGATCTATACAAGGTACAACTGGTGCACGGTTGGCAATTGGCATCAATTGAAGGCCTTGGAACCAACACCTGAGTCTTTCTGATGTCAAATGGATCGATCCATGCATGTGGATATTTGCTACTAGGTCAGGCTACGTAGGTGGACTATCAACTACAAAGATATACGTCTATAGTGGCACAAATATTTTGAAATCTTCATCGACTCATTCATTTCTCCCGGCAACTTTCCACTAATTACACATTCGCAGCCCAATTGCCCACCTTCAAAGGCGGAGCAGAGCAAGAGACTGGGTATTTTCATTGGATCGTACCACCCGATGCAACCTGCCCAATAGCAATCAAAAAATAAGGTGATCAAAAGGGAAGAGCAAAGCAAGAAGATCATGGATAAATTATACCCCGTCATCTTTGTCATAAGCCCTGAAACAAATAACCGGCGCACCCTCGCCTCCCAAACTCACAAAATCAGAATCAGGAGAAAAGAAAATAAACGACTCATGGTCAGATAGCAATACAAGGTGATAAGGAAAAAGACATTGAAATTAAAGGGGGATAGAAAGTTATTGGCGGCGAACAGAAAGAGATTTCGACAGAAGGGTGGGGGCCAAGAACAGTATGGTTAAAAAAAAAGGGGGGAGGGGGAATGGGGGATGGTTTAAAGAAAAAGACAAAGATTGAAGTTGTGAAGGTATTAAGACCAATACAAGAATTGAAACAAAAGTAGGTGGGGGGCAAGATGGCATCACAATCCAAAGAAACTATATGTCAAAATAAAGAAAAGAAGGAAAAAGCTGGTCAAGTTGATCAAAGGAAATTTGAGTCGAAGTATGCATCTTCATGGGGGTGGGGAAGTAATTATTTAGCTCCAATCTCCTCTTCTGCCCAGCCAGGTAGAGAGTTTTCATTTTGGATAGCCAGTCCGAATCCGGAGTGGTTCAGTCCACCAAGACCAGACGAGTAGCCGGAGAAGCTACTCTGAGGGTGGTGTTGTGTTCCAGTGCGGATGTGACCCGGTTGTCCTGAGACTGGCCCAAAGGGCTCTTGGGAGAATGAGGGTAGACTCACAGCCCGGGAGTGCTGTGCCCGAGGAACACTTAGACTGCTGGTGCTGGCAGTAGCATGGTGACCAGGGCCGGATGAGCCAGTACCCACACTCAGGTAACCGTTGGCTGAAGGCTTATGTTGGTGCTGGTGCTGGTGCTGGTGTTGATGATGCTGGTGTTGGTGTTGGTGCAAAGACGTATCGATATGTCCATTAGAGAGATCGCCGTTGCTAACTCCGTTGTATAGTGACTGCTGTGATTGACCTTGCAGACCGGCCAAGACCATCGGATCATGGAGACGGTTCTCTTGGTCCTGTGCATGTTGGGCAGACATCTGGCTGAGGTACATGGTGAGGGGGTTGTTTGAACCCACATTCAGTACACCAGAGGGGGACGATACTGTCTGCAGAGGGTGTCGTTGTTGACCGTTGGAGCCAGTGGAGCCAGGCGCAGGGGACAAAGCAGGGCGGGTTGGGCTAGACTGAGATCCCGATTGGCTAAGGTTCTGCTGGAAACCATTGATAGCCGGAGGAGATTGAGCTCCTTCAAGACCAGAACCATTGCGGTTCTGTCCGTTCTGGCCCTGGTTGCCAGCCTGTCGGGGTGGGTTACCACAGCGATCCTTGCCAAAGTTGATCTTGAATCGTCTATATTCTTCCCGGTTGCGCATGCCCTCGATAGCCTTGATGGCGTTGGCGATGTTGGTAAAGTTGACGAATGCACAGCTCTTCTCCCGCAAGGTGTTGACCAATTCAATCTCGCCGTATTCCATAAAGTCCTGGCGGAGACGGTCCTCTGGCCATGTCTCATCCAAGTTTCCAATGTACACATTTCGGGATGCGCCACCGCTGACTGCCAGTGCAATCGCCGGTGGGAGTGGACCGGAGTGCTTACCCCAACCAATCTTCAATCGTCGGTTGTGGATCATGAGACCCTGCAGGTTGCTGAGGGCGTAGAAGGAGGCAGCGGAGGTAGGATCAATGAAGGTCACAAAGCAGATGTGCTTATCGGGGATATAACGTATATGGTGGAGGAGACCTCCCCGGACCACATTGCAAATCTCCTCAATGGTAGTTTCCGGGTGGATGTTTCCGAGGTAAATTGTTCGGTTGCCCAGGTTGCTGACGCCGCCCGCGGTGGTGGCTACCGCGGCTGCTGCAACGGACTGTTGAGCGAGCGCATTCGAAATTAAGTCGCGGTCAGCAGAGTTTAGGACGTGAGCGTAACCTGGTGCAATTCCCAAGAACTGTGCGGCATTTTGCTGCTGTGTCTTGGAGACATATGCGCAACGGTCCTTGCCGTAGAAGACGCGCTTGGGGGCCTGCCATTGTGGCTCCTGGGGGAGTTGAGCCACAGCCTTCATAGCATGACTAATCGAGAGGAAATGGACAAAACCAATTGCCTTTTCCTTGACAATCTTGACAGTGTCAATGGGACCAAACTTGCCTAATTCCTCACGCAAGTCATCCTCCACAGTCTCCTCCGGCAGGTTTCCAAGGTAAACATTGCGGGAGGCACCAGACTGCTGGACGGCCAACGCAACGGAGGTTGGGACCTGCGAAGGCTTGCCCCAGCCTACCTTGATATCATTTCCCTTGATGGCCAGCTTCTTCAAGATGGCATCTGAGTGGAAGTGGGTTGCGGAGCTGCTATCCAAGAAAGAGATGAAAGCGCAGTTCTTATCGGGGAGAAGACGCACCGACTCGATTTGTCCGCTGCGCACGTGATTCAGGATTTCCTCGGCGCTTGTTTCAGCGGGGATGTTTCCCAAATACACGGTGCGACTGGTTCCCGAGATAATTCCCGGCGAGACTGATGACGCAGGACCAAGGGCCGCATTACCGAATCCACCCATGCCGTTAATCGGCGACTGGGGGCTCATCAGTTGGGGCGCGCCCAAACCATCCGACATCATCCCGCCGTACAGACCGTGGTTCTGCATCCCTTGGGTCGGGCTACCCAGATGGGAATTTTGATTGTGTCCGTTGGCATTGACTTGTGGGAAGCCACCGAAATTCGCAAACTGGGGGGACGCGAAGGCGGATGGGGTTCCAGGCTGGAAGGGACTGCCAACGAGTAACTGCGATGGCAGGAGAGGGGTGAAGTTCATATCGAAGCCGGAATTCATATCGGCGGGTTGGCCGGCGGCAGTATTTATAGCAGGGATATTGGCGCGACGCGAGCGGTTAGAGAAACCTTGGGTATTATGGTTGGAGTGATAAGCGCCGTGGGAGAAACCGGTGTCACCGTTCAAGTTGTATTTGGAAGGCGGGATCAGACGCGAACTGTTCGGGATGCTCGATGCATCCGAGGTTTGCATGGCGAGGCTATAATCCACCCGATATCCAAAAAGCTGTAGGCCCTCGGGGGTTTAGATGAATTTCCAAACCAAGGGGGAATATGTTGTTCCAAGGCAAGCTATCAGAACACCATTCAGGGGGGGGCTGGTTTGGCTTCGACCGAGGTTCGGTGGTGGCGGTATGTATAGGGAGAGATTCGAAAGGGGGGAGAAGGGGAGAATAGAAAAAAGGTTCGGCGCGTAAGAAAAGGAAGCTTCCTTCTTCTTTTTCCTCTTTTCTCCAGGCGACGTGTCTAGTAGAATATCAATTGGAATGTGTTATCCATTTAGGGACTGGGACCAAGGGGATAGAGATGAACCTGCGGCTAAACTTTTTTTTTTGAAAGGGAATGTCACACGGTATACACCTAGAGAGAAAACAACCCTGCAGATGTGCGGAGCCGAGAGAGAGAAAAAAGAAAAGAAAGGACTAAAAGATCAAATGGAAACCAGTCAATAGCTGAAAAAGGATAAGTGGACAAATGGGCCCAAAGAGTACCAGGCTGGAGAAGGAAAAAGGGGGAAAAGATGATGAGATCAGAGTGAAAAGGAGGTGGGGAAAAAGGGGAGAGTTATTTACGTGAAAGAAACCCCCAAAGAAACCCTCTAAAAAAGAAGCCAAACGTAAAGGAATGAAGAGGTAAGGATTCAAAAGGAAGTGAGGTTGAATCCCTCAGTAAGGAAAAGGTTTAAAAGGGGGGAAATGATTCAATGTTAGAAGGAAAGGTAAATTGCTCCGATTTCTATGGGGGAAAAAGGAGAAGGAGAGACAAGAAAAAAAAGGTAAAGGTAAATAAAGAAAGGGGGGCCAATTTACTCCATTCTCTATATAAACTGCCAAAATGAGATATATACAAGTAGCTAACATGCTAGTATATACTCGGTAACACATGTCTACTTTAACATATTTCCCCATGATTGTGGCTGTTCTATATGAATCTCTTCATCTCTCTCTGTTTATGCCGAAGCAACGTTCCGTGGCTCCTGCAGAACTGGATCAGGCCCCACCAATCACAGTCCACTTGGCGCCCCCTGGCGAACTGGAGAACTGGGACTATACTGCTTTGGATAGATTTAGATGTACTTTCTCTGCAGTAATCTTCTTGGAAAAACGCAAAACAATATTGAAAAAAAAAAATTTAGTTTAAATCTTCAAATACATCAATTGATCCATATTCAATATGCCGCATACCATAAACCATGACTAAAGCAGAAGGCGCATAGATTCAATCCCAGTATGATTTTATGCATGTAATCGATCAACCAATCTCAATCTACAGCCTCAAATTTCCCCATATGTCAACTGAATTTTTTTTAAAAAAAATCCATGTTCCTAAGCCGAGAACCCATCTAGTCGGTCGGGGATCCTATTAACGTTAGTTTAATTACCATTCAGGCTTAATGCCGAATTTTAACATTTGAAAATACTGAGAACCAAAAAACCCAACGGGGCATAAAAAGAAAACTCCGTTGGATGCCCTGATGCCTGAGGCACATATGTGGGGAAGTGCTATCGAAATTTACCCCTCCAACTTTCTCGCTCTCTATCAATATTCTGTCACTTTCTTCATTTGATTCGGCCTGGTGCCCTTTTTTCTCTTTACTGATTGGTATTGGAACCGTCCAGTCCGGTAAGCATTCTTTACGTGCGCTTTATCTCAGTTGTGCATATTTTCTTATCTACCATTGCGATGACTCACATATGAGACTATTAATTCGTTCCGCGCTGATCCCTCCGTTCCTTTCTAGATCCCTCCATATACACTCAATTGATAGGGCGCATACTTGTTTTGCATTCTATCAATTCCAATTGCAACCATGGCTCCCTCAATCTACATTGACGAGGACGTTGGCCACGACGATTCCACCGCCACCGGTACCGAGACCGCTCCCTACAAGACTCTCGTGCACGCTCTCGTTAACCACGAGCCCACCACCGAGGGCATCCAATACTTGACTCGCAAGTCCAAGACCGATGCCGCTGGTGAGGATGTCGACCCGGCCGCCAAGTTGGAGTGGAAGCCCGCCACCAAGTCTGCCATGAAGAAGGCCACCAACCTCTTCGAGCAGCGCAAGAAGAAGGCTGCCAAGGAGCACGAGTTGGCCATTCGCGAGAAGGCCGAGGCCGATAAGCGTCAGGCTGTTCTGGAGGAGGCTAAGAAGATTGTCATCAAGGAGGATGCTTCCCTGCCCAAGCCCGTGCGCATTCGCTTGGACAATGTCGACCCTGCAGTGGTGAACCTGCGCACCCCCGAGTCCGATGCTCCTGGAACCCGCGTTCGCGTTCTCGGTCGTGTCCACCGCATGCGCGCCCAGAAGGACTACGTCTTCATCACTCTCGTCGATGGATACGGATACCTGCAGTGTATCCTGACCGGTGACATGGTCAAGACTTTCGATATCATGACCTTGACCCTGGAGACCTCCATGGCCATCCACGGTGAGATGCGTGCCGTTCCCGCTAAGCAACACGCCCCCAACGACCGTGAGCTGCACGCCGACTTCTTTACCATCATCGGCAAGGCCGCTGGTGACAAGGAGGCCATCACCAACCGTGTCGCCCAGGATGCCGACCCCCAGACTCTGCTTGACAACCGCCACTTGGTTCTGCGTGGTGAGACCTCCTCTTCCGTGATGAAGGTCCGTGCCGCCGTTCTCCGTGCCTTCCGCACATCCTTCTTGGAGAACCGCATGCTGGAGGTTACTCCCCCGGCTATGGTGCAGACCCAGGTTGAGGGTGGCAGCACTCTGTTCGGCTTCGACTACTACGGCGAGAACGCCTACCTGACCCAGTCCTCCCAACTGTACCTGGAGACCTGTCTTCCCTCCCTGGGTGACGTCTTCTGTGTGTGCCCATCCTTCCGTGCCGAGAAGTCCCTCACCCGTCGCCACCTGTCGGAATACACCCACATCGAGGCCGAGCTGGACTTCATCACCTTCACCGATCTCCTTGACCACCTCGAGGCTATGATCTGCCGCGTCATTGACCTGACCCTGGCCGAGCCCGAGATCGCCGCTTACATCAAGAAGCTCAACCCCGACTTCAAGCCCCCATCCCGTCCCTTCCGCCGCATGAAGTACTCCGACGCCATCGATTGGTTGGTTGAGCACGAAATCCCCAACGAGGAGGGCGAGCCCCACAAGTTCGGTGATGATATCGCCGAAGCTGCCGAGCGTCGCATGACCGATATTATCAACCAGCCCATCTTCCTCACCCACTTCCCGGCCGAGATCAAGGCCTTCTACATGAAGAAGGATGGCGAGGACCGCCGCGTCACCGAGAGTGTTGACGTTCTCATGCCCGGTGTCGGTGAGATTGTCGGTGGAAGTATGAGAATGGATGACTGGAACGAGTTGATGGCTGCCTACAAGCACGAGGGCATGGACCCCAAGCCTTACTACTGGTACACTGACCAGCGCAAGTAAGTTTGACTCAGAATCCGTCTTTTTGATACTATTTTTCTGAATGACTTTACTAACATAAAACCAATAGGTACGGTACCTCTCCCCACGGAGGTTACGGACTTGGTCTGGAGCGTTTCCTGGCTTGGTTGTGTGCTCGCTACACTGTCCGTGACTGCTCTTTGTACCCCCGTTTCACCAGCCGTTGCACCCCGTAAGCTGGTAGAAGTTTCACGTATATCATGAGGATCCATGGATTGCATCCGGTTGCAGATTTGTGTTTAGATTGTTTTTAAAAAGTGAGCTGGATCAACGAGATGAAGAATATCTTTTTTTATTGGAACATTGCATTTAAAAAGTTCTTGCAATTTCTATGTTTATGCACGTAATCTTAGACTATCATTCAAATGTTTTGTCTTTACATACTCTTATATGTATACCAGTATACATACCAGTAGGTAATAGCTACATAGCAAGTATCAAGATCATGGGTCACTTTAATGGAGAATCACATGATGCTCCGTGCAGTGCTACCTAGCAGCTAGCAGCAGCTATCTGAACTACGTTAGTGCCTCACCGTTCTCTGTCCTTTCCCCTTAGTGCTTAACTTTACTTCATTGGATTCCATCTCCACAAGTCTGGAGTACCTATATTTATATCGAACATTCAAGATCCACGAGGTGAACAAGAGGTCACCTTATGTATAATAAGCTTGTGTCCAATAGTGTTGAGCCCTTCAAAACTTGCGGGCCTTATTTCAGCAAATTTGGAATTCGCTGCGCAATGCATATCTGGCAGCAATCCTTGATATGTGTATGAATTTAGCCAACCCATTTTGGTATCGTTTGAACGGGCTGTTTTTGGACAACTATGGGCAATTTTTCGTGTGTGGCCTAGCGAGAGGACCTTCACCTTGGCATCTTGCAATACATGCACATGTGATGATTTCAATGTTGGAACCGAAGGTTTAGATGAATGATTAGTACCCACAAAAAAGTCCATATCTTACTACTTAGGTACTGCAGTCATGACCAGTCCGGATAACTTGAGATAGATCTTTCAATGTTAGTGTCACAATTTACTTGAACAACATCTTTGGAATGATCCCGTCTTCGAAGTAGTATTGATGAAATATGTTTAACACATGCGTGAACATACACTGAATATCATACCAGTTGACCAGCATGCCCATAAAAGGAGCACAGTAGCGTTGGTCTCCAGAACACATTCCCATATCCAACAGGATGAAGCACCGGTATATAAACCCAGCATAAACGCATGATATAGAATGAATTCCAATGCACGTCGGTTGGATCCAATGCAGACCCGTCCATAACCCATAAACCATGCCCATAACGCAACGATCAATCAGTCTGGGCGACTTGAACCATGAAATGCGATGATCTGAGCTCGAGGGAGATGACTCCCATAGCAACTCGAGATAATCATTCACCAAGAAGACGGACGTCATGATAAGAATCTTGTCTACTGACCCCGCGGCCAGGCGCCTGGGTCTCAGATTCAGGCTGAGGCTGCATGGTGTGGACGTAGACGCATTGGAAACATGACGCCGAGGTGGGACGAGACGGATCTGTTTAGGCTTGGGCTTCCAGTCGCGGCGTGATTTGTGGTTTGGAGGTTGAGTTAGTGCTAGGCTGTGGGGTATTGCCAGGGAAATTTCGCAGTTGTTGGTAACATGGGGTAGGTTTTTGTGGTATCAGCCAGGGTCGGATTCTTGTTTCTTTACGCGTGATTACCCCTGCTCTATTATCGCTGCGGGGTTTTCGCCGCAGTTTGGCGCACTTTCTACTGGTGACGACAGGAGAACGTAATTGTGATTCGGCTGTAGTCGATTCGGCAAGGGTCGGTGGTCGTTTGTACCGGGATGCACGATTATTCCAGGGGAGTGATGGCATGAGAGGAGATGATGTGAGGTGAAACGAGACGGGGATCGGGGTTCTGGGATCTGGGGGTTGGAGTTGGCAAGATTAAAGTAGCGGTGACCGGTGATTGAGGGCTGGTGTCGTCTCGTCCAGGATACTCAACGATGAACACGTTCCTGCTAGTCCAAGCGGGTAAGTAGGCCAGAATCAAAGTATCCAAAAACACAAACCACACCCGTCCGTCGTGTCAACTCTCGACTCAGTCGCCGCGTGACCAAGCCATCGGATTTTCCTCAGGGATCAACAAGGGTATTTTCAAGTTTGTTCTCGGCTCCACTTCCACCGCTCGCCTCCGTCACAGACATTGCTGAGGGGGCAAGGTCAGTCAAGATTCGCTACCCAGTCGAAGAGAGATGCCGCCAAGATTCCCAGAAATCTGTGCCTTCGCCTTGCCCTGCGGGAAAAGAGTTCCAGGGTATTCGGCGAATGACTGGCTCGCACAGAGACAAGCAAATGCTGCTCCACAGGCCGTGATGCTATTGCTCCGAAAGTACGGAGAATGAATCCGTAACAGCCCACTGGACCACAGATACACTTCCGCTTGTCCCTTTTGAGTGCGAGCCGATGTTGCCAAAGTTATTTATTAGGCTGGTCCTGATCTCATCTGACCACTCCTCTTTTTTTCTCTTATGAGTAAGTTTGTACCCTGGTGAAGGAATTTCATATTTTCCCCCGGCTCCGCACGCCTAGGCAAGGAAAGAGCCGTGAGCCTGGGTCGCAGGGTCAGAAAAGGTTGATGGATACCGTGTTCTTGTGTTCCTGTCCCTGTCGGGGTACTTACGTATCATTGCATATGTCTCTGCCTCTTCGAAACCATGCAACCCTTGGACTCGCTTTTTGGTTGGGGATGCCATGGCAGGTGATAACTGAGGCTTGATTTGACCACGGGTCGCAGACAACACGTTCCTCCATACATAGGTTTCTCTCTCCGTTATCTGAAGGCGAAAGTGAAGCCAAGCTTTCTTTTGGTGGCGTTGATCAGCCCTAGAAACGTCATAGCGCCACCCATGGATGAAGTCTAACATTCGCCAACGTTGATGATATCAGGGGCAAATGTACCTTCCCCTCGCGTTCCAGATTATCGACCACAGCTTGATTCTGCTTCTGGGGTCTGCAATCTTTTTTCATCATCCAACTTTGCTCAGGATATACCGTTTTCATGCTGATTTGTCGCCACAACGTTCCCAAGTCTCTGCCACTCGAACAAACCTGCGGCTGTATTAACATATTAACAGTATTGGTACTCGGTCCTTGATGTACTGTTTTGTGACCTTCATTCAAATCAGGGACTTCAAAAAGTCTGAGTCTTGAATCTGGAGTATGGAGAGTCTGCAGTACAGGGGAGCCATTCAACCAAGCCAAGATGCGCACTGCTAATTAAAAAACAAAACAACGACAGATTGCAAAATCAAACGCCATGTGTCGGTCCTTCTCAATGTTCAACTCAATTTCACATTGCACCCGCTCATATCAATCCCAGAGGACTTCATCAATCGTCAAAATCTCCAAAATCCAATCTCCGCGGGCGCGACATGGTAGTCCACCCATACCCGAATATTTCAACATCCAATAAAACCTATCTTCAGGGGGACGTGAAGTTTCGGAACTCGGGAGATTTCGTCGGGGATTGGGGATTAAATATCAAGAACGACCAGGGTGAGTACCGTTAGTGTCACCGTTTGCAAGGCTGAGGCCTGTGGTGAGGAGATCGATTTCTTCGAGGATTTGGTCGTGCGAGGCGCCGGTCCGAATGGTGGAGATAACACGGGCCACCGCCTCCTCGTCGCCAGTAGCGATGAAGCTCAACAGCTTGTTGACCAAGGCACGATAATGCACAATCTCGGGGGGTTCTTGGCCTGAACTTGCGCTGGACGTACCGCTGGAAGTGCCGATAGAACTTGAAGTGTTGCTTCTACCCGGATCACCCAAGTTGGGCGATATTTCAGCCTGAAGATCATACAAGTGCGCTAACTCTTAATTTGTGCTTGTGATGTCTTTCTGCTTCATTTGAAGTGAAGGTCCATCACCGAGAGAAAAAGGCAGAGGGTATCAAGCAGATAACAGATAGCAAGAGATGGAAACTTGCCACATACCTTGGAGTTCCAGTCGAAGAGGCTTGCTGCCTCAAGTCGTCCCGTCCTGGGACTCCCTGGTTAACAGGTAGATCATTCGTTGGGCGTCGATCCGACATGTTGAATCGGACTTCGTCAAAGCGAGGCTACGGGGAAACCACTTGAAGGGGGATGGGAGGAGACTCAGAGCTGGGGTTGTCACACACGATGTTGCCAGGATGGCTTGATCAGGTACCCCTCTCTATTGGGTTGTGTTGTTCTTGTGAGGAATCAGAGACCTCCTCAGAAAGATAGTCAGTACGGGGAGAGAAGACAAAGACGTAGGAAACGATGAATGGAATAAGATCAACTGGGTTGGGGGGAAAGAGATACGGAAAGGCCTGCAGAAACGTAGAAAAGGCGATGCATTTCACATTCAACGGGGGGCGCGGGAAGAGGTGTCAAGGGCAGAATGCGGTCGGCCATACGGTTTGCAATATGTACCTGTTAGGAATCCACACTCAGATCAAAGAGACGGTTCACTTTGTTCCGTTGGGGAAGAGAAAACATGAAAATGGAGAGAAAATTTGCAGAATAGATTTGAAGAGAGACCTTGAAGAGAAAAAGTCGGGATGTTTGCTAAAGAAGGGAAAAAGTCGATCGGAATGCACGAGATGATGGATTGATCCCCGCCAGTCCACAGAACTCCATCATCGCCCCCAGTACGAGGCGTAATGACTGGACCCAACAGGGACCATTGCACGCTCAATTCGATACTAGCGGCTCCAATTCCCGGGGACTTGTCAATTCCTCCGGTTTCCCGAGCGCAGATACCACAGGTTGACTGAACAACTTATGCGGATCCTGATCTATGACCTGGTGATTCTGCACCAAATGTAGGCGACTTTCTTTGGGTCCGGAAAAAGATACCGTCCAATCGACGGCTGTGCCTTTGCTTTTCCTCGGACTCAACGAAGTATCGATAAAAACGATTCGCCTTAGCCCTTTGGACACGTCAGGCTGCTTTTCTCCTTTTATTTGGAGGCTGAGATTGTAAAATCGCATTTGATATTTCATATTCCTTTCGCTCTTTGGCCGATTTGAAGATTGACCTGATGATTCATTGGTCAAGTCGGTCCTCGGGCCCGAGGCCCTTATTGGGTCAGCCTGAATGCGCGTGGATCGGGCTCTTTCCGGGTGAAAACACATTGGATTTGACTTGCATTCTCACTGCAAGTCATGAAAGATTGCCGACACTGCGGAAACTCTTGTGGAACACTTCCTGGTCCACAGATCTCATCGCAGGAATAAGCTGATTTTGTCACGATCACTTGGATCACAGCCTGTGGTACTGATCCACATCAGATGAGTATTAACTTGATCTTCTAGGGCCGTATCGCGCAAACCGTCGACCCCAGACACAACTCACAACCAGGAAAACATCAGAGACACAGCTCGCAAGGGCTGTGTTTCATGGGATGACGGATATCGGATCGGTAATATGTCCAACAATGTCTAGTTAGCTCTTGACCAAGCGTCAAAGGAATGATCTTGTCACTATTCGCCAACAGGGGTTCGGCGGGAACAAACCATCGCGCGGTCCAGGATGAGAATTCGATTAGTTCCTCCTTGTCCGGCAGGTCAGCTAACTAAGTATTGGTGAGTCTTTTGAATAGAGGGAAACCACAGAGTGGCAGTGTCCTGGAGAACCTCAGGGATACAAACTTCACCGTGCTGGCTTGAGGGAGGCAATCAACCATGAAGCTTGTATCCTTGAAGGGGTTGACTGATGGATAGCAGCCTGGACCACTGGGCCATTGAAATGATGGATCAAGTGATCTCAATGTTAATGCTGACTCGCGCCTTCCTTTCGCAGAAAACCAGCAATCCGTCGAATTCGGCAGGCGCGCCTGCACCGCCGCCCCTTTGAACCCGTCCCTCAACCTCATATCTTCAACCCTGGGTCTTGATTCTCGAAATCCCTTACGAAGGGTATTATTCACCCCATCCTTCCTTCCACACAGATCCTTCAATCTTCGTCGGAATCGCCAATCCTACTAGTAGGTCACCATTTCTCGATCGTGGACAAAAAATTACCGAGCGAAAGTCGACGGCTGTCCAGTTTCAACGATATCCTCAACGAGAACTTCTGAGGTGCCATTGCTTCATCGAGGCGCCTTATAGAAAGGCACAATCAGTATGCATGCCAGAGGTTTTCAATGGTGGACCCTGCATCGTCATTCTGCAAATTTTTTTCTCCAGCCGCTCAGGAGAAACCAGTCAGTTCCCTGACGGATTTTGACATATTCTTGGTAGAGAGTGGCTATAGCCTTGTCTTTCTATACTCTGCTGCCACCATCAGGGTCGGATTTCATCCATAATTTGCGAGGGTCATTGAATAAAAGTCGCCGAAAGACTTTCTGGAAACCTAGAACCCAAACCAATGCCTTCTTACGAAATGCATTGATTCGATCGAGAAAGTCATATTGAGTCAACATGTGGCACAAGTGCAGAAAGGGTAGAAGTTATGGAACGGGGACAGTAAAAGCTCATCTCATGAACACTGTCCAGCATAGGCTCTGGGGGAGTCCGGCACACTTTGATAGGTTAAATCTATCCAGGGCAGGGAAAAGCTTTAGCCATCGTGTCCCGTCCCCCATTAGACCCATTCGTCTTGAGTTGCTTTTTCTTGTTTGCAACAAGTATTATCCGAAAGTCGTCGGAAGACTAATCCTGCTCAACAACAAGACCGTGTTCAATGTGTTTTTGTGGGATGCGTCGGTTGCAGGGATATGTTCATCTGATGTCGAGGCGGGGAAAGACACAGCTGCATACATCGCAAGGGCAGACCGTGGACATTGCATGTTCATTCAGTGAACCTGGTCCGCCATCAGTATCCTTTGTATGATTTAAGCTCATTGATGGCAGAGAACGGCTACGCCCGTAGCTTGTCCAGCAATATACCGATCCACTCGTCGCCGAGTTTCATTGCAGGGATCATCAGAGGCTTCGCCGACGTCGCATATTGATGGTTATGATTATCTCGATGAAGTTTCGATATCATGTGGCCACGAGGAAAGTCACATCGCTCCCAGCTCAGTATTGGCTATACGGTTCGTGGCATGGTGAGGGCACGATGTTTCATGCATGCCTGGTTGGCATCGATACTCGCCAGACATAAGTTGATCAAGGAAAGAGAGGTGGAAAGTACATCATGAGCTTCCGACATGAATACTGATACCGACTACAGGGCGAGAAGAGCGAGGGCGACAAAGGGTCTTCATTCGCGAGTTCGCAGGAAGCGTCTTGAGATAGAAGGAATGGACTTGCCTATGACAGCTAATGACGTTAGTAGCGAACGACTCTCCCGCTCAGTGGTGACAATATAGGACCGAGGAACTACACTTGCCTAAAGTCAGTCAAAGATGTCAGTGCCCTGAGTGGCTCTCTTGATCGATGATGGCAACCTTCATCCACGCAATCCGGTCGGCAATGAAATTTCCAGCCAGGGGCTTTCCCGCGTCAGTAACTTCTCTGTTCATCATCATTGATCACCGATGTCATTGATTTTGATGGCGGTGATGTCGACTTGTGGTTACTAGGCATTGTCGGTGTGACTCCTCGGCGACGAGGTTCAAGGGATTTGATTTCCACTGGGGTAAGCAGAACTCAAGCCTCCCATCCTAGCCATACCGTGACACTCATTTTCATCACGTCGGTGTATCGGAGAGACCAAAATCTTTTGAGGTCTTTGCGGGCTGCAACAAACGTTCTCTGGTTAGTATAGAAGGTCTGAAGTTAGAGAGATAGGCCTGTGCTGCTTTCTTGTCAAGGGCGAGAGAAGGATAGGAGGGAAAAACCAACCCTAATATGGGTCTTTTCTGCTTGTGTTGGCCATTGGGCTCCATCATGGAAAATGCTTCCTGGTAACTTCATTGGGGCCCCGGCTCCACCTGTCTTCGCCCTTGACCGACCGAAACAAAGCGCCAGGACTCGTCCGATCCGTGCGTGGGAACATGAGATCTTTTGAAAGGGATTCATAGAATACGGGTTGATGAAACGCTGTCACTTAGTATTCGCAAAGTCTCCCGAATCCAGAGAGGTTATCCTAACCTCTGTGAAGGGAACTTTGAACTTGAAGATCGTGAGGGGAGAAACAAAAGAAATGGGTCGAGCTGAGGATAAAGTATCCGGACATTCGGAACCCTCGAGCTCCCAATTCAAGCCAATCTGATCTCGTGACGGATCCCATCGTCACTGTGATCGAATAGACTTGTTACGGAAAGGCATCCGGGGTTGCAACTCCAGTACCTGCAGTTCCTGTCGCCGATCCACCCGGGAGAACGGTTCAGTCAACTTTGATTCTACAACTATCTTCCATTTGTGAACCTCGGGACTTCTTGGGGGTGTTGACAACAACATGGGTGTCGTGCGCGGCTTTCGCCCCTTTTGTTGTTGCCGTTGGAGCTGACTGAGACTAACGAGACCAACATGACAAACGCAGAGAGTACATGAGAAAATGTACCCTTAGCTTAGACCATCGACACCAATACCAGTGGCAAGCGTGTCACAAGAACATCATAGGCTAATGGGAGAAAAGAAACCAAGAAACCATCAATGCATGTCTGATTTTCGATCGGCTTCAGACACAGTGAGCTGGTAAGCGGCTGTAATTAACCAAACATCGGCGTTTCGTTTTTTCCCCTTCCCCTGATGTTTCGACTGTGATGTTGCCTCGAGTTTAAGCCTGCCATTGATCCAGTCTACAAGCATGTCCAAGTGCATGTGGGATTGATCAAGCCTTAATCTACTCATTATTTTTCTACTTTTATTTTAATTTTAATTTTCTTTTTTTTTTCTCATTTTTTCTTATTATTTTTTTCTTATTTGTTCTTATTTTTTTTTTTTAAATGATTTTTATATATGTACTTCATAGGTTTTTTAAGCCTTGCACTGGACTGTGAAGAAGTGACATACGCCGCCACTAGCTTGGAAATGTTACACTAACGCTTAGTGAGAAACCCGTGACAAATTGACATCCTTTCAACCAAGGATGTTGATGGTTACTATTGCTGGGTCATAATTACCCTTCAATACGACTGGATTATAATTGGATTTTGGAATTTCGTCTCGATCTCATGGACCTCTTGGTGTTCTTAGAGTCTTAGACCGTGTGACCTGTCAGATCTCGCCAGGTCATGCGAACAAGGCAATCCATCTACTGATCCAAGTTTCCTCTCCTTTTCATTTCTTATTGGCTGGATAGTTTGGACCAATAATCTTGGACCCTATTTTGCTCATAAATAGATCTCATTCAGATAGTGACTAAGCACTTAAAATCGCATGGAATGTGGGGAGCCAACACGTCTTACTATGCTATCCAGGATTCCAGGTGGGATATGAAGTGACTACTAACTGTTCTCTTTGATCCCAGAGTTCCGGAAAGAATTTTCATGTTAAAATACTGGACTTACTGGTTTCTTTCGGGAGATTAAACCGAACAAGAAATACCAACAAGCCTGATTCCACGATTCGCCATCTAACCAATCTATACTCGATGTTCCCATATTGTATGGAGCGCGCGCCGGGTTTGTATACAAACCTACATTCCACGCCGCGCACCCCAAAAATGCCCCTACCACGCGCAATCAAAACACGCCCCTTGGAATTGACAAAGAAGCATTCGAATATGTACTCGATTGGCCCTCGCGTAGTTTCTCCCTCTTCACGACTCTCGACATCCCGACATTCGACCTTCGGCATCGGCACCGGCTTCTACATCGACATCGACACTGCCAACCGACAAACAGCTATACCTGCAGTAGAAGTATCAGCAACATCAGTATAGCACCAACCTAGCCACCAGGCCAGAACCAAAGGGGAAAAAAGGGTATCCAAGATGCACTACTCCCTCCTCACCCTAGCCACCGTGCTAGCCCACACCCAGGCCCAAGCCGTCCCCATGCCCTTCGGCCTGGGCTCCGTCCCAATCCCACAAGGCCAAGCAAACGGCAACATCGGCGGAATCAACGGCCAAGATGCGTACGCCGCTACGCCATCCTCCTCCGCCTCCATGATGCCCGCCCAGAGCCACGGCGCCAATTACCACCAGTACATGCACGCACCAAGTGCATCCGCCTCCGCATCAGCCTCAATGATGCCCCAGCGCCCATCAAACTACCACTATCACATGACGCCCATGGTCTCGTCGTCCGCAAGCCACTACATCAACATGCACGCCGCCTCAGCTTCCGCCTCGATGCCCTTCTCAGTCTCAGCCTCAGCCCACGCATCCGCAACCCCCTCCGCGCGCGCAGGCCACTCCCACGCCCCAAACCACGGCCTGCACGCCCCGCACGCCCACGAAGGCTTCCCCGCCCCCGCCGGCCTCCCCAAGGCCCCGGACGCCGAGAGCTACAACGGCGCATCGACAAAGCACGGCGGCTACACGGGCGGGAACGGGAACGGGTTCACGCAGACGCACGGCGACGACTCGAGCAGCGACGGGTCGCCGCCTTTGATGGAGAACGGGCCGCAGATGGGCGAGAGCCGGGATGACAGGAGCGGGAATGCCCCGACGCCCGTTGATCAGGATGTCGCGCCGATTCCGGACTCGAGGCCTGGTAGCGGCGATATTGCGCCTGTTGGGAATCCGATGGCGCCGGGGTCGAATGTTGCGCCTGTTTTGCCGCAGAAGTCGCATGGTGTTGATGAGGGGAATGGGTTCTGTTTGGGTCAGTGTTATCAGAGTCCTGATCAGGCGCAGTGTGCGCAGCCTTATGTGAGTTTTGTCCCTGTTTTTTTTCCTTTTGCATGAACATCTCTTTTCTTTCTTGCGGTTGGGGGGTTTGAGTTGTTTGTCCTTGTCCTCTAGGTTGGATAGTGGGCTGGATTGGATTGGATTGGATTGGATTTGGTCTTGGACTGGTCGGACTAACCGAGGTATATTTATTTTTAGTCTTCGCCCGTTTTCAACGCTGCGTCCGGTTGCTACACGTGCTGCTTCACCTCTCCTGACTTTTAGATGAGAAATCCGAGCTTGTAGCCGAGCTTGGATATGCCCTCTCTATTCATTTACGATGTGGAGGGCTCTCATTTGTCTAAATTTGGAGTTTGGTCTCTAATTGGAGAGATTGGAAGGTATCGGTTTTCTTTCTAACAATGTTGGTCACTCGTCTTATCGTCGAGTTGCCACCCGGGCCATCAGCATTTCAGCTGAAGCTATCTCGTTCATCAATGACCGCTGGTTATTGATAAGTGGCAATTTTTTTCTTTTTTTACTTTCGTTATCTCGCTTGGGTGGTATTCAAACCTCCAGCCGGGGCGTCCAGGATTTCTATCTTTACCCCGGATCCGGGGAGTTTTCTATTTACCTAAGTGGGTCGATTTTTTTTTTTTTAGTTATCAATCTATTTGGGACCGATTGGTGCCCAGATGATTGGATGTCAACTGGTGTTTAGTGCTTGCTCTTGACGCGTATTCAAAGTTGTGTTTTATATTTGGTTTACTAGTAGTACTTGCCTTGCTATCCCTCCGATATCTGTTTCCTTTTTCGGCTTGTTCCTACGATGTCGGTTTTAAATTATATTTTCTCTTCTTTCCCTTATCTTTAGGTGCTACAAGAGTTCCAAGGTTATTCTAAAGTTCAACTTTATTTTGCTTCTTCCTGTCCCCTGTCCCAATTAACATTTGCTGGTGTTGCGGTGGTTGTTTCCTATTTGGGAGTATATTATATGTAACGACGTGGTAGGGTTCCGGAGGTTAAATGTTAACTCCACCTCAGACTCGTCACTCCAGAGATCAGGTCGGCCCACCTCTTTGAAAAATAGGGGACCGCTCTTATGAAATAGTAGAATTTACTAGTTTCAAAGCAGCCATGGATCATCAAGGAGCTGTCTTGCGGTCTTGCGGTCTTCTGGTAGCCATTTAAGCATAGATCTAAGAAATCGAAGAAAAGATTCCCTTTCACCGCCAGATAGTCGCTTTTCTAGACTTTCTAAAGATTCCTGCGGTACAAGCGCGTCTTCATGAGCAATCCAGGTACCTGCAAGAATCAATATCAGCGCGAATTAGATTCTGAAAAGATAATCCAACGGTCTTACCATTGCGATCGAAGCACTGCCCCGTAGTCTCACTGCGCTGCACAAAATTGGCCGGCGGGGGCCCAATCAAAGCGACCATCAATGCAAGGTGTTTGAAAGGATCATGATTGCCATTCTTATCGAAAATATTCCCAAACAAATGTCTTCCTTCAAAGAGATCCCAAATCTAGGCTTTTGTTAGCAGAGCACACGAACGAGATTTTTTTTTTTGACAGCACTTACTAAAGCACCCAAATTCCAGATATCAATAGCACTCCCCCATGCCATCTCGAATATGATTTCCGGTGCTCGGTATATATTCGGCTGTACGAAAGGCCCGGACTCATGTATTTTCCCGATTCTGGCCTCGCCAAAATCACAAAGGATTGGAAGACCGAAGCTCTTCCCTCTTGACGGTCGGCGAAAACTTCGACTTTGGTATATGGTACGCGATTGATCTATGATTTTTCTAGAGCTTGGCTGCCTGATCTCTTCATTCGCAAAATCGGCCAGCATCGTAGCATCCTCTAGGCTAAGCATCACGTTATCAGTTTTCAAATCTAGCGTAAGTCAGATAAGCATTCAAATATTTCCTCTCTAGATTTGCGAAATATAGTACCAGTATGGGTAATATTCGCTTCGGTATGTAAATAGTCAAGTGCCAATAATAGTCGTCGGACCATCATCTTAAGAAGAAGGAGATCAAATGGCTTTGGATTTAGGTTCATCGTCTCCAGAAGCGTCATATGCATCGGTTGTAGGACGAGACACCGGTGGTTTCCAGTATAGCCCCGGAGCTCAAAGGAGTTATAGAGCTCTCGAAGCAGCGATTGTCCGGGGTGTGCCGAGTTTATTTTTGCAAGGTGCTCGTAACTTTTGAATTCGCGATTCGTTGTAGAAGGTAAAGTTTGCAGTGATGTAGATACCTTCAGCACAATATAGCTTTGGTTTCTAGTTAAGTTTAGCAACACGCACCGATGCCGAATATCACAAAGAATAGTGCAGATGTCTTAAGCTAGCAAGGGCAGTGGCTGCGTACTGAATATCCTGACATAGCCAGCTAGTTGAGTAGGCTCCATAGCCAAGCTTTCCGGTGACACGATACCTATCATTAAATAGGTCTCCAATGTGTACGGGGTAGCATTGCTTCGCGTCGTAGTGAGGAAGCGTCTCCTCATCGATACTAGTAGGTATTTCCACTGGCAAGCTGACAAACGATCTGTGAGCGGTGACTTGACAGGGGCGAGATATTTGTCTAACATTGAAGACCGATCGGAGAGATTTTAAATGTGAAGCCATGGAAGGTGTAGGGAAAGTATAACATCGATGGGAGAAGGAAGTTGGATTGTCGCCCCGGAGACACGATACTTGGTCACATGAGCTGCCAGCCCGTCGCCCGTGCGGATCAGGTATTCAGGTATTCATAATTCAAGAGTCAATGTATAATTGCTTTGCAGTCATTATATTCTAGTTTCTTTGCTACCAGCCAACTCAAGTTCAAGTCCATCTAGCAAATTCATCAAACAAAAACCAATCAATCCCCCACGCTCCGGGGGATCCATCAAATATAAAAAAAAGTAGTAGCCAAAAAAGGGACCCGAAACCCAGTAAAGAAAACCGGCTTCATCTAGAAAAGAAATGTTTTTTCGTATATCCATCAAGCGGAACGAAGACGCGCGGACCCGCCGCTCTGCACCATTGAAATCGGCGCCGTCTTCAGCACACGCTGGTTCTCATGCGCATCTTCCCAGACATCCGCACTATCCACAACCTCCACGGGCACATCGTCGTGAGCGACGGGTCCCAGATGCGGAACCACCAAGTCCACGCCCTTGCTCTTGTTCATGGCCGTCATGCTGCCGAAGTAGGGGTTGTGACGGGGAGGCAGGGGGCGGTGGACCGAGCCGGCACCCGAGGTAACGCTGTACATGAGGCCGAGCTCGTGGTCGTCCGAGGCCGTGCTGCTGAAGGAGCTGGCGACGGTGGAGGGCGTGTTGGTTAGGGATGGGGGCACGGTGGCGCCGTGGACTCCAGTGCCGCCGACCAGGGCGGGGAGGCTGGAGGTGCTGCGAGCGGCACGGCGAGCCAGGAGGGCCTCGTTGCCGCCGTGGAACTGGGAGAGGTAGTTCCAGGCGTCGGAGGAGGCTAGGCTGGTGGATGAGCGGGAGGACAGTAATACTGGCTTCCATTCGGTGGGGTCAAGATCTGAGCGGCCGTCGTGGTTGTTCTCGGGTATGCGGAGGCCTGGGACGGGGCGAGTGGGCGTCATGGGGGCCACGATTGTGCGTGGGGAGAGAGGGGGGGAGTGAGGGGGTGTTGTGGTCATTGAGGACATGTTAGACATTGATGGTAGTGAGGCGGAGAGAGGTTTGCAGGAGTCTTTGCGGCGGCAGCTGAGGTTGAGAGTTAGTGATATCTCTCTTGAAATATATAGTATAGTATATGATATGATGAAGTATAGGATATGATAGGATATGATAGAAGTAAAGGGCAATTGGGAAAGGGTAGATGGGGAGGAACAAGGTCCTATAAATAGGAGTCAAGGTAAGATAGGAATGAAACATGGCACATACCTTTCACTGCAATAGAGGATGGAGTTGTTGGGGACGGTAATTTGGTTTTCGCACATGGCACTGAGGACGGATTAGCCTTCCATTTTAAATTTTTATACAATCAGGATCACAAGCTTGATGACGGTCAATGGCATGCAAGGACACGATTGTCCCTGCAGGGGCCACTGATAAGAGATCTTTGCCCGAGACAAAAGAAACAAAGAAGAAGAAAAAAGTGTAATAGGAATTGAAAGGGTAGACAGAAGATTGAGACTTACCAGAAGTTGAGGAAACTAGCGGCCATATCGAATTCGTCGTCGTCCTTGCTCGCACGAGTATGTCCCGAAGCCGAACCAGCACCCAGCTTAGAGATGGAGACGTTGAGGGCTGAAGTGCCTCTCCGATGTAAAGCAGGACGAGACAATTTGGACTTTGTATGAGGAGCAGAGGGAGAACGACGGTGAGAAGTTGACTGAGTCATATGGATGGCGGTGAAGCCGAATTGGCTTCGTTCAAATGCCTCAATTATCTTATCTTGTGTACCTTGCGCCCTGGACTGGGAAGTGTGGAGCACTCCGGATTTGAGGAGCACGAGGATCGTGAGGGATTATCTTTGTTGTCTCTTGACCGCTCAGGAATTCTCGGCTTGATGCAGATAAATGATTATCTTTTTTTTAAAAAAAAATTTCCTTGAATCTTGGATTGATTGGAATGGATTTTCTTCTTTGCTCTGTTTCGGAATTTTTCCCCTCTTATTATTTTTGGAGGGGAGTGGCAAATATGTATGTTCACTAGGAAACAAGTCGAGAGAATGACTGATAAGGCCAAGTCAGTTTTCTGTGTCACTAACGAGAATTGACCGGCGTTTATCATCCGGAGTGGGGGGAATCAGAGATAAGGGGTCACATACCGATCCAAAGTCTATATGGCCAATGGATATAGCAATATGCAGCTGATAAGGTAAAGGAAAAAGAGGGTTTATCAAGGTTGTTTAGTCTGGAGAAGAAGAAAAGACTGGGGATTTCCAGTTCCTAAATAATAAAATCGAGATGAGAACGTGCTCATAGTTCTAGACTTTCGTGGATGATCGACTTGTCTTCCCCCACTTCCCTCTTTTCTTTTACCCGCTTTGTACTCAGTACACGCAATGTGTCCAGACCTTGGATGACTCAGACTCCGCAAACAGTGGTTGGCTTGTCGATTCTCATTTGTCCCTATAATTATCCTAGTGGACCTTTCTCGCAACAAAGACACAATACAATACAACATACTACGTCGACACATCCTGATTTCTCGATCCAGCCGAGAAAAAGATCTAGAGGTACCCCCAAAAAGCAGTAGAATCGGAAATCTCCAAAGCATACGCATGAGAGCTCCGATCCAGTCTAGAACTCCGAGTAGTGCCCGTGCCCTATCGATACGCACTTTCTGCAGCCCGATTTCCCGGTTTGTGTGCATAGTCTGCATAGAGCAGGGAGCCAATCGCCGGGGGGAGTCGGATCTGGCGTGATCGAGGGGTTATCACGTTATACTACTGACAAAGCTCCAGATACCCTTTCCAAATGAATCAATGGCCACATAGAATTCTATAATAGACACATTCCCACGCAATATCATGTCATCACATTTAAATGTTCTCTTCACCCATTCCCTCACATACAATAAAATGACGACTACGATGGCGTGAGCACAACTCCCAAAAGGTACTCACATCACAAAAAAGAAAGAAACAAAAAATAAATAAAAATTGGATCGGCGTTCTCGAACCCCCAGAACAACTTCTCGTCCCCCCCCACTGTGACACACCCTTGACACGTCGAGTCCGTGCTTGGTTGCTTTGCTTGGTTGTTTGGGTACTTGGCAGGGTGCGTGTTGCTTGGCCCATGTCCCACTCGATAAACAATTCTAGACCAGATTCTGCAGAGCCATCTATCTTTCTAAGAAATACTATACCTACAAGGTACTTAGGCACTGATCCTTCAGTCCGGTAGTCTGGATCATACTAATCGTCGATCGTACGTTGATCTGTTTCGGGTCGCTGGGTCTCTCTGGGGCTGCGGAGTCAGCCATTATGGAGAAGACTCCGTAGCTGTTGCCTTACAGCCATAATCGACGTTGAACATTGACAACATTGCCTAGAATCAGTTTCAGACTTCTACGACGTCAAATCAATCCACAGTCCAGATGGAGTGGGCCCGGGAATCGAATCAACCAAAAAAGAAACACGGAGAAAACCCCAATGAGCAGAATTCATACTGAGTACCTAGACCATTTTGGCATTTACATAATGTACTACGTTGCGTACTACACATACACACAAGCCCTACGAATACTTCGATCGATCCATCTTCTGTTTCGATTTTTTTGTGGAGTGGAAACTGGTTGGAAGGATTTTCTCGTGTGTCATGTCAGAATCATAGCCCTTTTTTTTTCAGAGTTTTCATTGTCTTTGCTTCGACACCATGGAATTGGCGGTCTGTTTTGACTCTCGTCGTCATAGGCCCAGGGGCAACTTTTTTACTCTTCCCCCTTTGGGAATACAATCACGTTACATAATGCCGCTAAAATTGGAGACAGCCCTGGAGAGCCCAGGAGGGAAAAGAATTAGGGTTGAAGCGCTAGAGTTGGAAGAAATCCCTTGGTCAAGGATGGAGTCGTCCGCTCAAAGGGAAGCCAGTCGAGGGGTGTCACGGAAACAAAGTTTTCATGGGCACAAATAAGTCTATGATTCAATGTGGAGTAGGGATGATGTTGACATTTGACCTTGTTTCGGTAGTCTGTTTGGATTAAACTTGGATTGGGTATCTATACAGTGCTATGACATATCGTACAACTTTCGCTTTCGCTTTCACTTAAAAATTTCCCACAATTTCGCCGCCTTCCGCTCTTGAACATCCACGGCTTCATCGATCAACGTCCATCGGGTCGGTCGAGGTCGCTGCGGCCTTGACTGGTTCCGTCTTCTCCGCTGACTCGGCCGGGGTCTTCTCTGGTTCCTTATCATGTTCGTCGGAACCCTTCTCTTTACCCAGGAATCGCGCGGGTACACCACGGGCTGCGGTTTCTGCTGGTCCTACAAAGCAACCTAGCATGGAGCTCCAGATGTACCCCTTCGAAATAAGACTTCGAATTTGCCCGTATGCGAAAGAGTTTGCATATGGAAGGGAGGTTTCGGGATCCCGATAACGAGATGGTAATGAAGTGATGACGCACAAGGAAGACGAGATTTCTAAGAAAGAAAAAAGAAAATAATTAGTTTTGTTTCAACGAATCAAGATAGAAGGGGGGAAAACATACTGGATAATCGCGCAGGCCTCCTGGCGTTAAAGTAGATACTGTACTTCTTGCTGTGCGCGGTCTTATCGTCGAAGTTTTCGAGGATTGTCAAGTTACGCCCGGTGTATTCGATGATTGGTGGGGGTAATGGGATCTCGGGTTGGGCTGGTGTTTCATTAGCTGCGGGCGGTTGAATTGGGAGCTCTAGTCCAGGGACACCAGGGCCCGCGATCGCATTAATCTCGGGTGGCGCGGGCAGGGCTGCTGCATCAGCCAAAGGGGCTTGAGGGTCTTGAGGGGTTTGAGGGACCTGAGGGGCCAATGGCGTGGTCGCAGATGTGGCCGATTGCAGTGTCACCTGCTCCGACGAGGGCTCCGGTACACTGGAAGTATTGATTTGGGCGGTTTCTGATGCTGCCGGTGTGTCTGTGCTTGTGCCTGTGCTTGTGGAGGGAGGGTTGACTTGGCTGGTGGTTGGTTCGCCCGTTTTGGGCTCAGCCTTATCCATGTTCATAGCATCGACCTCATCCGTAACAGGCAACTTTGCCGGTTTATCAGATGATGGGACATTGGGAGTGGTGCTTCTAGGGTCACGTCGAGTTATGATCTCCACGTAAGGTATGGGGTAGCCGTGGGGAGATTTGCGCGGGGGGTCTGAAGGTGTGTTGGAATTTTCCCGCTCTTGCGCTGATTCTGCCTTTTTGTCTGCATCTTTCTCCTCTTTTTCTTGATTCACTGCGGGGTCCGTTGGTGCAATTGTTGACTGTTTGGGAGAAATTTGATCCGGTGGGTTTTCGTTTGGTTTTCCATCTGGTTTGCTGGCCTGGTCGACAGCTTCTGGGGCCACATTGGGGGTTGGAGTTAGATTGGGCGCTGGGGCCGTAGCAACTTCTGAAGCTGTCGGAGCTGAGGTGCCGTCAGACTGAGATGTTTGGTTTGTGGATAGAGCAGGCGCAGGCGCAGGCGCAGGATCAGGCACAGAAACAGGCGCTGAAGAAGCAGTAGCAATGCCAGTAGAAGAGGGATCGGTGATAGCTTCAACGCCTGGAGTCTTGTGGATCAGAACCATTATTTCCTCAGACTTCTCCTCCTTCTCCTTCTCGGTCTTCCTCTTCTTCGGCACTTCCTTCTCCTTTGCCTTGATCTCCGCTTGGCCCACTCGTGTGAGGTTACCATTCACCCATGTAGCCAATCCACTCCAGTAAGACATGACCGGCCCATCCAGTCGCCGGTTCTGTAGTGCTTCAATCTTTGCCCGTCGTTCATCTGCTTTCCTTCTTTCTGCTTGTTCCCATCGATTCAAACTCTTGCTGTTGGTTCGCTCAATCCGTTCGGCGACTGCCAAATGGTCCTCCTGGGTCATCGTTTTCGGTTTAAGGTGGGCCTTTCGTTTCTCTGCCTCCTTCATGGTTGCGATGATCCGGACTCGCTTCTCCTGGCTGTCCTTGAGACGAGCATGCGTCATTTCCTTGTTGACCATTGTCTGCCGTCGAGATGATGATCGTGTCGGACCATCTTCCACGGTCGGAAGCCATGAGATTCGCTCGGATTTCTTCTTCGGCCGTGGAGGTGCGGGGATTGTAGTTGTAAGAGTAGGATCGATCTTGACACGCTTGCGTAGGGTTTGAAATCGGAGGTCATTTTGTGTGCGACGCTTTTTACGTTCGGTCTTTTGTAATTCTTTCTCGCCTTCGTCGTCGTCGTTCGCATTAGGACCCTGGTCCTCATCGTCGTCTGAGGAAGAATCCAACCCCATATCCTCTTCATCTGCCCCATCATCTACTGCAAAATCATTGTCGTCCTCCACTTCCTCGAACAGTAAAGTAAGGTCGTCATCGGCAGCTGCATCGATCAATGCGGACATGTGTAAACCAGCAGTGCTACGCTTTGCGCGTCCTGAAACCAGAGACTCTGGTAGTACTTCTGCTTCCTCCTCTTCCTCTGCGGAGGAGACCATTTCGGAGTCGGGGTCTGTTTCTAATAATTCAGCCATGTTGGAGGCCTGTTGAGATAAAAAAATGGGTTGGAAAACCAGGTCGGGTGGTTCGACACGGGAGATTCAATTAAGACGCGACCGGGAGAATCCTCCGCGGCGCTAGATGAAGATCAAGTGTGGCGTGTGGCTAGACTTGATGCCTGAAACCACGGGCTGCCAGATCCAAAATGCACAGATCTCATCTTCCATATAATAGTAGGTAAAAGGCCAAGCAGAGTCAATATGTTATACTCTAACAGGTGATATTTAGATTCAATACTATTAGATCGTGTATATCTTATACAGCAATTCTATCTCTTCCGGTTGGTGAACACTCTATTGGGTTCCGTGCCTGCGCATCTTTCCCGGTCGTTCCGTTGCTAAATCCGACTCCTTCTCTAAAGCTTGGCAAGGTCTGTGAATGTGATTTTCTAACATGGGGTTATTCTACAAGGTTTGGTCTGCATGAAATTCAGAGTTAAGCTAGCGTCTTGGTCAAAGACTTGCCAATCATCACTGAGATGTGATCAATTAGTTCCAAGCGCCCGAGATCCAGGACACGTACCTGACCCATCCCTTGCGGCGCACCACTTAAAATCAAGGCTTTTGGACTGGTTTCGGATCAACATCATAACCCTGAGTTTCCTTGCATTGTCAATTGCATCATTCTGGCTCTTCAGAGCGCAGTAAGTAGATCTCCGTGAATCAATGTATCTTTGTAGATTTCAAGTCTCTGGAGATATGACGCAGTGGAATGCGGGGCTTCGGTTGATTCCCACAGGTCTTCACCGAGCATGCCTATGCCATGCCATACGTAGAAGAGAAGGGGGCAAACAAGCATAAACGTACCCCATCTCCTGACAGGGCGCTTCCTGATACTGACAAGGGGATTCATAGGAGCCCCTTCTTGTCGTTTCAGATGTATACTATACACTCTCTATTGTTCCCAGAGTTCGTTGTTTATTCCCCAGACACCTCAAATTTTAGGTCTCCAGAAAATGACATCGATGGGGCTGTGTTTCCACTGCCGATTTCCGGTATGATGTTGTGTTGGTGACTTCAGAGTAAATAGTAAGGGAAAAACAACCCAATGAACCTTAGATGATCAGATTAGCTTGGAATAGATCATCAAATTCCAATTCCCTTTGAGCCTCAGAACAATCAGATTGTGTGTGTTCAAAAGATCCCAAATTCAATAAAAAAGAACAAGGCAGATGTGAAGTTGGAGGACACACTCCACCAACCACAAACTCCCTCGAGCATCCGGATCCCCCAACATCTCTTCTTCCTTCTTCCACCCTTTCCCTACTTTCACCTCCACCTCTCTTCATTTCTCTTTTCTTTTTCTTTTTCTTTATCACCCTTTTCTTTCTTCTCACTGCATTTTAATGCGATTTCGGCTTCGGTACTTTCTTCTCCCTTCCGTGTTTTCCTCTGAGAGACACGCGCAAACTAAACTTCCTTCTCCAGCCACCTCGATCCCTTCCTCCATTGACCAACCGGCCAACTTCTAGTCCTCACTTGACGCTCCTTTGTGTCTTGACTTCTTTCTATCTCAATTCTATGCATCCTGTCTAGGCGCATTTGAAGTGACTCAATCATTGAATCTCGATCCCAGTCGCTTGATTCAATCGTTTTTTTTTTGTCATCATTCACCCCACAGTGAATACGTGACACTACCACTTGAACTTTTTTTTCTCTCCAGGTCCGTACTTTACGCTACCCTGTCACAGTCAATTCTATCCGCAACCCTCTAAGAATTGCACTTCTTCTCCCGGGCTGGACTGAAAGTTGCCTTGTTAACCCCTCCCCCGTTCTGCGCCCCCGGACAACCCAAACATTTCACACTTGGCACACCCCAACTGACTTCCAACTTTCTTCACCATAGACGCTCTTCTCCCATCAAGAACCTCGTCGATTTTTTTAATTCCTTTCCCAACACCTTCCTAGAATTCAAGTCTCACCACATGGTGCAGGCGACCCACGCGCGATTCTACAAGCAACCCACATCTCAGAATCCACTCCCCGGTCCCGGTGTTTAGGACTACAAGATCTGAAAGGAAACAAATAACAGCGATTGCTTTGCTTGGGGGCTTTTCAACATTAAAGTGTTGCCGGTTTCGCGCCCTGAAATCCAAATGACTTACAACTACATCCCCACCTCTCAGCCCATGTCGGGGACCTCGACAGGACGCAGTTCCCCTAGCGATTTGGGCGGATCCGGGACAGCCAAGGCGCCCTTTGGCCCTCCTGGGTCGATTGGTGCTGCCAGGCTGGGGGCCGGGTCTCCCTCGGAGCTGGGAGGACGTCTGTACCCGAAACGGTAAGCACTCTTATGACAAGGGGGAAAATCGGGATGAGTGAAGCTGACCGATGGCCTGATTAAATCATTAGTGCCCGTGAAATTCAAGCGCAAGAAGGCGTGTCTTCTAATATCTGGGGTCCTCCGACCAGCGGTCATTCAACCCCGCTTCGGGAGAATATCCCCGAATCGCCCAGTCAGGATAGTTTCCCTGACCTCATTACCAACTCCAGTGCCTCCATGTCTGGCTCTGGGCGCAGGGCTCGAGCTGGAACCGTGCCTTCTCGATTCCCACCAATGACAACTTTGAGTGAAATGGACCTTCAACAGCCATTCATCTCGCAAACCTCTCGACCCACGCCCTCGACCAGTCCGTTCCGCCCTCCAGGTGTCTCTGGAATCGATACGGGTGCGCAAATTGCTAGCTCAGGTGCGCCAAACCCGGCCCTGCTATCCCGTCTTCGAGCTGGCTCGATGCCGCAGAGGGGCGGCTTGCTTGGCTCAGTTAATCCTTTCGGTCCGTCATTGTTCACTTCGGCTTGGTCGAGTGGTCGCGATCGTGCCTCAACCTTAACTAGCATTCGGTCGTCGGATGACCCCAGCTCACCTAGCTTCTCTTCGTTCTCGCGAGATGGTCTGACGGACTCCGACAGGACTTTGGATTACCTTGGTCTTGCGGAGACTCCTCAGGCCGGACGAGCGGCTCTTGCACGGCCTTCTATGGAGGCCCTTATGCAACAGCAGCAGCAGCAGCAGCAGCATGCGCCTGGACTACCAGGGCTTCTGGCTGATATGGCAATGATGAAGAGCAATAACCGCTTTAGGTCGTATTCCGTGAATGCAAAGGAAAAGTATGCCGATGATGAAGATATGGAATATGAGAGCCGCTACTCTCAACTTCCCTCCGGAACTCTGACACCATCTGCCGCTGCGACAGCTGCTCAACTCGCCGCGACACAGGCGCAAATCCACCAGCACAATCTGGCTGTTCAGGCCTTTGCCTCCCATGCCTCGGTCAATCGGCCTCGAGCACGCACTGCTGGTATTCTAGAGGCTCCTCCTACTCGGTCATCTATTCGTAACTACCTAGCAACTCCCTCGCGTCTTGACAATTCATTCAATGCCGAGGATCTCATGGTAGAGAATGATTATGATGATTTGTCTGATGCTGTTCTCGGACTCCATCTTGGAGGAAACGGAATTCCAATGGGTATGCGGGCCACCGGTGAGATGGTGGATGAAAACAATCAGGATGGACCAACCCGAGCACTGTGGATCGGCAGCATTCCCGTGTCGACAACTGTGACTTCTCTTGAGGCCATCTTTGGTATGTACGGAAAGATTGAGTCCACTCGTGTTCTCACTCACAAGAACTGTGGATTTGTCAATTTTGAGCGCCTCGAAAGTGCAGTGCAGGCACGGTCGGTTCTCAATGGCAAGGAGATCTTCCCAGGTGCGGGACCTGTCCGAATTGGCTACGCCAAGGTTCCTGGTGCTTCGGCAACAGGCACGCCTGGTGCAAACGGCATTCAGTCATCCCCAACCCCTGACTCAACCTACAAGTCTAACCTTGCGATGGGTGAAGGTCTGGACCGGGCAGAGACTGGCTCTGTTCCCCAGATCCCAGCACTCAGTGACCTTCTTCCTGAGATCATCGACATTATACAAGACTTCGGGGCTAATGAGGATAACACGCTCAATATCAAGAATATTGTTCAAGGTGCCATCGCTTTCCAAGACTTTGAGCCGGAAATCCCTCCAATTCCTGAGCCTAGCCAGACTCGGATGTTTGACGCCCCTCGCCTTCGTGACATTCGTAAGCGAATTGAGGCCAACACTTGTTCCATTCAAGAGGTTGAAGAAACAGCCGGTGCAATGCTTCCTGAGATCGCAGAACTGGCCTCCGATTACCTGGGTAATACCGTCGTCCAAAAGCTCTTCGAGATTTGCTCCGAGTCTACCAAAGAGCAGATGCTTTCACACATTGCTCCCCATCTGGCCGAGATTGGTGTTCACAAAAATGGAACTTGGGCTGCACAGAAGATCATTGACGTTGCTAAGACACCCACTCAAATTAACATGATCATCGATGCTCTCCGTCCTCACGCTGTCTCTCTCTTCCTGGATCAATACGGAAACTATGTGCTCCAAGGTTGCCTGCGATTTGGTGCTCCTTACAACAACTTCATCTTCGAGACCATGCTTAGTCGGATGTGGGAGATTTCCCAGGGACGATTTGGCTCTCGGGCCATGCGTGCTTGTTTGGAAAGTCACCACGCCACAAAGGATCACCAACGCAGCCTTGCTGCTGGCATCTCACTTCACACCCCAAAGCTTGTCACCAATGCCAACGGGGCTCTTTTACTCACTTGGTTACTTGACAATTGCACTTTCCCTCTTCGTCGGACTGTTCTTGCCCCATTGCTCGTTCCTCATCTCGTGTACCTTTGCACCCATAAAGTGGCTTACCTCACAGTTCTCAAGGTCATTAATCAGCGCAATGAGAACGATGCCAGAGAGACCATTATCAGAGCCTTGTTCTTCAGCCCCGGTGATGAAACGTTGGAGAAAATCCTGAGTGACCAGACTTCCGGCGCCACTATGATTTTCAAGGTTCTGACTACTCCATTCTTCGATGAAGCCATGCGTGCGGAAGTTGTGAAGAATGTCGCAAAGGTCTTGACCAAAATAAAGGCCTCTCCTAGTCAGGGATACAAGCGCCTGATGGACGAAGTCGGTCTCTCCTCGCGTGGAAGCGGCCGTGAGCATCATCATGGGCGCGAGCACGGTACAAGCCACTCTTCCACCCCGGAAAAGCCTCAACAACGTCAGTCATCCAGGCACGGAAATTCCAATTACCCTCCTCAGCCTCCCATGGAACGACAGTACAGCGGACAATTTACAGACTCTCGCTCGATTGCTGCCGACCACAACAACGCTCCCTCGTTGGATCCGTATGCCAGCAATGGTATGAATGGCATTAATGGCATGAATGGCATGAATGGGTTTGCAAACCCCTTAAATGGTCTGGGTGGTGCTGGGTTCCAGGATCCTGTCTCACAGCTTCCCCAGTTACAGTACCACCAGAACTACCTTGCTGCCCAAGGACGCGGTGTCTCTCCTGCTGGCATGTACGGTAATATGCCGGGGGGCAATTTCGGATACCCAGGCGGGTCGCCTTCCGTTGAGAACTTGCGAAGCATGCAAAACCAGCAATCGTCACCACTGTCAGGACCCAACCACATGCTCGGCCAGTCAAACTACCCTTCGCAACAATTTAGCCAAGGAATGCCTCCTGCTCAAGTCTACCCATATCCGCAGTACTACTCCCAGCCCCAACCGGGACAGCCCCAGCCCGGACAGCTCCAGCCGGGACAACTCCAGCCGGGACAACTCCAGCCGGGACAGCCACAGCCGGGCCAGCCACAGCCAGGCCAGGGACAGCCGGGTCAGGGACAGCCAGGCCAGGGACAGTCGGGCGGTGGCCGACGTGGACGGGTGAGTTATCTCTATGATGCCTACTAGGCATTGTACCTTGCCATTGGCTAACTTGATTCCAGCGTTGATCTTCGCATATGATTTATCTTATCTGAATCTTTCCTGCTTTCATCTCCCTGTACAAATCCATCTTGTCTGATCTATTTCTATCTCTTTTATTCTTATTGGTCAATTTTATCATGGAGATTCAGCGGGTTCTTTAGCTTTTATGTTGTGAAGTCATGTCCCTCTCACCCGACCGAACGCTGGATCGCCGGCAGGGGAGCGAGGACATGACTGAGGAATTAGGGGGTTGTCACAAAAAATGCCGTAAGGCTCGGAGAACATATTATTCCAATCTACGTCTGTGGGCTTTTCTCTTTTATTTGAAGTAGCCATGTATCTTCTTATCTAATGATTCTTTGTTTTCGTCTGTGTTCATTATTTGGGTTGCACTTCAGATTTGTGCTTGTTGCCAAGATTGCACTGTGACGATTTCCAATAGGACATTTCGACTACATGATATATATGATTTAGTTAATTGTAAAATGATAAGTGATGTGCATATTTCCAGATTACAAAACCTTGGGAATCTGCCCGCTCCGCCCGCATCGTTGCTTTATGTTAATTCCCCTAATATCAATGATCCCGCCTATCCGCTATCAGGTCCCTACCTAAACATACCTCAGTTTTGGAGAAGATGATCAATTCCCAGGAGAACCCCTCCATCCTTTTTTATAATCATGAGAATACAATCTTTCTTGTTGACATCCCCGAGTCAATCACACAAGCACAAGAATTATCGCAAACCACATTGACACCAGATCAAAATCAATGTGTATCAACGGGGAAGACTTTTGTCCTATCGAATCAAGGGAATAGGAGACACATAAAACAAAAGAGATCACCGATTTCTACCGAGCCTCTGATGGTACCATATCCATCTTCTACTGAGCCAAAGACGGACTCAGCGCGTGCAAACGTTCTGTCTAGAACTTCACCTCGTGAGCGGCGATTTCATGGTGAATTTATCCAGCCACTTGTGGCAAGCGCATTGGAGGATTTGAGAACTGGATATATACCATCTGGCTCAAAATGGTGTCTTCCCAGGGCCGTTCCTAGCGAAACACTACACGGACAGGAACGATCATTTGAATTCGACCCGTCTACGAAAAAACGGAAACGGAAACTACAGTGTCCACAAAATGACGATGCTACAGCGGCCATGGAGAGTCCTAAATTGCTAGCTACACCACCGACTATATTATCATCGACTTCTATCAACAAATCTAGCTCCGTGTCAGAGCTTGAAGGGGTGGTGAAAAATCCATCCACTGAGGAGACCTTATTATTGATCAGCCAAGATGGGATGCCTTGCCCATCCGAATATATTGTCCCACCTCGATCTGCCTTTATACTATGTACCCTGCCCTTGTCGCAGGCAGAACCCCTCCAGACCCCGATTCCCGGGTTACCTAGCAGCCAGCGATTTAATCTGATGCTTTTCGATCCGCCCTGGCCAAATCGCTCTGTTCGACGCAGTAAGGGGTATCAAACTCATGCTTATGATGAGATGGATGTTCTGAGCCAGCGGCTTCAGGATATTTTACGTGTTCACGCCTTCCGTCCAAATGGTGACTCTGCAGACACAATCACAGCTCCAGAATCACAACCGGAACATTCCAGTCAAGAAAGCTTTGCAGCTATCTGGATCACCAACTCCGAGAGAGCTCGCAAAGTCGCCTACGAGTCCTTGTTGGCTTCTGGATTTCGCATCCAGGAGGAGTGGATCTGGATCAAGGTCACTGCGAATGGTGAACCAGTGTGTCCATTAAACGGGCTCTGGCGAAAACCATACGAAATCCTCATCATTGGGCGAAAAGACTCGGCTTCGGATTTATTGTCAGATCCAGGCTGTGCGATATCGCCGACAATCCTCAATTCTACGGATGACCTACTCGGTGTCGACCCGAGTACGATTTCAAGGAGAGTGATTGCCGCTGTCCCGGACCTCCATTCGCGGAAACCGAATTTGAAACCACTGTTCGAGCGGATATTATTTGGCTGCACGTCGGGCTCTGATCGTAAGTCTTACTCAGCACTCGAGGTCTTTGCTCGGAGTTTGACTTCCGAATGGTGGGCGTGTGGGAATGAAGCAGTGAAATTCAATGCTCGAGACTGCTGGGTTGAGCACGATGACTCGGTATGACGATATTTAATTGATCTGAAATAGATCGGACGTGGAATATCATATCCTTGCGATTTCACACACTGTGATATGGGCTAAGATACAACCTAGAATTTCATGAACATCAAAGGATCTTATCAGCAAGTCCGAAGCTCCACGCGGCCTCGGAACCCAATCAATTCCCGAGAATCATCAAGACAAGATCAGAGCGGAAATCCTCCGCCGCTGACAAAGGCCACAATGGGCATTGTTCAGCAAAATTTCCGGCCATTACAAACTTGATGCATATGCAGTCTAGGCTGTATAGGATATGCAGCGCTGAAGTATGCAGTGAAAACATGATTTAGAAAAGTCCCCATAAGAGGCGACATGTGGCACACCCCACTTAGTTCGCGGAAAAAAAACGAAGCTATAATATCGCCCCTGGAAAATCCCCAGGGCTAAATCTTTTACTGAGCTGCCGTAATCTCCATCCCAATATTTCGAATCTTTTTCCGACCTTGGAAGATTAGCTTTTTCCCTCTCGAGGTTCCGACAACTCTTCGCCTCGCCGTATTGGCGACAAGTTCCGTCGACAACATGCTTTCACAATCCAATGATCAAGTGGATCAGGAAAAAGGCCCCGATATCACATTGGCCGCCAAGGAGCAGATTGGCCAGGCCCAACGACCAAAATGCTTCAGTTCAACCTTTCAGGAATGCCTGTTCGTTTTAACGGCCACCATGGCTATCGGCCAGCAGTCCTTTTTCCAGGGCTGTATTGTTGGCGTCACTGCCTCAATTGGAAAGAATTTGGACATGAATTCTGCGGAAATTACCTGGATCAATGCCGGTGCCTCGTATGTACTTTCCTTATCAATCTCTATCCATCAATCTCAAATGCCCCATATATCTACACCTACACCTATCCACCGGTCTAGATATAGTAGACATCACCGCCTCAAAAGAAGAACATTGGAAAAGAAACATTGGAATAGCCACGGGCCAATTAAATGCTTCAAATCTACATACATACTCCCCTCCATGTCATACAAAATTCAAGTGCTAACCAAAATCCCCTCACAGTCTCAGCAGCGGCGCCTTCCTACTAACATTCGGCAAACTAGCTGACATGTTCGGCCGCAAAGCGCTATTCATCATCGGCATGGCCGGCTTCACACTCTCCCTGCTAATCGCCGGCTTCGCCACAAACGCCATCTACATGGACGTTTTCTCCGGCATCCTGGGTCTCTTTGCAGCCGCGGTGGTTCCCCCGGCCGTTGGCACACTGGGGGCCGTGTACGAGAAGCCGTCCAAGCGCAAGAATCGCGCGTTCGCGTGCTTCAGCGCGGGTAATCCGCTGGGCTTTGTGGGCGGCATGATCATCTCGGGCGTTGCGTCGAACGAGTATAACTGGCGCGCATCGTTCTGGGCTCTGGCTGTTGTTTATGCTATCTTTACCGTGTTGACGGTGTGGACGGTTCCTCCTGATGGGTTCGCGAGGACGCCCGTTAGTGTTGAGGCGTTTAGGCAGTTTGATTTGCTGGGGACGGCTTTGGTGATTGTGGGATTTGCGTTTTTCTCGAGCTCGCTGTCGTATGTTGTCTTCCCTTCCTTTCTATTTCCTTTCTTGGATGTTTAATTTGATCGACTCCGGTTGTTGAATGTGAACTGTTTGCTGATGTGAAGATCGTTTTAGACTCGCTGGTGATGCATCCGATGGTTGGAAAACTGGATATGTTCTTGCTTTGTTCATCGTGGGCTTTTTCTTGCTTGTTGTCTTCCTGTGGTGGCAGTCCGTTACTTCTAACCCTCTGATGCCTCTGTGGGTCTGGAAGGATCGTAACTTCAGCCTGGTATGTATCCAGTTTATGACAACTGTATAATGTTTTGAAGAGTCAAAACAAAGCTGATTCGTTTCACAGTTGATGGCAACGTTCTGCCTCGGCTTCATGGGTTTCTCTGCGGTTACTTTCTACCTATCCCTTTACCTCCAGGACGTGAAAAACCTCACCGCACTCGAGATTACCGCTCGATTGATGCCAATGGTAGTTAGCGGTGTCACCGTGAATGTCGTTTGTGGTCTGATTCTCCACCGAGTCAGCAACAGTGTGTTAACCGGCATCGGCGCACTGGCTTACACTGCCTCGTTCCTCATCTTGAGTTTCATGAAAGAAGATGCCCTCTACTGGGAATACATCTTCCCAGCTTTGATTCTAGTGGTCGTTGGCGCGGATATCCAGTTCAACGTTACAAATGTACGTCCTTGGACTGGTTCTCATCCTGGTTCTCCCATAAACTCAAGGTTTTTTGAATACTAGCTAACGAGTTATGCTCTTATTTCCAGATGTACGTCATGTCATCGCTGCCATCTCATCAGCAATCAATCGCAGGTGGAATCTTCAACACAGTCAGCAAGCTCTGCAATAACTTGGGTCTTGGTATCGCTACCTCTGTCGAAAGTGCCATTGCCAACCAGATGACCGCTTCTTCGCCGGCCATCAAGCCCTATCTAGCCGTCTACTGGTTCGCGGCGGCGGCGGCTGGTTCTTCGCTCTTACTGGTGCCCTTCTTAACGTTAGGGACTCAGGGCGGAGATGCCCCCAGCGAGAGTGGAGATGAAAGCGTGAATGGAGAGCTCGTGGAGAAGAGAGCTATCGTTGAAGCTAATCCCGCACCCGTGGCTCCTGGAACCGAGATTTTTCCGGCGACCCTGTCCTTGCAGGTTGAGGACAAGTCTTGATATGGACCCTATAATCACAGACAACTGTTCAACAGTGGTCAAGACTCCCTGGGACCATCTGGGCACATACTATATACCACCCAGGCCTTTGCAGTCCAACAAAATTCGATAGATAATACATAGTACCTCATAGAACATAGAATCCAGGTCTTCAGGAAACAAGCATCGTCTCTCCTTCCGAAAACTCCATGCACATAATCTTCTAATCAAACACAGGCCCCAAGCTGACCAAACTAAACCTCAAATCCGGATTGCCCCCCTCAGCCTCCATAGCCAAGAACCTCCTAACACCAAGCCCCAACGCAGCCTCACTCAGCGCATCCTCATCAGCCCCCAGCGTCCCCCTAGCCAACGGCCCCTTCCTCCTCCCATCAAGCTCCCAAAGCGTCTGCCCAACCTTAACAAACGCAACAAAATGCAAATCAACATCATCCTCCGCCTGCGGCGCAGCCGTATCGCCCAGCTTCGCCGCATCCTCATGCGCACACTCCAGCGCCTTGCTATCATAAAGCAGATCCGCGCGGCTCGCCGGCTCCAGATCGCGTGCTTGGGCCAGAATCGTATCGAGGTCCGAGCCCGGGATGATGTGGTCCCGAGCTTCGCCGTTTGACACGGCGTGCAGGAGCCCGATGAGGCCGCAGGCGTTGCGGATGGTCTGCTTGAACCATGTTACGGGCTCGTCGGGGCCGTGGCCTGTGTATTCTTGGAGGCTGCTGTCTTCTTTTGTGCGGGATGCTTCGTAGGTTTTGGAGACGGGGAAGACGAGGAGGAGGGCGTTGGAGGGCCGCGGGACGAAGGCTAGGAGGTCTGGCTCGTCGATTGAGAAGACGTCTGTGAAGCCGAAGGTGGGCGAGAGGCCTAGTTTGTGGACGAGGTGCGACATTACTTCTGGGTTGTTTTCTTGGGGGTTGTTAGCTGGGCTGGGCTGGTGCGGGGTTGGGATTAGGATTGGGGTCGGCGGTTACCGAGGGGCACGAAGGCCTTTTGGGTGGTTGGAACGTCGGGGTTGTCGGCCATGATTGAGTGTGATGGTGTGATTTGTGGGATGGGTCTTTAGATGGTAGATTAGTTGGAGGTTGGAGGATGGAGGGTTGAGGGTTGAGGGGTGAAAAGAGATTGTGGATGTTTTGCGGGGAGTTCAAGGTTTGAGCTTATCGGGGATGCTCCACATTTACTTAGTAGCTCTATAGAAAGTTCAAGGAGATATGATGGTTTTCTTAAGGGTTCCTTCAACTTGAGCTTCCATTTTAGCTTCAGCGATGAGCGGCCGGATGTCATTATTCGGTTTCCCAAGCCCGGGCATATGGCTACAGCTTATAGGGACAGAAAGGTTGCGAATCAGGTCCAGATCATGGAATATTTCCACTAAAACACCGATATCCCTTCTCAACCCGAGCATCGAGAACAAGATATTAGACAAGATTCATCGAAAATCATGTCTGGTAATCCATTTCAAGTTCGAGATTCTAGCTTGTGGAAATATCGAGTGTGGTAATGATCGTGGGCGACTGATACCCGCATATGCCCCAGGGCTGGTCTAGAGATCTCCACCACCCAACACAAGAAGAGGAAATGACGTTTGTATGGAGATTTGAAAGAATTGATTTACATTCTGATGTTCTTGTCGGCCAAATACTTAATCAAATGTTGCACAGTTTTGTTTCTGTCACTGTAAACCATGTATCCAATAGCCCCAGACAAATTCCATGGGTATCAATCACTACTACTAACCAAGACGGGCTCATGTCCCACATCGTTGACAGATATTTGCATCACTCCTTGTTTATTTTGCGACATCCACCGGTGTTACGTGCATCTGAATGAAAAAGTTAGGAGCCCGAGTTTATAAAGGACCAAGAGCCACAAGCCATGGAACATTCACATACCGTCTCCGCAAACCGCACCCACTCCTCCACACCCTTTACGAACGTATCGTCAGCCGCAGGCAAGAACTCATGTTGCCATACAACCATCTCGTCAAACGTGCCCTGTGTCTCGAGAATCTTGACCGGTTCCTCGGGTCCGTTCTCGAGGATCTCAACATCCTCGTCACCCTTGTCTGTTGGCCGGGAGGGTAGGACGCGTTCTGTGGGCATTGCGATGATTCCTGTGAGTTGAAAAGAAAACAAGCTCAGCCATTGTATTTTGATTTTGCAACATCACCAATCCAGCCACTGGTGTCCGATACGTACCTTGATAGCCCTCGGGGATCGCAACACGTCGCCCGCGGAGTTTGCGCCCTCGGAAATGTGCAGATTGTGTGTTATCTGGGAGTCGGAGCAAGTCAGCTCAATTGTCCGAGACCGAATTTCTACAAAAAAAGGGTGGAGGGTGTTGCGCTCTGTGCATACCTTTTGCATCTGCGACGGGCGTCCAAAACCGATTGTAGGATGCAATTGGACCGTCATGGTGGACTTGGCACGGAAGAATATTGGGTGTGACTTGAGGCGCTGAGGATTTGTCTTTTTGCTGCGTGCTTGGCTGAGAGCCTGCTTGGAAAGCGTACATGTCTGGCATTGTTGTTGAGCTGGAGTCGGCGCACAGCTCTTTCGCAGCACAGTTGATGATGTTTGGCGCACAGGCTGCTATAATGGATCTGTTTTATGGCTCTCAATCCCAAAAATTATTGTAGGGAGCTAAATATAAAACAATATTGACAGCGTGTCCTGTTTGGTGATCAATGCCTCAAAGATGTTGAATTTGCGGAGTTGAAATTGAAGCGCGTCGCGTTTCCGCGTTAAGTGGAATTGGGCGGAGCGGGATCTACACTATGCGGAACTACAAAATATGAGACATGTACTCCGTAAACCAACTACTAGTACTTATCATATCTGAGAATTGATATGAGAGTGAACTTGAAAAGAGAGAATTATCATGAATATGAATATTATCAATTCTTTAACTTGATGCAAATTTGGGGTATACAAAATGTCTCTACAGTAAGTACAGGTATTGCGATGCCTCATGCCAGCCCATAGTCCCAGCAATCACCGCTTGCGAGTAGTCTTCTTCTTCTTCTTTTTCTTGTCTCCCTTATCCTTTCCCTCCACAGGAGTCCGAACAGGCCACTTCTTCAAGTGTTCCCGCTCAAACGAGTCCTTCTCCCGTCGATACAACGCCATAGTCGCCCGCGCATCTTCTACCGAAGAGTGCGCACCATCCTGGATCTTCAAACCAAGGTAATGCTCCGCCAGGATCTTCAGTCGCGGCGAGCCACCACCAGCAATCTTCCGGTACTCAGGGTGTTTGCTGGTGTCTCGAATATCGCGCTTGGGGTGACCGAGTAGCAAAGCATCCAGATCGTTGCTCACGGCGTGACCAACTAGGATGCGACCATCCATAATCTCGGCAACTTCCTTCTGTACTCCTTCGAGAGATCGTGCCTCCACCATGTGCTTCGGGGCAATTCCACTGACGTGAGTGCGCCAATCTGTTACCATCTCCTTGGGGCGTACGTATGAATCGTAGATCTGGTCGCCGTTGAAGTTGACGATACTGACGCGCGCAAGAACGGAGTCGTGGTCGGGGTTTGGGCCTACGCCAACCATCTCGCAATCCATGGCGATGAATTTTCCGAGTTCGGCGCTAGAATAATCAGGGTCAGTCTCATTATGCGGATAATAATTGGAAATGGTATTCATGGGGCATTACTCACGTTTTCGAGCGACCCTCATTCACCGTGGTACTCTTAGCATCAGCTGCAGGCTGCGCGGAGAATCCCGCACTGGATTTTCTTCGTAGAATAGGAGCCGAGTCGCCACTTTCGGCTTTTTTGGATGCGTCACTCATTCTTTGTAGATTGTAGGCACTTGGTGCCTGTTTCGTCTGTTTTTTGTCGGTAAACTTGTGCTTCTTTATGGGACCAGATCCAGAGTCACGGTCTGCAGCTTTGCGTTTTGTGCTTGATGTGGTGGTAGATGGGCTGTCCTTCTTCAGTGTCGCCTGCAGCTTCTTCCAATTGCTGGAGAGGCCGCTCATATTCATTCCGACGGTGAAATTATTGTATCAGGACTTGGGCATGGTGGGACTAGAGATGGCTGATTGATTGCCGTTAACTTTTTTTTCTGGCAGAAACACTGATAGGAACACCGCCTTTACAATCCACTCGGGACTAGACTAAAATAGGCAATTATTGATGAGCCTGCTTAACGACATTGAGATTTTACACATGGACTTGGCGAGCTTTTTTGAACTCCTTGATTTTGTGGCAGTTGTATCGGGCAGCACCTCCATGTATTCTGTATATAATAGATATTCTAAGGTTAAATCATTTGAAAGCATTGGACGAATGGGAAAAGAAGACCTCGGGGGAGGATTACCATATACAGTGTCTGGCCACGAAACTTACAAATGTCCGATGTAGCGCCAAGAAGGCGATCTTGCATAAATACTGTATTTGAGTATCTAATACGATTGAAAACGACTTAGTCCCTATATAATCCAAATTACAGATAGCAGATCGTTATTGCAATACGGACTGATATTGCAGCTACTAGCGTGAAGTGACTTCGGAGATTTGTAAGTTTCGTGGCCAGACACTGTACATGCAAGCCCACTTCCAAGGAACATTCAAAGGATTATCTATCCAAACCTGTGCATATATACTAGTATGTACTTAAGAACCTGCTACATACTTTATACTATCAAACCTGAAGTACGGTCATTTGAACAAAAAGCAATTGAATTTGAGACCCATTGATTGTGCAAAGAAAATTTTATATATGTCCAAACGCCGATGCACGCTTTTACCTAGGTTATTAAGTAACAATACCAACATTTTACTCGAGGCCAGGAACCTTGAAATCTTTAGACATCCACTTCTCGGTGATCTTTCTCTTGGCCTTGCGAGCCTGTGTCACCGGCTTGCGGGACTCGAGCTTTCCTTGCACAATCAGTGTTCGGAAACGATCATCCAGCAAGTTTCCTTCAGGCTTCAGCAGTCGGAGGGAGTCCTGAAGTTCATCAGGAAGAACAAGCTCCAATCGCTTCTCTGGGGGTCTGTGGGAAATCATTAGCAGTTGCTCGTGGAGAGATAGCTCAGGGAGATGGAATACATACGCAAGCTTTCCTCCGAACGCTCTACGTCGAAGTTTAGTATCGTCACCCTCTTCAGAGTCAGAATCATCGGCATCGGATTCATTGGCCTTGTCGAGCGCACGCTGCTTGGCCTCTTCGGTAAGCTGCTCCACTTGCGCAGCCTGTGCCTCTGTCGCAGCCTTCTTGGCCTCCCACTTGGCCAGGCGCTCAGCCTCCTTTCGTCGCTTGATCTTGTTGCGCTGGGTCTTGGTCTTTCGCTCAGGTCGTTTCTTGTTGAGCCACTCGGGCTTCTCATATTCACTCTCAAAGCCCTCCCAGGCACTTTCATCATCAGACTTCACCTCGCCGTCGTCACCTTGCGCCGCCTCCTGCAGGAGTCTCTTGGCCTCTTCTTTCTTTTCCTCCTCAAGGCGCAGCTTCTCTGCCTCAACAGCAGCCGCACCTTGCTCCTCTAGTAGACGGTCCCACTCATCAAAGACGGGGTTGTAACTGATTCCTCCCTGTGGCTTGCGAACTGATGGGATGGGCTTTCCATTGGCGGCAAGGGAAATTGGCGCATGTCTAATGGTCTCCGGTGCGACCTTAGACTTTGGCTTCAACAAGAAATCAAACCGGGGATCGTCCACAACGGGCGATTCAGTTGCCTCGGCATCCTCTGCCCAGGGATCATAGATTTCACTTCCGAGAATCTTGGAAGAGGTTCCATCTCTGGCCACTTGCTTCAAGCGCAACAGTTCCTTGTTGCTGACCCAATCCTTCTTGTGCTTCTTGGTTTTCGGCTCAATAACTCCATCGGTGATGTTAGAGTTTATACGCTTGCGACCGTCCAGGGCGGGAATAAGAGACCGCTGGGCGATAATCTCATCTGCCTTGAGCGGCTTGTGCTTCTTGACGGTTTGTCTGCGAACGTGTTCGTTTCCAGCGGTGTCGAGAGTGAACAATTCGTCAGATGTCTTCTCCGAGATCAGACCACTGTAAAATATTAGCAAATGGCCCAAGTAGGAAAGAAAATGATAAAACATACCCTTTGATTTCTTCTTCTTTCAACTGGCGCAGACCTTCTGACACTTCAGTAACGTCGACATTCTTGCGCCAAGCCTTCTTGCCCTTACGCGAGGGCTGCTTGTACTGGTTAGGGGCATCCACTGATTTCGACATGGTTGATGCTCTTATCGTCCTTTGCAAAATCCGAAACCAAAAAAAAGTGAAAAGCCCCAAAAATCTGGATCTGCTGACTAAGGTGGGGCGGTCAATCGGGCGGTGAAGGACCTCGACTCTTGGCACAACTCGTCTTTTCTGGGCTGCAATCGACTACTGCGCGTCACTTCAAGCCCGGGGACATTCGACTTTTTATCTCCCCGGAGACTAACCCTTAATTGAATTTATTGGTGCTTGTTTGGTTTGACTGGAATACCAGTTCCGATCGCGCATCATGCCTGTCGTCAAAGGAGGTGTCTGGTACGTTCCCGTGACTCTCCAGCTCCATGATCGTTTCTAACCACATTGCAGGACGAATATCGAAGATGAAGTTCTCCGTGCAGCTGTATGTCTCTTTCATTGTGAATTTATGTTGATCGCGCAATGCTGACGTGAATTTAGGTCTCCAAATATGGTCTCAACCAATGGGCTCGAGTCTCCTCTCTCCTCGCTCGGAAGACACCGAAGCAATGCAAAGCGCGCTGGATAGAATGGTTGGACCCTGGTATCCGGAAGGTCGAATGGTCGCGAGAGGAGGACGAAAAACTCCTACATCTTGCTAAGCTGATGCCCACACAATGGCGTACCATTGCTCCCATCGTCGGTCGAACTGCGACACAATGCCTTGAACGATACCAGAAGCTTTTGGACGAGGCCGAAGCTCGTGAAAATGATGAGCTTGGTTTGGGTGGACCAGAGGGTGGAGAGTCAGCCGCTCCCAGTGCAGATGACGTTCGCCGCTTACGGTATGTTATATCCTTATGCATCAAATGACGTTTGTACTAACTATTATACAGTCCTGGTGAGCTAGACCCTGACCCAGAATCAAAGCCAGCGCGCCCCGACACCATCGATCTGGATGAAGATGAGAAGGAAATGCTCAGTGAGGCGCGTGCGCGTCTTGCTAATACACAGGGTAAAAAGGCGAAGCGAAAGGCTCGAGAACGTCAATTGGAAGAGTCCCGTCGACTGGCAGTGCTGCAGAAGCGCCGTGAGCTCAAAAATGCCGGTATTAATGTTAAGGTCGTCACTCGGAAGCCTGGGCAGATGGACTACAACGCAGACATCCCATTCGAGAAACCAGCCGCCCCGGGTTTCTACGATACTGCAGAGGAGGAAACACGGAATGAACGTCAACGCGAACTGTTTGATCCTCGGAAGCAGCAGTTAGCCAACAAGCGAAAGGGTGACCAAGATGACGATGCCGATCGCAAGAAGCGCAAGAACGACAAGAACAGCAACGCAGCCGCATTTGCCGCCGCCGCTCGCGCGGGTCAAATGCAAAAGATTCGAGAGGCAGAGCAAAGCAGCATGCGACGAAGTCTGGTGATGCCTGCACCTCAAATCAGCGAAGGCGAAATGGAAGACATTATCAAGATGGGCATGGCTGGGGAAAAGGCTAGCCGAATGAGCTCAGATGAAGAAGCCACCCGGGGGCTGATTGGAAAATACGGATCGATTGTAGGAGGTACTCCTATCCGTACACCACTCGCTCCTCCTGAGGAGGACCGTATCGCAAACGAGATTAAGAACATTCGGGCTTTGACCGAAACACAATCCTCTCTGCTTGGTGGAGAGAACACTCCCCTCCACGAGGGTGGTTCATCCACTGGCTTCGATGGCATCGCTCCCAGGAGGCAGGATATTGTCACACCTAACCCTATGGCCACACCGTTCCGACAAGCTAACGGTATGGGCGCAACTCCTATGCATGGTGGGATCGGGCCTGGTGCTACTCCGCTGCGAACACCCCGCGATCATCTTGCTCTGAATCAAGAGGGTGCTGCCGGACAGCTTATTGGCAGCACACCGCGAGACATTAAGTTGCATGAAAACTTCACACGCCAGCAGATTCGCAGCAAGCTATCTTCGCTGCCTAAGCCCAAGGAATCGGAATGGGAATTGGAGGAGCTTCCATCTGAAACAGCCGAGCCCACCGAGTCTGTCGCATTCACCCAAGAAGACGCAGCTGAGCGAGATCGCAGAGACCAAGAAGCCCGGGAGCTGGCCGCTCAGGCTGAATTCAAGCGCCAGTCGCAAGTGTACCAACGTGGCCTCCCTCGACCAGTCGTCCTTGACATTCAAGCTCTTATGAAGCGTGCTTCTCTGGTCAATGACTCAATTGAGAGTGTGATTGCCCGAGAGGCTGCTGTGTTGATCGCGTATGATTCTCGTAAACATCCCGTGCCTGGTTCTAAGGTAGAGGGCAAGGCCCCCAAAATGGGACGCCCAGATGATGTCTACATGGATGCTGCGCGCGCAGCTATTGCCGCAGAAATTGCCTCTACTGAAGCCCAGCAACAACAAGAGGAGTGGCAAGAGAAGTTTGATGATGTCTGGTCGTCAACACGTGCCAACGCCCTTCCGGGCCTAGATGGTTACGCCGACGACGAAGAGCAAGATCTATTTGAAGAAGAGCAGCGGATGATCACAGCCTTTGATAGTGTTCAATCAAATCTTCTCGCTACCGCCGAGCAGGGTAACAAACTTGAAGGAAAGCTTGCCAAGGTCCATGGTGGATACCAGAAACGAGCCAAAACACTCCGCTCCAAAATTCTTGAAGCCAGCGCGGCTTTACCCAAGGCACAAGATGACTTGGACTCTTTCCGCACACTCCAGATCTCTGAAGAAGCTGCCATTTCTCGGCGCCTGGAGAAGCTACGTGAAGATGTGTCCTTCATCATGCGCCGTGAGCGGGAGGCTCAAGAATTGTATAAGACACGGAAGGATGAGCTGGATGAGATGGTTGCCGGTACCGCTACAGTGAATGGGTGGCATTGAAATGATACCGTACCGAGACTTTTATTTTTATTTTCTTGCAATCATGACCCGTTGCAGGCTTCATTTGTGTACCATTAGGAAGGTTAATTTGCGAGAATCATGCAAATCCATTCGGAGCTTTACATACAAAGTCTTTTACGGAAACAGTAAACACAATCAGCAGGCAAATCTGTGAAGGACTTGGAATTGATCAATGGGATCAAAGTAATCACATTCGTACCTATTCTCGCGCTGTAACAAAGATTCAAGGATACATCCATGGATGGATGCAGCATTCAAACAATCAAAACGAGGAAATCATACATTGCCAAAGAAGAAATCAACACAACACAGAATTCTCAAGACTCAAAACACATAGCCAATTTTCAACATTGAATCACGCCAACATGTGTAGCCTGCCCTGAACTCATCACACACCGAACTTCTTGAACAATCGTAGTAGAATATGCACCATATTGTCTGGATATTCACACTCCACCTCAACTCCCTTCGTTTCTGCGCAACACTCACATTCGGATGTGCAGTGACCCGTGCCTTCAGATCCCCTGGGAGACTTCGAGTGGCGCTTCTCGCAACACTCACAACCACGACTGCAGCATCCGTTTCTGGCTTTACAGTCGTCAACAAGCTCAGATTCAAACTCATACATGACAAACTCTTTCACATAATCGTATCTGTCCCTCAAACGCACATTGCTCCAGTTTGGCAGATCAGCCTCTTCATTGCGGAGTGTGACCTGTTTGTCTTCGATTTGTTTGTTAATACCATTGAGTTCTTCGCGCAGTTCTTGAGTCTTTGATGCATCGGCTTCGACTTTGATTATATTCGGGAGTGCGGCACGGCGTTGGATGAGTTTCCGGAGAGCTATTTCGGTAGTAAAGATTTTTTTGAGGAAATAGACACCGACGACAGCTTTTTCAAACGTGGGGCCTCTAGATAGGTGTCTGGTGTGCTCACATTTCAATAACTCGTCGGGGTCCATGACGGCGCCGAGGGGTTCAAAGGGTGAATCCATGTTGTTGATTTGGAAAGTGGTGGGGTTCTGTATAGACGATGTCAGTAAAAATGTTGCTATGTCTTAAGAAGATGAGGCTTGGTGGCGTTTACAGAGTTGATTTGATGAGTAGCTGGTTGGGTATCTAGTAGGTAGATGAAGGTTGCAAGAGGATGAATGAAGTTGTAGGGGGAAATGCGAACTATTTATTGCACTATGTACATGTAGTCTAATATCCCAAAGAAGCAGGCCGAACGGCGGTGCCCTAACTTGGTGTCAAGGTTTAGTCGGGACCTATTAAATCACCTAATTCGGGTTTGGGCAAGAACCCTCTCCGAAACAAAACATGGATACACTTCAAACTTAATCCCAAATTACGCAATGAACTCGCCGATATTGTTCATCGCGATTATCCTTCCGATTGAACGACTTCCCACATTCGTCGGCGGGACACTCAAAAGACCGAGGTGAGATATGCTGCGTCTCAATATGACGCATCAGCACTGATTTTCGAGTGAATGGACCCGGATGCTTGCAGTGCTTCCATCCACACTCGAAGAATGCCTGTTTGGCTCTAAGAAAACGTGTTAGATAATAAGTTGAGAAAGAAGGATAGGTACATAAGTTGGAAATTACATTGGCTTGCACTTGTCGAGGCAAGTACTAAACGGTTGTTCGTATGGAACAGCATGGATATCAGGTTGCTTGCCGAGTCGTACTGGGGCCGGGGACAAATGTGATGTATTATGCAAAGTCTGGTCAACCCAGGAGCCAGTGAATGAAAGATCACTTGGACTTCCCCAGCTCCCGACGCTGTTGTTGCTTGGGAAAAACTGCACATGCAATGTATCGTAGTTCATGGGCAATATTGCTGGGGGTTGTGATTCAGCAAACATGTTTTCTGTGAAGTGAGAGTGCTCAGGTCTCCGGGCTAGCATTCTTGTTTCGTGAGCTGATAGAAAGGAGGTAGATGGCGTGGAGCCCGACAGATGCACATGCACAGGATAATCTCCATATGCTGTTGTCGTACCCGAGGCTATCGAAGAAGCAGAAGACCACTCCATTCCAACATTTATTGATTATCACCAAATGTTGTGCAGTTTTGGAAGATAAATAAACCTTTGAAAATAAAAGTTGGAGCTTCCAAGGCCGGAGTCAATCTTGGAACGAGCCCTGGAGGCTTTGTAGGATTGATTGAAAGTGGGAGATAATGGAATAGAGAACGATCACAGAGACCCATAGGAAAGGCACTTTATATAGGTACAATTGGAAAAGTGGCTTTACATCCTAAATCGTCATCACAGGTATTTCATGGATGTATCTGCAGGGTTGTTTATCGATTTTGCCGAAGCTATCTAGGAAAGCTGCCAATCGGATCGTATGTTTCAAAACTTGCCTTGACACCGAAGGCGGAGAAATAGGCGGTACAGCGCATTTATGCGCAAAGTACTGATGTAGTTAGTCAAGCTGCACATTCAAAGCCACAATTTCTTCAATAATCCTAGGGTGTGGGGCGCAATCACTACTTATCTGGTGTGCGATTGGCCCAAAGCACAATATTATCATTCACATGAGGGGCCAAGTCGATGTGATCTTCTCCCAATGATAATCCTGTTGTCTGAAGCGGTCAGCCACCTGTTGGGTGGCTTCACAAGATAATTGGTCAGGAGCAAAATATTGAGTCCACCAGGTGCTCGGACATAGGCATTGGTGACAGCGAATCGGAATCTCTAAGAGCCGAATTCTCTAAGATCCGGAGTCTCTGGGAGCCGCGCTGGATCAGCGCTGAGCCTGCATTACACCCTCAAGGCGATATTCGATGTCGCAATCGCTTGTGGCAGATGTACAGCGTACACAGACATAGTAAGTATCCTCACCCTCACTGGATCTAAAATAGCCCTAACGTTCAATAGAGGCCTCCTGGAACTGTACTCTTTTCATTGGGTTTTTAGGTGAGAGCGGGTATTATGAGATCTGAGGGGTAGCATTTCGGCCCCATATCATGGACTCGTCAATTTACACCACCCGGTACATGATCCACAGCAAGTCATAACATTTCAACCATAGCCTTTTTATCAAGATCACATCTGTGCTGGAATGATGGAAACTTCAGCATGGGAAGCTCACAAGGGTGAGATCGAGCATCTTTACCTGAGAGAGAACAAAACATTGGATGCGCTCAGACAGATCATGAGAACCAAACACGGCTTTTCAAAAACGTATGATAGGCTTCGCTTCCCTGTGGCTCCTTTTATCCCCAAACCGGAGATACTTCTGGCATTTGTCATGCAGTAAAAACCAGTATCAAGTCAAGCTTAACCGATGGGGCTTCAGGAAGTACCGTGCAGGACCCGAGAAGTGGAAATACATCAAACACCGCCTAGAGGTCAGGCAACAACAAAATCGGATACTCTCACAGCGAGGTGGCAAGTACCACTCTGGATACGAATCTCAAGATTGTGAGGTCTACATTGATGGGGTACTATATTCATCTGCCACGGTCAAGTGTGAGATTCGTCGGCAAGCATTTGAGTCCACCTACCGAAGATTTGCAATTGGTATCCTCACCATCCTCCAATACAAGATATGATAAGTAATTCGAAGTCTTTAGGGCCTTCCTCTCAGCCTCCGGAAGGTGTCATTGTTTGCTCACCCTCGCCGGTCGCATGGGAGTTTCGATGGTCCCGGAATTTACCCTGGTTCCGGTTCTTTAGCGAACATGTAGATGAAGGTTGGTTTGAAGTCTTTGTTTATCAGATCTCATGCCATGCTTACTATCCTTGCAAAATAGATAAATCTTCAATCCTGCGAGTCAAGTCCTCTTCAAAACTACAAGTCAAAGACATCTTTGATTTCTTAGGGTCTTTACTTCCATGGAAGGAAACGCAGATACTGAAGAATGTTCGATCCAATTCCCGCACAGCTGCACTACTGAGTATCATCGTGCCAGATTATTATGATGGCTATAACCTTGCACTCTCGAAAAGTGTTTGCTCGACGACTGCTATTGACAATGAGGAATTTACCAGGCTGTTCCTTTTTCTTCTATCCAACAATATTTCACCCTTCGACTCTTGTCGAGAAACCGGAGAAAAATCTAGCTACGGAGACGAACTTACCATGGGTATTTTTCGCGCATCAAATCTGAACGATTTTCGTTCTTTGGCGGCCCTAGTTTCAATGGACAATGTAACAGCGAGTAGCATTTGCGAAAGGCTGTTTGGTAGTGCCTTAAGATCTCAAGACACCGAAAGCCTCCTCCTCCTTCTGGAAGCTGGCATCAACCCAAATATGGCCGTGGCTGTCTTTCACAATTATTACGAAACGATGCTTGTCACTCCGTTAGAGTTCGCAGTTTGTGTTGAAGACAGATATCTTTCTACCATTATTACCAGGGTTTTGTTATCTCACGGCGCTGACCCGAATTTCTGTGGACAGGGAAAATGCCCATTGACAGATGTCGCTTTTGCCGGGGCTACAACGGTCGATGATTTTTTTCTGGAAGCCGATACAGGCATTGGGCAAAGAATCAATGGCAACAGCCTCCGCAATGCAACGATACTCGGGATAGCTGTCGCCGAGGGTAATCTAGAAGCTGCTAGATTATTAGTCCTGGAAGGGGCAGATACAAATGCATATGAGCAAACAAAGCTGTACGGACATGCATGTCAAATCACTGCGCTGGGCCTCGCCGCGGGTAGAGGAGATATTCCGATCATGAACCTACTTCTTGATGCAGGTGCACGGGTCAATCCGGACACTAGTTCAGAAAATTGTGGTCCTCCTCTAGTAGTGGCCGTTTATAGCTCTACGTTTGGAGCCATGCACCTTGAAGAGAAACGAGCTGAGGTTGTCCGGCTTTTACTTGATTCAGGAGCAGGAATCCATGCTGACAGTAGTCCATTCTTGGCTTGCCATGAAAATTTAAGAAAGTGCTTGATGACAAGACTTCTATCGTTCAATGACCTGGACTCATTTCGCCTCTTGTTAGATGCTGGATGTGAAGCAAGTTCGGATCAGATGGAAGAATTCAACTCCGCTTCGTTGCTCCGATACGTCGAGCAGAAGGAAGACAGCTTTGTATATCAGCGTTTGATTTTCGATGCACGGAGAAAAGAAGATGCAGGTGGGCGTGCATTGAAATCGGCTATCGAGCTTGGTCACCACGGTATCATGTACTTTCTCCAGAAAGCCGGCGTTACAAGCTTGACACGACACCCGGTAGATTTCATACCGACCATCAAAGTTGCACGGTTTCTGGAAGAAAAGCGGGTTCTCAAAGAGATTCTTGCAATTAGTGGACAGAGGATTCTTGTTGCCGCCATTCTATATACGAAGGATTTGGTCTCATTTTTGTTGGAGAATGGGGCAGACAAGTCACCGGATGATGATTATTTGACTACCCGGTCTTCAAAGGTACTTTGCATGCATCCTTTGGAAGCGGCACTGTGTCAAAGCGACTGGAAATTATCAGGAGATCTGATCGACCGTGGGGCCCAGATCGGCGAGCCTGAGATAACCGCAATGGTCTGGAGCCTGCTAAATAACAAAGTCGAGCCCCACTCGTGGTTTTGGAGTATGCTGCCATCGCATCGCATCTCGGCTCCTACGGCTATAGGCATGGCCTTGAAGGCCAAAAACTATTCACTCGTTTATTCTCTCTTGAATAATGGAGTTGATCCACGTGGAACTCCGGTCGTTTTCAATTATACGAAGTGGAAATCAGTATTTGGTCCTATTATCCTGGATGATCAAAATCATAGCGACATGGCAGGCTGGTGGAACTTCAAATTGATTTCAAAAGATGGCCCTAGCTCCGTTCTTGAGATGGCTGAAGCTTCCGGTGATAGTTCCATTATTCGGGCCTTGCTGGAATCAGGACGGTGGGCAGAGTATGCCAGGAATCCCAGGATACATGCTTTGGAACTCGGTATAAAGAAGACTTCCGTGGCGAACACTCAAGTTGTTGTCTCTGGCGCGTCTTCCTTGCAACGCGCCATTCAATCCGGGAGTATAGAGACGGTACGAGCGGCTCTAGAGACCGATAGAGAAGCAGTAGCAGCTGTTCTTGATGATGCTGTCAGTACGGAAAACTTTGATGCCATGAACATCTTGATTCAAGCTGGCTTGGACCTCAAGAAACACACTTCGGAATCTGCACAACTGCAACAAAAATCCACCATTTTACAGAAAGCGGTAATTACAGGGAATCTTGCTCTCGTGAAGATGCTACTTGCAGCCGGTGCAAACATCAATGGTCGAGGAGTCACAGGGTATGGCATGGATGCCTTGCGACTTGCCGTTGAGCAGGGAAATATTGAGATCCTCGGCTTCCTTCTCGAGCAAGGTGCAGAGGTCAACCAGCAAGTTGGTCACCTCGCCGGACCCACTGCTCTGCATATTGCTGCGAGCGCAGGTTACATCGGGATTGTCCGCAGATTAATTGACCATGGCGCCGATATTAACGATTCGCGTGGAGTGACGGCTTTGGAAGGTGCCGCTAAGTATGGACATATCGATATCCTGCAGCTCCTTTTTAATGAAGGGGCTGAGATAAAAGGGGCCGGGCTGGTGCCGTACACCAGAGCTATCAAGCTTGCTGAAGAAAGAGGCTTTTATTCGGCCGCCAGACTTTTGAGGTCATTCTTGGACTAAACGGATTCTAAATTGTTGATGAGAAAAATGATGACTGAAAGAACCTAAGCGGTTGGCCTCGGGAGTATGGTAGTCGGCTATTTCTAGGGTCTGGATAAATGGTTGGTACAATTTTGAGTCCAAACAGTGGGCAGGTATAAGGTAATAGGGGTGGTAGATTTACTATGTACTTACATACTAGGTGAATATATTCAACGTTAGCTTAAAATGACACAAGCAAGAGACTGGTACGACTTTGGAAACCGATTCACATACAGCGAGAGCTCTGGAGGAGGGGGGAGAGAGGGAGAGAAAGACCAAGTACATAGAAAAGTAAGTCATAACCCTGATTCATCAATGGGTTGTCGTACTATACTGTAGTATGTATCGTACCAATAGGTTGCAATGCCGCTGTCAGTTCTAAGTAAAAGAATTATTTGCTAGACTTGGATAAATTGCTCTCTATTCTTGATTCTTGACAAAATTGCAGGCACTGTTCTTCTTCTTTTCGAGGTTGAAATCCATTCGAATCTCACGCGGAATCCTCAACGTCCCAACTTCCAAGTGAATCGTGAATCCAAAGTTCATGACCCGATGCGGCTCCTGCTTACTAATCTCTATCATCGATTTGCCTTCTCACCACGACCATCAACCTCAGTTCATCGCGTATCGCATCAAATTCAGCAAACTCATCATCCGTGCTGAGCCCACATCGGCAAACAGTTGACCACAATGGGCGTCCGGGACTCTCACGGTGAGGCGACGGGGACGCCCGATCCCGTCGAGAAGGGGTTCGCTACCCTCAACACCGTCAGGTAAGTCTTTCCAGCGGTGAAATCAAGGCATAGAATTATCCCCCTGGCCTTTGGCTTCACTTTTCTCGGTCGCGTTTTCTGAACAGTGGGGTAGGATCGGTGTGAAGGCGATGGTGCAGAAGGTGAGTCGCGACAGCGCAGACTCTGGTGACATGTCACGTGATATGATATTAATTGCGACTATAGGATGGCGAGCTTCGCAAAGCTGAAATTCTGTCCATTAGACAGCGCAAAGATGGGCCATCATTCTAGTATGTTGAATTGCAGGAAATTTTTCTATTGACATTACTAATGAAAGTTACAGCGTTCACTATGTCGACTTCAATAAGCGTCTTGACGGTATGTTCATTCCAAAGCCTCGAACCACCGCTCCTACTTCTCTTTTATAATAGGGAAATGCTAATGAAGTCTTACAGAATGGATTCACGCTGCTCGTATTGATCTAACCCAGGAGGTTGAGTGGCCCCAACCAGAAAAACCAGAGAAGAAAAAGACAGCTGCCGCAAACAAGGCGGCGCCCAGCAAGAATTCCCAGAAACGCCCTCGTGCAGATAGCCGTGAGGTTTCGATGACACCAGATGCTCTCGGCGGCAAGAACGTAAATGTTGATAAGACTCACCGACCATCAAAGGCTGGTGGCAAAGAGAACGATGTCCAGACACCCGGTGATGCATCTCTATTCCCATCAGAGGCGGCCTCCGCCGCTGATACACCCAAAGCAGCCGATTCAGAGGATGTGGATATGACAGATGCCCAGGACCTCAAGGAAGACGAGGTCAAGACAGCGTCCGGGGAGGTAATCTCCCGTGGAGAAGAGATCGAACGACTCCGCACCAGCGGTAGTATGACACAGAACCCGACTGAGATTCACCGAGTGCGCAACCTGACCCGTCTTCAAATGGGCAAGTACGACATCGAGCCCTGGTATTTCTCGCCTTATCCAGATTCCTTCTCAGATGTAGACCTGGTCTACATCGACGAGTTCTGTCTCAGCTACTTCGACAACCAGCGTGCCTTCGAGCGCCACCGCGCAAAATGCACTCTCGTCCACCCGCCCGGTAACGAGATCTACCGCGACGACAACATCTCTTTCTTCGAGGTTGACGGTCGTCGGCAACGCACCTGGTGCCGTAACTTGTGTCTTCTTAGCAAACTGTTCCTGGACCACAAGACTCTCTACTATGATGTCGATCCCTTCATGTTCTACTGCATGTGCACCCGGGACGAAACGGGTTGTCACCTCGTCGGCTACTTCTCGAAGGAAAAAGACTCTGCCGAGGGCTACAACTTGGCTTGTATCCTGACACTCCCACAGTATCAGCGCCGTGGTTTTGGTCGACTCTTGATCTCCTTCAGCTACGAGCTCAGCAAGCGTGAAAATAAGCTCGGATCCCCCGAAAAGCCACTCAGTGATTTGGGTCTCCTTGGTTATCGTCAGTACTGGCGTGAGACACTCGTCGAACTCCTGATAGAGCCAGGTCGTGAGGCAATGAGTGAGAATGAGCTTGCAGTTCTTACTGCTATGACTGAGAAAGATGTTCACGAGACCTTGGTTGTCTTCAACATGCTTCGATACCATGTGCGTTTTCATCCCCAATCCCTTTCGTCTTCTATCTCTTCTTATTCATCTTGAAATGCTAACCTCACTTCAGAAAGGAAACTGGGTTATCGTCCTCACAGACTACGCCGTTGGAGAACACAATAAGCGCCTCGAAAAAGAAAAGGTCAAGGGTGCTCGGAGGATTGACCCTGCTCGTCTTCAGTGGAAGCCGCCGGTCTTTAATGCGGCAAATCGGACCTGGAACTGGTAAGAAGCGCAAACTTTTACATGAAGGCGACGTTTCCTCTGCCTTGGGCTCCAAGTTTTTGTTCGCGGGGTTGGGTGGTAGTAATGATATGATGCATGGCCAAGAGGTTGGTTCTTTTACTGGTGTTTGGGATGATTTGAGGTGGTGTTTAGGTTGGGATTGTCTCTTTCCTTTGACAAGCTGGACTTTTCTCGGGTCTGGCAAGTGTATCTCTAAATTTCAAAATGATATACAATTTAATTTTCATCAAGTCACGGACAAGACGCAACTATGTATGCATTCTTTGTTAAGATCATGATGCTCTTCATTTGATATTCCATATAAGCCACATTAACCACCTGGGCATGGAAGGGAGGTAACAGGCATTTCCTTGGGCATTTAACGCGGGCGTGGAAGTCTTAAGACTACTGTTTTTCTACAAATGGAGTTTGGGGGTTTGTAGTTTGAGATGGTTCATTGCTAGTAGTAAGGCTACATGGTACAGAACGTAACCCGGCCCATGGGTAATCCAGAAATTGGGTAAACAAGTGCGTGGGTAGCAGCTGAAGTAACATGATGGAGACATTGGAAGCAGATAAAATACACGAGAAGCCCCGCCATTAGCACCCCAAGTTAAAAGACGTCCTCTCAGCAAACAAAATTGCAAAGAGTTCAAGTCCCATAAATGGGATTTGCTCATGGAAATGGATACCTGTTTCCATCACCGAAAAAAGGTAAAGAACACCGGCGCCTTCGGATCCTCGGTATCAATCACACTCCAGTTCACACAGCCAGATTCCGAGGCATGCAAATAAAATTGGGAAACAGAAAAAAAAGTACACACATGAAGAAAGGCGGGATATAGGATAAATGGGAGGAGGTGTCGGGGGGGATGAAGTATGAAGCGAATACGCTGTCTTCCCAGGCTGTGCTCGATGCCTACCATGAAAAATGGAGGTATTCAAGACGGTGGGAACAATCACAAAATCAACTCGTGGTTTGGAGGCGTGGTTGAAGCAATGGGGGTCGGTAATGATAAAAGGATTGAGTTGTGAGAAATTCCACTCGTTGTGTCCACACTTATGGAACCCAAAATGGGGAGAATACGCCTCCAACTCCTCACCGCTGAAGAACCCCGAAAGACAAAAAAAGATGTTGACATCTTACTGCGAGCCACTCTGGTTGCGGGGACCCCAAGACGCATTCCGCGACTGGTGGCGAGATGAAGTAGTTGCGACACTGCTTTGCTGAGACGAAGAGGGCTTCTTGTTCCAGGTAGATCCACCGGACACGTCGCGGGGTCGCTTGAGGGGCTTGCGAGCAGTCTTCGGTTGGGATGGGTTACGGTGGCGGTTTTGACCAATCTTCCGAGGCATGAGTAGAGTCTGGCTTGTTTCTTGGCCAGGAAGTCGTACAGAAACGCGAGTATTTCCCTGGGGATCTCTCTCCCCAGATCCGACCCAGTATATGTCAATGCTGTGCACTCGCATCGGTTTCACGTTCTTTTGTCGCACTCGGGAGGGCGGCGGAGGAGCTGGGGCATGCCAGGCAGCAGCAGGGGCCATGTTCGGGACTCGAACGCCAGGCTGCGAGCCTGGTTCACGATCCTCAAAGATTGCTTCTTCTTCAGCTACTTGACGAGCTGCAAGGTCTCCATCACCAGTCTGCAAAGTGCTTTCAATTTCAACTCGACGGTTGGGGAAAGAGACTGAAACCGATGCAGCTGGCAGCTGAACATCAAGAGGTTCTTTAGTAGCAGAAGCGACGGCCAGGACACTCTTCTTCTCTGGAGGAGTTTTCTTTCCAAAGAGACCGTTGAATTTATCTTGCCAGGAAATTGCTGCCGAGCTAGGTGCCGGAATGGGGCTAGCCTGCGGAGGTGCCGCGGCCATAGAGGCGAATGTGCGCGGAGGGGCAGGCGCAGCAGGCATAGCCTTTGGTGGCAGCTTAACAACGGGCTTCGCAGGAGGGAAGTGCACCAATGGTCGGGCGGACCCATTAGAGTAGACCGGATGGGAATATTCTTCTGGAGGAGGTGGAGATGGGCTTCGCTGCACCTCGAGGTGTTCCACTCCGAACCGTTTAGGTTGCTCAGTCACATTTGGGAAAAATCGTGAACTGCGTGCAGGCATATTTGTGATGGGACGTGCAGGTCCTTCCGCGAAGGAGAGACCATCTGCAGGGGGCTCAAGGCCATTCAACGGATTTGTGGGTGTCTGAGCGGGTTTCGAAGTTTGAGTACCGGGGACGTGGTGAACAGCAACATGGCGTCTGACGCCATCTTCTCCAACTCGGATTTGCTTCCATGTATGACCAGGTCTTGCAGTGGGCTCCACAGCAGGTTCAACCGCGGTTTTAACCGCAGGCTCAACAGCAGGCTCAAGGGCAGCTTGAGTGGGAGACTTAGAGTCACCGTTTGTAGTCTCGGAGACTATGCGTCGTGATCCATCCTCACCAACCACAACCTTCCTCCATACGCTGCCTTTTGAGGGCGGCTTAGGTTGGTCACGCTGGTTTTCCTGTCGCAGCTTTTGAGCTTCGTTGAACTCCTGTCGGTATTTCTGGTTTGCTTCGGCTTCACTTTTTCTGGCAGTGATACCAAAGTTGTTCCAAGAGTTGAGGCGATCATTCTTCAACTGGGGTTGAGAGCTAGGGGGGCCTATCGGGCCAGGGCGGCCGATGGGACTGAGGGGGTCGTAAGAGACATGTCTGGTCTCAGGTGATGGCAAAGAAGGAATCGGAGCTGCCTCCTGGGGAGGGAAGGACTGGGCAGCAGGCATGGCGGGAATTTGATTGCGTAGATTGATCTCTCGGGAAGAGAACCCACCAAGGCTTGGGTCAAAAATACCGTTCCCAAGGGTGCGGTCACCGATCATGGGCTTCCACAAGTTATTCACTGTTGGGGGCGTGGAAGCAAGGTTAGGGCCAGTCGACCAAGGAGCGAAAGAATTGGAAATGTTCAAATTCCCTCGCTGCTGGGAGTCTTGCTCATCAACTATGGCGTCTGAAGGTCGAGGTTCAGATGGGTGGTTGGTGGAGGAAGAAGGAGGGGGTGCGGGGTGGTGGTGTTGTTGTGATGAATCGTGGTGGGAAGTGGTAGTAACACGACGCGTGTGAGGAGAAGTCCTATCAGCTTGCTTTTCAGAGGCACGATCCCTTTCGTTTGCTGCGATGAATTTCTTCACTGAGTCCGGATGATGGACTTTCATCATCCCGTATTGCTTGGGTTCACCAGAAGGTTCTGGAACAGGAGGCTTGGGGGGTGAAGTTATAACTGCAGTGGGAGACGAGTCTGTAGCTGACACCTGAGGCTTGCGACTCTCGATACTATCCTTGCGTTTTTTATCTGGGGCTGGTCCCAATGCCGCAAGCTTCTGACGAATTCTCTCTTCCTTGGCTAGCCTTTCTTGCTCCTCCTGCTCTTGTCGGCGCTGTCTAGCTTCCAGTCGCTTCTCCTTCATGATACGCTCTTGTAGAACCAGCGGGTCTTCCTGTGGCACTTCTGGTGCTACAATTGGAGCTGGTTGATTCTCAACGGGCGAGGATTCACTACCTACACTCACTGATGGAGGTGCAGCGAAGCCTGATCCGGCACGCTGGCGATTTGGAGAAACCTCACGAACATGCCCTGGCTCACGACTCACTGGCAATAACGCTGGGTCGACCATGCCATTTGCATAGGAGCCTCTGCGAGCATCATTGTATCTTGGGGGAGGCATATCTCGGCCGAAAGATGGACGACGGCCAAAGCTTCCACTTCCACCACTCACATTCGACGATGTACGGCGACGCATGCCATCCTGGTGGCTAGATCGATGTGTCTGGAATGCCGCTGACGGTTCTGCAGGGCCAGCATGTTCATCATGCCCAGATCGCTGCAGCACAGCAGGAGGCCGAGGGCCCTGATCCTGGCGCCACGAAGGTCTTCTATTATCTGCCACTGGCTCATATCGACCAGATCGAGAATTGTATAATTCTCGAGGCGCCCCTGAAGTTGTTTCTCTCCAAGTGCGGTTAAAATCATCAGCCGCAATCTCCTGAGGAGGTAATGCGGGATGGTGACCATCTTCTCGGTGGGAGTAATTGGCATGGCCTCGAGATTGCGGTACTGGAGGAGGTGGTTGCAAGGACGAGTTGACTGGAGACACTCTTTCCACGGGAGGCAGTGCTGCCCAGGGAGACTTGGCTGGTGGGGGAGCTGGACTTGTCGAGCCTGAGGGCATTCGGTCATTTGTTCCTCTTGATGAAATACTTGCGGCCTTGGCCTGCCGCTCGGCACTTGCTCCAATCCGGAGTACAGTCGGGTTTGGCCCCACAGAGGTGGTTGGCTTAGGTGCAACTATTCTAGGTGCCTCTTGAGCCACTAATTCTTGCTCTGGCACTTCCGTTGGCGCTTGGGGGCTTTCCTCTGGCAATGACGGGTGGTCTGGTGGTGGATTGATTTGAACCTTTGTTCCATCTCCCCATTCGATAGTCTCGGGAGCCCAGTCATCTTCGTCATCATCGATGTCCGCCCATTTGGATTCAGTCCCGCCAGAGTCTTCTTGAATTCTAGAAGTCATGTGGATACCATATTGTTGTTTCAATTCTTCATCAGTCAAATGCTTTTGTGGTGGCGGCGCTTGAACGGCTATATTTACATTAAAGTCAGTCATTGAGATATTCTGTATTCTGAAATAAGTAAACATACGTCGGTTTTTATTCCAGACTTGATTTGGGTCTGGCCCCGATCCACCTGGCTTTGCACCACCTGCGCCGGTCTTGGAGATAGAATCGCGCATGCCGCTGGTGGTCTTTGCAACTAAGCGCGGCCGTGAACTGGGCTGTGGTGTTCCGAGTGGGGTAGTAGAGGCTGATGGAACTAGTAACAAACACTCTTTGTTAGACACGGGCCACAATAGAGAGATATACAAACAAACCTTTTTCAGGCGCTTTAAGAGGGGGAGGGGCTCCCGGCGCTTTTGGCATAGTGAACTTGGTGAAAGACATCGGCTTGAACATCGAAGGCTTCTTCACAGATCCCGTTCGAGTGTGGTGTCTACCATCTGTTCGACTGGTATCTGACTCTGAGCCGCCTTGGGACGCCGTATCATCTCCACCATCTGATGCCGACGCTAGTCCATTAAGCTCAAGAGCTCGAGAGGCAACCAATCCAACACCTTGCTTTGAAGGATCCTGCAACCAGTTCAGCCGACTATTCTCTTCTTTTCCATCAACGATACCCACCATCAAAGAGCCCCCGGTGTCCTTATCGCCTCCAGTCCGCTTGCCTTGAGATTCTGTCGTCTCTGTCGTCACGTCGTTGGATTTTTGTTCGGATAATATTTGGGATTCTGGCAGTTGTGCGATATGTTTGCCCACGTCCCCTCCAGCAGAAGTCTTGTCGGTTGTGCTCGCAGGAACGTCGGAAGGCGAAGGCTCGCCGCCCGACAGGGTCTGATCTACCACATCGCGGCTACTCTGCTCTGCCATAACAATACTCGAATCTGTGGAAATTACAAAATGCAACAGAGGTCAGAACTGAGTAGTTTGAAATAAAGATACAAGTTGGTTGGATGGAATCATGCGACACGGTAGGCAGGCGCGGACCAAGCTTGCGTGTTGACGGGAAAAAGACAGAGTACGTACATATTGTCAGGATTCAAGAATCGCCACAGTTGAACTGCTCGTTTGGCTGGTTGTACCCTGAAAGATCGGGGAGTCCACAACCAGAAGAGGGGAGTTGAGCGGGCCACCTCCCGGGGGTAGTTGGAGATTCGGTGACGGGGTGGGTTGTTTTGCGTCGCTGTTCGAGATGGCGCACGTGGTATAGGAGTCCACAACCCAGGTAGAGAATTTCCCGGGGATAAGGAGAAGGGAATCGAGGAGGAGGAGATGTTTCCGAGTGTGGATGATGAATATGAAGGTATTCAGGCTTGTTGAAGATGGGTCTCGGGTTTGAAGCTGAGAGTTTGGCTGTTTTCGGTTAGCGCCGTCGGGACTGCTGTGAGAGGGCGCCTCAGTCATGTTCTATACCACCCATCATTTGACTCTATAATGCAGTAACATGAAGTTCAGAAAGAATATTCATTTGATCAGATCTGGCTTACTTTATAAATAGTGTTTAAATCAGAATTTTGGGCTGTCGAGCCAGTGGTAGGACAACTAGCAAGTGCGGGAACGCGGAGATGCCTCCCAACAAGGCCACACATTCGACTACGATTGACCAAAACTATACTCTTCGGTGTGGATTTTCAAGGCTACAACAGAAGATTTGTGATATAATAGATTCTTAGTACTGAAACAAAATGAGATTCACTAGTCTCAAACTCCTGGCACTTCCTTACTATAGGGGAACAGAGGATGTATGTACATCAATCATCCTCCCATTCATTCAACAAGAGACAAGTTTAGTGGGGGTGGTTCTTGTGGTGGCCTGTAAATATAATCAGCGGGCTGTCATTTGGGAAGATAATTGAGAAAGACTAGGGCTTTCAAGGAGAACATACGGAGGTGGAAGTAGTACTCCATGCTGTAGCCCATGATCAGGATACCGGCAATGGCGTGGGCAAGGGCTGTTCATGTTAGCACTTTGTACTCTAGTCAGGTTACTGTAGCGGAAGTACTCACGAGCACCAGAGTTCTTGTTGAAGAAGCGGGCCTGGTAACGACCGAGCAGACCAGTGGCCTTGACCTGGGGAGCAGGGCCACGGGGCAAACCAGCGTAGAAGTTCACCACGCGCTCCATGCGAGCGGCATCCTGAGCGGCACCAATGGCCTGAACAAATTTATTAGCGATAATTCCGGGCAAAATTGGCGTTGTATATTGTTGCTATTGACACGAGAAAAGCCTTCGGGAAGGGTCGGGGCCGGGAGGGGTGCCAGGTGCTCTTGGCTCATGCGACAGAAGGGTTCGGGTCACTCACGTTAGGGGAGGCGATCTATTTGAGTGATTAGCATGATGAGGATATATTTAGCGGGTCTGAGCTATCAATTCAAATGTGCATACCTTGGGAGGGATCAAGGTCGAAAGACCACGGCGGGCGATGTAGCTCATCTTGTCTGGACTGGATGTGGTCAGAAAATTGGTCGCATTGAACAGAAATGGTGTCTTTGGGTTCAAAAAGGCTCAAAAAGAGGACTCACGGTAGTTCGCAGCGCAAGTGGGCAAGGAACGACTGATGATGCAGGAGGAAGAGAACCTTTGGCCGGGAAGCGGGTGGTCGGATGAAGCCAAGCGCGCTAAACCATTTTGGGTGGAGCCGTGACCTGCACTCGGTCTCTGATTAACCTCACAATCACCGTGAAGACGCTCTCTCTCCACTCCCCGCTCACCCACTTTCACCATGTCGCTCTTCAGAATTGGAGGGGCTGCTGGCCTCCGAAGCACTCGCCTTCTGGTCCCTGTCAATGCCCGTTTCATTTCCAATTCCGCCCAGGGTACTCCTGCCGTCAAGACCAACGCCTCAGAGGCTCCCACCTCGACTCACAGCGGCAGCTCCTTGATCAACAAGGAGAATGCTTCCCAGGCTATGGCTCGTCACCAGCCTGACTACGAGGCCACAATTGACCACGCAACCTCGTGCGCCATCCCCAGAATCGGTTCTTTGCGTGAAATTCCCACTTGTTAACATTTTCAATCAACAATATAGACTATTCTCCCCGGTTCCCAAGCGTGTCATGGATGGCAGCGAACCTGGCGATGCTCTGCCCGCTGCAGTTCTCTCTGGCGCTCCCACTGATCTCCAAGCCCGCACTGTCCGGTACAATACCAGCCCTTTCAGATCGCATTATCGAAGAGGGCCATGCTAACTCTATTTCTTTACAGAATCTACCGTTCCGCAAAGCCTGCTACTCAGTCCGGTAAATGGCACTCACACCACTGGCGCATGGACTGGGATATCTTGCAGAAGGGTCACCGTTGGGAGAACCCTCTGATGGGATGGCAGTCTTCCGCGGATAGCATGCAGGGCACCAACATCAAGTTCAACTCCAAGGAGGATGCGATTGCCTTTGCCCAGAAGCAAGGCTACGAGTACTTTGTCCAGGAGCCCAATGAGCGCCGTTTCACTCCCAAGGCTTATGCGAACAACTTTGTCTACGAGCCCAAGAAGCTCAAGCACATCAAGACCAAATAAGCGCTCTTCTTTGATATTATGTACATATAAATGCAGGTTTCCCTTTCATTCAATTTTTTTGTCACACGATTATGCTTCCAAGGTACAACATTGCTGCTAAGCGACTGGTAATCACTGCAGTAAGGCCTTTTTGTCCTACATGCATCAGGTGTTTTGGTGACTACTTTGAGAGTTTCCGTGCTGTTGAACAACCTTCAAATGTTGGATAATCCGAGTCCACATATTGTGCAACAGATCCCCTCCCTAGTAGGTAGTCAAACGCAACCTTGGAAGTGGAGAGTTTTTCGAGAGCCTGCTCCTATTCGACAGTTTGGTATTTCCATCCTAGACACTACTAAATAGTACTGTAACAAGCAATAATTGAGGTTTACAAGTATCTTCACTCTCACTCAGCTCCAAGGTAATACAAGTAGTAGTATCCACCAAGGTCCTTGATGCCATGGATTTGAGCGTGGGGAGGAGGGATTTTTTAAACAATACCAATCCAAACTTGGAAGTTCATACTACACGCTAACAATATCTATTTGACATCAAATGTAAACTTCTTGGCTCATCAGGAGATAAAGTCAAGCCAGCCACATGGGTTCTTATTTCCGAGTCCACCGGGAGCTATGTATCATTTACTTCCACGTTTTTCCCATCCAAGGCACTTCAATTCAGTCAATGATGCGCTCACTGTGATGGTGACCTATAATAAGAAAGTTGCCACGAAGAATACCCATTCCCTGTTGAAGTGTTTGGTTGATGACGGCACCGTTCCGTGATTTTCTCCCAGCTACTATATAGTTGGCTTATCTCCCCACCTCTTCTCTCCATTAATTTACTAGGGGTTATAATCTCGAATTTCAAGAGTTATCATTCTACCCAAGTCTTTTCAAAACTACCAGAAATCATGGCTGATAGTAAGTGCTCTACCAGACCCTCTGTTCGTAGACTGACGCCCTACAGAAGATACTGGCCCCATCCATGAGCACGAGAGCTTTTTCGACAGGCTTCTTCATCGCCATAAGAAAGAAGAAAAGCATGAACAAGAGCATGAGCATGAAGCCAACGATCCTTCCAGTGATCTACAACAGGAGGCAGAGACGGACAAGTACAAGGACCAGATCAAGAATGATGAGCACAAGTACAAGGATCATATGCGCAGGGAAGCGAATTTGCAATCTCAAAGTGAGACGTATGATCATCTGATGTAAATGAGATCATTTCCGATGTCATTCAAATTTTTTGGTGAATGAGATTTATCCTGAGGTCATATTTGATGAGGGTCCACAGATGTAGATATTTGTAGCTACTGGTAGCTACATAATACTTTTCACATCACAATATGACATTCAGTTACATGTACGTCGTACATATCCCGGGCTATGTACTTGGTCAGCTACATATCCTACATGTATCTAGTACGTACGTATTTCCTACTTTCTCCAAATACATGCAGATCCGCTGGAAGTTTTTAGAGAAAAAAAATTGTTTAAAAGACTGCACATACAACATTTGAATGTTGCTTTTAAGCAAATCCAAAATTAACCTTTTACATAACATTGAAAGGGACTTTTATGTACACCTCATATCATTCCAAGGCTATTTACCTATGTTACCTTTCAATATGCATGTGGCCTAACTCAACATTGAAGTCAACTGGTGCTTGTATTTGGAACAATGCCCGCCAGATACGGAATATATATCCACTAGTAATTTATGAACAAAATCTTGAACGGAATACATAAAAACACTTGTGTTTACCTATTTGAAAACTAGTATATCTTGTCCTCTTTCATACTAGTTTTCAGGCTTCATGAAATAAAAACAAAATTTGTCTGTGTAAATCATGTTCTTTCTGGCTGGCGCATCAGATACATAGAAATTGCGCGCGGATCAATAAGACCCGAATCGTCGCAGCCCCGCCACCCCACTCTAAAAATTAATCATGATAAGATCTCTAAGATTGTCCCTCCAACTTTTTCACCCACCACTTTATTAACTAATCCCACATCATTCTTCACAATGGCACCTTCTGCAACCGAAACAGAGGGCATTGACGAGACCGTCCTTACCCTCCGTAAGGTCCTCGTCTGCGAAACCGAACCCCTCGCTCGTCGCTTCCGCGCTCTGTTCTCTCTTAAGCACCTGGCCTGCGTGCAGCCTGCCACCGAAAAGACACTCCCCGCCATTCAAGCTATCGCCGCCGCTTTCGCATCTCGCTCAGCCCTCCTCAAGCACGAGCTCGCCTACTGCCTGGGTCAAACCCAGAACCGCGACTCTGTTTCCTACCTACAGCACGTTGTGAAGGATGTTGAGGAAGATGCGATGTGTCGCCATGAGGCCGCTGAGGCTCTTGGTGCCTTGGGATATACCGACAGCCTAGACCTTTTGAAGAAACTACGGGATGACGAGACTGAATTGGAGATTGTTCGTGAGACCTGTGATATCGCGGTTGACCGTATTTTGTGGGAGAACTCCGAGGAAAAGAAAGCAGAGAAACTCAAGGCCAGGTACGATCGCCATGATCCAAACTACGTCTCTTATACAATTTTCGGTTTCAAGTTTTACTAATTTTGTTCATTTCGCAGTGATTTTACCTCCATTGACCCTGCTCCCCCCATGCCTCTACACACCAAAGAGCCCTCGATCCCCGACCTGGAGAAGACATTGATGGACACAAAACTCCCTCTCTTCCAAAGATACCGGGCTATGTTTGGACTTCGTGACCTTGCTTCTCCCCCAGACCTCCCCACAGCAGTCGACGCCGTGAATGCGCTGGCCAAGGGTCTCAAGGACCCCTCTGCTCTGTTCCGTCATGAAGTCGCCTTTGTTTTCGGACAACTCTGCCACCCTGCCTCTATTCCCTGCCTTACAGAATGCCTTGGCGATTTGCAAGAAGTGGGTATGGTGCGACACGAAGCTGCCGAGGCACTTGGTAGCTTGGGTGATGAGGAGGGTGTGGAAGATACCCTGAAGAAGTTCTTGAATGACCCTGAGCAGGTGGTTCGGGATAGTGTGATCGTGGCGCTTGATATGGCAGAGTTTGAGAAGAGTGGCCAGGTTGAATATGCGCTGGTACCCGATGGAAATGCCCCTGCAGTTGCTGCGGCATAAGAAGGATTCTGAGGAGGATGAAATGAAAAAAGTCGTAACGTCGTTATTTTGATACTCTTTCGCGTTCTTTTATACAGCCAAACATAGACTCCTTTCGCTTTTATACAGATTTTCTTGTCTTGCCTTAGTTGTTCTCGGTTTCCCTGCGAAGGAGAATTAGTATTTGATAGGACTTTTGCGACAGAGATCGAGTTGACATACTTGTGACCGCACGCACACCGATAAAACACGGTACTTCCCTCATCAGCGCTGCGAAGTTGGACGGTAGTGAAGAACATTTCCTTTCTTCCACATTTGGGGCAATTCTTTTGAATCACAGCTTCGGTCTTTCGGTCCTCGGCGGAAAGCGTTTGAACAGCAGAGCGCTTAGCTCTCAGAGCCGAGGGAAATGCAGACGGCTTGGATTCGGAGACGATAGTTTGGGGAACAGTATCTATGAGAGAGGGGAAAAAAATCAGATCTCAGTCTTGTAATGGAAGCTAAGATTTTTTAGAAACCGATTGGATCACTTACCCTTGTTCCGAGTCCCGCAGACAGTGCAGTGTAGAACAGCATTGGCATCTCCGGTTGACTCGCGCAGAAGATTGCCGCAATCGGTGCAGAAAATCAAGGATCCAATGACAGACATGATGGGAAATATAATGATAGTGACTCAAGGGACAGCTATGTGAATCTTTCAAAATAAGTATTGCAGGGCCTAGGTCTGATCAAGATGCCGTCTGGTATGGACTTTTTTTTCTACAGCGCACAGACCACCGCGATACCCGCGCAGGCGGTAGCGGAAGGCAGTACACGATGCTGGATGAAATGATGAACGAATGCATGGTCATCAGGAGCTTCTCTCCGTCTCTTTTGTGTCCAAATAATACCCCCAGAGACCTACGAAGCATGATTTAGATGCGCATTCCACCTGCCATGACTCTGCTCCGAGCAGGTCTTTCCTCCCGTGACTAGCGCCTTCTTTTTTCCGGTCTCCGATAACCGCCCATCATGGAACAGAATGGGCCCGCCGTACAGGTCATCGTCAACGGCCATCCCCAGTCGCAGCAGAACTATGCACCGAATATGTCGTTGTCAAATAGATCCAGGCCGCTGTCAGTGGACGAAGCGTTGCAATACTCTTCCATGTCCAGCGCGCCTATCTTTGGTCTTGGTTTGTTCACCTTAAGAGCCCAACCCACGGAACAATTGGCTCAAAGATCCAGTAGCTAACCAGAGCAATGCATATTCTAGACTGCATCATACGCCCCGATGTTGGCCGTCCATCAAATACTACCTCGATCAACCACGTCCTTCAAGCGGGTCGCAACACACTAAGTGAGCTGGACGCGGAGATTCAGTCTGGGCAGGATGAGTCGAGTCGCCTGGAAACATCCCGTGAATACCTTCAGCAATTGCTGGACGGAGATAAGTTGACTGAATTGTGAGTTCCCTTCTCTGTGCCCGTTCACTTTTTCTTTGACTAAGTGAAAATTATCCAGCAAATTCAAGCTCCCTCCTACCCTCAATTGCGCCCAACCCTCACAGTCGACTTCACCTGATAAATCCGCCTTTGGTCGCAATCAACTCGGTTCCTTCGCAAAAATGATGCTCGAATCTACGGATATAGCCTTTCGATGTAAGGAAGATATGACAGGGAATGTTTTTTTGGACTGTCCACTGATAAAGCTGCAGATCCCGAGGTATTATCCCCAAAGATTGCCTCTCAAAGTACCCCCAAAGCTACGCCAAAGGCCAGATCAAAGGTCACAGAAAAGGCAGTTAAAATCGAACAAAAGTCAGCTGTGAAGAACAACTCCGTCGAATCGAACCAGCAGGCATTTGCTGCGAACAATTCGATCTCCCAACGACCTTCACCTCCAAGGACGCCTCAACCGATACAACACACCTCCAGCCAGCTTTCAGTTATTATTCCTTTGAAGTCATCGTCTTCAAAACCCACGCCAGTCAAGCCGGTCCACCAAGTGAAAGCGCCAAGACTGCAGGTTCTTATAGACCCCGAGGAATCATTGACTGCAATGCGCCACAGAGATCAAAAAGCGGAGGCAGATGATGCTCTGGCGAAACTTCAAAATGTCGTTCATGAGATATTTGAAGCAGAAGATGAAGTTGAGCCTGATGAAGCACTTGTCGTAACTGCCGACAGACCGAATCCGATTTTCGTGAACGCAAGGTTCCTGGAAGTGCATGGCGCACTTTTGTCTACTGATGCTCATATCCGCCTGCAAAAGGCAATCCGAAAAGTTGCTGGATTTGACCGACTGCAGGACATTCCATCTGATTACCTCACTCGGATACAGAAGCTCTGTGAAAAGCCCATCATTGCTTCTAAGACGCCCGACTTGCGATTAAATGACCCGTCAAATGAAGAAGAGGCGCGAGAGTGGGTGGCAAAGATAGAGGATGTTCTGAACGCTTTGCTCGCAATTGGAACTCTCTTACAAACGATGTCGGGGCGTCGGACGGAACGTGATCTTTGTCCAGAAGATCTCATTGAAGCCATTCCAATTGTTCTCAACCAAGCTTTCGATCATTGTATCATCCCTGCGGTGGAATGCCGCTCCAACGGTAAAGACAGTGGATTATTCACTTTCTTCTCGAGCCAGAAGCGAACAATTGCAAGCTTAATACACCAAAGCACCAAAGCACTGACTCTTTTCGCGGATTTCCTATCGCGCATCGATGTCTCCGATGGGACAATCACGTCAACGGAGTACTTTGCAACCAAGTTGATTTTCGTTGAAAACGCGCACAACGACAAGGATTCTGCGATTGGGTTCCAAAAGTACGAACCCGCTAGACGAGCTGTAATGGATGTGCTCGCAAAAATATTTTCAAAATATCCGGATCAACGAGCCTGCATTCTGGACGAGATCTTGGGTTCGCTGGAGAAACTTCCCTCGACGCGTCTGAGTGCCAGACAATTCAAACTTGCAGACGGCAAAAATATCCAGCTTCTCACTGCACTTGTGCTCCAGCTCGTGCAGACAACGGCTCTTCAAACCCCCTCACGATCCAAAGCTAAGCGTCGATTCCAGGGTGATGATGATGATGAATTGATGGACGGCGGTGATGATACATCGAAGGCTGTATCGGAAAATGACAATGATGATGAGCTGGATGAATCTTTAGAGCGCCTAGCCACCAAGGTCAACAGACTGTATGACAACACAGTTCGCAGCGCGCAATACATTGTGTCATACATGGTCAGTCGAGCAATGACTTCCCCCAAGACCGGCGATCAGCCGTTCCGAAATATTCTCGACTTTTTCACTGAAGACTTAATAAACGTCCTCGGGTCGACTGATTGGCCCGCTGCTGAACTAATTCTTCGGATCATGGCATCTCAAATGGTTGGCATTGCAGATCTTGACAAGAGCGCAGCAACAGCGAAGAGCATGGCTCTTGAGCTTCTGGGGTGGATGGGGTCTGCGATCTCCGATTTGATCGCCACTGCGCAACACATGTTGCCTGCCTTGGAGGACTCGGACAGCGATCTTACCGACTATCTCAAGCAGCAATTCGAAGACTCCATATCCCGGGCATTGCACCCACAAGATCTGATTACCTCCCAAGGCCCCTTCAGGATGGCCCTTGAGTATCTATCACAGGATAGGAACTCCGACAACTGGCAATTGACCAGTGCACGAGGCTACTACCTTGCTCAGTGGGCAAAGACTGTTTGTACACTCTATTACAACTCGGACGACAAAGAGGATGTGGTACACGACGACTCAACGGATGGGCTAGTTGCCCTTTTGTCAAAATTATTCTCTGACTCGCGCTGGTTGGAAACCCATAGGCGTTTTGACTCTGTTTCCAATGTCCACGGGCGGTTTGCATACATTCTAACCGTGTTGAATTCAAGCTTTGGCAAAGCTTTCGATACCATTCTCAAAGTTCTGTTGAACTCCATTGCTAGTGAGCAGGCCAAGGTCCGCAGCCGGAGTTTGAAGAGTGTCATCTACATGCTTGAGAAAGATCCCAACCTGCTTGACAGAGATGCCTCGATTATGCGAGTGATTCTGCGTTGTACCACTGACGCTTCACCCATGGTCCGAGATTCTGCGCTCTCTCTTGTCGCCAAATGCATCGGACTCAAACCCAAGCTCGAAGAAGAGGGCTGTCGCTGTATCCTTGCGTGCGCAGCGGATCAAACTGCTGGGGTTCGTAAACGATGTATCGGTCTACTCAAAGACCTTTATCATAAGACCTCTCGACAGGATTTAAAGTTGGCCATCCTCGACAGCTTTCTCCAGCGTACTGGTGATCTCGAGGAGAGTGTGGCAACTTTGGCCCGGCAGACCTTCGAAGAAATCTGGCTCGTTCCATTCCACGAATTCATGAATTCGACTTCCGATGATCCAAAACTCAAGATGGCACTGGGAGAGCAAGTTGCGCTTGTAGTTAGTCTTGTTCAGCGTAGCGAAACTGCCCTTGATTCTTTGAGCACCTGCCTCAAAGCCGTTCTTTCAGCAAAATCCAAAACAGCAGATATGAATTTCAAGGTTTGCAAAGCCATGGTGTCAATTATGTTCAATCGTCTCGTTGAGGATACGGATGCAATGGGGAAGGACTTCCAACAGGCTCTTTTGCAAACGGTCACCGTGTTTGCGAAGTCCAACGCAAAGTTGTTTACCCCAGACCAGCTGGAGGCCTTACACCCCTATATTGGTCACCTTGCAACCGCAGATGACCTTTTCATCTTCCGGTCTGTCGTGATCATTTACCGCTGTGTTCTGCCATACATTTCGACGTCCCACAATACTCTTCTGAAAGAAGTGCAAAATGATCTCTTTAAAAGTGTGGCCAAATTAGCTCGCTCAGAGCTCAACGAAGTCATGGCGTGTCTTTGGACTATCAATGGCGTTCTGCAAAACACTGAAAGGCTAGTGAAGTTGACTGTATCTGTCCTCAAGCCGTTGCAGCAATATAAGAGCGTGGATGTGGGGTTGCCTGCTAATGCTGCTGTCTTGGCCCGAGCGAAAAGCTACATTCGAATTGCTGGCTGCGTTGGCCGCCACTGCGATCTGGAAAAGTATCTCAATCATTTCAAGAGCTCATTCCCTACGTGGAATGGCGCAGTCGTGGCTGACCTGATGGTCGACTCTATTCTTCCCTTCACCGGCCACAACCAACCTCTGGAGCTGAGAGTCATGGCCCTTGAGAGTCTAGGCTCCATCTGCCAATCTTGGCCAGCTCAATTCGTCCGTGAGTCAACGCGCAAGACCTTTGTGCAAGTATTCAAGGAGGAGAGCCCGAGCTTGCAAAATATCGTGCTTCGGTCATTTGCAGACTTTTTCGCAATCCACGAGGGCAAATCCGAAAAATCAGTAATGCCAGCCTCAGATTCGGGATCTCAAGAAGACTCGACTCGACTCGGTGGTTCGCTTAGGGCTAGCGATAATGATGGCGCTGCTGCCTTGATCGCCCGAAATTTCCTCAACAACATGCTGAAGGTGGCCCAATCAAGACAGGATACTTATTCCCTTACTGCTATTGAACTCATTGCTAGCATCAATCGACAAGGCTTAGTGCACCCTAAAGAGTGCGCTGGTGTTCTTGTTTCCCTAGAGACGTCGACCATACCCGCCATCGCAAAGATCGCATTTGACACCCACAAAATGCTCCATTCACAGTATGAATCGATGTTCGAGCGAGAATACATGCGGGCTGTGCAAGAGGCCTTTTATTACCAACGCGATGTCGTCGGTGATTCATCGGGTGCATATGCTCGGCCTTACGTCTCGAAGCTTGCCCCATTATTTGAAATTGTTAAGATCAGCCCTAGTCGATACCAGAAGAAATTTCTCTCCAACCTCTGTGGCAAGGTCGACTTCGAGTTGAAGAAGCTCAACTCCAGTGGAGATCCGCCAGAACATCTTGTACTGACAAGATTCATTGCTCAGAATATCGCTCATTTCGATTATGGCCAGCTTACCGAGTTGGTGCCAACTATCCTGGTCCTGGAGCGTATTGTTTCGTCGACTGGTACTGTTGTTGCCCACGCTATCGAAACAGACATTTTCCCGAGTCCTATTGGGCCTCCTATGATCGAGACTCCAGGTGGTATGATGGGGGCGGCTCCTACCGTGCCCTTACCCTCCACCACGATACCACAGTCAGTCAATCCTGACGTCCTCAAGTCGCTAGCTACAGCTGCAGCATCTCTTTCCATCCTCTGGGAAACACGGACTTTCCTACGCCGCCTTTATGGAGTCCACTCTCACGGCAAAGATGGAAAACTGGCTATTAAGGAGCTCAACAAGACTGCTACGAAGGTACACGGTGTGACTGGTGATAAGTTCTGGGAGGCTATTGCAAGGAACATGACTTCTTTGAACAGCGAAGATGACATGTTGAGAAAATGCCGAGAATTCTCTACTTTGCTGGCCATCGACGAAGAATTCAAGGTGGATCGAGACGGGAATGCCGAAGGAGATGGTCTTGATGCCATAGGGGACGTTGATGACATGGAAGGCGTAGTCACTGGATCCCGTCCAGTGAAACGCAAAAGCTCAGTCTCGAGTACAGGCGTCAACAAACGCCCTAAGAGCCGTAAAGGGTCTGTTGGGAAGAGACGATCTAGCACTGAACCCGATGACGACTGGGAATGATGGATCATTGACCAGTGATTCAGTCCAAACTCTTAAATATTTAGACGACTATCTTTTCATTTGCATATCAGGCGACAATGGCGTTGGTTTTGTCTTTAGTTACACTGTTTACTCACGGAGAGCAGGTGTCATTATCTTCCTTTCATCTGTTACGAAGACCGGGGAGGTTGTTGATACAGGCCATATCTCTTTCTGCATGCGAGCGGCGCATATCTGTGGGCGGACGATTTTATCTCAACACTTAGCTATTACCCAAACTTCATGAGTACATAATAGAAATCATATCTCAGATACATATCTTTAAGAAATCCTTCGATGTTTTTTATGTAATAGGGGTGTTTTAACCATAAGTATACACCGGCGGAGGCCAATAACAGCTGAGCGTGCCGAATGCCGACTCCACGTGACTGGTGGAATGACGTCGGACTCTGTCGGAGCGCAAGCTAGACTTGCGCACGCCGGAACCCTGGTTGACCAAGCTTTTTTTACTTCTTTAACTATCTTTGGGGTGTGAATATTTTTGTTTTTCATCTGACCCTCTTTCAGCTTCAATTGTTTCGCCTGATTAAAGGGCAGGTGATGATTTGCCTGGCCTGTCTTGGCTACCGTTGATCTCCACTACTTGAACTTTCATCATGAGCGCGGCGTTGCTCCGGAGTCGCGCGGACGGCCCCACGCTGCGTTCAATTGGACTTTTATCGGCTCGATTGAATAGCACAAGGGCACCTTTAACTACTAGGTTTCCTCTTACACGTTCATTGAATACCGTTCCTCGCCGCCCCCTGCCACGCCATGCTTTCGGCCCAGCCTCGCAAGCGTTGATTGCGATTCGATTGAAGTCCGATAATGCCGCCGAGAAATCCAAGCCCACTAGACCGTCGCGTGTTATGAAAATTATCGGCAAGACATTCTCCTACTGTGGTGTTCTGTTCGCTGGCGCTACAATTTGGGTTGTCGCATTCTTTATTTACGATGCCAGTACATACCGTGAAACGCCAACTGCGGAGGACATACCTGTATCGGAATTGGCGTTGAACCCTCGCCTGGGAGGCCCCAAGAATCTGCCTATTGCTGATTTCCTAGTCGGAGATTATGACTCTGACTCAATGCTTGAGCAGAAGGACAAGCCTCGCTTGGTGATTTTGGGTACAGGCTGGGGCAGCATTGCGTTGCTGAAGAACTTAAACCCCGGCGACTACCATGTCACAGTCGTTTCTCCTACGAACTACTTCCTTTTCACCCCCATGCTGCCCTCTGCTACAGTAGGCACTTTGGGTCTTCGCTCGCTTGTGGAACCAGTCCGCCGCATCATTGATCGCGTGAACGGTCATTTCTTGAAGGCCGAGGCTACGGATGTTGATTTCTCAGAGAAGTTGGTGGAAGTGTCACAGGTTGATAAGGATGGCAAGAAAAGGAATTTCTATCTTCCATACGACAAGCTTGTTGTTGGTGTCGGTACGTTCAAATTGTCGCTAGCTTTCGTTGAGCTCCTGGTGGATATACCTATTCTCCTTTTTGAAACTAACATTGCATCTTTGTAGGCTGCGTCACAAATCCTCATGGTGTCAAGGGTCTCGAGAACTGCAACTTCCTAAAGACGATTGACGATGCTCGTCGGATCAAGAATCAAGTTCTAGACAATATGGAGTTGGCCTGTCTGCCTACCACTTCTGACGAGGAGCGCAGGCGTCTTCTCTCATTCGTGATTTGTGGTGGAGGTCCGACTGGAGTTGAGTTTGCTGCCGAATTGTTCGATTTACTGAACGAGGATCTGCTGCATTCGTTCCCCAAAATTGTTCGGAATGAGATTTCCGTGCATATTATCCAGAGCCGAACTCATATCCTGAACACTTATGACGAGGCACTTTCCAAATATGCCGAGGTAATTTTCCCTGCGAGAAAAATACAATTGAATGTAAATAATACTAACATCATCCAGAGCCGCTTTGCCCGTGACGGTGTTGAAGTACTAACCGGTGCTCGTGTTAAGGAGGTCAAGAATGACCGTGTTCTTTTCAGCCAGATGGAAGATGGCAAAGAAGTCGTCAAAGAGATCCCTACTACATTCTGTCTGTGGTCTACTGGAGTTGGTGAGTTCTACCAGTGACCCGCTTATCATCTAACAATGCTGACATCTTCAAGCCCGCGCAAAGATCTGCGAAACGCTGTGTGACAGACTTGACGGCCAAAACAACAAGCACGCCATCGAAACCGACTCGCATCTCCGTGTAATTGGGGCGCCATTAGGAGACGTTTACGCCATCGGTGATTGTTCTACCGTTCAAAACAACGTCGCCCAGAACATCATCCGCTTCCTCCGTACCATTGCCTGGGAAAAGGGCCTCGACCCAGAGAAAGTACACCTCACTTTCTCTGAATGGCGCGACGTTGCCAACAGAGTGAAGAAGCGCTTCCCACAAGCCTCGAGCCATCTGCGCCGCGTGGATAAACTCTTCGAGCAGTACGACGCCGACCACTCAGGAACCCTTGACTACGGCGAGCTCTCTGAGCTCCTCCACCAGATTGACACGAAATTGACCTCCCTTCCTGCGACTGCCCAGCGTGCTAACCAGCAAGGTGTCTACCTGGGCCGCAAGTTGACTAAGATCGCCTCCGCGCTGCCCGGTCTCAGAGCCAACGAGATTGATTACGGTGACCTGGACGAGGCTGTCTACCGTGCTTTCAAGTACAAGCATCTGGGCAGCCTGGCCTACATCAGTAACGCTGCTATTTTCGATTTTGGTGGACTCAGCTTCAGCGGTGGTGTCGTCACTATGTATCTGTGGCGGAGTATCTACTTCGCTCAAAGTGTCAGCTTCCGCACCCGGTGTATGCTGGCCATGGACTGGGCTAAGCGTGCGCTTTTCGGAAGAGGTATGTTTCCGATCTCCAAAATTAACATTTGACCTTTTTAGATAGCTAACGTGTGTTTCAATTCTGCCTTTAGATCTCATGAGTTTCTAAAGAACCGTTGCCATCCCTCACGACATAAAACCTACTTCATACAGCACATATACTAGCCTCGATGTGAATCCAATCTGCTACAATACTATGATTTCGAAAGTTTTGCATAGAGATTCTTGTTTGAGATTGCCCCTTATAAAGGTTGAATGATGCTTGAGCGTTCAAATTGTCATTTCAATAGGCCTTTGCACTTAATCACAGATTCGTTGGGTGGCTTCATATTTGCTAGAGGATTACGTTGGAGCTGTACACTTTCTATCTTGCACACTTGTTTGTTCTAGCTCAATGAATTTATCATAGCCCGCGGGCAGTCTGAATAACTTCTTGTTGGATGTAAGCTTGGAATACTTACCATGCCGGGTACACCAAGTCCGCATTGACCTTCGATGGCACATACATACAAGAAGCAGAGCACATGCAAGTAACCCACCAGTATCTCCCACGGATTCTGTTTTTACTGACAAGACTAATTTGGGAGTGAAAATATTCAGAGATCAAAATCATATTGATTTATTTAATAATAAATAATAGTGTTGGGTTAATCATCCTGAGAGCCAATTGATGACTCAAAAGGCAATGAAACATATCAAAGTTGTACACCGAAGCGCCACGCTAAAAGCTGAAGAAAATGGGATAGTGTCATGGTGTTGGTAAAAGGGGCGATTAAATCATGCAACCATCGAGGCATCCCCATTGTTTGCCATGATAGTATCGGAACCATCCTGGGTACCACTGTTGAGGTCGTTACTGTTACTGGTGCGGCTGCTGTTATCATGAGTATCGCTGACAAGGCCAATATCTAGCTTGTCGGGAATATCCTTTTTGGCAGCGCGGGCCTTCGTTTCCGCAAACGCACGGAGTTTCACCAGTTTGCGGAGACGAGCCTCTTTTTCAACACCTTGGTCATGGAGAATAGCCTCGTTGACGCGAGTGGCAATATCTTTACGGAGGCCGGGGTCTAAAAGCGAGGCAAGAGATGGTGACAAATTGTCGCTGGGAAAAATCAAGAGGGCAAGAGTCCGCTCCAGATCATCCAGGAAATCGGGCCGGGTTGTTGCACGAGGCGCCAACTGCGACGTTGCGAAATCCAACGCGGGACTGATATCGCCATTGGGGGCAGAGGTGCAAGTTCGAATCAATTCGACCAGCTGGAGGCGCAGAAGGGCGAAGTGTAAAGGGGGTTCTCTGTCGAGGATCTATTCAATCTTGTTAGCCATGGCACAAAACATGACATGTGTGAATAAGAGTTGAATGTGATAATGCTGTTCATACTGAGGACTGAAGATGTTTGACTATCCGCAACTCCCCGAAGGGTGTACTAGGAGTGGTGCATGAAACTGTTGATAATCATAACAGCAGGGGAGGGGGTGGCAGATTGTGCCAGATGGGGAATGATAAAATCCTGTGTATTCTTACCTGAGGGTTGAGCTCATTGATCTTTTCAATGGCCAGTTGAATATTCCCAGAGTGGATGGCGGTCCGGATTTCCACGCGTTCCTGGATAAAATCCAGGTCTGGCTTTCGTTGGATATTGGCTTCAACGGCAAACTTCTTTGCAGCGGCAGGATATCCATTGGTGATCAAATAATCCATGACGAGGTAATTGATGTCACTGAAGCTTGTCATTAGCCATGGTTCACAACGAAGCTTGATGAATCAAAAAATGATTGTGATAAAGTGATTCAGATTACAAGTCAACACATTCTCCTCATGTATTTTCGGAGAGATTCCCAACTTGGTTTCAAGGTACATCATATCACAGCGTAAAGCCAAAGGAAGAAAAATGGGTAACGCTGGGGAGAAGGAGGAAAACTCACGTTTTGGACGGCTTCACCTCGTCGACCTTCCGCTCGAATTGGTGCCAATTCGGGGTGGTCGTCGAGGGAGTACGAGACATCTGTGCAGTGTTAAAAACTCGACAATCAGGGCTGTCAAGACAGCAGAATGCATACGGGATTAGCAGATGACATGACGCAAGCTGTGCCACACAAGAGCTTCGAAGCTATCCGTCAAGTTCTGAGGGCAACCCGAGAGACGACGGCCATGGAGTAAAGGCAGAACGCTGGAAGGGAATAGAGGAGGAAGAATATTTCCAGTGCCCATGTAGAGAGAAGGAAAAGAAAGAAACGGAAGGCGCGCGAAAAACGGAAAGAAATAGTCGTAGCTCCGCTTATGTCATCCACGAAGCGAATGGTCACGCGCTAAGCCTAATCGATCATTGAGTTGGAGATAAACCGAAAACGACATACACACCTCGAATCTTGATAAGAACATACATGGTGGAGGAGCTTTGAAAATCATGGAGTCCATCTCACCTTTCCACTCGCTCACCCCGGAGGTGAAATACTCTCCGCCATGGCAGGACTTGAGCATCATCGGCATCGCAGGCAGCTCCGGGTCTGGCAAGACCTCGGTGGCCGTTGAGATCGTCAAGTCGCTAAACCTTCCTTGGGTCGTGATTCTTGTGATGGTATGACCCTAAAGGCTATCCTAGTAAAAACTCTTCGTAGTCTAATATCCGATCGAAATAGGACTCTTTCTACAAGACCTTGACACCCGAGCAGCATCGCAAAGCGCATTCAAATGAATATGATTTCGATTGTCCAGATTCAATTGATTTCGATCTACTGGTGGATACCCTCAAGGACTTGAAACAAGGGTATTTCATCCTATGTAAATCTTCTTTTGATTTGACCTGACTAACAGAAAAATCAGGAAAAAAAGTCACATCCCAGTATATTCGTTCGCTGATCATCAGCGTCAAAGTCATACCACCACTCTGTATTCGCCTCGAGTGTTGATCCTTGAGGGTATCTTGGCACTGCATGATCCCCGAATCGCAGAGCTTCTGGATGTCAAAGTAAGTTTGATAGCTACGTTTTCCCTGTTTGACATTTTTACCATGGATACAAACAAAGTTGCTGACCTGAAATGCAGATCTTTGTTGAAGCCGACATGGATGTCTGCCTGGGCCGTCGCCGTATGTCAACTTGCATTATATGACAACGTCGCTTTAACTAATCACGCACACACATATTTAGTACTTCGGGATGTCAAAGAGAGAGGTCGTGATATTGAGGGCATTGTCAAGCAGTGGTTTACCTTCGTTAAGCCATCTTACACTAGATTTGTTGAGCCCCAGCGGGGAATTTCCGGTAAGTCCAACCTCAATATTCGCTCAAACTAATCTTCAGAGACATAACATTTACAGACATAATCATCCCCCGCGGAATAGAAAACCTAACGGCTATCGGTAAGGACTCCCGGGTTGCTTTCAAATCTCTTGACCCTAATTTTGATAGATATGGTTGTGAAACATATCCAACGCAAGCTACAAGAGAAGTCTGAAAAGCACACCGAAGAGCTTCACCGGCTCGGCCTCATCGCTGCCAAAGTTGAATTGCCCCCCAATGTTCATGTACTGCCTACAACCCCCCAGCTTGTAGCCATGAATACTATCCTGCAAAACCCCGAGACTGAGGAGGTGGACTTTGTCTTCTATTTTGATCGACTTGCGTCGATTTTGATTGAGCGGTACGTTTCGACCCCCTGGCTAAAGTCCCGGTTATTTGATACTAACAGCCGACGAACAGTGCCTTGGATATGGCACAGTATGTTCCCACAAATGTGGAAACCCCACAAGGAAACAAGTATCTGGGCCTCACCCCACAAGGAGCCGTATCCGCTGTTGCAATTTTGCGTGGCGGGTCTTGCTTAGAAACTGCTTTGAAGCGAAGCATCCCTGACTGTGTCACTGGCCGGGTGTTGATCCAGACAAATGAGTCTAGCCAGGAGCCTGAACTGCACTATTTGAAGTTACCGCCGCAATTGGCCGAGCACAATAGCATTCTCTTGTTGGATCCACAGATGTCTAGTGGAGGAGCTGCCCTCATGGCTGTTCGTGTCTTGATTGACCACGGTGTCCAAGAGGAAAATATTGTTTTCGTGACATGCGCGGCTGGAGAAATGGGCTTGAAGCGCCTGGCAGCAGTATTTCCCAAGATTAATGTTATCGTCGGTCGGATTGAGGAGGAGGGCGAGCCACGGTGGATGGAGAAGCGCTACTTTGGCTGTTAATCATTCGCGTTCTGTCAAAGTTCCAACGTAAATACACGCCCATTGCAAATATTGAAGCTCACGAATATACTTGATTTATGAAATGATGAACCAATTTGTATTGTTGTCTAAACATTGCAAAGAGTTTGGAGTTACTATCACTACTAACTAGTAGTATGTAGTATGTACTAGTCTCTGTTGGGTACTATAGATGTAAATTCCCCCTTTAGGTTAAAGTGCACGTGTTAACTGACCGCCCTGAAACGCCGGCAGAAAAAAAGAAATTTGTCCGCAGTCCGCAGCCGATCAGATCACTTCCCAACTATTTTGAGATACATACACCAGGCTTCCTTTTGTTCCCTTCTTCCTAGCCAATCTATCTGCTCCTGAGCAGCTGGAGACCAAAATGGCAGGCCAAGACAAGAAAAAGTCCAGAAAGGCCGGTGGAGCCAAGGGCGAAGCCGGCAAGGTCATCAGTATGTTAACTGTTTTATGCGCTGAATGATATGGAAAAGTAATAGTTTCTAACTTTTGTTCTCCCTACAGCCGATCCTCGATTTGCTAGCATCCAATCCGATCCTCGTTACCGTCTTCCCAGCAAGCGCCAGACCCATGTCAAACTTGACAAGCGATTTGCGCATATGCTTGAGGATAAGGATTTCTCTCGCAATGCCGCCGTTGATCGCTATGGACGCAAATTGGCTCGGGATGACACCAAGCAGCAATTGAAAAAATTCTATCGCCTGGACGAGGATGACGAGGATGAGGACGAGGACGAGGACAAAGTTAGCGTCGAAGATGACGATGTCGTTGAAAAGGAATTGAAGCGGGTCGACGTACCTGGCTACGATCCTGCTCGTGACGGTGGCTTTTCTTCTTCCTCTTCTGAAGATGAAAGCTCCAGCGATGAAGATGAAGATGAAGCAGCAGCCGAGAACGAAAACGAGGAACTTGAATTCCCCGACAAAGAGCGCGCTGATGTTCCTCTTGGAGAAGTTACGGAACGGATAGCTGTTGTCAACTTGGACTGGGATAATATTCGGGCGGAGGACCTGATGGCTGTCTTCTCTAGTTTCCTTCCACCCGGAGGCCGCGTCTTGAACGTTTCTGTCTACCCCAGTGAATTTGGAAAGGAGCGCATGGAGAGGGAAGAAGTGGAAGGTCCCCCGAAGGAAATTTTTGCGAAGAAACAAGAAGCTCCGAGTGAGGATGAAGAAGAGCTTGATTCTGATGAAGAGGAGGAGGAAATCAAGAAGTCTCTGCAGAAGAGCGACGAAGGCGAGGAATTCAACACAACACAGCTGCGACGTTATCAGCTGGAGCGACTACGCTACTACTATGCTGTCCTCACATTCTCCTCCAAGGAGGGTGCCAAGCATGTCTATGATCTTGTGGATGGCGCGGAGTACCTATCTAGTGCCAACTTCTTCGATTTACGATTCGTTCCCGAGGACACCGATTTTGATGACGACAAGCCACGAGATGTCTGCAACCGAATTCCCGATGGCTACAGACCAAACGACTTTGTGACGGACGCTCTCCAGCACAGTAAGGTCAAGTTGACATGGGATGCGGACGACAAATCACGAAAGGAGGTTCAAGCACGCGCATTCGGAGGGTCACGAAAGGATATTGAGGAAAATGACCTTAAAGCATACCTGGGAAGTGACAGCTCCGACAGCGAGGACGAGGAAGATGGCGGTGTGGAGGTGGTTGACAGTACTGCGGGTGAAGGTGCAGGCGTCAAATTATCCAAGCGGGAAGCCGAGAGACAGCGCATGCGTGCTTTGCTGGGTCTGAGCGCACAGCCTGCCCCATCCTCTCAACCAAAGGGTCCTACCGGTGAGATGGAAGTCACTTTTACATCTGGACTCGCAGGTGGTAAAGCCAAAAACACCATCTTTGAGAACGAACCAGAAATTGACGAGACCACTCGTGAAAGATATGTACGAAAGGAACGTGAGCGCAAGCAGCGCCGAAAGGAAAAGGTTAAGTCTGGCAAGTCCGACGAACACTCTGAAGAAACCAAGGAAGTTGCCAGTGGCGATGAGTTTGATGCCGAGGCACCACAAGAAGAGGATCTTGGTTTCAATGATCCCTTCTTCGACGATCCTTCTGGTAAGGCCACTTCTGCGTCTATTCGCAAGGAGGAGAGGCGTAAGAAGCGCGAGGAGCGTGAAGCTGAAGAGGCTGCCTCTGCTGCTCAGCGGGCTGAGCTCGAACTCCTGATGGTGGACGATAAGGAGGCAACCATCAAACACTTCAACATGACCGAAATTGAAAAGGCAGAGAAGCAAGCACGGAAGAAGGGCAAGGGCAAGGGCAAAGGAAAAGCCAAGGCGGCAGCTGTCGAAGACAACTTCAATGTGGACACCCAGGATCCCCGGTTTTCTCGTCTGTTCGAGAGTCATGAGTTTGCCATTGATCCGACCAACCCTCGCTTCAAGGCCACTTCCGGCATGAAGGCCCTGCTTGACGAGGGCCGTAAGCGCCGACACACCCGTGATGACGGTGAAACTGAGGCGGTTTCGTCCACTCAAGACCGGAAAAAGAAGCAGAAGAAGGAATCTAATTCGGATCTGAAATCGCTGGTGGATAAGGTTAAACGGCAGTCGAAGAAGGCATGATCATGTCATTCAATGTTCAATGTTTATTTATGGGACCCGGGTGCAAATCAAACAATTTATGTGATTAACAAAATACTTACAGTAGATACTAGTATTTCATGATATCCAGTTCGAAGGTTCTATCTTCATTTTACCAATGTTCACAAGCTCGTTGGAAGTCTACTAGTTTCTTTGCATGGTACCTATCCGTATCTACTAAATCCTTAGTACATGCATGACGTTTACGGCATATACCAACGTTTGTATTGCCCTCCTAGAACGACATGGGGCTTTATGACTCCCAGTCTCTGAGCTTACCGTGGGACTGAGGATCAGAAGCTCTCACCGAGTCGAACACTGCGTTACCTCGCAACCTTGGAACAAGAAATGCGCGATGCGGTGTCACATTGAGGCTGAGATCATGTGGCATGCCCGTTGTCCGTTCCTTCACCGCCTCTTTCGAATTGCGGCCTCTCTCTCTCCACCCTTTCTAGAGTCCACCTCCCCACAGTACATTCTTTCCTCAAGAACTACTCCTTGCCCCAATTCTTCCAAGGTCGGGGTTAATTGATCTTTGTCAGACCTTACCCACCCAGCTCGCTTGTGGGGTGCTTTATCAGCCAATTCCCAATTGCTTCTTCAAATTCGCCCCACTCTGTGCTGCACCTCATCCCACTTCACTTCACTTCATTTCTCCCCTCAATTACCACGCTTTATTGCCCCTCTTACCATCTGCTTATGATGGTATCTGCCCAGTGGAACTAAGAAATGGGTAGATGCAGTCTAGTTTTATCTAGCTGTCTGATACCCATCGTTACACAGCGTTTCTAGACCGGACCGTTTTTATTTCTCTGCACCTTCAAGTATAATTATCCCGGGCTTTCCCGTGGTACAACTTCACTATGCTGGGCCGACTCTTAAGCACAGCTGCTTCAAGCCTGAACCCTGCAGCATTCAACCCACGAAACAATGGCACCCCTCTCGAATCAGTCACTGAGGAGGAACACACTTCCGGCCTTCTCTTTCCCGATGCCAGCTTGCTCCGCCGTTCGAATACCCACGCATACCCCCTCCAGACCACATTCCACTCCCCGAACGCTTCAACAGCTGGTGCTTACGATGACCGTGGAGGAATGGAACTAGATGCCATTAAGGACTTTCGAGTGGTTGTGGCACAGAACGCCCTAGGGGACCGTGACGCGTGTATCCTACTAGACACTCGTGCGTCAGATCCGTCACCCACCGGTCTCGGGATCGACTCACAAGGTCTCGATCAAACTGGCGGCAGGCATTCCCGTGCTGTCTCCAGTCTCTCTCGTGGATCTCGTCGGAACTTCCTCACCCAGTCCTCCGTCGTTGAATCCAGCCCCCTCTCCTCGGCTGCAGATGCACGTAGACCAACACCTGCGGGTCCTGGTGCTTTCTCACGAGCACGAGGTCGCAGTTCCACACTCGCTCAAACGGGAACACAACACGACCCCGGCACTTCGCGGCATGGTGTGGACGCCAATGATACTGGTCTTCTCAATTGCATCTTCGGTAGCAGCGCATTTAGCTACCGTGGATCCTCTACAAAAATGCACATCATCTCTGCTGATGATGACCCACCAATAGGGGCAAGCATGTCACCTGCAGCACGAAGCCCACTTGCTCGAGCCTACACTACTGGAAATTCGGCAGAATTTGGACCAGCCAAAGGGCCCGATAAGCCACCTTCCAAAGTTACCGTTCTTGTGACTCGGATGTTTAGCGTCAACCTTCCAGAAGGAGCCGAGGCATCCGCTGAGCGTCATGATTATGCCAGTGCCCTCTACCAAGAGTCTCTGCCAGAAATGGGATTTCCTTTCCCGGATATTGCAAAACGCAAGAAGATAAAGGAGAAGAAAACTCCCATGTATGCTGTCGCTATTACTATCCAAATTCCTCTATTGGCACGGAATGCACCACGACCTGTGTCGCGATTCAGCACCCTTGCTCCTGACTCCCCTCGGCCAGGGCTGTCTAGCTCTTTGGACTCGGATTACCGATGGCCTGGTTTTCTATTTGATGATAGTCTGTCATCTGCGTCTCCTCCAGCGAGTTTGGATGAGCGTTTGGACCTGTTGGTTGATCATTGGGATGTCATTACTCGAACGTTATCTCACCTAGAGCGACTCGCGCGCAACGAAATCCTGTTTTTATTGCGGAAGGTTGACTCTATGTCAGGGCCACATCCAAAACCCGACAAGCCACCCAATATGCAACGGACTAATCAAACCATTGTCCATCTGCCTGCCAACATCTTGTCTGTGAATTCCAAACTCAAGGAGGAGGCGATACGCAGTAGCCGTCGCATCAGCTTAGCCCTTCAGACCCCATATGTTGTAACTGGCCAAAGTCGCTGGGGCGTGTGGCGAGAGGAGGGTCGCTCAATTGTTCGAGGCCTTGGCGACAAGGAGAGCAATTTCTTCTTCCTGGTGCTGCTCACGGCATTCCTGGGCAATCATACGGAGTGGCTTAATTCTCTAGGCCCAGAATGGTACCGCCGCCGGCACAGCCAACAGCAAAAGGCTCAACAAGACGTTGATCCCGTTCTTGCCCACCGAACTGTCATTATTTGTCCGGACAAAATGACTGCCCGCCGTCTCATTTTCTTGCTCTCGGCCTTCCTACCGTCTAAGCAGCGCATAGAACCGTTACCTTCCCCGCTTCGTCCTGGCACATCGGCATCAATGCGCGCTGTTTCTCAAAGTCCACCTACTGTCCCCGTGCTGCGACAAGAATCCCTGAGAAGAGCAATTGAGCGACGTGCCCGTGCACAGCGGCTATGTCCAGGCGACACTAGTCACCACCGGCGCTCGGTAAGCGCCTCATCTCAAGACACACCTCAGCGATTATCTGAGGGCATCGACCAGCCCCCTGTAGCCGAGTTCACACCCGCCCGTAGGGGATCAGATGCTCGGTCAATGAAAACATTGAGTGCAACCATTCAGGCAAAGGACCCACGGCCCAGCGCTACCAGTGGCGCAACAACCTCTATGACGACCCAGAAAAGCACAGTTCCTGTTCCACACTTCACATCACAACAAAGTCGTGTAAGTCAGGGAGGACCTGACCGTGCTGCCGATGCAAATGAAAGCTTGGCTTCGGAGAATCTGCTCAAGAACCTGCGAAGAAGTGACAGCTCGAATTTGGGTTCTAATGGTAGTGTTCCAGCTGGCGAAGGCCGCTGGGGTGGCTTATTTTCTGGGCTATGGAGCTCACGACAGGAGTCGTCAACTAAGGGTAGTGATATTTATTCCCCGATTGATGCGCGAAAGCGATCAGTTTCTACAATAGCTGGCCCGCCCATGCGTGCTCAGCCTACATTGAACCAGATGGTAAAGGAAGCTACAGAGGACATTATTGAGCATCGTCCTGATACCGCTCCTACGAGTGGGAATATTTCGATTCCAGCTGCTGCTACCCACAGCGCTAAGGATGAATCCCCGGAACCATCGTCGCTTACAAGCCAAGTCCGAGAATCGCCTTTGAAGTTATCAGTTCGGGCAGAAGAAGGGATCGTAGATGTCGATCTCCCACTTCCTGGATTCCTGTCACTCTCTTCTTCGGGTGATTCTACCATTGCCTCACCCAAAAAGACAAGAACTTCAATCACAAGTTTCGATGCCATTCCGTCCACCCATAGCAGCGGCTCCGGATTTCATAATACTGCAAAGGAAAATGATGGTTCTAGTACACACGTTGCTGGATGGCTCAAATCTTTCCATGAAGATTTCTCCTTGCAAGCGGTACGGCCATATGCTACTCTAGAAGCAGACATCAAACGTGCAATGCAGGCTGAGCCTTCCCCATATATACCCTCGACTCCTGATGCGGAAGGATCTGAGAGATGGGTGGATGTCGCAACAACCTTGATCGCGGACACTCGATCTTCCTCTATTAAGCGCCTGCGATTGAGACGCAAGATCATCGTGGGCCAACATTATGGGCCAAATCATACCCCTCCTTCCCCGGCTGTTGGGCACACTCGTAACTCCACAGCCTCCTCTACATCATTCTCCGGCTTCTTTTCCGGGTATGCCAAATCCCCAGAAACCGCCGTTCTCGAAGGACGCGACCCCCAATACGTGGACGAGCGATTCATTGAAGAGCCTGTCATGGACCTTGATGGTATTCTCGTCGATGCTGTTGAGCGGGTCCTTGGTCAAAGTGGGTATTCGTCGCTTGCTCACTCTCGGGCCCCATCTCCAACACGTGCACGCAGAGCCGAAGACAAAGGTCAAACGACCCCTCGTGCTGAAGATCCTCTAGCTGAAGTTCCCCGCACTGAGTGTCGTAAGATGGTTCTTGGTGCTCTTGAAGAGGTTGTCCGTCTTGTCACTGCTGAACACTGCCGAGAAGATGTGGACGGTGAGTTGGGGCTAGCGGATCGAGAGCGAAGAAGAGCCATGGCAGGTGCCGATAACACCTTACGTGAGGGCATCCGGAAATGGCTTCTTGAGGTTGAAGAATCCTGGTAGTTTGCTTGATGCTGGATTGTACATGTTCTGAGCCTTCAGCAATTCCTTGCATACCTTGTATTGTTCTGCATACCTACTACTCAAGCCATCAAAGTCATCTGCGCTGGGTGAACGCAAGACTGGTGGCTTTTATTTTGATTTTTTGTTTATTTGCATGCATTCATCCCTTGTTCTGACCATGATACCCACTATTTGTCAAGGCCTTGCATTTTCTTGCCAAGCCCATCGTTATATTCAAATCCAATTTCAAGAATTCTGCATTGAACCAGCTACTGAATAGTAATATTATCTATGAGAAAATCTTTCGTCCCGTATGTCAATCTGCCTAGATACTTATAATTTCAATGGGATGTCCCTCAGACTGAACCACCTTACCATCCTCCGTAGGCGAGAGCTGAATTGTCTTCAAAACCTCATCTGTTTGACTTGGGTTCACGACTTCAACAGTCGTTTCCACGGCCAAATGTCCATTGACCAATGCCTGCACACCGGACAATGCATCATCCTCGGGTGTCTTGAGTGTGGGATTTATCAATGTCACTGATCCTGGACGAACAAGAACAGGCAAAGTATCAAAGTCATGAGTCTCAGTATACCACTGGCCAGCCTCATAAGACTTGGAATGATCAAACCATGAAACCCACTTCCCATTCACACCCTCAACCTTCGGGACATAAAAGGTCACCACGCCATCCTCCGAGAAAACAGGCGCGATCAGTAGGTTTGATCCGAACATGTATTGCGTGTCGATGGCATACGTATTCAGATCCTCCGGGAACTCCAAGAAAAGCGGCCTCATCAGCGGCGTGCCGTCTCGATGTCCCCTCAACGCTTCCTGGAGAATATATGGCGTAAGAAGAATCTTCCGCTTCACGCAATCCCGCAGCACAGCCGAGCAATCCTCGCCATAAATCCAAGGAACTCGGAACGACGACGATCCATGGAGTCTGGAGTGAGACGAGAAGAGTCCAAACTGCACCCATCGCTTATAAAGTGCAGGTGGCGGCGTCCCTTCGAACCCTCCAATATCCGACGCCCAGAAGATGTATCCACAGAGCATGAGACTGAGTCCGCCACGCAGGGACTCGGCCATGGCTTCGAACGTGCTCTCACAGTCTCCACCCCAGTGTACGGGGTACTTCTGGCCGCCTGGCGCGGTGCTGCGGGCGAACAAGAGGCCTTGGTTGTGGCCTACGCCGGCTTCGAGGGTTTCGTACACGATGCGATTGTAGAGGAGTGCGTAGTAATTGTGCATCCTCTCTGGGTCCGAGTTATCGTGGTACTTGACTCCCTTTGTAGGGATTCGTTCCGCGAAGTCGGTCTTGAAGCTATCCACGCCCATCTCCATGAGACGTTCTAACTGGCCGGTGTACCAACGGCAAGCGGCTGGGTTGGTGAAGTCCACGACAGCCATGCCAGCTTGCCACATGTCCCACTGCCAGACAGAGCCATCGGTGCGCTGGAACCGTCAGTTTCACTCTGCTCAGATAGAAAGTGGAAAGAGAACCCTGCATACCTTGATGAAATAACCGTTCTTCTTGCCCTCTTCGAACAAGGGCGATGCTTGTCCAACGTATGGATTAATCCACACACTAATCCGCAAGCCACGCTCCTTCAGCCGCTTCATGTACCCGCCAGCATCAGGAAACATTTCCGTATCAAAATCGAAATCACACCACTGGTAAGACTTCATCCAGAAACAATCAAAATGAAACACGCCCAGCGGAATATCTCGGTCCCGGAACCCATCCAGGAATCCAGTGACCGTCTGCTCGTCATAGTTTGTCGTAAAGCTAGTCGTCAGCCAGAGATTGTAACTCCAAGATGGCACCAGGCCCGGACGTCCCGTTAAAGATGTATACCGTCTCAAGACATCCTTGGGCGTCTCGCCATAAACAACAAAGTACTCGATCTCTTCGCCGGGAACGGAGATATTGACTCTGGTCGTCCGCTCAGATTGAACTTCCAGACTCACTTTTCCCGGGTGGTTGACGAAGACGCCATACCCTTTCGAGGACATGTAGAATGGGATGTTCTTATACGCCAGCTCGGACGAGGTGCCTCCATCCTCATTCCAGATATCAACCGTCTGTCCATTCTTAGCAAGGGGTCCGAACCGCTCGCCTAGTCCGTAGATTTTCTCGCCAACACCTAGATCAAGACCAATGAGCATGTACCCCTGCCTTTCAGCGTAGATACCATCAGCGGTACTGTACTTCTCGCTCCGCGTATCGCCGACATAGCCGATTGCGCGGCTAGAGTGGCCAGTAAGCTTTTTATTCGAGGGAGAGCGAAAGACAAAGTCTAGCTCGTTGGCTGCGGTGTTGATATCGAGTTTCATAGACCCACTGCCATAGTTCAGGCTGTTGGTCGATTTGTCATGGCTGATATCGGTGTGTCCATTGGATTGGCTAATGTCGTAATGGGGGCCGTTGTCGACTTGTCCTGCCCTGGGAGATCAAGGACCGCGGTTAATAAAATGGATCAAAGAGTAGATCTGAGGGTTCTCATTGGTGGACAATTTACCAGTGCACTAGTTTCACGCCGATGATCCCTTCTTGCGGAGAGGTGACTTGGGCCGAAATTGTTGCTGTTAAGAGTTGAAGTTAGTCTCAGCAATCAATTGCAGCTCATATTCGAGTATTTGGATGCATACGCGAGTTTAGAGTATCGCCGCGGTGACGTTGGAACTTGTTTAGAAGCAAATTGACGCTTTCTTGTTCGATGCGGAGCCGCTCCACATTGCTCATCCAGTCGATGCGGACGCCTTCCTACAAAACATGTATGGATTAGTCCTTTTTCTCACTTTTTTTTTCTTCCTCCTTTTCCAAAGAGATGAGAAGGATTGGATCTTCTGATAAAAGATTGATTTACCTGCAGGCACCACATTCCAGCTGTGAACTTCATTGTGTCAAGATCGCCGTTGCGAAAGACTGTGGGGGTTTGGTGTAGAAGCGGGGCCTTCAGTCACAGCAAAGGCAACCTTGGAATTTATCTTCAAACTCCTCAGGAAGAAGGAAGACAAGATATTGATGAGAAATTGCAATTCAAGGAGCTTAGAGAAGAAAAAAAAATCATTGACAAAAAAAAAGCGACGACAATAGCTCATTTTCAAGAAGCTCTATGGACTCGGGAACCTCCATTCGACACGGACGACCATCCGGCCCAGAAAGCAGTCCAGATCCACAGGTAGTCATGCATACAATTTCCGAGGTCTGTTTTACAGGAAACACGTCAAGCGGGGCAGCATCCCAGAGATGATGGGGACCTATGATAGTAGCTTAGAGCTCCAGAATGTATAGCTAGGCATAGTTATAATTGGCGCAGCCACCCGACCAGGGGTTGGCGGGGTCGGGTGAATTGAATCTGGCTAAATTAGTTTCCTTATGGTGGCGTTGATCCTTGGGAGCTCGGTTCGGTTATACGGGTAATTTCTATGCAGAACAACATTGGAAGTCAAATCTCGGAAGACAGGACGCGGTGATAGTACAACATCAAATGTTGGTTGTTCAAAATCGCAGTACATTAAACTGGGTACAGGGTATTTAAAAGCGTGATACAGTAAGTTACTAGCAAATGACAAACATGGCCATTCTCAAGCCAGAGGCCGGAGAGCACCACTCCTTGGACTCCGTGGACTGCCCTTGTAGCTCACACTCTCGCCTCGAGCCCTCGCTCGAGTTAATTCCGGCGAAATCAATCCATCCCGTGACTCACGGGGCTCACCAAACACTCTAGACGGCAAGCCAGGCGGAGGCGAGATGTGGTGGCTGACGACACTGGCGGGAAGCTCAAGTGACGGAATAGAGGTATCCATGAGATGGGTGGTGGCAGGTTCGACCTTGGTTGACGCGGGACGAATATGGGACTCGCTGTAGAACTGCTCCAGTGTAGCTGCATCCTTGCAGAAATCAGCTAGAGCATTGAGAACATGCTCTGGCGCCCGATACAAATTTGCCGAGTCGAGACTCGGTGCACCCCCCGGTGTGGGCAGAGGGCTTCCAATGTCGTGTAAAGGACGAACCAAAGGAGAAAGACGTGGGGAGAGGCGATCGAGAGAGTCGTGATTCGGTGCACGGCCACGATAATCCTGGCGACCATGATCGTAGCGGCCTGCATCTCTACTTGCAACGCTGCGGGTGCTGACCAGTCGGTTTGCGAGAAGTAAAAAGTCTCCTTCATCCGTGATCTGGGCAAGGACGCTGCCTGTACGGTGGATGAACTGCGGGTACTTGTAGTCAGGCTTACCCCAGGAGAAGGAAACTTCGACATCTGCCGGGAATGCGCTGCAAGCCTCGAAATCCAGAACGAAATCGAATTTGCGTAGGATGCACTTTTGGTAATAGAGACGGTCTGGTGGTCCTGGTTGCGCAAAAGATGCGTTGTTGAACACAGTGTGAACAGGTCCCTTCGGTGGTGGAACCTTCAATTTGATTCGGAAAGGCTTTCGGAAAGGCTGTGTCTTGTCAATGGCGCAGGCCTCGGCTATGGGCACCTGAACCAGCTTCAAGCCAAATTTCTCCGAGGTGGAGGCCCAAGAGTGAACAGTGTCTTCGATCAGCTTTGGCGTCGTACTCATCCAGCTAAGCTCAATATGGAAGCAATTCTCAGGATTATGCAACCGGTCATAATGAAGATCAATCACTTCAGGGCGATTTGACCGCTTGCGGTTGTCCACCTCGTACTTCAGGCTTTTAGATAACATGATGGCAACCTTATTCTTGGGTTTAGACGGTGTAGTTGGCGTTGGTGGGATGCGCTCGTCAATGCTGTCAGAGCGAGCGCGAAGGCTGGAAGGAGAGTCCTTTCCAATTGCCGGAGTTGAGGGCACTGATTTGTCTGATCGAAGTTGGGGGAACCAACTACCTCGGGATTCGGGTCGCGTGATTCGATGATCAGCGCACATCTGGTAGAAATAGTTACCATCCCGGAAGTTGTGTCGCTTCTCGACGTGCTGGAACAGCCCATGTTTCATCAACTCATTACCAAACTCGACTGCTTCCTCACGACTTTCAATATCCCGGAAATTTTGGATCAACCAGGTAGTGAGCTCGAAACCAATGAAACAATTGTAGTGTAACCTCCAATGCCATCGTCTATCCATCATACGGACCCCCTTCTCGCCTTGAATCATTTGCGAGAGTGCCGATATAATGACGCCAGACCTTTCCATCAATTCTTCCTCTGGCAGTAGCTGGGCGGGCGGGTTGTCAAGCCCCGGGTCAGTGAGAAGTACACGATCAAGTTCCGCTGCAACAACCTCGGACGGATTTCGTGTTTGGTACATGATATTGAGCGGATTCTGATCTCGCTTTTTGTTCGCAGACTCAAATCTTTTTTCCTCCGGAGACACATATTTGTTTCGTTGCCACATATGAGTTAGCTGGCTGATGCCGAGCAAATGAATCTCTTCCTCGTTATCCTCGTTGAAAGATTGCAGGTGACGGCGAGAGTGAGGGTGTAGTTGCATTGGAATCAAGACAAAACGAACTCGCCAGAAATGCAGCTGCTGCGCCGGATTGTGAATGTAATCTCGGTGACCAGCCAGATAATTATCAGCAAGATTCCAATTATATTCTTCAGCGGTGGGATCCAGCTTGATGTCTTTGATCTCATACTTCTGGCTAAGGATAGTTCTCATGGCCGGCTGGTACAGCGTGAAATTAGATCGCTTGGGCAATAAGAGGGATTCTGCTGTATGATGCGTGAAGCGAGTCACTTCAATTTCTCCTCCGTCTACAGTTATGAGACGGTGGATGGCGTTACCCTTGGAGAGAAAAACGATGACTCCATCTCGCTCGAGTCCGCGGGTGTCGAAAACATTTAGTGACTCTAGGGCCGGTTGTCCCGAGACCTCTGCCACGTTCCTGCCCACAACAATCTGAAAGCCATGAGACAATCGAAGCGAAATCATCTCACGTAAGAGAAATCCTCGAGTCTTTGGCGTCTCGATTCCATCTGTATCGTCATTCGTGAAGACACGATAAGGGGTCTGTAGGTAATCTGAGGTAAGTTCGCTTGAGGTGGGGAATTCTTCAGTGGTCAAAGGAAGCACTGCAGGTGATTTCAAGCTCTTCCACTTAACCACCGCAACGTGAGGGGGGCGAGGGTACGCATGTTGCCAACGGCCAAACCAGCTAGCCTTGCGCAACACATCTTTTGGAGTATTGCAAGGGTTAACCGATCGTACCCAGGGTGCCAAGGCTTTACCCGGTGAGCTCCTTGACGTGTCACGAGAACTATGGTTGAGGGTAATCTCGACTTTATTATGATCATTGGTCCGGCTTGGTCCCTCATCGCGATTGATAAAAGGTGTGTCAGTCGCAGACGTTGATAGTGAGCCCTGGGGTCTTCCAGGTTCCAGTCGCTCTGGGCTGCCAGGCGGCTTTTTCATTGGGGTCTTGATGGATATTGGCTTAGATGGAGTCAAACGGGTATGCTGTGCAAGCATGGGAGGAGTAGATGGTGGGGATGCCCTGTCAGTGATGGTTGTCGTCGACGTTGTTTCGGATGGACTCAAGGAAATGATGCTTTTGGTATCGGAGAAAGTCCCACCAGAGGACCTTTGATTGGACATCGGAAGTGCACTTGCATGCTCTACGTGAACTCCGGTGCTTGCCTGGGCCCTTGGAGGGGTGGAAATCAAGCCTCGAAGTGCAAAGCTGATTGTCCGAGAAATTCGTGAAGCAGGCGGCCCTGGTCTGGTTTTCAGTGCCGACTTTTTGGGTGACGTGCTACTCTTCGAAGAACCTGTACTCTTTTGGGAAGGAGTAGACCCGTCAATTCTTCGGAGACCAGCCCGCGGTGCTTCAGCCGTGCTAGTCTCATGCTCGCGTAGATGCAAGACAGATCGCGCCGACATCCTCTCATGCGCTCCAGTACCCTGAACCTCCGGCTCACTCAGGCGCTTGTTTCTAGGCTTCGGAACGTCCTTTCTTCGAGTCGTTGCGGCAAAGACATTATCATCATACTGGTCCATCCAAGCCATGACAGACTTTCGAGACTTTTGTGTTTCCCTGGTTAGGACTTCACTCTGATCTGCAGCATTTTCAATAAAGGATTCTGGTCGTAGGCTATCACTATATTGCACTTTCTGAGATGAGGTATTGGCGAATCGCGTTCTTGGTGGCGGACGAACTGCTGGACTTGGCCCTATCCAAGTACGTGGCTTGATGAGGTCACGTCCTTCGAGGAGGTATGGAATGGATATGTTGGATTGTTCACTCTCCATGACACCCATCATTTGAATCTCGTACATACGCACACGTGGAGTAAATGCTTTGTACGGCCGGGTGACGGTGTACGGGATAGGAGCATTGAGATCTTTTTTCAAGATGCGCCGGGCTTCGCGATAGGTTTCAGGATTCCAATATGAAATATCGAGCCAGTGAGGGATGCCGTAGCTCCATTCTTTAGACCTTGGCAGACCTCGCTCACGCATGCGGGTTGCGGAGAGATAAGAACCCGGTGAGAGATAGGATGATCGGCTTACAAGACTCGATATTGAATGGTGGACTTCGGGTGACAGTTTCGGCGTTTCGAGCGGAGTTGTTAAGGAGCCAGTGGGACGTTCTGCCGGCTCCCGATATTTGAAGAGCGGTACAGAGTGCAGAGGCATTGGGCTCAAGCAGACTAGATCGATTGCTATGCCACGGTTTGTCAGAGCCTCGGTTGTAGAGGCCAAAGACTCGTATGACACTTCGAACACACCACTTCCCGGGGTAATTACAATGATAGAGGTTCCTGTATGGACCAGATCTCGATCAATATGGTCATAGGCCAGGTGAGCAGAGGCAAGATGGATGGCCTCGAGGATATTGCCACGCAACGCAGTACTAGGGCGTCCAGCAATGGTTGCGGTATGCGGCTTGGAGGACGTCTTCATGCCGCTACCCGAGGCAGCATCCAGGTCATCTGTTTTCAAAATCGACACGTCCCTCAAAAAGGTTCTAAAATTCTTTTTGAGCTCATCCAAGATTTGAGTCCAGTGGCCGCTTGCCATATCGTTCACGACAACACGATAGAAATCTCGAGTTGGAGTATTGTTCGGACCCGAAACGCCTGCTAGGTTCCCAGAATTGAGCTGAGACATACTGGGGTGTGCGGAAGTGTCGTATTCAACTCGCGTGAAGAGCACAATGGTGACCAAATGCTTCGCGTCAGAGTTAGCCCATCGTTTGAAAAGTTCTGGCAAAAATCCGTTTATCACGCGACTGAAAAGAATGTCTCCAGATCCTTCCGAGTCAAAATCCCACATTTCCCTGGACATTTGAATGAACAGGACATATTTCGCGGACTCGCTGCGGAAGACAGGAATTGTATGAGGCGCGAAGTACCCTGATAGGACTTTCTTCCCTCGAATAAAAATATTCTTGATAGTCACTTTAATACTACCCATGAAAATTATTTTTTGCCCCTTGTAGATGATCTTATCGACAAGTTCAGACATGACCAATCGCCACATGTCAGACCGAACCATGTACTGATCCCGAAAGGAAATGTCAACATGAGACGCGGCGCATTGTTCGCGATCAACAATTGAAAGTGTGACTTGAGTTCTGTTCTTGAAACCGAAGATATTGGCCACGCTACTGGTCACTGAGATCTCCAGCTTGGGATGGCGCGTCTTCACATCTTGCGGCAAGGGCTTCACGACAAATAGACATCGACTTTGAAATGGCGTTTTAAATTTAGACGTGCTTTCGGATTGCGACCCCAGATTCAAGTCCACATGACCATCACGGGCCGTCTTCGCGCCCGCGTCCGGCTTCAAGGTGGAGTGGATTATGTCCCCAGAAGCACGAACGGGTAGGATCTCCACCACATCCCCAACTTGAATTCCACTTTCTCCGAACGCTGACGGATTTAATAATATATCCTCCCTCGAAAACATTTCATCGTGAACCCACAGAGTGCATTGGTGCCGGGCCAGGCTGGTGGATAGCCGAATGGTTCGTTCATCTGGCGTGGGGCCATGTTCGCGATAGGATGTCTCGGTGTGGATGGTCGAAAGGGTCTCCAAGCTGGCAGCGCTCACCTGCCGAAGGTGCGACCGCCGCATCGGCCCGCGCAAAGACATGCTTTTGATTTCAGCTTCCTTGCATCGCAGAGGAATTGAGAGCTTCCCCGGAGCTTAGCTTCGACCGGAATTGATTTGGGGAATTAGCGGATAATCCAGCTTGAGCGATAAGACCTCTCCGGGTAGCTCACGTGGGGAAAGTGATGCCTCGAATCTCAGGCCACAAATGGCATTTCACGCATTTGAATCGAAATGAAAAAGAAAAGAAAAATCGCTGTATGAATGGGTAATTTGGACTATTGATAGTAAAGGATGTGAAATAATTGAAAGGTAGCTCAATTATAAAGGGCAGGGAAACGCCAATTTTGGATGTTGAAGCTCCTACACAGTACTACCGGCGGTCCATCAAGAATGGAAGGGATGGATGGGCATAGTCAAAAATCGTAGAATATTTCATATTTTGAAATCTATCGGCGTCAACTAGTCCAAGTCTATCTAGAAGATAAACATTGTCCTCGAGTGCTTTATCCATCTGATATAAGAGTTTACACTATAACCATAGACTCAGTCTCTTTGAGAAAAGAGACTGTTTTCCCGGCTGAAAATCGAACAACATACAAAGAGCCTCCAAAAATAACTTCTGCCTCAACATCAGTGGAAACTTCGACTTCCAGATTCTCATCTTCAGCCCATTTTAACCTGATCTTTCCAGCAGGGGTAACAAATGTTCCCTCTCCTGCGGTGAGGAGATCCATTTGTGGCTCGATGCGGAGACGTTTAAATCCCGGATTGGCTGGCTTAATTCCGTAAACTTGAGTAACAATTTCATTGACTGGACAAGCACTCCATCCATGGCAGTCGCTTCGAGGATTCTGTTCAAACTCGGCCCATGTCGTCAAGTCATCCGCAAGCATACGCCTCCACGGGTCCAAAAGAGCGGGGAACATTTTGTTGTAGAGACCGACCTTCTCCACAGCACGGAACACGTAAAATTGCAGAGCACTGGAGCATTGCACTAATGAAGAATTGTACATTGTGCGCACCATCAACTCTCGAGCTGCTGTGCCGGTGATTGTCTCGGAAAGAATAGCAAACACTTGACTATGTTGGCTGTATTCATTTGTTGACGGGCCATCCAGATAAAGCGCATCGCCAAAGCAATGTTTATTCACAGCATCGCGGAGAGCTTGTGCACGGGCAGAATATTCTGATGCAGTATCCTTTCTCCCCATGAATTCGCACAGATCGGCGGCCTGCATCAAAGCAACAATATAGAGAAGAGTATTGAAAGTTGCTGCGCCTTGTTTGGTATATGATTGAGGCATACAGGACTCGAAGATCTTCCCTGGGACCGACCATTGAGCCACCCAATCAATGAAGGGCCATGTATCGTCGTCAAATCGACCGACCAGGCCGAGCTCATTAATTCGGTCATCGAAATGGTTGAGGATTCCGTCAATAGTGCTCAAGTACCGCCGAACAAGCTTTTTGTCCGCAAAGTATCTCATGTGATCCCACACCATTGCAACCCAATACAATGAGAATTGAGGAATTTGTTTACTGTTGAAACCGGCCGGAAACTGCGCCTTGATCAAGCCATTGGGAGTCTGACTGGCGTGAAATTCTTCCAACGTTTTTCTAGCAAGTCGATCATCCGATGATAATTGATATGTGAAGAGCATTTGCAGTCGGGAATCAGATATGAACTGGTTTTGCTCATAGAAAGGACAATCTTCGTATGTCTCATGTCGGCAATTTTGGAGAGTCCGTAGACTAACATCCCAGATCTTATTAAGTTCTGGTCCAGCCTGTATTTCAGTAGAGATGTCGAGGGGGTATGATGTCTCGCGAAGAGTAAAGCCCTTGAGTGTCAGGGGCTGAGATGATGTCACGATATTTAATTGAACATATCGGAATGCTCTGAACCAAAAAGGTTCAAAAGTCTGATCAGTTTGACCTTCGGTGACTGTATAGATATCTTTCACTCCATATAGGCGACCATTGGAGTCGGATCTGAGCAGCTTGGTTCTCGGCATAGGGAAAGGAGCAATATCAATCCCAAGATCTTTCTCGTAGCACTCGGAATATAGGAATGTGATAATTGATCCCAACCCTTCACCACATTCCAGGTTGATAAATGCCGTTGTCAAAGATGAGCATTCAATGTCGACGACCACAGTTTCTCCGGCGGGTACAATCAAATCTCCATCTCCCTTGATGAAACCATTCCACTGTGTTTTCGAAATTGATCCTTGGCATTTCACAATGCCATCAAATCTTCCTGAAATTTCTGGAAGATCTGGAATGGGACGTGGTTCTAGCTTCCACGGACGTTGGATTGGGAGCATTTTCACTGGGCGAAATTGGAAAATGGCGGACTCCCAGGCGCTATCGTCGAACCTCGCTCGATCCCAACCAGAAAGCGCATTGTCTTCTGTTACTCTCTCGTTGTTTGACATGAAAGGAGGCCCTAAAAGATAATTCCACTCCGAGTGAGGAATAATCCTGCGGCTTTCTTCTTGTAAACATCTCCATGAGGGACCTGTGGAGATGGATAGTCCCTGCTTATATATAAGTGAAATGTACATGATAGGTTGGTTATGTATAATAATTTTAGAGCACTCACCTCGATTTCAGCGTGTACCATCAGACCGGGCAACTCGGTACTAATGATCGACGAAGAGCCGGTATGAACGCAAGAGTACCGCAAAACGCGAGCACTGATCACATTTTCACCTTCGGTGAGATAAGGTAGAATGTCGACTGTCTCATAGTACCAACGTTCCGGATAGCTCTTGCAAGGACCAAAGCTGAGCCGGTGGCCATTTATGAAAAGTCGATATCGACTATCGGCAGAAACGTGCACTGGAAACTCACGCAGCCCATATGGCTGAGTCCATTGGAAGCTTTTGCGAAAAAGGAAATACCGACCAGGTTGGCTCTCATCCTCATGATGTGTTGGCAGCCAGATCCATGGTGGGGTTTGTGTCCAAGTGGAAGATGTCATCTTGACTCTGTCTCCTCTTTTGATTAGAAATTGAAAGAAAAATAAGATTTCGGTGAAGTGTTGTGGCTCATATAGACAATCCGGGGTAGAAAATCGGATCCCGGATAACCCGAGCGGCAGGCTTTAGCCCGACAAATGGATGACTAGTTAACTAAATCACTTGACCACAGCTTACCAAGGCGGGAGTTTGAACTTTCCCTTAAGTAGTAGGAGCCAGGACCTGGGGGAACTCACATGATTACCCCACATTTTCTTAGCTTCCTTTAATTTCTTGTGTGGACAGTGTCCACTGTCCACTTTCCACTTTCCACTCTCCATGTCTGCCTCAACCCCAGAGTCGTCGACTCGCTTTCGATGCGAATTTTGCCCAAAGGAGTTTTCTCGGCGGGAAAACGTCTACCGTCATGCTCGGATCCGTCAGTATCAGATCCACAATGACTTCTGTCTGTATGCTTATCATAATCCAACGTAGACAAAAAACAAAAGTTGCACCGCTGCCCCATTTGTGGAAAAGAATTCACTAGAAGTGATGCACGCCAGCGTCATGAGGCGATTCACAAGACACAGACATCCCACAACGCGACTGCAAATCCGAGGAGGTCAACGCAGTCTCCAAACGATCATGAAGTAGTCACACCACAATCTTCCAATGTGTTTAATGAGACTGGATCGGTCGGAACGCTTAATAATGAGGCTTCATCTGGTTTGGATTCTCCTCATGTTGGATCCCTTCCAGAAAACGATGCCCAAAATGAGGGTGGAATTGGCTGGGGTTCTGCCCATTCATTAAACATGGAAATCCGAACTGAGCATGCTCGTGATTGGACGAGCCAACCCCCCGAAAATCCTACATTTGACGACGATCTGCTCCGGTGGATACAGGAACCGTGTCTATTTGAAGATATGCGGTTTGACGAAGATATCATGTCGGTTCTCTTGGAATCAGGGTCAATGCCACCTTTCAATGCCGCACCAATCCTGTCCATGGATGTAGATCAAGATCAAGCCACAGTCGATCATAACCATGAGAATCGGAGCTCCAATGACAGGGGTGAAATTATGAGTCGACCGGCATCTCCTCCAAATGAAGCCTCTGAAGAAGACAAATGGCCTTGGAAGTGGGACCCTGGTTCTCAAGCAATTACCGCCGCCAAAGCAATTGAAATACCCGCAAACCATTCGCTAAGACGTAACCACGAGGCTCGTTTTGATATCTCCAAGCAGCGATATCAAAAAGTGACCGCATTTCTTCTTGAGCCCGCAAGAAGAGGCTTCAACTTCCACTCGCTTCATTTTCCAGACCTGGAGACGGCAAATATTTTTATAAAATTGTTTTTCACACATTTTGAACACCAGATGCCTGTCATGCATCGTCCAACCTTGAAATCTTGTGATAATTTACCTGATTCTCTTTTGGCTGCGATGATTGCCATAGGAGCTATATACAGTCGCGAGCGACATTCCTGTCGATTTTCAATCGTGCTCATTGACATGGCAAGGTTGAGCTCCCAGATTGCCTTCGAGATGAATAACAGACTGATGAGAGATCCTATGTTTGTCTATGCCCTGGCACTACTTTCCTATGCAGGCCTTTGGTGTGGCAACAAGCGACTGTTTGAGCTCTCTGAAAGCCAGCGAGCTGCGGTAGTCACCTACTGCCGGCAAATCCGCGACAGTGAATTTATCCTGGCAAGAGAAGACCTCAAGAGATTTGGTAATAGTCTTGAGGGAACTTGGCAAAGATGGGTCTTGAAGGAGTCCAGAAAAAGACTGTTATGGGTCATCTATAGCTTCGATTGCATGTTTCCATCTTTGTTGTACCTACCAGCTTCAATCAACTTGGCCGAATTCATGACCATTGAATGTCCTTGTGATGAGGAATTTTGGCATGCTGCAACTGCTAATCGCTGGAAATCCTTACTTGGCTCTGCATCTGTTCCACCAGCAAGAACCTTCACTTCTGCCGTGAGCCCCTTCATGGGGCCTTTGAACCCGGGAACCCCTTCACATCACACTACTTCGGGTGTGACAATTCTACAGACCTCATTTTCATCTTCATATTGTCTCAATACGTGGACGAGACATCTCGTTCTGATGACTATCTTGGTACACATATTTGAACTATCACAACAAATCACAATGGTATCAGAGGCCACTATTGACACAGAGATATGGCAAATACCGGGGTCGAGGGAAGCAGATTCCTCCAAAGATTCGACCTTTAATCTCGCTCTCGAGCCTGAGGTTAAACCGCACTACGAATACATGGTGACGAGATGTTTATCAAGCCGACCGTCGGAATCTATTCTGTCACCTCCGGAACGTGAAGTGTGTAAATCACTCGCGAAGCGGCGTGAAACTCTGTCAAGTAAGTCATCTTTGCATACTTGGATTACAATCAACGTCTCATCGTTCTCTAGAAACACTCATGGCTTGGAACCAAGCATTTGCAGTTATTCCTGCTCCTGATGTTGCTGTATATGAAACATCAAGACATTTCCAGCAAAGTTCTCAAGTGCTTCTTCGCCTCGGTCGTCTCAGTCTCCACGTTCCGGTTTTGGACCTTCAAAATGCACTTGGAAAGGCGGGTGCATCTCAGATTTCTCCCGCAATAGACATGATGCATAAAATTCTTATAAATCATTCTGATGAAGTTGGATTCTTGCTCAAGCATTGCTTGGAAGCGATCCGAGACCTGCGTGTGCAGCCGAACTTGTCCGCTGGCGAAATAACACCACGACTGACAGAACCTCCTGAGATCATCACTTGCTTTCTAAGCGAAGTGTTTGTTTGGTTACTTGTACTAAGTGCAGATCAGACCCAGATTGGGTATCTAAGAAAAAGGGTGGAAGAGTTTGGGGGGTCGGATGGCTTCTTCGCCGTTGTGAAAGAGGCTTTGGCTTGCACTCCAGACCAACGATCAACTCATAAAGAGAACATATCTCAACCTAACTTGATCATGTTTGCTGCTGCAGATATTATTAGCAAAATGACGCCATGGAATGCATCGCTTAATCTGGCTTTGCTATTATGCCATCGGGGGAAGGCTTCCACAACTCGCAAGAGCCAAGATCACGGCCGAGATAGCAGCAATTCTCTTAGTCCTTCTACTCATACAGCATCATAGAATCTGATTATTGGAGACATTGTGCGAATGAAGTGGAAATAACTCTCTGTATTTATTCCAAGCTTCAAAGTTTACGTTTAATATAATTACTTAAGTAGCTGTTCAAGCCGCATCTGGTGCTGTCATGGCCACCTTATGGGTAGCAAACTTTCTGGGAGGCACCTTTGCCTCGTAAAGATTGTCAATGTCCTCTGTTGACAGCCCAGTAGTGTCAGGAACAATGGCCCAGACGCCCCAGATAAGCAGCACGGTAACGCCAGCAAAGACCAACCCAGTCCGAGCACCGAGGTTACCAGAGTCGACATTATACATGTAGGGCACCACAAATGTTACAAGCCAAGTGGTGAATGTCTGAGACATGATTCCAAGTGCCATCGACTTGGAGCGTAGACGGTAACTGGAGATTTCGGCAGCAATTGACCAACCGGGGCTCTGCATGAGACAAGCCTGCAAGGAGATGAGAACGTTCCTACTTCCATGTTAGAATATACCAGTCTGCAAGAAGGACTCAGATGTGCAAGACTTACATGAAAATTGCAATCGCCCACTTGGGTCCAGTTCCATGGGCCCAATAGAGAACACCAACGATCAAGTTGAAGAGCAGGTTAATGCCGCATCCCCAGAGCACCAAGTTTCTGCGTCGCACCTTCTTCAGAACTATTCCGCTACCCATGATGAGGATAACAGCAAGTCCGAAGCCACCAATAGAAACATCGAACACGTGAACAGTGGGTAGGCCGACGGAAATGAGGAAGTAGATCGACTGTGAGAGGAAGGGACCACCGCCTAGATTGACAATAGCGAAGAGCAACATCATGGTCAATGTTCTCCTCAAGTCCACTCCTTGGAAGCACTCCATATAGCTTGACTGGTTTTGCTCGCGCTGGGAGTTTTCCTCCTCAATTGTCTTCACCAGGTGGTTGTAGCGCTCCTCACGGTCCGCGTCGTCGCGGTAGAGCCGTGCGAACAGCTTTTTGGCACCTTCTTCGCGTCCATTAATAATACAGTAGACAGGCGATCTGAAAAAAAAAAAAATTAGCGATGACTCATGAACATAAGATAGATGAGATACATACTCTGGTGCGAGCAAAAACGCAATTGTGACAAGCCCACCCACACCCCACTGAATAGCAAACACGTTACGGAATGCCTGCTCAGACAGGTCGGTGACGAAGATTCGGATAATACCCATCGCCAAGGCCTGCATGATGAGGATAAATACCACGAATGTTTGCTGAACGGCAGGGACAAGGCTAGGAGGGACAATCTCCGAGGCATATGTCATACCCGTAGACATACCCATACCGATTCCCAGTCCTCCCACGATCTTGCCACCAAGTAGCGAGCTTCGTGTATGGGCAGTGTATTGTACCGATGCACCGGCCAAAGCAATGACACCGGCAATGACGCCCGTCCATTTGCGACCGATGCGATCAGCCAGGAAGCCCGTGCCAGTAGCCGAGAGCGCTTGGGCGAGGGCAGACATAGATGTCCACAATGAAGTCCACAATGATGGAAGGTATAATCCGGAAGCGTCTTCGGCTCCGAAGTACATCATGAATGCCGGCATTGAGATGGAAGCGCCATTCACAATTGTGTCGTAGCCGAACATCGTACCGGCACTGAAAGAGAGGCTACCTGCACAGAAAGTAAGCTAGTGAAAAAAAAAGATTGGATGTATCAAATCTTACATATCAACAATGACCTCCAGTGTGTCTTGATAGTACCTATCATGCTCAATTCCCGATCTGCCTTGAGGAATCGGGGCTCCTCCCACTCAAACTCAAGGTGAGCAGAGGATGACTTGAAATCGTCGGTCATGGTTGATCACAAGGACTGATTGAATGAATAATTAGACAGTCCTTGCCATTGATACAGTGGACACCAGGCGACCTTAAATGAATTGAATCCCGGTCTCCCCAACAGCAAAAACCTGGGGAAATTCCGGGGTGTACGAGGGCCGTCCCCACCAAGGGTGAATTTTGGAAGTGGACAGTGGACAGTGGACAGTCGGATATTCCGATTATGGAGATGTCCATCGGTGGCGTGGACAGGCGTCCAATTAAAAGAACGAGCCGATTCTCCATATCCCATGCTATCAGAATATCACTAGACCCCAAAGAAATTAATATGTCTTTTAAATCATTAATCCAGTCACTTTCGTTGGAGGAGAAGGTTTCCCTATTGGCGGGCGACTCCTATTGGCGGACCGCTAGTTTACCGGATCATGGAATCAAGGCAATCAAGGTGAGTACGTCTCTTTTTTGAATGGCAAATCCCGGCCGCTGATCCATTTCATAGTATAGCGATGGTCCCAACGGCGTTCGTGGGGAGTCTATTCACGCCTCAACCAAAGCAACGTGTTTTCCATGCGCGGCCTGCGTCGGATCAACGTTCAACACCAATCTTGCCCTCCGAATGGGACAGGGAATCGGTCAAGAATGCAACACGAAAAATGTCGGTCTTCTTCTTGGACCTACAGTGAATTTGCACCGGTCGCCTCTAGGTAAATGAAGCCCATTGTCCCAACTCGGTTGAGTGCAGTATAGAAACTGACTATAGTGGCGAAATTGCAGGAGGCAGGAACTTTGAAGCTTACTCCGAAGACCCAACTCTTTCCGGGCTGTTGGGTGCTGCTTTTGTCAATGGAGTTCAATCCCAGGGCGTTTCGGCATGTCCTAAGCATTTTGTCGGAAATGAATGTGAAACCAACCGGAAAACTTCGAACACGATCGTTGAAGAGAAGACTCTCCGAGAGCTGTACGCGTATGCATTCCAACTGCTGTTGAAGAACTCCAATCCCTGGGCCATCATGACCTCGTACGTATACTAGTACATAACAAGGTACTCTGACCATCTCAGTACCCAGTACGTTACTAATTAAGTACCCTTCGATAGGTATAACCTCGTCAATGGCGTTTTCATGTCAGAGAATGAGACAATTCTACAGGACGTGCTCCGAAAGGAATGGGACTTTGAGGGAGCCATAGTCTCCGATTTTGAGGGCGTATACGCAACAGTTCCTTCAGTGCTGGCAGGTGTTGCCCTCGAACTACCGGGCCCTGCTCGGTTCCGGGGAGATCACCTTTTGAAAGCTGTTCAAAAGGGCCAAATTCCCGAGTCCCAAATTGACTCCTTGGTGGAAGATGTGGTTATTCTGGCATCAAAGGTGGGTGGTAAGGGCGATGATGGACCAGAGAAAGACATTTCCCCAGACGAAAATACCGCTGCATTAGTGCGACAAATTGCAAATGAGGGAATTGTTTTGCTGAAAAACGAATCCAACACACTTCCAATATTGCCACAGACAAATCCGAAAATTGCAGTTTTTGGATCCCCAGCAACCACACCAATCATTCATGGAGGTGGTAGTGCATCGTTGACTCCTTCATATGTGATCTCTCCGCTAGAGGCACTTGAAAGGAGGTTTGGCAAAGAAAACATCAAATATCATGCCGGAGTACCTATCTTCAAGAAGATCCCGTCTGCTCCACTATCATTGATGGCAACAGAAAGGGAAGGAAAGCCCGGGGTGGACTGCTACTGGTATAATGGATGGACATTCGAAGAGAATCAAGTACACCACGAAGTGCTGGAAGCAACACAAACTCTGGTGATCGAATCCCGCATTTCGGAGCTTGCCTCAAAGCACTGCAGCCGCATGAGGTTTGTCCTCCGACCTAAGACAACAGGCATCCACACATTTGGGGTGACAGCATGCGGAGAGAGTGTCCTCCGTGTTGATGATGCTATAGTCTTGAAGCACGGTGGCTTCAAGGATTGCCGAGTTGAATATGTGATGCAGGCCGGTGATTATGAAGTCCGAGCCAGCCTCGCAATGAAAGCCGGGCAAGAGTACCACGTCACAGTCGACACGCTCTCAACAACGGCTCCGGTCCCGTCTCCAATCTTCAAGATTACCCCCCAAGCCACGCGGGTTGGATTTTACGAAAATCTTGACAGTCCGATCGGGGAAGATATGCTGCAGCTTGCGGCAGAAAGCGATGTTTCGATCATATTCACCGCAAACAACAAAGAATTCGAGTCCGAATCATTTGACCGCAGTTCATTGTCGCTATCACCTCTTCAGGATGAAATGATTCGCGTGGTTGCTGGCGCAGCACAAAAATCAGTCCTGGTTAATCAGACTGGCTCGCCTATATCCATGCCGTGGATCGAAGACGTGAATGCCATTCTTCAATGCTGGTATGCGGGTCAAGAAGTGGGAAATGCTCTGGCGGATCTGATTAGTGGTGACTTGAGTCCTTCGGGCAAGCTCCCTGTCACATTTCCTCGGCGTATCGAAGATTCTCCGTCTTTCGAGAACTTTCCAACGGATCATGAGTTGAGAATTCGATACGAGGAGGGACTGGAGATGGGATATCGTGCTCGGAACAAGCCGTCTCCGCTATTTCCTTTTGGATTTGGACTTTCGTACACCAATTTCAGGTGTACTGAGTTAGTAATTCTGAAGTCGGCTGGCAGCTCGTCAGCGGGTGAATTGATTGTTGCAACAACAGTTACTAATATTGGGTCTGTCGCTGGAAGAGAGGTGGTGCAGATTTACGTTGGCGGCATCTTGAAGGCATTTGATGGAGTAACGCTGAACCCGGGAGAAAGTCAGGCCGTTGAAGTCTCTTTGGACAAGTATGCCTTCAGTGAGTGGGACCCTAACCGGAGGTCGTGGGTTGTGAAGGCTCGGGATTACACTGTTGAGTTACGACAGGACGCCAACACGGTGATATCTTCAGCCGCTTACAAAGTTGAGAAAGAGTTCTTCTGGACTGGGCTTTAGGAGTATTTATTCAATACCTAAGGATTACCTAGTATGGGATTTTCACATCAATTAAGTCACTGTTTTTAATCAAAACCCATGTATATCTTTCAAAGTCAAATTAGAATGTATCGATGGTCGTGAGAAGAGCTCTCTTGCGGCTCACAGGTAAAGCCTTACTTAGGCAGTCACATGTGCACGTATTGATGTTGACGGCCCACGGGGCCTAAGTAGGCGTTAAGCCTATTACAGAAATAACCTCCAGTTAGAATCTGGAAGACTTATCAAATGATTTTCTTAAGAACCGGAATCAAGCGTAGAAAGAAAAACCTTTCATTCCGACGGCTTGATACTATGAAACTTTCAAGCTTGACATCTGCAGACTGGAAGAAACAGCCTCATCTGCATCATTCATAAGCCGGCGCTGCTCTTCCACTCAACCCCCCATTTCTCGAGATTGGCCTGATTTTTGATCGCGAGTTTCGGTACAATCTGGAAGTTAGTACTCCACGAAAAATAAAACAAAATCGATCCCCAAGGAACCCCTTCAATAATTCGGAGTGATGTTTTCCGGTGTAGCTAAACAACAGTGTCCTGAGTCTTGCTCAGATCCCAGGGGCGGCTGGCTGATCTGACGGTCCACTCACATGCAAGACCATGCACGGCGTATGGCGATCTTAACTCGATTTATAATCGAGCTTTTGAGACTTCACTCAACTGCTCTTTTTTTGCCCGTGATTTCCTGCGATCATTAGATATCTGCTAATGTGTTCTAGTGCACTACGGGCACACGTTCGTTAGGATCCCCACTGCGGCTGAGATGAAAATTGGCGTTGGAAATGGGAGTGCGCCCGCGCCCGCTAGCCATCTAGGCGAAGAGACCAACACAACAGAACTTGGTTCATCCACCCCTCGGACCCGGCTCGGGTCCGGTATAAGTAGCGAAGTGGATAAGTTGGATGATAGAGGCCTATAGTAACAACTGGAATGGGGGTTTTCCAGGGGTAGCGAGGTCGAAGCCCCCTCTCTTCGTCAAAGAATCCAGATAACTGGTCAGATTTCGACGGAGATTCATCGACTCCAGCATGGCTAGAACTTAAAAAGAGAGTGTTGTGGTTGGTCGCAACTGATTCTGCAAATCTCTCTTAATCTTCCCAACCCTCCGTGAGCAAAAGTGCCTACCTTTTACTCTTTTCTCTTTTATGCTAGAGTGGAGCGACGCCACCCATTTAATGAATGCCGGGGCCGCACACTAGGGTTGCTCAGTACCGACTGCTAAACGCGTCTGCGGAAGTGGTTTCCGGCGGATTCTTCTCGCACTGGCTTTGCTCTCTCTTAACCCGTTTTTGCCACCTCCCAAAATTCTTTGCAACGAAACGATGAGTTGTTTCAACGGCCTCGAATCGGTAGTTTTGGGATGAGAGATTCACTTTTTTTTTTTGCGAGAACAAAGCCATTGCTAGAATTTCGCCATGCTAATGCTAGTAGTACTTGCACGGCCCCTTCGAACCCATTAGTATGATGACGACATTGTTGTGAGCCATGCGTCGTCATGGGCATGGCCACAAACAAAGGGCGTTGACATGCTACCTTCGATGCCTGGGTTTGCTGCGTAATCATGGTCTCAATTTTGTACTGATCATCAGAAGGGAGGTTGCTGGATAAATCATGGTGTTGTTGGGCTGAACACTTCGATGCAGAGACCTACCGGGCACCGTGCGGTCACACACCAACGTTGCCTGCCTTATCCCAACGCGACGCCATCATCAAGAAAAATCGCTCACATGTCTAGAAAAGTTCGACTCGAGGTCATCTGCCCTTTTTTTCTGGCCCAGAACCGGACGTCTGAACCTTCTGAGTCGACAAGACGGTCTTTTGAGAACAACACACCCAACACCACAATATCAGCTGATATGAGATCTGAATGTATCCCAAATATGAAGAGGCGATTAAGTACAAGGCGCGACAGGCGTTGGCCTCGGAAAGATAATTGAATCTTCTCATATAAGAGACACAGGGCTGCCACGAGATGTCATCTCATGAGTTGACGAGACAGTGTCTGAGAACACCAGTACGTCGAAAATGACCTATGATCTGTCGCCCAATTCAAGAACTCCGCAACGGAGATAAAGTTCTTGGGTTCTTTCAAAATCGCTGAACCACCTCAAGCTGTCAAAATCTCAGTCCTGTCTCCTCACCCTTCACGTGCTTCCCAAGGCTTCTCCTGGTCTTATCTGCGGGGCCTGGGAAACGCGGCGACTGACCCTCACTCAGGCACGTTTCATTGTGCATTGCGAAAGCATAACCCACTAACGTAACCTGAGCTCCGGGCTCCAAAACGCAGTGTGTGATTGCGATTTGTCTCGATAGATTAGCCGAGGTCATCGTCACGGCAAGTAACCCGACAGCCGAATGTCTGCTAACATTAAAATAAGATTTCTGGTTTCAGTCGATCCTCTTCACTTTCACTATGGTTTGTGATGGGGGTGGGAGACGAAGTATGGATATTGCGGAATGTTTTTGTGTCGGTCGGGGTCGTGTCGGCTTCGTGTCAGATCCACAGGCTTCCGGCTTCCTCTGTGCTGGCTTGGGTCCTTCGGGATTCAGGGCTGATTTGGATGACTCGACGTCAAAGGGAAACTGTCGATGATGCTAGATTGTGCTCGATGGAATTCAGCGCCGGTTCGTTGCGTCAATGGCGACTCACTTACCGGAGGACACCATCACAAAATCAACTATCATCCCTCGCTCACCTTCACGGGTATTATGACATCTCCACAGGATGGGTGCGACATACTCAATCCGAGAATGAGGGAACGAGGAAGCAGCTTCTTTACCGATCATTGTGTGCCACCGTTGTCGTTTTCGATGTCAAGAGCAGAGTGTGAGACCTCAAGACCCGAACGCAAGATTATTTGCTCGCAGGCTCAGGCTGTGTAATCGAACCGAAATAAGTATACTCATTGCTGCCCGGCCCTTGAATTTCCTTTGTTGTCCAATCTCGTGGTCGGCTTTCTCCGTCGGTGCTTGTTTTTCAATGGATTGTGGTTCGAGAGGTATCCCCTAGGGAAGCCGGATCCGCCTTATCTTGGTTGAAGGGAATGCAGGGTGCTAGGAAATCGCTCGCGAACAAAAGAAAAGAAAGCTTGACATCCATGGTTAAGAGCGAAATGATGAGAATGTTGAAAAGAAGAAAAGAAAGGTTCTGTCATGACCCGATGGGTTGGTTACAAGAGGAAAGCACGGCTGGAGAGATGACCCGTTCGGGATACCTTCACCCACCCAAATGGGCCAAATGGGGTGCTACGGGCTTCACTTCGGGCTTCACTTCAGCACTTGGAATGTCATTCCATCCCACTGTTTGAATTTCTACCATATGTCTCGAATCCAGAACACCAGGAAGCAAGCCAACTACGCCAAGAACAAGTATATCGCTACAAGCCTACACTATTACCGGATGGGGATCTGTGCCGGGGATGATGTGCCTGATCAGCTTCCATGGGTTCTGCTTCCACGGCTCATTCGATAGATGACCCAAGATTTCTCCCCCCCTTTTTTACAGTTACAGGAACAACAGCTAATCCGCCAGTCGATGCTTCTTTACGCCATTCCAGTTCTTGATCCCAGATTATACTGCTCGTCACGTGGGCAAGACTCAAGAGCAGTCCATACATTACGGAGGGGTGGCAATACGACACAAATCGCTTCAGATTTTTTAATTTCAAATTAGCGAAAGGATCATGTTGCATGAGCAAAAGAAAAAAACCGGCATATCAAAACGCCCCCAACGTTCAGTTTCTTGTCGCTGTACAATTCTGCAGGCGAATTGGCGCAATGGACGATTCTCATTGGTGGCCTGCAGCGGATACGGTTCAGTGGCGAATTCGCGCGGCTCCCAGATCCAGCATACCACAGCTCAGCATTTCGTGGGTCCTAACCCACTTCGGGATTTACCGTACGGTCTGGCCTACCTTTTGTGTGTTATTTTTCTCATGCATATTGAAAAAAAAAGCCGCCCCAGGTCGAAATTAGGCGCGAAGAAAGGCGGGTTTAATCTGCATCTTAGCCCCTTAATAGGGCTAATTTCCTTGGATCTGTTAGCCTACCAAGAGGGCTCTTCTTCAAGTCCATCAGTTGCGCTTGATCTTGAGACATCGGCGCACACGAAACCGACATGAGTGACCAGTTCCCCCGCCTTCCGAACTCCGAACAGAATTCGGATTTTCCAGGCAATGAATCGGCGTCGTTCACATTCGACTGGGGGGTTCCTGCACTGGCGTCACTTCCGGCTGAGTTTTCCGCTAATTCTAACCTAATCCCTGGCCGTGAAGACTTGATTAGCCCCAATCCGAACGAATGGTCTACGAATGCTAAGGTCAAAATCCCCCGCTCCGCTCAAGCTGCAACCTGGACTAGCACCGGCCGAACCAGCCGAGCTTGCGAAAATTGTCGCGAGCAAAAGGCCAAATGCAGTGGCCATCACCCCACCTGCAACCGTTGTGCCGATGCAGGGATTAAATGTTCCTATAGCGATCGAAAAAGGGACAAGGTTTTGAAGTTGGTCGACGCGTCATGGTCATGGGGGTGTGAGATCTGTTCTCTAACTTGAAGGATTGTAGGGAACTAGATGATTTAAAGGCTCAGGTTCAAACCTATGAAGCTGTTCTACGCGAGGTCTACCCGAGGCTAGATTCGCTGTCAGCCCAATACGTTGATCAGTCTCTTGGCCAATTAGTCAGAGTGAGTCCACCCTTTCCAATTTCAACCCCCTTTGGAGGATTTCCACCTTCTCCCTCCCCTGCTTACCCGACAAAACAATGCTCAGCTATCGAGCTCCCCGGGATTTCGCTCCGAGCCCATGGCTGATGGCCACCCCTTGGCTACCATCGACCACACCGAAGAAGATTTCAATCGCGTTGGAAAGGAGGCGCTGGGATTCGTGGGTGAACATTCAGAGATGACATGGTTGTATAGACTCAAGCGCGATCTCGGCCAGGACAACTCAATCCCCAGCAATGAACCTTCCAATCGACCTTCGATCTCATCCCTCAACTACTTTCAAGAGGACGTGGACCCTTTCCCCCTCAAGAACATCAACATCCTGGGGAGACCTGCGCAGCATATTGCCGACAAACTTGTCGACCTCTATCTCCAGGTGGTTCACCCTGCCTTTCCCATTGTTGGGAAGGCAATTTTCCTGAGTCAATACCAATCATTTTCTGCGAATCCGAATTTATTTCCTGGCAAGCGGTGGATGGCCGTGCTGAATTTGATCTTCGCCATCGCGGCGAAACACTTGACATTAGTCAACACAACACCACTAGAAGAAATCGGTGACCATATGGTCTACTTTACCCGGGCGTGGCGACTTAGTCTTGGGGACGTTGCTTTGATTCATCACCCCAACCTTCAACAGGTACAAGTGGAAGGACTGACCGCTTTTTATCTCCTTGCCAATGGGCAAGTCAACAGGTACATTATTCCCCGCGGGCTTTGCTCACCACCATTTTTGACCATTCTAATTTGTGTTTTCTTTCTCTCATAGATCTTGGCGGATGGTTGGGATCTCGATTCGATCAGCCGTGGCTATGGGTCTGAACCTTCGCAGCGAGAGCTTCGATGTTGCCCATGTCTCGAAAGAGACTCGCTACCGTGTGTGGTGGGCACTGTTTATGTTGGACACACTCTTGTGTGTGATGATTGGTCGCCCTCCTAGCTATGGCGATAATTTCTGTACAACCCCCCGCCCGATACCCTTCCGTGAAGAAGACTTTGGAGACGACGAAGTCAAACAACTTATCACCGACTTTGGGATGCGACAAACCCTATTAAAGTCGCTCCTTGCATATGGCAATTCACCTAATACAAGTGATAGCCCCCTGGATGCTCTTCTGTCGCCGAGTTTTGCTTCAGCAAAGGGCAAACAACCCGCCCAATTAAGCCCAAATTCCCAAGCAAGTCCAACCAGGACTGCAAGCCCGACCCCCAATCTCTCATTATATTTTTTATATGCGGTGGACTTGGCGTTTCTCATGCGAGAAGCTGTTGAGACCCTTTACGCTCCTGGAGCCACGCGACGATCTTGGCTGGAAATGGAAAATGCAATTTCCAACTTTAACAACAGCGCTGACAACTGGCTCTCTCGTCTGCCAATCGATTTCCGATTTGCGCAACTCGATTCCAACCGGCCATTTGCCCGTCAATGTGCCAGTCTCGCTTTCCACTTTTACACCACCAAACTCGTTATCACTCAACCTTGCCTTCGCCGCCTTGCCTACCAATCTCCCGAAACACAATCCCCAGGTCCCCTCTGCGATGCAATGGCGAAAATGTGCGTGGAAATGGCTCAAAAAATGCTCTCTCTTCTGCCCGATGAGACCAACGCATCTCTACTATACAACGCTTCCCCATGGTGGTGTGTCCTACACTACGTCATGCAGGCAATTACAATTCTCCTGGTTGAGCTGTTCATGCGTACCGAGTCTGGCACCATGGAGGCCGTCGGGCTCCTAGATAATATCCGAAAAGCGGTCCGCTGGCTCCACGCAATGGGCACGCGGGATTCGTCGTCTCAACGAGCTTGGTCTGTGTGTATGGAAATCCTCGCAGAGCATGGTTTTGAGTTGAACTTGCCAGTGGATTGACATCCATGATCCCACTTCAACTTGAATTATAAAACTCATATAACACTTATAATGGGTGACCCCGGCGTTGACGCCAGTGCCTCAACCTTGGAATGTTTGCTTCGAATCTTGCGACCTTGAGACACTTTATCCTTGCATTTACTGTGGCCGTGCTTTGTCCCGGGGTTGGTTCTTTCCAACCCACGGTTGATCATATGTTTTGTTGTGAGCATTATTCCTTTTAGCCTGCTAATTAAGTACCAGGACCCGTGGAAACGACTCAACAGACATTGTTGAAACTTTCTACGGTCTACCATCCGATAAAGCTGTTATTTTCAGTAATCCTGCCTTTTGCCTTGTGCATTTTGCATATATCATAATGGCCCCGTTGCAAGGGGTCTGCTATCTTGCATTGGATCAATACCTATCCAAATCACTAATTACCAAGTCACTAACATGTTATGCATGGTTACAGGTTAGTAAAACTTATTGCTTAGATAAAAATTTAAAAGAACCTTGGAAGTTTCTATATTCCGAAACTTGAGCTTCAAAGACCGAAAGTTGCCCGCGATTACTTAGAGACTTTGATATGTCCATGCAACATTGAAACTAGGTAGTACATACTATGGATTGTGAACCTTCAAGTTGGTAGACAAAAATGGGTAAGAGGGGTGCAAGTCTCAACCCCCACTAACATTGAGTGCAGCTGCCCACATGCAGATGGAAGTACGGTACTGTTCGCCGATCTCCGCCGTACCTCGCCGTGGATCAGTTAACTGACCATGCCTGAACAAATGTGTGAGGCAACGCGCGCTTTAAGTCAAACTGAGCAAATTACGCAAATTACACCAGTTCCAAGGTGAAGGAATATGAACGTGGCAGAATATTCAATATTTGAAATTAGTGGAGCCTTATGTACACCGATGAAATCCCATATAACGAGCTCACGAGCATCCACGAACGCGCTAAGCAAACGACCAACCTCCAGTAAAATCGACAAAAAAGTGATCCGGGTCATACTTCTTCTTAATCGCCTGCAGCCTCTCAAACGTCGAAAAAGTCTGCAACGGATTCTGATCATGATTCGCATCATTGATAAACAAAGGCAACCCCTCAGCATTACCGGTGCTCTTGACCATATCCCGATAACTAGCCTGCACAGTCTCATAATCAACATCACTCATCCCCGGCGGCGTCGTGATCAAATAATTCAACCAGAAATACGGCCCATCAGGCATCTGCATCGCATTCCCACCCTGCGCCTTACTAGCATCCGTCAAACTCCTCGGCACGGGCTGAAAATCCAACGAAAGAAGTTCATAACTCCTCTTATTATCCTCCGCCCAACTCCTCCATCTCTCCAACGCACCCGCATAAGAATCGTTCCCAGGCCGATGAACACCCACGCGAAACATATTCGCCCCGCGCGAGATCTCCGTCGACAACGGCACAGGCATATTAACCACCTCATCATAACTCTTAACGCCCATCGTATCCACGAGCGCAGTCACATCCGTGAAATTCCTAAACGCATCCCCCGGATCCGCCCCATCATACACCAAGAACAAGATAATCGCCTCGTCCAAATCCAGCCCCAAATCCGGCGTCCCCAACTTCTCATAAGTGCCAATGATAGCCGCCTTCGGATCCGCATTGTACGCAATGAAGTTCCCAATCGCCTCGATGACCGCATCCCGCTGCTCAAACACATAGATCAGATTGCCGGCGTAGAACTCGCCTATCGGCCGGCTTTGCACGGTATACTTCGTCACGACGCCGTAGGCGTTCCCGCCACCACCCCGCGACGCAAAGAACAGGTCGCTGTTCGTCTCGTTGGAGGCCGTCACGATCGAGCCGTCGGGCAGGACGATTTCGAGCTCGCGGAACGAGTCGCAGGCGAGCCCGTATTGGGGTGAGAGGTAGCTCATTCCGCCGCCGAGGGCGAGGCCTGTGCCGACGCCGGCGAGCCGCGCGCCCACCACTGTGCGGTTGTAGGCGGCGAAGTATGAGTAGATGTCGCCGAAGACGCCGCCTGGCTCGTAGGTTGCTAGGGTTGTTTCTGAGTTGTAGGATTTGGCGGTCATGCTGCTTAGGTCTAGGAGGACGCCTGCTTGGACGGAAGAGTAGAATGTGTTTGGGTTGTGGCCGCCGGCTTTGATGGCGAAGCGGCTTCCGGCGGCGCGGATGGCTTGGAGGGATGTGGAGACGTCTTGGGCGGAAGCTGGGGAGATGATGCAGGATGGTTTGTATTCGGCTTGGATGGTGTTCCAGTACTCGAGGCTCTCGGTGTAAGTGAGGCTCAGTTGGTTAGTGTTCACTTTGGATGAACCTAGTTGGGTTGTTAGGTTTGCGCATGCTGCTGGTCCTGGAGCTGTCGTTGCCGTGGCTGGTAAGGCGAGACTGGCTAGTATGGGTATAAGGAGAGAGAACATGATTGATATGTAGGCGCTGGCTGTAGGGTTGGGAAATGGATGGGTTGAGCCCCGGTTTAAATAAGTTGTCTTTTTTGACCTACTCCCCACATTTCTCATACTCTACTATTCACATGCAGAATCTATAGGGGTGTTCATTTCTCAGTAGAAGCAATCCTCGGTACATTGATATGTGCAAAAGTAGGGAGAGGATAGCTATACGTCGAGAATACGATAACTTAAAACTTGGTTCTTGAACGGGTTCCATAAATGGCGATCACAATCTCGAATAGGCTATGGTCCCTGAAGATTCCCAACATTGAAGTTAGCATAGTGATCGGCGTTATGCAAAGACGGCATTTTATAGCCTAGTTTAAAATGTCGTCCTTGTCCTGTTTAAATGCGGGGAATGAACCAGATGCAGTTAGGGTTCGGCGATTATCAGTTTCGGCCAACGGGGTAATTCTCCGGGATTTGACATGTGGTGTCGTCAACTGGTCAGATATTACACAATCGAGATGGTACTTTTGACTGGAAATCAGGATTCTTGATTGAGCTGCAACTTCATATTTTCTAGAGTAAGGAGTAAAGATCGCTGTCTTGGCTTACATTTACACTTTGAAAAATCTGCAATAGTCAGCCAAAGCTAATGTTTAAGCTGAATTCCTCAGCCCTAAGGTGGACCAAGACCCTGGAGACTCCATAAACTCCATATTATCACAGATAATCTAATCATCTTATCAGCCCAGAGGGCCAACACAGATGTCTGATTCGAGGAATCAAGTCGGCAGTTTAAACGTAACGGTCAGCATGTGGAGACGAGGCGTCCTATGATAGGCGATGACAGGAGATGATGTTTGTCGTAAGCATGGGAATACGAGTGACCAATATGGTCTTATGGGGGCTAGTGTCGTTACTCTACAAATGTTTTCATCTCCCACTTCCTCTCTTCTACACACCTCCAGCATCTCCCATCATCCCATCATCCCATCATCCCATCATCCCATCCATCGCCAAAAAAATCCCCTGAAGACTTCGCAACAACCCACCCTCTACTAAAAAAAATAAAAAATTAATTAAAGAATCCGATGGCGAAAAAAGAATTCTACACCTGCATCACACCTCTCCCCCCCAACATCCCCCGCCAACTAGCTCTAGACATCCTCCACAGCCACAGCGAAATAATCACACTCAACCCCCTAGTCCTGTCGCACAACCCCATCAAAGCCCCGCGCACCGCCCCCGCAGACGAATACTACTCAACATGGTACGAAATATTCCAACGCGTGCAATACGTGCCAGGCATCGGCAAGCTAGGCTCAGGCAAAATAAGCTTCAAAGGCTGCTTCGAGAACCAAACATGGGGCGTGAAGACGCACACCTACGCGCCGATGAGCATAGACCTCCTCAGCAAATGGCGCGTGGCCGGAACCAGCACGCTAGACGAAGACGACTACCAGCAAGAACAAGCGGCCGATCTGGAGCAGCGCATCCCCGGCGCGCCGGCCCGCGGCCTCTACCTGCTGGAGGAAGTCGAGATAAAGTGCAACCTGACACTGATGTCGTTTGTGAAGAGCCAGTTGAAGGCCGCGTCGAAGGTGCTGGTCGATCGGCTGATTAGGAAGGCCGAGCTTCTGGATCGGGGCGTTTTGCAGGCGTCGTTTGAGGATGGGAAATTGAGGACGTTCAATCCGGCTGATCGCACGGTTAATCCGCATCCGAATCCGAATCCTTTGATGGCGCAGATGTCGCCTGTTATGCCGAATTCGCCGACTGGGTCGTCCAGGTGGGGGTCTGGGTCTGTTTCTTCGGCGGGCCAGGGCCAGGGCCAGGGGCAGGGGAGGGTTGTGTCCAGTGAGCTGCAGGCTTCGCCTGCGATTGCGCCAGAGCAGAACTTCAATTATAGGAGTACTGGGGGTGCGGTGGAGTTGCCGGATACTTCGGCGGTTAATCGCGGTTTGCCGTTTACTAGGTTTGATAAGGGGTATCCGACTGAGTTGCCTGCTATGGAGGAGGTTGCGAGGGAATTTCATTGATGAGATTTGACTGAAATGACTGGAATTTATGATTGAACGAATCTATTGATGAACTTGGGAACTTCAAGTTGATGATCGGTGCTTGAGCGGATTTTTAGATTTTGATGATTTACATGTTATTACTAAGTATTTTTAATGATTTATGGACCTTGTACCTTTCTTTTCTCTCGCCATGGTTCGTTGATTCAATTCACGTGCAAATGTCGGCTAGAGCTCATGGCAGGTATACAAGTTCTCCGCTTCGCTCAAAAATGTATCAACGGGGTGCAACAATCCAAGATCGATGTCAGACTGCGCTAGGAAATCTTGCATTGTGGGTTCCAAGAATGCCATTTCAGTCGTGTATCCGCTCATATTATCCCTGGCAGGCAAAGCATAGAAATCCGTACCATTATTGGCCTGTCCAGCTAGCATGTCATTCTCTGCTGGCAGCATCGGTGGGGCGGGCGCATTGGCTAAAACATTCGAGAAAGCCGTTGCCGGTACTGCCTGGCTTGAAGATACGGGCAGCATATTCGGGCCGGAACTAGAGCTAGGACCAGGTCCAGGCCCCAGACTAGAGACTGAATTGATAATACCAGGGGTACCGGGACCCAGATTAATACCGGTATTGGAAGTACTAGCCCCTTCTGGACTTTCCTCCTGTCTTCGTGACACGACAGAAGTACTTGGATTGCCGCGATACGCATCCAAACACACCTTCACTTGCTCCAGATTATGATAAAACTCTGCGGCAGCAAGATTCCCATTTTCTGTCATTGAGCGCAGAAGGTCCAATGCCGAGTCAAACCCACTCATGTCATTTGGGTTGCCAATGGGTACAAAGCTGGACATAGCCAAGATCAATGCCGAGGAGAATAGATAGTGAGCATGGAAGTATCCGAATGTAGGCATCGTGCCGTTAATCCAGCGTGTAAGGATCATGGAGTGTGAGTGACGTGCTGCATGGATACACGCCTCACTGAGCGTCCACACAGGCTGCGAGACTGCCTCGCGGTCTGCACTGGTAGAGTCCGCTTTGCGAAGAGTGATAAGAAGGTGAAGGAGGGTAGGTCTGGTGGTGAGAATGACGCATTGGTTGAAAGCCATGTGTAATGAGACGAGGGGCTTCTTGCTAGATTCCAAATCCTCCATATTCAGCCGGAGACTCTCGGGTAAGGTCTCGACCCAATTTTTCAGGGACTTTAAGAGTTTTTGTACGCGCTGCAGGAATGTTTCTTGGTGTTTGCGCCGGCTGTAGAGCTTTGTGATGGTTTCGCCGACTATCTGGGCCAGCTTGATATTAGCTGTCATATATTCGGTATCCGAGAGCTCCTCTTCGTGTCGCCAGCGAGGAGATATGGGTGTTGGCATGTCAACATGGATGTCTTCGTCGAGGATTTGCATGGGAAGACCCATTTTGGAACCCCACATGCGATCGAATATGTAAATTGTCCACCAAATTTCGATTCGGTGCTGTCGCTCAACTGGGTCGATGAGTTGGGTTTCGGAAATATTATGGTTTAATCCGATTGTGAGACCCATTCGCATAGCATTTCCAATTAAAATGTACGCCGAGTGACGGCGATTGAGGTAGTATGAGAAAAGGGACTGTGTATGTTAATATCACTCAGCAATTCCAAACCCGCTGTTTAATACTTACTAGTAGCAACAGAGTCTCCAGGTGAGTGATGCTCGTTCTCTCAGGGAGAATCTGCACCAAGCTCATGGCTTTTGCGAAATACGCCGTTCCGGGCACACGAGATCCAGAGGTAGACTCTGCGCGGATGGAATAAGCCTGTCCAAACGCAAACAGGGCAAAGAACTTGCACTTGTTCGTTTTGCAGTCAAAGTCCCCTGTCTGATATATTTCTTCCAATTTATCCAGTGTAGCCTTGCGCATCATCAAATGATACAGATACCCAATTTGATGGATGGCTATTCTAACCAACAGCCTCGCATGATGCAGGCTAGGCCACTGGACATCGGCATCATTGGCAGCAGCAGCAGCGATTGTCTCTTCCCGCGTCCACTGTGTACGCGCAATATGAGCCGTAGCATTATTACCAGTTAGAAAACGACGAAATCGCGTCGCAAAGGCCGAACACGCCGCCTCGCCAATGTATATGGGCGGGGAAGACGGGTCATAGCGATGAAACCATGCGCGATCGCCGATGAGTGGATTCCGAATACTCGTGGCATCGGGAGCTTCCACCGGGCGAGATAATGCTCTGTGCACCGATAAGCTTTGTGTCACTGTGTGGCCTGGGCGAGAATGATTATGCGACTTACTGTCCCGCATGCGGAGGTTGGGCTTCGGTCGCACTGGCCGAAGCGACCGATTGCTCTTTTAGGTGCCGAATCTCTGCCTCGAGTTGATCAAGGTAGCTATGGAAGGGGGATCGTCAGTCCTGCAAACGAATATCCGACACACTAGTAGCGGGCTAGTAGGCTGTATGATGCCAGTGGGTTACACATACTTCTCGCTCACTTTCACCTGGCGATCTCGGGACGCATAGGCGCACTCATCGGCAACGCCTACCGCACAACACTTGCTACATGGCTGGTCTCCTGAACATTTGATCTTATGTGAATGGCATCGCTGACATCTGTTCGGCTTTTGATTAGTACAGCACGTGCAGATAGAAGTACGTTCGGCTCACGCGACGAATTTTCTCCTTTGTCGGCGGGCGTCGTCTTCGTCCTCGCGGGGTGACCTTTTCAGCCCTACGCGTGCCATTTTTTCAGGTCCATTATCGTGTTTGGTATTGGTTCGGGATTCAAGATTATTTGCTCGAGTGTATGTCGGTGACTCAAAGATCTCGCCGAGAGTTCGGGAGGTTCCACCGAACAACTGAGGATCTCATAGACCAATCAGATCACTGTGGAGATGATTATATAACGCCGCGCATTATCCACATTGTGGACACAAGCGCCACTCTCGCTTCTGAGATATGCATGTGGTTCTCGATTTTTTTCAACCAGAAAAAAAAGAAGAGAAATGCGAAAGAAGCAAAAAGATGGACTCGCGGGGAATCGAACCCCGGACCACTCCCATGCTAAGGGAGTATTATACCACTAAACCACAAGCCCATTTGATGAAAGATGGGATGAAAGTGTGCGTCCTGACGGCTGAAGCGTATACCAGCTTAGCTAGCTTCGATAGTGTCTTCTTCCCCTTTCCCCCTTAATCAACCTGCTACCATTAAGATCTTTCAATATCTCGGCAAGTTGTTCCGCGAGTCGGGTAGTCTACATGGCTTTCAATTCAGAGTCCATATATCGCTAGATCATCTCCTCTCTCTCCAGGGCTGCCACATCGGAATAAGCGGTTGGACAGTCAATATCCAAATGTTCAAACAAAATCCAAATTCAATCTATGAATAATCTCTCTATTATCTATTCTATGTGTATGGTTGTAGAAGCAATAGCATGGGGCATAAATTTTATATCGTCAATGTCATCATCTTGATCATCAGGCTAGAGGCTTAGCCTCAATGTCAAACTTTTTCTCCACCCATCGCTGCATATCAATTCCCCATCTCGTAATTATCCAGACGTTAACACCACCAATAATTGCGAAGAAAACACCTAAGAACTGTTAGTATATTGCTGGGACGGGACATGACATCCATGCACTCTTCACTCACAAATCGTAAATGTCCACCCGACTCCAATTGCAGTGATCAATGGATCCACAGCGGCAGTCGCACCAGCCGCAAATATATATTGCACAACGTATTTGCCACTAATGACCTCAGACCGAATATGAGGCATCACCTCTGGAAGTTCAATTTGTTAGAAGAAAACCCGAAATCCAACACCTGGGCACAGAGCTCAGAACTCACCAGCCGAGTATGTATTCAACCCATTAAATGAACCCAAAAGTCCGACAGCCGCGAAAAAAGCGGCAATCACCGGCACGGGCATACCACCAACTCCCTTTTCGAGCGTCCATGCATAGATTAAAGTTCCGATGGGTAGCACCAGGAACAAGGTGATCAGTCCACTGTTCAGTCGGTCTTGAGGAAGGCGGACGCCGCCGCGCTTGACGATCCAATTCTTCACAGCGCGATCGGATAGCCTGCCACCCATAACACTTCCAATCAGGAAGCCTATTCCTGGTGAAAGGTAGAAGAGGCCGCTCACCAACGGTGACGTCAAGTTGAAGCGAGGGTCAAAAATTGAGCGAGCAGATGTGAGCAGTGCATATTGAAATGTGGATAGTAAACCGCATGTGAGGTGCTATTGTTGCGTTAGGCTAGAACGGGTCAAAGTAAAGAGGTATGGGGTTGAAATTACAGAGAGGAAAACGTTTGGATAAATGAATGGTCCAAAGATGCGGAGTGGGTTGAACATGCTCAGCACGAAGGATAGGTTTCGAGGAGGTTTGTTTTCCTTTTTCGCTTCAAGATTCGGTACGAAAAGAAGAGATAGCACTAAGCCGAGTGCAGTCATGGCAAATTGGAGCCAGTAGATGATACGCCAATGGGCAAATGTGACAATAATACCACCAATGCAAGGACCTGAGCAATCGTCAATAACCATGTTTCATAGCAATATTTCCCAGAGTTGTCAGGCTCATTATAAACATACCGATTGCAGGCCCACTCACGGACCCTACCATCATGAACCCTGTAGCTTTACCTCGAGAGGTCTATTCATAAAAAAGAACATATATTAGTGACACAACCTTGAGCAACATTTCAACAGAACTCACGGGCTCGAAAATATCCGCAATGATAGTCTGACCCGCGACCATAAAGTACGTGCCGGTAAATCCACTAAGCAAACGCATCGCAATAAACATATGCAAATTAATAGACGCAGCGGTTCCAGCCGAGCAAGCACAAAGAACCAAGATAGCCGCATTATAGGCATTCCTGCGCCCAAAGACGTTCGTTATCGGACCCCAAATAAAAGACGAAAAGCCCATGGCAATAAGCACGCCCGCATTAATGACATCGAGGATTTCTGATGTTGTGGAAAATTGGACTGCGATTTCAGGTATAGCGGGTAACAAGGAGGTACTGGAGAATGTGACGGCGAGTGTCATCCAACTGACGACGAATAAGATGAGAGATTTGCGCCAAAATTGGATGGCGTAGCCTGTTGGTGGTTGTGGCTTGGAGAGCTCCTCACTATCCGAGTCCTGCGGGGAAGTGAGTTGCGGCGTGGGCTTTTGTGATTCCACGTCAGTGGATTGTGTAAGGTCCATGATTAAAAATTAAAAATAATCAGAAAATTAAGAATCAATAAGATTAATCAATGTCGCATGTTCTATATGTCTTTAAATGATCCATTTCCGCTAAGATGGATTTAATCGAGGAGTTTTGTAGTTTGGCCATCTCGGCGATTTACTATGATGCCGAAGTCGTGGGTCTGTGAAGACGTTGATTTTTTCAAATGTTCCTTTCAAAGTGGAGTTCGTTATCGCCGTGATCGGCCTCCTTCGCCGAGAATGGCCAGTTGGCGAGCATGATTTCGGAACATTCTTGCGATAGTCAAGTCGTTGAACCCTGAAGGCTCCACCCTGATGGTTTCAGGGTCAGTTTGTTCTAGATCGGTCGATGAGCTTGGAAACACAGTCAAGATATACATAAATTGAGGCAAAAGGCCAAGCTTGACTTAGTGGGTTTTCAGCGTTAAGACCAACCAGAGTGGGGCATACAAGCACCAAGATCAGTGGAGAGGAATGAGCCTGAATGACATTGAGTGAACCGACAGAATAAAAGCTAAGTCGAAATCGCGCGTTTTCTACACCACAGAAGGCTTCGTTAAAGGTATTCATTTTCGGTGTTGGTCTTCTTTACATCGCCTTCACATCACCTCGTTAAAACACGAATGGTCGAATATTTGATAATGGCCCACTGGTGTTATACGCATGGACATTTATTAAGATTAATTTCCCACATATTTTCTACACTTTCTTTAAACTAGTCAAGAACATACACAGGTTATAAAACCTACAATAGTTTCCTTTCATCTAAATGTGCAATCCTTAGAGGTACTAGTACACATATTATTTCAAACAGAGAAGATAGACAAACACAGAAACAAACAACTGCACAAGCCACAGCACTGAAGACGTCGCCAAAAATCTCTTTCGTCCAGCCGCAGCTAAGATTTGGTGACGCGTCTCCCCCCAAAGACCCCTAAATCTCGGCAAGAATCGCAAGATGAACAACGCCAAGACCTTCAGCTCTGGATGCCAAACAGTCCAAACCCCAATTAAAAAAAAGGGGACGCCTCGAGCCCTTCCCGCTTTTTTTCTTCTCCGATGAGGTCAATCTGCCCAGAAATTGCTCATCATGGACATCAAAGAGCCAAAGGATATTGAAACTCCTTCGGCAGCGGGATCACCACTCGATGGCCCCAATCATGAAGGTCACATCGTTCTGATTCCCCGACCCAGTACCCACCCCCGCGATCCCCTCGTAAGTGCGCTGTGCTACTCGGTTTCAAGCTTCTTCAGAAAAAATAAAAATAAAATAAGGCTCTAACTAAAACTCAAACAGAACTGGTCTTTAAGGCGCAAGTATATCATCGCGGCAGTGCTATGCTTGGCTTCGTTCTCGGGTGCGGTCGCGCCCCTGTCGGGTCAGCTTAACCTGGCAGATCAGGAGAAGCTCTATGGGAAGACGAAGATCCAGGAAGCTTATGCAGTAAGTCCATGTTTCTTGCTTCCGCTCTCGCTTTTGCTTTTGCACTGGTTATACTATGTCATGTATACACATTGTGTCCAGATCTATACATTTATACGAAATACGAATGGCGCCTAACTTGTCATAGAATTCCGCCGCCTTGGCGGGCATGGCGGGTGGTCCGTTCTTCTTTGCGCCTATATCGCATATTTTCGGCCGCAGCTCGGTCATCTTCTGGTGCATACTATGTACGCTCATCTGCCAGATCTGGGGAGCGGTCATGACGCACTCGGACGACTATATCCCATTCATCATGTCGCGGCTTTTCGCTGGATTCTTCGGCGCCGTACCCACCGTGCTCGGCCCGCGCATTGTCACCGACTTGTTCTATCTGCATCAGCGTGGTCGCGCATTTACCATGTTGCACATGGGCTTCTTGTTCGGTACCATTGCCGGTCCCACTTTCTCTGGCTTTGTCTCCGCCAACACCACCTTCCCTGTGGAGTTCTGGTGGACGGTCGGACTGTTGGGATTCACTCTCATTTGCTGTTTCTGCTTCCTTGAAGAGACGGGCTTCGATCGTGAGAACTTTGAAAGAAATCCTGAGATCCCTCGGGGTCTTGTTGCGAACCGCTTCGCGACTTTCTTCTTTGGGCACAGTGTCGTGCTGCCCACAACCTGGAAAGAAACGGTATGTTTCTCTTTGCGTCTTCCCCGAATCAAATATGGAAATCCAAAGGAAGAAAATAAAAGTCAACTAACATCAATCCAGGCCAAAGTCGCTGTCACACCCTTCCTGATTGGAATCTGTCCCGTAACAATAATCATGGGCGTATTCACCCTCATCTCCTTCGGATTTTATGTCGGTGTCAACGCCTTGACCCCCGTCTGGCTCCAAAAGCCTGTTTCAGAAGGTGGCTACGGCTTCACACTGAAACAAAACGCTGCCTTTACATTCTGCCACTGGATCGGCATCATCCTCGTCCAGTTCTACGGCCACTACCTTAACGACAGGCTCCCCCTTGCACTGGCCCGCCGCTTTAACAACGGTGTCTGGAAACCGGAGTACCGGCTGCATGTCCTGTGGATCCCAAGTCTGATCCTGAACCCTATCGGACTAGGTATCTTTGGCGCGGCACTGCAGTATCATCTGCACTATATGGTCCTTGCGCTCGGCGTGTTCATTGTTACGATTGGCTCGTTGGCTAGCGTGCCTGTAACGGTGAACTATGTTGTCGAGTGCTTTACGAACCATCCTGCCGAAGCAGGAATCGTTATTGGAGCCTACCGCATTGCTTTTGGGCTTACCATTAGCTTCTACATTAACCCCTGGGTGGCGGCTGTGCACGTAGGCTGGGTTTATGGAATGATGGCTTTCTTTGCTATGTTCTCATTCTTCTTTGTTATGCTGCTTATGTGGAAGGGGCATGCTATTCGGGGTATTCAGTTTGCTAGTTTGGCTTCTAGTGAGGAGGGAGAAAAGTTGATGGAGGAGTAGATTGGATTTGGTGTATATGTATGTGTGTATGTTTACGTGATGGATAGATGTCTGGGCCTCTGTAGGCTATTGGGTTATAGACCTTTTAATTACCTAATAGATCTAATTATAATTTTGACCTTTCGAACCACAAGCTTGGAATCCTTTCTCTTTGCAAGTATGATTTCGACAGAGTCTTCAACAATTTCACTGCAGAGGCCACGGGAAATCCTTCCATGGTCGTCCCTTGTTCTCCTTGGCCAAATCAGAAAGCGTGACCCACCTCCACAATTTTTGGTTCGGATTCACAAGCTCATTACTGCTCCCAAGGCCACGAGCAGTATGGTTGATTTTCCCCTCACCCATCAAGAACCGTAGATAGATCGACGGTTCCCAGGATAGCTCTGATGTTGTCTCTTCCTTGTACTTCTTCAGCTCAACCTCACTGACAACAATACTCCCAGCGCCTGCCGTCTGCATAATACCAGCAATCTCATCAAACGAGCGAGTATCACCCGCCAGATGAACCGTATCCGGGATCTTCTCCCTGGGAAGAGCAGCCAACGACGCGACTGTCTTGCCGACATCATCAAGAGAAGTAAAAGAAACAGGCGATTGCGAAGACCCAATACATTCATACTGTCCATCTTTGGTATTGAAGCCAAACCACGGCCCGACGCTATCTTCCAAGAACAGCCCAGCAAAGACACGGCATATCTTCACGTCGGGGTTCAATTGTTTAGCCAGAGCCATGTGTTTCTTCTTCTGGTCCCATTCAAGGTGTGAGAAGTCATGGACGTAGTGGTCAACTCCGAATTCGGAGGGAAAGTAGACTTGGACGTCTGTCTGTGGCAGTGCACGGGCGAGTTTGTCTTTGAATGCGTGGCCCGATGGCCCGACTGTGTTGACGAGCACTTGCACGCCCTTGAGAGCCTCGGCAAGATTATTATCATCGTATTTTCGCGTGACAAATTTGTCATTGGAATTTTGTGAAGATTCTTGGCGCGATAAGAGGATGATGTCGGCGAATTGGTCGCGGAAGGGGGCGGAGAGAAATGCGGCTGCAATGTGGCGTCCCAAATGGCCGGTGGCTCCTGTTATGGCCACAACAGGTCGAGATGGAGATGACATTTTGTGATCTAGGGATTATTGTTTTGGCTACTTCTTGTAACGAGATTATGCTGCTGCTGGGAGAATGGGAAACTGAGTCTTGTGGGAAATTGAGTATATGATGTACCTCTCAACGCTTAACTTTCCACTTCCGGATTAGTGCTCAGTCGGATTGCCGCTTTTGGCTTATTGAGTAAAACTGAGCACGCCCTTGGGCCTTGAGCGCCCTGATTTGAGCTGAGCCTAGGGATGAGCGGCCTGAGTAGATACATCAATAAAATGCAATACCCTAGTCATATCACGTGAAGCCCTCCTCGTTGAGTTTATACCATCAGTTGACGACTTCAGTTTAACTCCCAGTAAGCAGCCAATCATAAATATGTATACCCTTCATAGTCTGTGTCTTTTCGATCCCCACCATCGCCAACATGTCACGAGCCGCGCTAAGAATCGCCCATTTCTACGATCGCCGCAATTCAGAATATCTTGGAGGCGTTAGGCAAAATGGGTCAATCACCCGGAGAAATGACATGCTGGGGACTCTTCTTGTGGTCAGCTTCGGAGGCGATAATTTTGATCGCGATGATCGGACCCTGCATCAGAACTGCCGTGATACCACGAATTCGGAGAATGTGGCCGACAAACTCTTTTACTGGCATTACAGACAATGTGTTCTTGCCAATATCAGAGGTGCCGGAGAGCCTACACTCGAGTGGGATTTTCCCATGGGGAATAGAAATAATGAAGGAGATCCGTGAAAGGCCGGTCCCGATTGAGAGACTGGAGGTAGACCCATCTCCAGACTCAAGCTGATTGAAAGTTCCATGGTTTACATACTAGCTTTACCAACCCCCTAAGTCTTATTGAAATGGCAGAGAAGCGCGGCGTTCAGAGTTTTTTTTTCATTGATACTAGAAGGGCTAGGTTTTCAACTTTTACTCTAGCAGCTCTCCAATTGAACGTTGGGACTTGATCTATTCAAGTACCGATGATCGTATCTTCTCGCTTTTCCAGTCAGCAAAAATGTTATAATGTTAAGATAACTTTTCCTTTTGCCCCCATTTCCACTCAATAATATTGTTGAGCTTTCCGCTAGGATTTCGATTTTCAAGAAGCTAAGCCGTCAGGAGGGCTTTTTAGGTATATCGTTCCAACAAGCTTTTTCTCCCCACCAATCTTTCTCGGAGGGGCAGTTTAGCGAAAGATGCGGCATCTACCTGATTTTCCTGAACAGGAACCAAGTCATTTTCAGGGAAGACAACCATTACCGCAATGGCCCCCATCTACGATCGCGGAATCATGGGGCTTATGCATCATGCCGTGGATTGTGTATGGTTTTTTATTTCGATTCCCCCAGGGTCGCTGCATCCATGGGAAATTTGATTGTTTCCTTGGTATCTCGCCTAGTGCCAAGCAGGGGCCTGTACTTGATCTTGTTTCCAGGGATGTGTGGGGCGCCAATTTTGCAAACCGAACGAACTCGCGAGAGCGGCTGATGAAGTATTCCAAATTGAATTATATTGTTTCGCATTGTATAAACTACAAGTGGATCTACTCGATCCCACGTAACAGAATAAGGATGCGGTCTTTTTGCTGCATGCCTCGTATACCTATATCAAAGTTTATTTCGTAATGATGGCTATATGCTTTAGAAGAACTAAAAGGCTGACACAGGTAGTACGTAGTATCAGTTACATATTATGCACGGATGGAAAAGAGGACATACCTCAGTTTTCAGAGAATATTAGTTGACTACTACATGTGCAGTGAATAGATAGTATGGAATAAGGGATCTAACCATTCTCTCTTGCCACGTCAACATTGAAGGCCAAGTCAGCCTCCTGTGTTGCCAGCTGGCTCTTTCCCCGCTTTCCCCGCTTTCCCAACCTCGGAAGTGCTGTATGCCGCATGCATCCTTCGTGTAGTCCCTTGAATTAACCGGCCTGCCTGCCTTCAAATATTTTACACGTTGCTATCATTGGTGCTGCTCCTGTGGTCGAAAAGATTTATATGGGAAATACAACTAGACTTAGAGCGTGTGAAATATTGGAATACTAGGCAATGGATCTGTATCTGCTGGAATATCACCCCTCTAGGCTGGTCTTCCTTGTATCCTAGGTCAGAAGGGTAACCCTGGGGCGGGGTTGGGCTATCCCACTAGAAAGAAACATTCAGGTTGTGAGACTTGCTCACCGGCCAACCTGCTAATGCCTAAGTGTTGTTGCCTAGTACTACAGAGTAAGCAAACATAGGTTAATAATGGAAGTATCAGTGAAATACCCGTCATCCCAAAGACGTGCAATAGTGAAATTCAGGCAAAGGAGCCGAGGCTGTGATATTGAAAATGATTGGCTTGAATGTCTACCTACTTCATGTGCACATGCATAGCCCGCTTCAAATATTTGTTTCAAATGTTGGAGATGACCGACATACAGACTACCCCAGCTCCATCCCTGTATTATGTTCATGAATACTAGAGATAGACCAGTCTGGACATTAATTCAAAATGAGGCTACTTTATTTGCGCAGAATAATCAAGACAGATTGTGATTTTACTGCTTATGATATTAACCTGGTGTTCGGACATAATCACCTGCACTTTAATATTATAAATCTTCAAATGTTTGTCCCCTTGTATGTATTTATACCTGTGCATCCTTTTGGTGTTGGAGTTGAAGAGGGTTCAAATGTTTAAAGCAATACCCATATGTGCATACGTATTATGTCTACGTATGCAGTAAATCACAGGCTGTATAGCTTCACATGAGTTAACTGCACAATGTTTTTAGCCCCGTGAGTGTTTGAAGTGTGGCATTAACATATGCAAGGCTAGCTATCAATAATATCTTAACACATGTACATATGTGCAGCCACGTACGCACTTATTTCAAATACAACTAAAATATCAACATTTCTACTTCTATGTATCTTGATGTCCCTCTCCCCTTATCCCGAATTCTTGGGTTTCTCTTAGTTACATACATATACCAGTACTCCAGATATCAAGTACTGGTTGGCCAACTTTACAAGAGTGATGCGAGCCTTGTCCTGTAGTGAGAACACGCACAGACCACTCAAGCGTGACTAGTCAATGTAGGAACCCCAATCAGGATAATGTAGCAGCCCCAATCGGGATGTCAAACTGACATCCGGACCATTACTAGTACTTCCAGGCATCTCCGCACGGTGTCTGTGATTTATTGTAAGGCAAGGTGCATTCAAATGCAAGATTTTCAAATATCGCCGCTATGGGACTCATGTATACTAATTATACTTTACCATACTAAAACATATACATAATATAAAAAGCTTTCTATCTACCCGTGGGAATAATCCAGACTTGCAGATTTTCTATTTTCTGGAAATCTAACATCATATTCCTGTTTTTAAAATGTCTGCAAAACGTTTCAAAGAGTTTCTGGCTGAAATTCCAGTCAATAAGTTTGAATGTTTCCCTCTAAGTCAGCGAACGATTTATCCAACAAAGATCATACATGACAATTTTCGTCTGGATATGCAGAGCGTCAGTATTTCACCGATAATATGAATTGTACTAATATGTGAGATTAGAGAACTGAGGATGGAGGATATAACCTTCAGATCCAAGCAAACAAAGAAGCAAAAGACACGTCAATTAGAAAAACTGCCCCAGACACGTGGGCGAACGTGATTGTCGCTGGAAATTCAAATGCAACTCCGGAGGACATACGAGCTGCGATGGCAAAGAGTAGAGCGACAGGCACAAAGCAGTACCTTTAGGACCTACTAGTGCAATAGGGCATTCGCCCTCTATATGATAGCTGAGGGAGACTGAGGGCTTATATGAGTGAATGGATGTTTGGAAAGTGGCCGCATAAGTACTTGGTAAGCTTCCTCAGTACCAAGTCATGTAACTGGTTGACCTGAATAACTAACTGTCAGTTAGTTATTTAAGCATTTCTAACTAACTAGCCAGGTCTCATGTACTTAGAAGAATCATCCTTCTGGATCCACACAATACACACATACAGCATGTCCATTCAAATCTCCTTCTAAGAGGTCTACAACGCCTACCTCCCATGCGGCCATGCCCAAACAAGTGCGACCGTAGAGAGTGTCAACTACCAGTGTGTTTACTTTCTGTATCTTGACCTATAAAGCTCAGACTGCCAGCGCTGGGTTTTACTTACACTAATTATGTGAAGATGGGAATGATCGTAGGCTAGCGCGAAGGTTAGATGTGCGGGTCAATCTCGCTAGCAAAACAACAATAAAGCGCAGCGCAACTGGATACTAATAAGTCGTAAAGAACACCCGTATAGGCCAGGTGAGAGATGTGTAGGTGTGTGCCTTTCAAAACTGTAGCGAATCTGGCTATCACGATTCACGATTCACTATATGTGCAGCGTGCTGCTATTCGGCTGCCAGTTGTTACCGCCTCCAGCCTCCATCCCGCACACCAAAACCTTAGCAATATTAAATGATAGGGAGGTTCCCCGCTACAGTAATTAGTCAGTCCTTCATTTGAAACACAAGTTCCGAAACACAGCCATAGGTTCTGAAAGTTCTGATAACATGGCCTGTAGTGCAAAAATGCACTAAGGCATTGCGGAGTCGTATAGAGGACAGTTGGGTTGTATACTTAGTTTATTTGAAGAATTTGAACAACTAAAAACACGTCCTCGTACGGTGATTCTCACTTTCAGGAGCAATGTTTCTTGTATTATGAACTGGGGTTCAAAAGGTGACCACTTTACTAAGTAGGGATATATTTTTTTGCGACAACACTACTCCCATTATATAAGCTCAAAACAAAGACTGATTGGTGGAAAGGTCGCCAAATTGACCTTGCTGCTTTCAGCTTGACTGGCGAAGTCACGTGGGGTCCGGGGATGTCAACCCGCGCGTTTCATTTCACTGAATCTGTTCACCTATCTCGCCCTCGTCACGGTGAAAGTTGGAATTCTGAGATTCTAAAACGATCAAGAATCTTCAAGGTCTTCGACAGCGATTAGTACTCCTATCTTTAACTCCGGCCATTGCCCTGCTAGCCTTGCAGCCGACGTGTTGGAGAAGCTGCCATATCACTACCCACCCCGAATTACCGTTCCAGGACGACAGACATCACCAAAGATCGAACCATGGCTCAACAGGCTCAAAAAGGCCTACTATGGAGAGATAATGACATGGGCGAACTTGCCCCTACGTGGACAATAGTACCAGATCTCTCCGTCATCAAATCTGTTGCAGTCGAACATCTGCCCGAAGGCTACACCGATATCAATGTTTCATTTTTCGCGGAAGGGTCCTTCAACAAGTTATATTGTGTGTCTTCACCACACATATCACAGAAGTACTTTTTACGTGTAGCATTACCGGTGGAGCCCTTTTTCAAAACAGAGAGTGAGGTTGCTACTCTTGCTTACATCCGCAAACACACCACAATCCCTGTGCCTAAAGTACTAGCCTACTGCTCGTCATCTGATTGTGAGCTTGGTTTTGAATGGATTCTGATGGAGAAAATTGAGGGGGTTCCATTGTCTGACATTTGGAACGAGATGTCTTTCGACTCAAAAGAAAGCTTGACCTTGGAGATGTGCAACCATCTGAAGGTTCTTCATGATCTTCCCTTTACTCAAATTGGAAATCTGTACTTTCGCTCTGTTTCAGAACAAGTAGGCACCGGAAAATCAAGCGGAGGCCTTGAAACTAACTCATGCAAGACTGCCATCGACCGCGGCATCGGAACGGAGTTTGTGATTGGCCGCGTTGTTTCTCCTTGGTTCTTCAGAGACAAGCGCATCTCTCTTTCTGCCGCCCGTGGCCCTTTTTCATGCTCATACCAGTACATGATGGCGAAGACACGGATGCAAATCGAGCGGATCAAACACTTGTCTCCTCTCCCTACCGATGATTATTATTCTGAAACCGATGAACTTTTAGCCGAGGATCAGGAAGATGTTTTGGATACGTGCCACAGCCTAGAGGCGCTGGTGCCTCATATTTTCTCTCCCCACGGTCGGGACGATGAAGATAACTTGCTGTACCATGATGATCTTTCAGCTTCCAACATCATCGTGGATCCGATATCCCATCGCGTCACTGGAGTAGTAGACTGGGAATGCGTCTCTATTCATCCTGCTTGGGAGGCAGCAGAGTTTCCTTTCTTTTTGAGAGGCATTGAAGTGCCAGAGCCGCCACCTCAAGAACCGGGGATTGTCGAACCTGACCTCGTTGAGATACGAAAGGACTGGGAGAAAGTTTGCCTTCGACGTCTGTATAGAAAGACGTTGCAGGATAATTTTGAATTGTCGCCAGATATAATGCGCAAACAGAAGTTTTCTTTTTGCTTGGAGAATATTGAGATGAATTGGACAGCTTCCCAATACTGGGCACAAACTCAGCTTGAAGAACCCGGGCTGGAGACGGGTCCAACTACATTGCAATCATAGCATCAGAAAATTTTGGAGATGAACGTTTTACACCTGAACCCAAAGAGTTACGCAGTGGACAATTTTATTTCTCTTTAGTGATTCAGTTTGTCAAAAGCCCACTGTTAATTATCAGTAGCGTCACGGATCCAGCCAACATTGCAATTGCCGAGACCCTTTCTACGGTAACCTAAAAAAAACTGTGGACCTAAGTGGATCTACGTGTTGAAAATCCACTAGCGAACTATGAGTTTTTTAGCAAAGATTTGTCAGCTGAACCAATATTTGTAATGTAAGGCCGTATAAATCCGGATAAAACCGAAAGGCAGTCCGGCGGTTTTAGGGTCTCTCCTAGAGGCATTTCTAAGCATTGTAATTTTCATCGAGGCATTACTTTTTGCTTCTTAGTAGGCATAGAAGCTAGTAGCTACTAGTAATCAGTACTAGCTATATAATCTTCAATATTATCTCTGCTTTTTCATCTACAGCATCTTCTAAAACAACCTCTATTTCTCTTAAGTCTTATCTGCAATTTGCAAAGAAATAACAAGTCACAATGGCTCCCAAAATTGCTATCGTTTTTGTACGTTCCAGAGTGACTATCTGTGATATTCCATTCACCCTGACTATCATTTAGCTAACCTCTCATTATTTTGCATATTTAGTACTCGATGTACGGCCATGTCAAACAGGTGGCAGAGGCTGAGAAAAGGGGCATAGAAGCAGCAGGCGGCACGGCCGATATCTTCCAGTGCGCAACTCCATTCCTTTCAACCCATTGGCGAATCTTGAAAAATTGGAACTTACATTTTACTAGAATCGCAGAGACTCTCCCCGAGGCCGTCTTGAGCAAGATGTATGCTCCTGCCAAGTCCAGCTACCCAATTGCCGAGCCTGAGGATCTCTTGGAGTATGATGGAATTCTTTTTGGAATTCCCACCCGTTTTGGAAACTTCCCTGCTCAGTGGAGGGCTTTCTGGGACAAATCAGGTTCTATCTGGGCATCTGGTGGCTACTGGGGAAAATATGCCGGTCTCTTCATCTCTACAAGTGGCCAAGGCGGTGGTCAGGAGTCAACTGCTATCGCCTCAATGAGTACCCTCGCGCACCATGGCCTAATCTACGTTCCACTGGGTTACAAGCACACCTTCTCGCAGTTGACCAACCTTGACGAGGTTCACGGTGGCAGCCCCTGGGGTGCTGGTACCTTTTCTGTAAGTCACTAACGATTTGATTACTTGACTTGGAAATTATATGGATGCTGACCGCACTCTATGCAGGGAGGGGACGGTTCTCGCCAACCTAGCAAGCTTGAGTTGGAAATTGCCGAAGCCCAGGGAAAAATCTTTTACGAGACTGTCTCCAAATCTACTTGACTGCATGGTAGCACCCAGTCAGACCCCAAGAGTTTGGCATCCAACCCCACGGCAGCTGTGAAACAGTCACCGCAGCGGTCACAGGGGAAACAGGAAGTCACCGACAAGGAAGAAATACGTGAGGGACCATGTGGCCTACCTAGCAAGTGTGCAATTCAATAATTACCTAGGACAAATGAGAGCTCACCCTCAACATACAATATGTAGTCTTGGAGTTCGTGCAACGAACAATAATATACAATACTTATGTAGAGTACATGCTTGATTCCTTGGAGCCCTGGGAAGTATCTTGACCGATTGACCGATCAATTCAACGCCGTCGTCACATCTCTGGAGATTTGAAGGATACTCGTGAGCTCTTCCTGGGGCGTTCTTCCCATACCACACTCGGTCGCAACTCCAAAGTCTATCTCAGTGGGAATGACTTCCCGGGCTGCTTGAAGTCTTCGGAATGTCCCTTCCGCGTCGTTTGCATGCACCAGTCCGAGATACAATTTGGTTTTGTTAATGGCAACAAGTCGTTTCAGAGGCTCAAAGTATGCTGTATCATCACGGCTCTTAGGAACAGGCATGTGAATCCAGCTCAAATTGGCACTCGGGGATATGCAGCGGGTCAAATCATTGGCGAAATCCACCAAAAGACCCAGATCCTCTGGCTCAATGAAATGTTTATGACCTAGGTCACCGTAGCACAGATGCCATCCAACGGGAACCTCGCTTGGTAGCTGGGCACATAATCTCTGAGCACGTTCGAGTAAACCCTGGCGAATAGGCGAGAAATGCGGCTTGAAAAAGTCGACGGGCAATCGCCCTCGCTCATACTCCAGAGCAGTGACCATAAAGCATGTGTCAAATTGGATTGCGAGATCGTCCGGTGGAATGGACTTCAGAATTGATTGGATCGCATCAAAAATTCGTTTTTCGTAAAAGGGCTCCAGCTGAGCTTGAAATTCCGATCGTACATGACCCTGAATGCACTCGTAGGGCGTCGGTATGGACACTTGAAAGCGAACGTTAGACGGGATGGTAGCATTCTGACGAAGGCGAAGGAAGTCCTGGTATGAGTCTTTTGCAGCCTTGTCGTAATCGTTGGGCTTCACGTCATCTAGCGTAAAGACTCCGGAGTGACCTTGGGGTAATGGCTTGCCCCCGATGGACTCGTGGATCGTTTCCACAGGGAATCGAAGACGTTCCCAACCGATAAAGTTGCACCGGTCCCCGGTTTCTCCGTCTGGGATCGAAAATAAGCGACCAGGAAGTGCTTCAGATAAAGTAGTGAATACTTCTTCGCTGGTAGATAGAGGTATACTTCCAACAAAGTGAACACCACGCGCATGGACTGAAGCGGCCATGGTAAGCACTTAAAATAGGCTTAAAGATTGATGAAATAGAGCTGCTGAAATTGAAGAGTTGCCTCGGAAAGGGATTTTGGAGTTAAGCGCCAATGTTTGTGGAGGGAATCTGGGTGGTTGTCACATAAATAGAAGTTAGGGAGCTTGGGCCGCGGGTTGGAAACAAAGACCCGCAGAAGGCTGGGAATGACCCACACGGCGGCCGATAACCGCCACCCTACTGCTCAAGTGCTGTTTCCCGCCTGTATTGTATTTATCATATATAGGAATATCCTCAGGGATTCGATCTAATGCAGCGCTGAACATAATGGAGTTCATAGACTAATTTGAATTTGGAATTACTCGTAATTTACTTTCTGCCGGTCGGAAAGTTGAAATTGGGATGTGACCTAGGGGTGGCCTCTATCGGCCGCCATAGTACACTGTACACCGTACCCCTCAAGTGCTGGCCCTCCCTTTCTTCTTGTTGCTCACCTCTCTCTATCTCTCTCTCTCTTCTCTTGTGCGCAACATTTTGAACACAATCATTCCTACATCTGCTTTTCAAAATATTCCGTTGTATATTTTATTTTTGTCATGGGTATCCAAGATGACTTTCCTGATGTCCACTGGATCTGGAAAGGAGGCATCTCCTTCGTCTATGAGGTTCATCCTCGCATCGTGGTCAAGGTCCCACAACCCGAGGAATTTGAGAGAGAGCAATTTCAGAAAGAACTCGAGATTTATAAGATATTTTCGCAACATCCGCCCTGCCCTTACTTAGTGCAGTGTTTCTTCTACACAGACAACGGCATTTTCCTCAAGTACATGCGAGGTATGACCCACCCCTATTATCATTTGACAGGTAAAAAAAACAACTAAATTTGGTATAAGATATATCCCTTTTCTATAGAATTCAAGATAATCATATCCAAGATCAGAAAACTAGGATTGTTACTGAAGTAATAAGACTGGAACCTCTACACCTACGAAAGGAATGGATGAACGACATTACTCAAGCCGTCGCTTTCCTGGAATCGCTCAACCTCGCTCATGGTGACCTATGACCCGAAAATATCTTGCTCGATCACAATAAATTGAAACTTTCTGATTTCGATTCTACGGCGCAAATCGGGACAGACTTCGAAGCTTGTATGGCCCCATATGGAAGGATACTCAACGACAAAGACTCGGACCAAGGACGACGTGGAACTTCCGGCTTCCTGGGTCCTCGAACAGAGCAATTTGCCCTTGGTTCCTTGTATTACTTGATAAACTACGGGTTTGAGGTTTATGGAGACCGATGCCTTACCGAGGACCCTAAGGAGAATGGTCCTAAGGTTGTGGAGTTACTGTAGAACATGGAATTTCCGAAGCTAGATGCACGTGATCCGCTAATTGACGATATCATCGACAAATGTTGGCACAATAAGTATGCCACGATTGCGGAATTGGCCGCATACACGGAGACGCTCATCCCTAAAAGAGACAACCAGAAAAAGAGCGATGCCGACACAATCTCCATCCCCCGATGGTGTCACAACAGCGAAGCAACCAATCCCGAAGAAGTCAATAGCGGGGAACCGAATGACCATAGCTGTGACATGGATCAAAACCATCTTGCGGATGATTTCTCTGCCAAAAAAGCATACTGTCAGGACCTGGAGAAGCGAGGACTTCTCAATATCCTTGCATCAAAAGAGCCTGAGCAACTTGGATTTCCTTGCAAATGGTATAGACACAAGTTGTGTGAGCAATCGAACAAACCCTAGCGGATAAACTAGATAATGGGAATGGCTGGTGGTGGCTTGATGGAAAGAAAGTTGACAGGTAAACCACACGAACCGGCAGAAAACTGGATCACGGCAAATGCTCTGCCTCAGGTCATTTGGATGGCCAGAACAACCTTGGTGTTGGATCGCGGCATATCTGGGGGAATGAAAGGGGCAGTGTAGAAGGCAAATGGGCGATGTTCGATGGGAGTAGGAACAAAAGAAAAGATGGCAATATGTAGTTAATGAGATGACCCACATTTCCAGGATCACCAGCAACTCTCATCATCCTTACCAAAATTTTTCATAGCCAAGTGGAGACTTGGCTACGTAGACGTGGATGCAGAACAGTTCTCAAGATATCGCAGCAATGGCAGTTTGGTTAAAGTAACCCGACCGCAGTTAATTTCGGTAAGAACCTGCGAGACTACACTGGCAAAGCCATTCCATCTGCCCTCAAATCACTCCCAGCTTCTAGGACCGTCCGGAGATCTTTGTCCTGAAACGTCCGGATAATCTGACCTCTCCCAAAAATCTCTCTATCCCAACCATCAAGAACCTTAACGGTATGGCCCCGCTGGCGCAATCCTTCCACAACTGTTGAGCCCATGCCCTCCTCAATATAAACGGTCTTTTCATTCCCTGTTGCTGTATGAAGGTGTCCCGTTGACCCGATACACACTCTTGGGGCATCCAGCGCTTGTTGAGAATTCATTCCAAACGAAAGCATATTCATCAACAGCTGCACATGCCCCTGTGGCTGCATAAACCCACCCATGACGCCGAATACGGTATTCAAAGATCCATCCGCTGGGCTAGTAGCCATTGCGGGGATAATGGTATGATATGGACGCTTGCCTGGCGCAAGGGCGTTTGGATGGCCAGGTGTGAGGGAGAAATTAGCACCGCGGCTTTGTAGAGTGAAGCCACATCCACGCGGGATAATTCCAGTCCCGAAGCCGTGATAATTACTGTTGACAACTGATGCGGCGTTCCCGTCGCTATCGACGACAGCGAAGTACACGGTGTCGCATGAGTTCAACGCGGGGCTGCCATGGGAAAAATTGTTTGATGCTGCGTCCGAGTTGAAAAGAAGTGCTCTTTCCGCGATGTATGAATCAGATAGAATATTCGGGATATCTGAATGGGCGGGGTCTGCAATCCACCATGAGCCATCTGCGAAGGAAATGCGGAAGACTTCAATCAGAGCGTGGATATAGTCGACAGAGTTGTGCTGGAGACTGGATAAAGGTGGGATCTTCTTGGTACGTTCTAATTCCTCAAATAATTTGAGTGCCATGAGAGCAACGAGACCCTGCCCGTTAGGCGGATGCTCCCACACGTCGACCGCCTCCTTGAAACGAACACAGACTGGACTGGTCGCTATACTTCCCACATCTGCATGGTAGGATAAATCCTCATAAGAAAGAAATCCATCACGATTCCTTACCGCTTCCACAATCGCATCTGCAATAACACCTCGGTAGAAACCATTCTTTCCTTCAATAGCGAGCTTCCGGAAGGTCTGCGCAAGAGCAGGGTTGGTCATAATCTCGCCGGCCACAGGCGCACGAACCACCTCATTTGGGGTATACTCGACTTTAAGAAGTTCGCGGTAATTGGGCGACGCCTCTATCAACGATTTCGCATTTTCTTGCCACTAAACGTCGTCAGTAAGTCCTTGGAGTAGGGTCATTTGCAGAAAGTACCAAACGGGCCGATATCTCCGAAACAGGAAACCCCTCATCGGCCAGGGAAATTGCAGGCTTCAAGACCTGCTCGAGCGACAAATTGCCGCTCCCAAACCTTTCGACAGTATCCACCCACCCACTTGCCGCCCCTGGAGTCGTGACTGCGAGAACACTGTTGAGTGGTATATTTTTCAGCGGGAGCTGTGAGCTTTCCAACCGTTCTCGAGCCTTCTCAAGCGTAAGACTCATCGGGGCACGCCCGGACCCGTTGAGCCCATGCACTTTCTTGGTCTTGTTATTGTAGAAGAGACAAAATATATCACCCCCGATCCCGGTTGATCCTGGCTCAGTCACATTCAACGCAGCAGCTGGAAGTAGAATCTATTAGTGAAAACTATCTCTCTGTCAAGGTGGAAATCCAACATGCCCACTGCGATAGCAGCATCCTTCAACGGTTAGTAAATATGCTGGCCTAGATGATATGAAGCACTCACTGCTGCATTTCCACCATTCTCCAGGATCTTCTGACCAGCTCTCGCGGCGAGTGGCTGGGAGCATGCTATCATGCCCGAGGTGCTATATATGGCACTTCGGCGTCCGAGAAATGGAGTGAAGAGGCTCCGATTAAAGGGGTGGGCCATTTCTTTTGCAGCAAAAAAAAAGGAATCGCGGGGGGAAGGGAGAAATAAACGCGAGAAAGAGGATAATAGAAAAAAGAACGGGCGCTTTTGGCCTTGCTTTATGCTCCGTATGGTAGAAAGCGATGATGATATAAGATTTCGAGATCTTACTAGACAATTTGGAGGTTAACACGCGCCCGGAGTTGGCAAAGACCTCCCCGGCCGTAGTGACGCACACTGGATTACACGTACGATGTAGGCAAAAAAGTGAAGCTTACTAGTACGGTGCCTAAACTTGCTTACTTATTGTCGCAGCTCGAATTTTCCCTATTATTTGCTAATGCCAAATGGAATATGGGAAGCTTGAAAGGGTGGGGGCGGGGAATCCATAACTTGAGGGGGTTACTGCTGGAAGGGGAAGTCTCCCCATTATGATGGCGACCCTGATTTGAAAAGAGACTAGTGCACAATAACAGAGAAACCATGAAACAAGATTTACCCAGATTACTACCGTGAAGCGGCCAACGAAGCGTGCTTCACGGCCTGAGTATTTGATGGACGCTATTCGATCCCGTCAAGCCAGCTCTCAACGTGCGTTTTCTTTGAACTCCAGTGCTTTTCCGCGTCTGATCCAGCATCATCAGGCTCTTCCTCTTCTTCAGTGTTTTCCAAATCAATCCATGAATGCTGGTATAAGGGTTTTTCGCAGCGAGGATACCCCGTTGATCTTAACCATCCAAATATCCCACGGGTGGCTCCCTCCGAGACCAACTGGGAGGAGAAATCATAGTTATAATCGCTTAGTGTTGCATGCTTTATGCTGGTGGATAAATGTGTTGCTTGGTCAAGAGGTATGGTATTATCTTTCCCGAAATCCCGAATTGAATGCCCATTCACCAATATCCATTCCCAAGACTCGTATTCTAAGAAATGAGAACATTGAGTATGTTGCCGGATCATTAGGTCGGTATCGCAAAGGTTTGTGCTCCCAAAGGGCTTCCAAGGCCAAACTGGAGGTCTGTCATGGCCTTTGCAGGCTGTAATGAACGATAGGCGGCATTCGTCATCACGGCGTATCGATTCACCGTTACTGGTCCCCATATTGCAGGTCAGAAATGTTTGAGTTGTTGTGGCCCAAGCCGAAGCTGGAAGATCCAAAGCCACCATTCCTGCTCGTATGTCGCGTAAGACAGTCTTTGCAAGATCTGTGAGAATTGCACCGAGCCAGAGGGGCCCGAGTAAGGGGCTTCGATTTGCCAAAAATACGGCTAATTCAAATTCAATCTTTCTGGGTGCGATGGAATCTATAATCGCAAAAGCTGGATTCAGCCAGGCGCTGACAAGGTTGCACTCAATAACTGGATTGAAAAAGGTGCTGTGCAGAAGAGAACGTAGACCCCACGGATTAGAGCTTAACGTCATATACTTTGGAAGCATTTCAGTATGTTCAATAAGAAGATCTGGAATGGAAGCTGGTAAAACACACTGTGTTAGTTCCAGCCGAGAAGCTTGTCTAAGAAGCGGAAGTGATAATGTTCTCCCGCTTAGGAAAGGAATGTAAAGGACACCGGCAAGGGCGACCGAGCACTGAGCGTAAAGTCGGTGGTGCACACAAAACCGACAGAGGTATTTGAGGGCGGTGTTAGACGATGGGGCTTCTGCTTTAGCACCCAAAAACTTCTTGGTGGCTAAGGCAAATCTTCCGTTCTTTAACGAGATCGACCATGGTGACAAATAGACTTGGCCTTTGTACTTGACGGTCGCATCCCAGCCATCATTGGAACACAAAATCGCCCGCCACCAGAGGAGTTCCTCTTCATAAGCATCGTCGCCGATATCAATTTCAACCATGGGGTAACTGTCAGAGTCTGGCAATGAACCCTCCATCCTATTCAAGGCGTAGCTCATATGACATTCGTGGTCACCAGAGCGACCAAGCAGCTCAACCCATCGAGCAGACAGTATATAGGCCCATGCAAAGTAAAGGACTGATAAATAGTTTCCTTTGTCATATCCCGACAGTCCCTGAACTCCAGGCCAGTCAAACAGAGCAGAGTCTTCAGACAACTCCACATTTAATCGACAGCCAACTGCTAATAGAAGTTGCTTGGGCAAGACTCTTGGGGGTAGATCACAGTTTCCGTCAGAAGTCCTCCATGCTGACCTACCATTAACGACAAGACTGCCTTCTCCTTGTTCTGATTTCTTCTCCTCACAAGCAAACGAAATTGTCTCGTCAGATAAAGCAATTCCACCACCGAGGAAAGGCGGTGTTTGGCTGACAAGAGGCCTCATGTTTATGGCTTGCTGGGGTAGTAGGTGTTTGTTCTCGGTAGGTAAATATGAAGTCCATGTCTTGAGGCTATCCTGAAGAACCTGGCTGAACACATCATCACCTGGGCGCAAGGCGTCGCCCATCTTCGCATACCGGCAAGATAAATGCAGATATACAGAGGCTGCCCGAATCGCCTCGCGGGGCTTTTGTCGGCGGAGGAGAGGGTTGGTCAATTGGAAACCAGGACTGAGTGCCCACTCTTATGTATCTTGATTCGAAGTTGGAAGGTCCAAGTTGAATTAATCGGGCGAGAGCAATTTGTTTATTCGGAGTACGCAAAGGGAAAAGAAACCGTGCGGTCATGCTACTACGTAGTTCCACAGTGCACACATTTCCTTGGTAAACAAGAAGTGATTCCTTATAATGCGGGGCTCTCATAGTGATGAGCTCTCGCGCGGGGTAGTCGAAAAACCAACCTTGTTGCAGATGCATAGTTAAGAAGGCGCCGTTATGCGTATAATTGAATAAATTGAATTAATTACCACACAACCACGAGCAATCAAAATCAGCCCAAACTTTGTTCAAAGCCTGGCTTGGCCATTGGAAGCTCAAATCAATTATTTTAGAGTGAATGGGACGTGTCTTGGTGTGAAAAGTGATGGTGGGAGAATCACTAGTAGATCTGGATTCTTAGGATTATGGTGGGCATGTAGTAAATTATTAGTTGCACGCAAGTTTCGTTAAGGGGAGGGGGTCCGGCCAATCGTGAACGGTCTTGGCGTTCGGGAGCGCGCGTTGCTCTATTTAACCCAAAAAAACGCTGTGTCATTATCGGCAAATTGCGTGGCAAAAGCCGAGGTCGAACTATAAATTAATAAAAGCACCAAAAGCACCAAAAGTACTGTCAGCCATTCTATCTGAGTCTAGACTCTAGGGAATGCATAACAACGTTCTGTCACTCTGTAATTGAAGCTGTGATATACGTCGTGGATTGACGGATTGGGTCTCTATTCATGCACAATATTTTTACTCATATATTCAGATTCTGGAGTGATGGCAGAAGGTTGCTTGAGGAGTCAGGACATACCGCAATTAATCAATTCAACATACTCCGTTTTTCCCAGCTCCGAAGAAAAATCGTATTCCACCCACATATATTCAATAATTCCGTGCAGGATAGGGTGTTTAGTTGGATTGACGTTCATTGCATTCTCAGGCTCCGATATCGGTGACTCTGAGTTCCTTAGCAGGCAACCTTGTAAGGATTATGGTAACGATCTGGATTCAATGTTAGCGGGACTCTGTTAGAACCCTGTGGCATTTGGTCAGCCCGTTCAAGGACTAAATTATGGATAATACTACTATTCAGTAACGAGAAGCTGAGACTACTGGAGCTGTGGTCCCTCTAATCTCTTTCGAGAGCCACGGTCATTTCCGAGCTGATGTGAGACGCTTTCTAGGAGACGGCAGGATTCTTGATTCCAGTTTTTAGTTATTTCGGAGTTAAGAAGCAAAGGCGTCATAAATTAATTGGAATTAATTGGAAAGGTCCAAACTTATGAGGTCTTTCATCTCACTGCAGTGACTACACGGTTGTCTGTATAGGGATGGCTTACCTGATAATAATCAGCACTTACAGCCCCCACCGTAGCCAGCCAATTATCAATCATTTCCAACTCCTCCACTAAATTATGAGGCTATTGATTGCACTGTGGAGCTGAGATATACTTTCAAAGATAAAGTAAGGCGTCCAACTCAAAGTCATGATGCATCTCCATTGTACAGGGCTGAGTTAAAGCTTGGCACCTCCGAGCCCGCACCCGCACCCGCACCTGCACCTGCACCCACACCAACGCAGTCTGGGTAAGATTCCGGCCGATTTGAACTCACTGTTGATTCAGCTCCGAAGTTTAGCACAAGACCATGGGGCTGATACGAAAGCTCGAAAATACTAGTACTCGCGTGGACACATGGGCATCATGACCCGCATACAAGAACTAGTATATATTGGCGGTGTTCGCCAAAAGGTCATCCATCTTCAAGTTTCAGAGACCTTCTTCTCCAAACCGCGAGTTTCGCAACTCAAACGCAAGTACCACCATGCATCAGCCATTTCAGTATGACACGGATGTTCTCATTGTCGGGGCTGGCCCGGTCGGCATGCTGCTGGCATACCAACTTGACCGTCTAGGCATCTCATGCGTCATTGCAGAACGCAACCTCGGAACCACAAAATGGCCGAAAATGGATCTGACCAACTGTCGGAGCATGGAGATGCTTAGGGTGCTTGGACTGGCGAATGACTACAGGGCGCAGACGAATGCTGTCAGCTCAGACGCAAACTATAACTCGGTCTTCATCACAAGTTTGTCGAGTGAAGGGACCTTGCTTGCTGACTGGGTATGTCATTAGCAATATACCAGTGCTTTGATGATTTTGGGTTTTTGAAGGCTGACCGAATGGCGAACTATAGAAACTTCCGTCGGTTAATGAACATCGCGAATATATCAAGGCACACAACGACGGGACACAACCCGCGGAGCCTGGTCAACGGTGCTCGCAGATCGTTTTTGAAGCTTGGCTTAAGGAGATTATTTGCGAAAGACCGAATGTGACGACTAGAATTGGATGGACGTACACGCACCATGTTGAAACAGACAATGAAGCAGTGGCTACTTTCATCGATAGTACTGGCGCAGCGCAGACAGTCCGGTCTCGCTATCTGGTAGGCTGTGACGGTGGTAGCAGTAAAGTCCGGAAATCCACTGGAATTCAAATGCTCGGGGGTCAAGTGTATGGTCATTCTCGGGCGAGTTACTCGTTGATTATTCAATGACTAATTGTTTCATTAGTCCCGCACGGTTCCACCTGACTCACTTCAGGTCCGCAGAGCTAGCTGAAAGACTGCATTTCGGGCGTTTCTGGCATGCATTTCCAGTCGGCGCCGGATTTGTCATTGACCAGGATGAGAAAGACACCTTTACAGCACACTATCCGCTGACTGGTGGAGTCACCGATCCCACTGACCCATACGAAGTCGTCTACAAAGTTCTTGGAGGGTGTCTTGGAGAGTGGCGGATCAAGATCGATGAAATTCTCGTCCATAGCGAGTGGCAGCCGAGCTTCAGTATTGCAGAGAGGTATTGCACACATGGTGGACGCGTGATGCTCGCTGGAGATGCAGGTAAGATTCCCGTCTCGGTCTCGGTCTTCCTCTTTCGCTCTGGTGGTAAAGAACCTGGACTGAAAAACTATTACAGCGCACAGAAACCCGCCCCATGGCGGCTACGGAATGAATAGCGGAGTTATAGACGCAGTTGATCTTGGATGGCGACTCGCCGCAGTTATCAAAGGATACGGAGGTGACGCACTGCTGAAGGCATACGGTGTTGAGCGACGCCCGATGATGATTCGGGCTCTTCAGCGATCCCATCGCCACGTTCTCGAGCACGTCAAACTAGGAGCTTTATACAACCAACACTTGGACAGTTTGACGGGTAACTCATCTGAAGCCGAACGAAAGCATGCACTAGAGGTCGTGAAGAATTATATCACCACGTCAGGACCCGAAACATTAGACCGTGGTATTGAGCTTGATCTCAGGTACGATCATTCGCCATTTATCTATCCCGATGGTACACCACCTGTTCCATGGGAAGTGGGAAAATATGCACCAAGCACTCGGCCAGGCTCTAGAGCACCCCATGTGTTCTTGAAGGATGGAAGCACTAGCATTTACGACTTCTTTGGGGTGGAGTGGACCTTGATACATTTCGCCGGAGAGAATGAGGCGGATAGTGCCAGCACATTTTTGGACGCAGCAGAGAAAATGGGCTTTCCTTTGAAGTATGTTGTACTCAGGGGAGAGAATCACGTTCACAGCGTATGGGAGCGTAATATTGTGCTTGTGAGGCCAGACACGCATGTTGCTTGGAGGGCAAACAAAGGACCGTTGTCACCAGAGGAAGCAGAAAGTATCCTGCAGGTCGTCTCGGGGAATCAACAATGTCCAGGATACACCGAGTCCGAAGAACTCTCCCAGGCAGAACAAGAATTCCTCAAGACCGCAGAAGTATTTACAGGCAAGAGCAGCAGTGATAAACTAGCCATCAGTGGTGAGGAGGAGACTGTTTGAGTTAAACCCTGTGGTCTATCTTGCGGTGCTTACTAGAGTCGGTTTTTATTGGTGGAGAATGTTTTACTTAGAAGGCAAGGTCACCTAGAAAGTGTCACAGAGGGGTCAGGTGGCCCCCTCTAGCTGTATCCAGTGCTTACTTCCACCCTTTCCCCTTCTTCTTCTCTCAATCCCCCCGAGAGAGATTGTCCATAGCCAATAAAGTTGCTTTTTTCTTCGTTTTGCTCGTCGAATACGCCGGAATACGTGCAATAGCCCATAGAATGATGGGATCAGAGGCGTGCTCGAGGGGTCTCACTGTCGAAGACGTAAGCACAATTCGCGGCCTCTTGGAATTCTCCAATCACGAGATGAAGGCCTCTGTTGCCGCAGCTGCTATTTTCCCTCCATCATCTCTCGCAGCGGGTAATTTCCGGATTTTTTTCACATCTAGAGCCATTCCAGAGTTATTGAGAACTAAATATAGGAGTTGGTAGTTTTCCTCGATGTAGGCTTTGGCAGCAGTAATCGAGGCGTCGGAAGCAATGTCGATCTCGATGCTGGTTATCTGCCAGATTTGTGGACCTCCGAGGTCGGGTTCATCTACGTCAGTCCCTTAAATCCGACAATCTCCGACCCCGTACTATCACGGGCATTCGACCAGTCAACATCCAGGTATGAAATTATACGGTCGTTTTAAGCTCGATATAACCGGGAATCAGACATTGCGGAAATAGCATCTTGACGGAAATAACACTTTCGTGGTAATGTATAAAGTCTCCACAATGTAGCATACCTGAAACTGCTGAAAAGAGCCTGAGGCAAAGAGGAATAACTGAATTAGAAGACCAAGCACCATCACCTCCAGCCAGAATGTCGACTCACAGAGCCCTTGTACTTCATTCCCGGGAAAAGCCACTCGTTCTCGAAACACTCCCCCGTCCCATTGCATCTGCTGGTGACGCGATTGTTCGCATATTAGCCGTTGATATCGTTCCATACATGGGAGAAGTGATAAGCAACAAACGACCATACCCCCTCTCTCTGCCTCTAACACCGGGGAACACCGCCATCGGGCGAATTCACGAAGTCGGACCGGACTCCGTTGCCCTCACACCAGGCCAGCTGGTATTCTGTGAAATTACCATTCGCGCCCGAGATAACCCTGCCGTTTCTATTCTGTATGGTATCCACGGGGGCGGATATCCCGCCGCACAGAAATTGATGGACGGAGTTTGGCGCAACGCGACGTACGCCGAGTATACACGGTTCCCATTAGAGAATCTGTACCCACTCAACGAGGACCTTCTTCTGACGAAACTGGGGTACAGCGTGAACGACCTCTGTCTGATGCCTACTTCCCTTGTTTCGTTTGGTGGTCTTTCGGAGGTCGACGTGAGACCCGGCGAGGTAGTCATCGTGGCGCCAGCAACAGGGCGGTATGGCGGCGCCGCTGTCAGCGTTGCATTTGCAATGGGCGCAACAGTGGTCGCTGCTGGGAGAAACATGGCCACCCTGGCCAAACTTAAGGAGGTTCATTGTACAGACCGGCTAATAATTGTTCAACTCACCGGCGACGAGGCTGCTGATGCGGACTTATTTCGAGAAGCAGCCGGGAGGCCGGATGGGGCAGATGTCTACCTTGACCTCTCGCCACCAGCGGTCCAGGGATCATTGCTGCTGTCATCTGGCATAAAGGCATTACGTCCTTTTGGTCGATGCGTCCTGATGGGAGGGAACTCGGGAAATATTGACATTCCGTACCTTGATATCATGTTCAAGAGTATTCGGATCCAAGGGCGGTTTATGTATGATCGCCGGCATGTCTTGCAGATGATTGAGATGATTGAGTCTGGATTACTTCCTCTTGGCCACAAGTCAGGTATCACCCACACGGAAGAATTTGGACTTGAGGAAATCCAAGGCGCATTGGAGGCGGCTGGGAATCTGAGTGGTTGGGGTGGTCATGTTGTGCTGAAACCATAGGCCATGGAAATACTTTGCCCTTCCAAAAAGTTACTCAGGATCAAGAGTCAAGAAATAAATGGATGTTCCATGATGATGGCCCATTTGGAATTTGGTATGACGATCTCTAACCACAAAGTTTTTTGAATTTATCCTCTGCAAATATTGTTTTCTAAGACGCCATACGATCAACACGAAGCTGCAGCTCCTTAACCATGTTAGCCCCAGCTTGGGTAGCATCATCCAGGCTCTCCTCCGGTAAACCAAGCAGCTCATTCTCCGCCCTAGTCGAGCAATCACTAGGATCATCAGGGAAGAACGCCCTTGCGTAGAGCAGCTTCCCAAAACCAGCCATGTTACCAGCCTTAACCATCGCCAGTCCATCAGCGTATCGCTCCCTACTATCCTCATGAGTGATCGTCCAGTCAGCGTCACCAGTGCCGGTAACGCGCTTGACGCTCTCAAACATCTCGTTTTGGTTGATCACAAAGCTTTTGATGTACAAAGCCTTGTTAAGCCACCGCGACAGGGTAAGACTCTTGTCGTTTTCGTCTTCGGGAAGCTCCTTGAAACTCAACACTTTGGCCACGGCACGCCCAACCTGTGACAATGTCGAAACAGAGTTCCTGGTGTTGCCGTCGTCGTAGATCGTCAAAGACCACTTATCAAAGTCGAACCCGAAGCGCGCCTCACCACCCGCTAGACTGTAATCGTACCAGAATCCACAGCACACGGTGATCCACTGCATACCCAGGCTTTCAATCTCATCTCTGGCGGCCTTGGCAACGGGCCCGAGCATGACATCCTCTCCAAGTTTAGTTTGTTCAATATCACCGGCGTACCCGTTAGGCATGATGTAGGGAACACCGGCCTTGGCAGCCGCGCGAACGAGCTTGCTATGGGTGTCGCGAGACGCGGTGGGGGATACTGTGATGATGAAGAATTGTTGGCCCTTGAGGGCGGCGACAATAGTGGCTTCGTCGGAATAGTCGACTTGGGCGACGAGGACGCCTTCGGGGAGTTTGTTGCTGCTATCTTTGCGGGAGAGGGCCGTCACTGTGTGTTTGCCTGTTTTGAGGAGGGCGGCGACGAGGTGGGTTCCAACAGTGCCTCCAGCCTAAGGACGCTTGTTAGTTTGTTTTATTTGGTGTTGCTGGAGGGATACACTTACACCGACAATGGCGACTCTCTCAATGACGTTTTTGAAGCCGGTGGGCTGGTTCTTGGCGTACTCAGGCATTTCGGCTCTTGTTGAGAATGATATATTTAATTGACGATTCAAGATGTATCGGTTGTTTTCAGTGTGGTGAAGAGTGATAGTCGAGATGTGGTAGTTCTTATAAGTTGTAACTGTTGCTGTTTGAGCTTGTGAGTGCGGTTAATGTACCATGAGACAGGAGGTACCAGTCCATTTATACATTTTCAACACCACTGCAGTCAACCTTTGCTACCATTCGCTTCATCTCAGCCGCTCCAGAATAGCAGCGGTTACTGCGGCGAGCATTCGGGCTGAAGGCCTTGTCAAAGTGTCAATTCCATAATAACGGAGATACCGGCGGGGTTAAAGTTGATTACGCCGCAGCAGCCGCAGTCCTTGGCCGCAGTAGCCGCACATTGGGGGCCGGGCAACACACAACACACAAGACAGCGGCCTAAATAACTCCGCTCTGTTATGGGGCCGCACCATAGTTGATCTTTTTCACCCCAACGAACAGACCTCCGTACATACCCCAGGTCAACATGGTCCGCTGGATCCTAGTATGGAGAAAACCCTCTTTATTTTACTTGTGCAGGGTGTCGGTCTATCCGGCTTGGGACTATCTGTGGCTCTGCTTCAACGGGTTGGAGTGCCTCTGCGTTTATCATTTTACCAAGCCCCCTAGGATACTATAAATTGATTGATGTCCATGTCGGGACTGAATACGGATAGGTATGGCTCAATGAGAGCCTGATCCCAGTCCATAATCCAGCTAATGTCCGGAAAAGCGGCATTAGTTTCGGGTTCTGGCTGCGCCTGGAACGGTTCACAGCTCGACTCGACGGCCTCTAGCTGCATAAGCTCCTGTCGTTTCTTTTTTATATTGAGGCTGAGAAGATGACGCGCCATTGACAACGCCTGGCGAGTCAATACAGTGTCCGTTGCCTTAGCAAGGTTTTCCAGCCCTTTGAAGGCAGCCGGGATGTGAGCAGAAGAGGCCGGCGTGTCGATGGCTAATAAGACACAGGCAAATTGGAAGACGCTGCCTATGACGTTCCACAATAGACGGCCCTGGTTGGCTAGCCCCTCAGCTGCTTTTACTGCTTCGTTGCCGCTATCAATGATGAGTTGAATTTCCTCGTCCGTTATGCCTGCCTTGAGCTGATAAATGCGCCGGTAGAAACAAAACGCAAGGTCCGCCTTCGTCACTACTAGGAACGGATGAGTAAAATCAAGTCTACTCAACGCGGTAAGACGCTGAAATAGCTCCTCTCTCGGGGGTAGAGGCTGACTTTCGAGATGGAAGGGCGAGTTAGGCGAAGGAATGATCTGAACTATTTGCACGAACTGATCGGCAACGGACCCCAGTATCGGGATGATAGACTGACAAGTCACAGCCCCAAAGGTTACTGCCGAACGATCGTACTCATACGATAGCATTTGATGCCCGGCCCATGAAATCCAGAAAATTCGCCTCAACCGGTCCGCATCGTGCCCAACAACAGCAGCGCCGGCAGCAGAGGCCATTCTTTTGATATTATCTTCTTTGTGTAGCCCTACCACCTGGCAAAGATGCATAAGTGTACACGACGCGACCCAGGTATTACTAGGGCGAGTTGTAGCCCGCAGATAAAATACCCGCATTCCCCACGCGATGATATGGTCGATGCTTAGCATGCGTATGGATGCAGGATCATCGAGAATCGTTTTAGCGAACTGGAGCAGATCAGATTCCTGCGGGTATCGAGTTGCGGAGAGGAAAGATCCAAAAGCAGCAACGCCAGCGGCTACGGCACTAAACGCGACCGAGTTGCTGCCAGAGCCATGATAATAATCGCGACATCGCTGGGCGTAAATTCTTGGGTCCAAAAAGTCGCCAATGGGGCCCATCGCAGAGAAGTACGAATTTGAGTATAAGGCTAGGTTGTCCTCCGAAATCAGTTCCCCTAAGAAGCTATGCGCGTTGGAAGCCTCCTCGGGGCGGATCCCAAAGTTGTACGCGAACGAGCTGATCTTGGGAGGGCTATCGGAGCCAAGAGCCACACCCAGGATGTGCGGGAAGGCCATGGCTGCCGATACCCCGGTGTATCTGGACTTCTGGTCGTCAAAGATGCCAGCCCCGACGGCAGGACTCTTGGACGATGTACTGTCAGCTCCGGTAGCTCTCGCTAATTGGCTATCCGGGGTGCGCGATTCCGGGGTGACACCGCTCGCCATAGTATTCCCGCCATCATTAATGGTGCGCTTGGCCTGGAGTGAAGCATGCTCGATTTCGCCCGCAGTGTTGGTGGTATCATCGTCGGCGTAATTGCAGTTGTATTCATAGGTGGTACACGTGCTGCAAGGGTACTCCCCGTCGCATTTTCGCTTGCGCTGGTGGCAAGGTGTGCATGCTTTCTTTGCGCGCTTGCGCTTGCGCTTGCTAATTATTGCGGACATGACTGGTTAGTTATGTCATGATTTTCGAAGCTTATCACAAGCCAAAGGTGGGGGAACTCAGGGGAGGATGGTTCATCCGGAAGGGCGCTAAAGTGGAAAAGGGGAGAGAATCGGCTGGAGCCTGGAGGTCAGGACTCAGAGGTCAGACTCCACTCCCGTCCCACTCCCGAGTGAGTATTCAAACTAAAAGGCCCACTGCATTCATCGCTTTTACCTGATTTCTGTAAATTTCACGAATAGTACTCATTGAATATTTAGAAAATTTGACTCAGTAGAAGAGCATCGGCTTCGAAAATGAACACCACGGAGCGGCTGTTTTTTCTTCCCTCGGGGGTCGCCAAGTCGGAATGCGGGTTCTTTCAAGGTTGCGGCCCGGGCCAGTTGGGGGCGCGAAACCTTGGAACCGTGCGGCAGCCGCCTTAACGAGAGTCCCACGACTGATCAGCAATCAACTCCATTCACGCGAACCAAAAATGGTTTCTTGGCCTGCCGTTTTTCATCAATATATTCGAGCGCTCGCTTCTCTAGCGTTTTTTGCGCCTGCAGAAGTTCTTCAAATTTGGCACCGCCTGCTAAGTCATCAATTTTATTCATTTAGAATTTCTCCGCCCAGCCTTCTATAAACCCGCCGCCAAAATCCATCACCCAAGCATCCTCTTTGCTACCTGTCAAGATATTTCCAGCCTTCGCGTCACTTGACATAATAAGAACTTTATGTAATTTTGTGATGCTGGTGGTGATTTGCATTCTCCACTTTTTCTTCAAAAGCCAAGAAGATTTCAGAGCTCAGAATGTGTTCCAAGTGTTCAGGTCCACATCCAATCCAAGAGAAGAAGTCCGATTAGTACTGAGCAAATTTCATCTTAAACGAGATCATCAAGTAGAATTGGAGCCCCGATCTCGGAACGAGAGCCATTGTGATGATAGTTTGCTTTGGTCAAAAATAATACCATCCGAGACAAGTTATTTGCGAGGAACACTATATAGTTCTAGTCAACCATCTTGGCAATATACGCGGTATTAATAATTTGAAGTAAACATGTATTTCTGGGGCTTTATTTGCTGTTCGAATACACAGTTTGATCTTATCCATGGTGGTTTGGATGCCCAAAATCTACTATTTACGGAATCAGCCTACGGCTCGGGCAGGGGGCTTGCCTTGTCGGGATTGCTTGTGCAACTTTAAATCTTCCTATGCAGGCCCTGTTTACTATTCAATGTTTATACGATTACCCAATCTTCATTTAAGACGTGGAACTTTCTCCCGATCTTTACGAGAAAAAATGTCATCCTGCGACTGCACTGAATTCGTGCCTTGTGAAATGCATTTCCGAAAGACTCTCTAGATGCGAACAAACATGCCGGAAACATGATATATGGAAAGGATTATCTTCTCAAACACCTGCCACAGTTCATTAAACTAGTTTCTGATAGATCAGAAACACAGAAAACATCATATAAAAGCGATACGTTCCTTTCTGAAACGGGTGAAGGAATGTCGGCAGCAACATCGCGATCAGAGGGCGGGGTGTCTTCGCGAGGCTGGGTTTCAGGCAAAGAGTAGTCCAATTCTTCTGGGCCGGTGTCATAGAAGTCGCCGCTGGAGCTGATTGGAGTTTTAAGCAGGCTATTAGCCATACGCGCGAAATTCAACTCTTCTATCCAACGATAGGTTGAGGCCTTGACAATCTTCTGAACGGGTCGGAGAGTGTATGGCCAACCACGGCGTTGGTGCTTTTTGGCAGCGTGGGGGGCAACGCTAGTCCTTTGGGGTTCTGCAATAGTCTTTTGGGGTTCCGAACGGCGTCTCGGCGGCCCACAGCATTTGTAGGTTGGAGCGGGCTTGCTTTTGATACGAGCGATCATGGCAGCTGGTGATTCGTCTTCGGAGCTCTCAAATTCTGAGCTTGAGTACGATGAGGATTCGTCTGAAGCCGACGAGGCGTTCTCTTGGGCAGACTGCGGCAGCGATGAGGGGGAACGGGAGATTGAGTTTTCCGGTTCAGATGACCGGGGTGGAGTTTTCACTGGCGGCTGGGGATCCAAAAACCCCTCTGGGACTTCAGCTGCTGAGGAAGTGGCGACCATCTTAGAGTCCGAGTCCACTTTAGGAGAACCCGAGCTTGTAATCTGTTGATATGTAGTCTGTGAGGAATGAATCACGATATAAATTTGTATGTGTCTGTTTACTAGATATACTCCTGTTCGGAACATCCTATATCCGCTACCGCGTCCACGGATTAATATATGTCCGAGTCTGCTCAAAGTTCCTCCGAGTACTGTATTCACTTTTTTGAAAACACATCAATTGTTGTTATTAAGAACCGCTAGGCACCGGTAATTCATGTTCAACCAATAGATCGACGTGGCTTTCAAGAAATTTGAGGACATCTTGAATTTCGTTTTTGGCCCGATACTACTGACCAAGTCCCCTATATGACTTCCAGGTGACATTCATTCCCAGGCCTTTCGAAAGGACCCGAGACATTTTTTCACCAATGATGACGGAAACCTTGGGATCTTCCGAGCCGTGGCCAGTAAATATCGGTATTTAAAGTTGGTATAAATCAATTGGCGAGGGTTGATCTTCATTCGCTGGAAGCAAAGGAAGATCAAGAATGTCGCGGGTGTAGTCAACGGCTGGACGGTCAAAGGAGCGTCCGCTTCTTCTGCCTCGACAAAAGGATTGAAGTAATCGCTCAATTGGACAGATCAGTGAAATGGGTCATCATCCAAATTATCAGATTTGGACAGTTCCATCTCGTTTCGGTTCATCACCGGAGTCAGACTCAGACAATTCATCTCTTTCTGGATCTTCCTCACTGCTCGTATCCCTGTCATCTGTATCATGATCGTCTGGGTCCATGGTGGCTGTTTCCAGCTAGCTTTCGACTATCACATCGGAGAAAATTATGTAGATGCTGCTCAAATAGCAGCAGCCAGCGACTCATCTCAACAAATGCGCCAATCGCTCAAGACTGTAAAGATCCCAGCAGCACAGCCTTGGCTAAGGTTCCACAAGATGACCTTGCGGTAACCTCCCTTGCCCAGAATTTGAGCTTCTTGAATAATCAAGCCGCGCAGAAATTCGGCAGTCTCACATAGGCCTTTGGTTTTTAGGTCTGTTCTCTCGCCAGTATCATCAAGGGTATGGTGGTCGTATCACTAATTTGTGGGAACACTCTTGAGTATTGTCGATGGACGCTTGGAGGCTGTTGGGGAAATGAATTTCACAGTTGGGAGTCGGCATTGTAGATTGGTTGATGCGATAAGTTCGTGACCTAATCGCTTTGGAATGCCATCACAATCGGGAGGAAAGTACTCTCATTTGCTCTTCAGTGAGTATACATTATATCTTCGCTTCATCGGTGTTTTCAATTTCCCGCGAACGGCATGTATTGACGTAACTTGCCCTGGCGAATAGCTTCTTTCTTCGACTTTGTATCAAGAATTCGCTTCGAGAAAAATGCCCTGGCACTGGCCCAGTCATCGTTCTTATGCGCCATTTGGATCACGTCTCGCGATTGCAACATGAAGCCAATGATCCTTGGCCCCTGGCGGTCGCCGAACCAGTGGTCAGAAAAAGAGCCGTAGTGGTTAAACTTGTGAAGCCAGCTGTTGTAAGAAGGGTACGGGTAGTGCAATACCATCGCCTCTTTTTCTGGGGGTGCAAAAGCACGGCCAGTGTGGCCGGAGAACGAGTGGGGTCCTCGTGGCTCGACGCCCGGTCCGAGGCGGACTGCGCTCTTGCCGTTGCCGTAGGCGGTAAATTTGTCGTTGTGGTCCACCCCGTTCACCCAAAAATAAACGCAGTCTTTGAACGGATTTGAGGTCTCGAAGTCGACTGGAAGTGCCTCGTGATTGGTAAAGGTCACGAGGCCCACCTCGGGGTCTTTAGCCCAGGAGCGTGAGTCGACTAAAGGCCCAAAGAGCAGCTCATCCAGATCAATATGGATGAGCCATGTGTAGCCACGCTCCATCAGATAAGCGATTGCATGCTTCATGTTGGCCATCTGGCGTTTGATGAGGCGGCTTTCTGGCGTCATTTTAGACTCGACTTGTGACCCATGCAAGAGTGAGACAGGTCTGTCCCCACAAAGCTGCTCAAACAACGGCCGCTCATCTGGATCGTCCATGTAGATCACTACATGCTGTACCCAGCGAAGGTGATAGTCAAGCCAGACTGGAAGCGTAGGCCCCGGACGTAGGATTGTGGTGGCTATTGCGAAGGAAACATCAGCTCGTACGTTTCCCAAGTCGACCGGCCGGTATTCTGTGGCAAGCGCATAGGAATGATTTTGGTGCAATGAGTTCCCGTGGCATAGCTCTGAAAAAAACAAAAGCCAGAGGACACATAAAGCCAACATCCGAGAAAATGTGTCCAATAGATTGTACATTTTATGAGATATTTCAAGGAAAGATGGAGACTTGGTCGGAGGTGTGAAAAGCGATAAGCATTCTTGTGTTTAGCATTTGAAAAAGACTGGTTTGATTGAAAAGACTGAGATGTCGAGATTTGAAGCGGGTTGCCAAAAGTAAACCCGCAAAAGTTTTTGCTCCCCCTACGCGCGTAGACAAGATTGGAATACTGTCTTAGAACTTTGGCCCCCAACTTTTTGCCTGGTGCTGACCAATGAAAGCATCAGGAAAGCGCCGCGTGATTTCCGCGGGCTTCCATGGGTTGGGACAGGCTCCAACGGGGGTTTGCGGAGCATCGCGGATCTCTATCTTAATTGAAAAGTGTAAATCTCTGCTAGCGATTGCACAAATGACCAACGCATCACGAAGTCTCTGCCAAATTCAATCCATATGTTTCCTCGGTCGCCTGATGTGATGATTTGGGAGTGGTTTGCTCAATTACCCAGAACAATTCGGAAATCTCTTAGATACGGCCGTAGCTCCCAAGATTAGGTCGCTCCATATACTAGTATGTACTGAAAATCAGTTGACAGTGCTTACGCACGTATGATGTAAGTGACGCGTAGGTCACTAAAATCCAGGGTCCCTTTTGTGCATAATTATTGCACTGGCATTCAGAAAAGTGGAACTTACGCTTCACTCCCGAAACATGTGAAATTAACCGGAGTAAGTACCACCACCCAGACCTCTTCACGATCGCAAAATTTTACTATCAAAAGCCCCGCTCTTCCGGCATGTCAGAACATGTTTTATATTTTTTCTTGGATAACTATAGCAGATGTCAGAGTTGTTGCAATTTTATACAGAAGGTTCCAAGGTGGGACCTCGGCACCTGAATTTCTTGCCAGGTCTTGGCGGGAGCCTGGAGCCATATATAGAAGCGCGCTAAGCCTAATATGGTAAAGAAGTGTAATGCTTGAATGCTTGAATTCCAACTTTAATTTTATTCTCGGATTATGTACACTTTGGAAGAGAAAACGGAACATTCTGGGGTTCTTTGGCGCTGAATTTTGCTTGGATATTACTTGGAATCTCCTACGATCATATTCAACACCGTTTCGCTACATCCAATAAAGATGACGAGGCATTTTGGCTGATCACAATGCCTTGTTGAACAAGGCCTTCACATTTCTTGATCGAAAGAAAAAAAACCACATAGCGAACATATGAATAAAGTTGAATGAAGGATTAACTTTGATTTCTTGATGAAGCCAGGCCTCACACATCCATCCCCTTATCAGGCCTTTGACCAGGCTCCCAAGCTTTCTTTACACGCTTGGGCATTATTGCCGTCTATTGTTACTTCATGGCGTTCCCGTAGGCTTTAACTTTGGATATATCACAAACCACCTCATTCGCAGACTGATACTGCTGCCTCCAACATTTCCCTGTGATTTCATAGCAAGCGTGATTGTCGGTCGGAAAAATCCCATTTTGGAAGCGAGAAAGAATCTCTTCGTCGTCCTCTAAGCTGTCAAGATCCGGAAAGACCTCGTTTCCCATGAGGATGAAGTAAATGGCAGAGCCAAGCGCAAAGATATCAGTTTTCACACACGCATAGTCCCCGTGGGGTCGAGGCATGTATGACTTAGAGCTCTCCCGAGAGAGTCCATCCAATAGGGTACTTTTGCCATCAACAGATTTCAGCATTTCCTGGAAGTCTGCTAGTAGGAGATCAAGATTCTGGTCGAGCAAAAAGTTCCGAAGATTTATGTCGCAGTGAATTATATGTTTTTCATGTATGAAGCTGACTGCCTCGGCAGCTTGTTTGCACCAGAGTAACTTTCTGTCCATTGATATACCGGGTTGTGTCGCGAGGTAGTCGCTCAAGCTTCCGTTTGGGGCACGCTGTAGAACAAGCCCATGCTCCGTCAGGCCTTTCATAGCGATGATTCTGGGGTGGCTTCCAATGACCTCGAGTAGTCGACCCTCCGTTTGAATGCTCTCATTATCGCCAGGGATACATGGGTATTTCAAAACAGCAGACTCATCAAGTGCCCCAATGAAAGATCCGCCACCACGATCGATGATTTCTGAAACTCCGGGAGGACAATATCTGCGTATATGAACAATCTCAACATTGGACATTGTGCTGGGATCGTCTAGAGCCGTAGGCAAGTCGTCCTGGGATACATGAGTCAATATTTAAGTTAAGAAAGGACCATTGCAACTCACCATTTTTGAAACCGGCGTGGGAGGAAATACGTTCCAATTGATTCTAAAATGGAAAGAAGAATATTCAAGGGGTATAATTCGTGTACGATATAGGGGAGTTGATGCAAACTGTGCAAACTCTACCTAATGACCAGAATAAAGGTCGATTTTGATCACATGCAGAACTTATTAGCCAATTGAATTAATAGTCTAAGAAAGTTGATAAGAAAGTTGAACTTCTTTGCAGTTCGGGCATATCCCTCCGTATCCGCCCCCGCTTGGCAATCACTTATCATTTTCCTATTGAGCTAAGCTAACAACTACCTTTCAACGACTTCTCCAGCAACGATTGCTTTGCTCTGCATGACGAGCCAACCACTCTCTACTACATCCGTCAATTTTAAAAAAAAGATCACTGATGCTGCGCGGAAACCAGATGGGCCCCAGCAGACGAATATCCTATTTTATCACCCGGACGGCACTCATCGCACTACTAGCTGTTTTCAGCCACACCACAGTCAGAACCTTCTTTGCCTGGTGGGTGGCCATGTGTGAATCTTGAAAGTTATATTTTTTCTGGATGGCTTTCTTGTCGTGAGATGTGGTTGGTCGTCGGGATCCTGCAAAGAGCGGCAGCATTCGCATCAAAAGAAGTTTTGAAGCTCACCAAGCAAGTGTTACGGTATATTGCAGGTACAACAGCGCTTGGATTCCAGTCCGGAGGCAATACGGACTTAGAGTGTGTGAGTCTGAGCGGCGAGAAGTCGAATATGAAGGTCTTCTTGGATAAGTCGATGCATCTCATGCAAATTGTCTTCGATCGATCGAGGAAGCCCTTGGAAGGGTGTATCTTCTTTTACAATGGAACGCCAATATCATGGTCGTTGAAACGACAACATTGAAGACTTGGTCGCTCCTTCATCGAATTGTGCGGACTTTATGGCTCTGGATCGAGCTTGCAAAGAGGGTTTATTCATCGCCAACCTCATGCAAGAGATGGGGATCAGGACAAATCCCAAGTGGAGCTGCGGATTGACAGCGACAATATGGCGCTCCTGATCAACATTTGAATGCGACAACAAAGTTCCTGGACATCAGGTACCAGTTTGTCGGAGATGAAGTGAGGAAAGATCAATTGGCATTACTGTGATTGCCAGCGAAGAGAATCCGGCAGGATGACCAACGCCCTCGACTTCGTCAAGTTTGAACGATTTAAGCACCTGGTGGGCCTTAAAAGATAGATAGTATGGGCTATTATTGATAACTCGACATTTTTATTACAAACTCCACTTTTTTGACTAATTTGCATGTGCGATCGCTTTTGTAGATTCATCATCGCCCGTGTCGCTTTCTTCTCTCGGCGTAACAAGCGAAAGTGGAAAAGCATCTTTGCGCTGGTATCGCTGAGAATGTAGCTCATGGCTGTTCGAATGATAAGTCCTTCGACCCGCGGATTGCGACGTGCCTCTACTACTGGCAAATAACGCCGGGAAGAGGGCATCCACAAGGGGCTTAATTGCTGGAATGCTGGCAGCAATAATGGCGACAGCCAATTCAATCCCCGACCAGATTGAAACGCCAAAGGTATCCCAGGTAGGGTCGGAGCTTTCGTATAGTTTGACAATGTAGACCATTCGCACAATACTGGCTATACAGGCACTTTAATCTAGTAAGCACTGCATTTAGAGAAGTTATGTCGTAATTTTTACTCACAATAAACCCAATGATAATAGCCCGATGATGATGAATCGTCTCTTATGATCAAGCTGGAGACCTGTTATTGGTTAGAAAAATGTCTGGACCTCTGCAGTACGTTCGCATCGGGAGAGATCACAAACCCATCATAATTTTCAGCGGCAAAGCAAATATCCAGATATCTGTCACCAGGGACAACACAGCAGTGGTGTACCAGAACGGAATAGATGCAAAGCAAGTATAATTCTGGTATTTGTCTTCGTCGTAAACGGCATCAACCGGAGAGCATTGGAAGATTGTCGCGAGAATGACGGCGATGCTCATGGCCGTGATGAAACCGATCGTACCGAGCGTGAGTTTTCGAATATTAGGGAAGAGGCGCAAATATAGTAAACAGATTGATGCTTTGATCAGGCCGCTGATCAGCGTATAAATGATGTGCGTCACGTATCGAACCTATATAGCCACATTCGTGGAAAATTTGTTAGCCCGAGAACAGAATACAGCATTGGAGAAGGTTCAGGGGCGCAAACTGTACCTTTGCAGCTGGAATCGTGTCATTTGAACCAACATCCCACTTATGCTTCCCTGTTCCATACTTGACTCCTATTTCATTGTATTAGAGAGGGGAACAGTAGGCAAGGCTGGATACGACCCACCGAGGCCCGCGACCACGACGTTGAGAACGGCAAAGATCATGGCGATCACCATTGTCGCGTCATCCAGACCGAATTTTTTCAAGATAAAGATTCTGGAGATCGCTCGAAGACCCACAACGATCACCGCAATACCTGTCGCTGTGCCGTTGATGATCAACAGCAGAGGCCCACGGTTCTCGACCTAGACGAGGTTTAAAGTTAGGATTGATAGTCCGTGCAGAAATGTTCTTTGATCTTCAGTCACCGTGATCCAGCACTTGAGTACTTGCCTCCTCTGATCGCGGTTGGATAAACATGGCCATGATGCAGCCCTGGAAAAAGTTAGGAGACTCCCGGTAAAGCTGAATCTTGAAACTCCAAGAGTCCCATCAGAAGTAAATATATGTGCCCAGAAGATAGCCACAAGATTTAGTTCACATTTTGGCACAAAATTTTTAGTTGGCAAACCCCTTGGAAGTCCTGCAGCCTCCAAGCACATAGTACCATTGTCCACATGTACACCTGCGCCAAAGATGTACTTTTGGCCAAACTAGAGCTCTTTCCAAACTTCGATTCCTGATCTAGCAAGGGTGTATATTTGAGAACAGCTCTCGATTGGCATCAAGTCGCTCAAAAGTGCCGTAATTGGTTCAACTGCCGATCTGCCAAGACCCTTGATTCTTCACAAGATCCACAATTCCCGCTTTTGACAAGAGCTAATCTAGTGCGCTTTCCTGGTTCGGCCGGGACTTGCCGACACGTTTTGGGGGGGCTTCAATTGCAATTTTTCCATATAACTCTCCCCTGGGGGTACTTTTGAACATTGAATAAGTGCAAATGGGACTCATATAAATTAGAACACTTTCCCTTTATGATGGGGAGCAGCAAATTTTCCAATAAAATAATAATCTCCTGGAATTCCCTTTCGCTTTCACATTCTTTTTTTTTCATTGATAAAAAGTGGCTTAAAGTGGGCGTACGCTAATTGCCAGTTGTTCCTAGTAGTTTCGGACTCGCGGCAATTTTTTTTTTTCATTTGGAAGTCACGGTCATGTTAGACCCAGGGGTTCTCACAATTCCCTTGTTGACCTGGGCTCTTTGCCGGCAATTCGTGAAATGGACCAAGGAGTATGAACCCCACTCGCCGCGTGTCTCCGTGACCGTTTACATTGTATTGTGAGCCTTTTCGTCTCCTGAGGTCCAGTGACTCCAGTCGATAAATAGTCCAGATAAAAGCCCTGGGAAAAAAAATTCCACCCCCGTCGGATCAGAACCTTGAAGTGGCTATTCATTCCCGTTGCCATCATTAGAAGTGAAGCTTTTGGAGAACTCCCGATGCCTTCCCTGTTGAAGAAAATCCTGCTGGGACTGCCCCTGGCATGCCTAGCCAGCTGTCATGCCATCACTCGAAACCTGACCTCAGACTATCGCATTGATGTTCACTCCCATGTCATCCCAGAGGTCTGGAGAGAGGCATTGATCTCAGCAGGATACCCAGTGAAGAATGGCACTTTGTATACTGATGGCTTCCCGGTCTCTGATTGGACCCTGGAATTGCACATCAGCACCATGGACACCCTTGGAGTCAATTTCTCGGCCATAAGTGTCAGCGCCCCTGGCGTGTTCTTCTTGAAAGAGGCTCACAAGGCCAAGGCATTGGCCCGAAGCGTGAACCTGCAGCTTCACAACTACACCAAGATCCACCCTACGCGACTTGGAGCCCTCTGTCTTCTCCCTCTCCCCTTCGTTGAAGAAGCAGTAGAGGAATTAGAGGTATGACTATGCATTTCCCTAGCTTGTAACAAGATCTAACTTGAAAATCGCAGTTCTGTCTGGACACCCTCAAGTTTATTGGCGTGGGCATGTATACCAATGCCGACGGCACATACTTGGGCAACTCCACCCTTGACCCCGTTTTCTCTGCCCTAAACGCACGCAACGCTAGTGTGTTTGTTCACCCAGCCGCTCCAGGCTGCACCTCCGTCGCCATGGGATGGCCCATCCCAATGACCGAGTATCCTTTCGATACCGTGCGTGCAATTGAGAACTTACTCCTAAGTGGCCAGCGTGCCCGGTTCCCCGACTTCAAGATGATCTTCGCCCACGGTGGTGGTGCGATCCCTTATCTTGCTACCCGTATTGCCGGAATGGCCTCGCTTTCCTGGTTGACCGATCTATCGGTTACTGAATCTTTGGCGCAGCTTACCGGATATTATTATGATACCGCTAGCTCGACCTCTGCTATTCAGCTCGCGGCCTTGAAGAGCTTTGTTGGCGCGGATAACATTGTTACCGGAACAGACTGTAAGTTCGAGTTTGCCCGTCAGTGGCGTCCCGGAATATGTGTAGATTCACTGACGCAATCAGTTCCCTATGTTCCACTCGTGCAAGCGGAGCCAGCCATTGCTGCCATCCAGGAGAACGGTGACTTTACCGATGCGGATATGAGTCAGATCAAGTACAAGAATGCGTTGACTGTCTTCCCCCTGATCGCCAAGGCTTTGAAAATCCGTGGACACTAGGTGTTGATTTTCATTGCTTGAAAACTCTCAGAATGATAGAAAAGTTAATATAGAGCACACAAAGGGAGTTGAAAGAATATTTTGATTGATTTACATACTGTCTTGAATCTTTGTATATTGAAAATCTAAGAAATTCGAAAGTTGTTACTTGGATACCGGAGAGTGCTAGCTGGATATCGCATTGAGTTCATTTGGGTGTAAATAATTGTTTAGTATTAATATTCCATAAAGCCTCCAACACCTCATACCTATAATATTCCAAATCGGCAGCAAAGAACTACTATGAATGACTAGCCAAGAGGCAAAAACAATAGTATTTTTTGAATCGTTGATTGGTTGAATCAACTTTGGATCCAAAAGGAGAGAGCCCGTCATGACCTCATGATGACCCCGACAGAATGTACTCCGCAAAATCCCAAAGCGAGCATTCATCTTCCAATTCAACAACCCATGCACATTATGCCTTCAAGTTGGAATGAATAGTTCCTCAATATGAAAGGTCCCCAGATCCTCTACACCCGAGTATTCTCCACGAAACTCACCTCCGCCACCACCAACCTGCACCACCCCCCACGAACAATCCAGTACAGCTGCTACTCCTCCGCCACACCAAACTCCAACCAGGAGATTCCCGAATTCCTCGAGCGCCAGCTCCTCAGGCCTGACAGGGCCGAAACCTGCCAATCAGGCACGGATGATGAAGTCGCACGCCACAAGTCTCCCTATGACCCTACGCAGACATCCGTGGACAAGGAAGTCTCGGCGCTGAGAGCGGAATACAAACTGGAAAGAGACATGCATGACCCGCTGCTGGTCAGCCCCGCGAATCAGGAAGTCAGTATGGTCTTGGATCCGATCCAAGAAATGGCTCACAGCACGCATCTACATGTACTAGGGAGTGCGAAGGGCTTGACGCACAAGAGCAAGGAGGTCCTGCTTCGCAAGGAGCCTTATATATTCAGGACATATGAGAATGTGTTCTCTAGAGGCGATGCTCGTCAAAAGGCGCGTGTTTGGGATACCTGAAATGGTAAGGGGGTTGGATTGAGAGGCAGAGGCTGACTTGTGTGTCTTTTTTTTTAGAAAATTTGAACGCCCTCTCCATATTTATGCTTTCCTTGCAATGCAATGGTTGGACGCATGCTGGACACTGAACCTGGAAATGGATAGTGTCGACGTGCTGGGAAGGAAGTTGGTCTTCAATTTGTTAAAACTTGAAACTCATACCTGGGAAATTTACCCGAAAGGGGCTGATGAAACATGAAGAAAAAACATGAACACTTATGTTGATTTAAGGAAAAGAAAAAAAAATTACAAAATGAACAGTCAAATTCCGAGCTTCTCTTAGCAATACCAGGATTCGCTCTAGCCTAGTACGGGCCGCCCACAAAAGGCAATAGTTATGGCGAGGTCTAACAATCGGTGATGTGACAGGAGAAAGCCGTGGGCAGCGCTTACATAGCGGGCCTCTTGCCTTGCCTTGGCATGCCTTTGAGTGATCTTTTGTATTTTAGATCTCTTCAGGCACCATTTTGGTGAGCTATTGACCCGTCTAATGCTTTCAAACCGTAACTTGATTCCTGAAATCAACAAATACCACCTATTTAACGCCCGCCGGATGGTTTCTAATTTTTACCTGTTCGCTGACCTCACCGCTTGCATAAGCGCTCTCCCAAGGCTCTCATCGAGAACATCACCTTCGCGTAACATCCTCTTCAACAGAAGGCCCTGTTTGGTTTTAGCTTGAAACCCAAGCCTCACCTCTCTGAGGCTAAATCATAAAATCATTGGACAAGAGATGCAGATGGAGGCCCAAGTACACGAATTAAGTGCCTGACTCACAGCCTCGGGGGGATAAAACTATGCAAGTACTTGTTTATCCCACGGTTCAACATATACAAGAGCTTAGTTGCTTTCTTTCGGTCATAGTCCTTTCAGTCCACCTCAATCCATTGCAATCTCTCTTCAAAGGGAGTTCTATTTGCTCTTCCACACCCAACCCTTTCACCATAGCCGAAATGTCTGGGTACTACGAAGTCTACCTCGCGCGATACAATCTCGCTATGCAAGACCCTGATATGCCGGGCCCGGGTCCAAGATTTCACACGGCTATCTTCGTCCAAACCGCAGCAGACAAGAGTGGCATCCAGTACCACGTCACGGGTGATGTCACCTCTGCTGGTGGGATGATTTATACCCCGCAACCACGGCAATCTGCTGATTACTCGGGGTCTTTGAACTCGCTTGATAAACTGGGCGTTACGCCCGTGTCCAAGCATCCTGCTGATTGGGATAGGGTCTTGAGAAGGATCCCGACGCCGCCCCAGCAGAAGGCGTTCAACATCAAGACAATGAAAACCGAACCATTCAAGACCCAGGCGCCACTGACCTTCTACGAGCCAGGAGAGCCCCGAAGGCCCTTGGTGAAGTGCACTGAATGGATTTTGGACCGAGCCATACCTGCTCTTCGAGCAAACGGGCTAATAATTGAACAATAGACCAAACTGTGGGTTGGTGCCCCATTTTTGGCCGCTGGCGACAAGCGGGATTCGGAACGACACGATTCTTTGGTTTATTTCTGTTATGTTTTGGCTTGACAACAGCTCCAGACTCCAGTACAGGGACATCGGCGCTTCAAACTAAGCGTAGGCCGAAGGGGAAAATCTGCATGCTCTGATATACAATTACCATGGACTGTGTAGTAAAGATAGAGAGAATGGACAGAGCAACAGATATTGGTCAATCCGACTCAAGACGACGACCACCGCCCTGATTACGTAATCAGATATTCCCCCCAGTCACGTGATATTTAGGCACTAGCCTAAAAGGGTATACACCTTAGAAAGGGTACGAACTATTGGGCGGCTAGGCCGCATTCTCATGCCATCAAGTGTTCCGTTCTTAGACACATCGCCCATCCAACTATGCATTTGTCCCTTCCTTATAATCGGGCTGGTCAATTACCAGGGCCGCTTCCAGATCAGAATGAGATTAAACAGGCAACACGAACCCTCCCCAAGGCATCAGACTACGGTGGGCGCATGGTCGTAATCAGAGACCAATACGTTGTGAAATATGGCCCGCTTGTGACAGAAAATGAGGGATGGGCTCTAATGTTTGTTGAAAAACAACTCAACATCGCAGCACCACAACTCTACGCCATGTACCGCGATCAGGAGATCCTGTATATCGTCATGGAATACATCCCCAGCATTTCCCTAGGGATGGCGTGGTCTTCGCTCACTGATGATAATAAAAATTTGATTGTTGGACAATTACGATGCATCCTTGATCAAATGAGAGAGCTGCCCTCACCCGGGTTCTATGGCAGTATCAACAGAGGACCCGTTCCCCATAGGTATTTTTATTCTCGTGAAAAGGACGCTGCTATTACTGGCCCTTTCCAGACGGAAGAAGAATTTGGAAAAGCTATCGCACTTCGCTCAAAAACCATGTGGAGCGAATCAAGTCATCATAGCTTTCTCTCTGACTATCTTACTCGACACCTCCCGTTGGCATTTCGCAATCATCCACCTATATTCACCCACGGGGATATTGCTAGAGATAACGTTCTTGTACGGAAGGTTGTTAATTCTGTCGCAAATGAAGAAGAGTATGAGTTAGCTGCCCTTGTCGACTGGGAATCGGCTGGATGGTATCCTTCCCACTGGGAATACTCTCATATGTTTCCCCTCCTGCAGTGGATTGACGACTGGCCAGCATATTATGAGAAGATTGTCGATCCCTTGCCGCTGGAGGGTGCCATGATGCGGGTTGTATTTAGTGATCTTGAGTTTTAGAGCGAGCTAACACTATGTTGACCCTGGTATCTGTTGTTACAACGAAATATTGGATTGGGGTGTTTGGTTTAATTTCCGTATGTTCCAGCCTAGAGCTTGGTACCGGGAGATTTAATTATGCTCCAACAAGAGCTGATTCAATGTTTTATCTTTGACTCCAGGTGAACTCAAGTGCTGTTTTCAAATGTTTATTTTGAAGCTACCATTAGCTTTGATTTAGCATTGTTGCCGCTCCATACCTAAAAACAAGATCGCCCCTAGGTTGCTTCGCTAGACTGGCGAAAGTAGCTTAGAATCGATTCATGACATCCGGAATAAAAAATACATATTAACACCCATACTACTCAAAACATTGAAACCCGCTACTATTCCAGCTTTGCCAGAATATCCGATACCGTCTGAACATCCTTGTCACCCCTACCGGACAAACAGATAACAATATCCTTGTCCGGTCCAAGCTCCTTCGCAACTCTCACAGCACCCGCAACAGCATGAGAACTCTCCAGCGCAGGAATAATGCCCTCGGTCTTACTGAGCAACTGGAAAGCACCGAGCGCATCCTCATCAGTAGCCGCAATGAACCGTGCACGCCCGGACTCCTTCCAAGAAGCCAACTCAGGACCAACGCCCGGATAATCCAAGCCAGCCGACACGGAATGAGTAGACGTGATCTGGCCATCGGCATCCTGGAGTACATAGGTTCTCACGCCATGGAAAACACCGACAGTTCCCTTTCCCAGAGTAGCAGAATGTCTATCAGTATCAACGCCATCACCGGCCGCTTCAACACCAACAAAGGCGACACTCTCGTCCTTGACGAAGGGATAGAACATTCCCGAGGCATTCGAGCCACCACCCACGCACGCAACAAGGGCATCGGGCAACTTTCCGTTCATTTCATCCATGAACTGTTCACGAGTCTCCTCGCCAATAACGGACTGCAGTGTGCGGACGATGGTAGGATACGGGTACGGACCGATAGCCGATCCGATGACGAAGTGTGTAGTCTTTAGATCGGTAACCCAGGTTCTAAATGCTGCATTCACGGCATCTCGCAGAGTTCCCTTGTCGCCTTCGTGTGCACCTGGTACAGCAATGACGTTCGCGCCGAGGAGCTTGATCCGGAAAACGTTCAGCGCCTGCCGACGCACGTCCTCTGCGCCCATGAAGATGGTGCACTTCATGCCGAAAAGCGCACACATGGTTGCGGTCGCAACGCCGTGTTGTCCTGCGCCTGTTTCGGCGATAATGGCTGTTTTTCCCAGGCGGCGGGCGAGAAGGATTTGTCCGAGTGCGTTGTTGATTTTGTGGCTACCAGTGTGGTTCAAGTCTTCGCGCTTGAGCCAGATACGGGCACCGCCTGCATATTCGGTTAGACGAGAGGCGAGATGAAGGCTTGAGGGTCGGTTGGTGTATGCGGCGTATGAACGGATTTCGGCCCAGAAGGCTGGGTCGGTTTTGGCCTCGTCGAAGCCTGTCTGCAGCTCTGTTAGGCATTCCATCAGAGCTTCGGGCACGTATTGACCACCGAATTGGCCGAAGCGCATGTAGTCGTTGGTGTTTTCAGTGTTTTCAGTGTTGTCGGTGCCGTTGGTTGATGCGAGGATATCCTTTGTGTGATCGGGAATACCGGAAGCAGAAGTAGAAGCCTCGATCTTCCTAGCCTCCGTTCGGCCGGTGACAGACATGCAGTATTCCTTCACCTTCTCTGCACCATATCCTTGCTTGGCATCTTGGAGCACGGTGATAAGTCGACTTCCGATGACAACGCCCTCTGCAATGCGGGCCACGTCGACGAAATGTTCGCGGGTGTTGATCCCAAAGCCAACAACGGCCGGAAGGTTTTTTCCTGTGTAGAGATGAACACGTTCAAGTAGGTCATTGAGACCTTTATCGAGTGACTTGGTAGCGCCGGTCACTCCCATATGGGATGCAACATAGATGAACGAGTCGGCGATCTCGCAGAGCATCTTGATCCGAGAGTCCGATGTTGCGGGTGCGACAAGTGGGACGTAAGAGAGTCTGTCATGTTCGATTCAATTGTCAGTAATCAGACAGACATGGGATTCAAACAGAATGACTAAAACTTGTGGAGAGCCTGGAAAAGTAACATACCCATCCCGTCTGCACAGGTTACGGAATCGTACTGCCTCCTCAGGAGGCAAGTCAACAATGATGAATCCGTTAACGCCCACATCGCGGCAATCACGGATCAGCTTCTCCTCGCCGTATGCGTAAACGGGGTTGTAATATCCCATAAAGACAACCGGTGCAGTGAGGCCGAGTGCACGGGCCTCGCTGACCATTGAAAGCATATCAGGGATTCGAGCGCCGTTCTTGAGGGCAACTGCGTTTGCGTTTTGAATCACAGATCCATCTGTCAGTGGGTCTGTAAAAGGGATGCCGAGCTCGATGATATCTAACCATTGTTAGTCAGTAAACTTAGTATGAGCACAGATCATTTTGCTCCAGATTGTTATCTGATTCGCAACCTAGATTTTGAGACTTGAGGTTTGACACGTACCAGCACCACCGGCTTGCATAGCAAGCATAATTGAAGGTGTCTCAGAGACGGTAGGAAACCCAGCTGTCACGTACGTGATAAAAGCAGCACGATTTTCATCCTTGCATTGCGCAAAGACTTTTTTGATTGCGTCCATTTTGGCTGTGACACAAAGGTGTAGTGCAGATAAAGACGCACAATCGAAAGGGGAGCTTCTTGAATGATGAAAGCGTTCAAAAAGAAGAAAGGATTTACTCTTGTGTGAAGTTGAAGAAATGCGACGAAACGCGACGAAGTAAAGAAATGCGAAACTGGGTGTTGGGGAATGAGGGAGAGAAGAAAGATTGGGGACCAATGAGCTTATGTACTCTTCAATTCAAGATAAAGAACCTTGAAAGAAAACAGACACGCAAGACAGGAAGTCTGTGACTCACAAGATATTGAAATTGCATGAGTAGGAGACCTCAGACGAGTTCCGACAAACTACTATGAGGGCACGAAACGTTTCGTCGGATAAAGTGCACCTTACCTAATATAGTAGTGTGTAGCTCCACTTTTCGACTCGAGCTTTACCTCAGTATTTACAACAGCCATTGCGACTGTATTATTAGCTATGCTTCCAATGCAGCCAAAAAAATCAAGCGTAATACATCAATTCTTCCTAGAAACACAAGCAGAATGACTCATAAATCCTTTGAGAATCCTTTGATACTAGGCTTGGACACTAATGCGGCGGCTCCACATGTCGGCTCCGACCCGATGGCGGATAAGGCACCAGCCGACAACAACAAGAATATCGAGGTTCACCTCGCGTAGGGAGGAAAACTGTTTGAAGTCTGCATTGTAACATGTGGGTTGTTTTCTTATCACTTTTTGGGGTTGTTTTTTGTATCAAACTCCATAATTTATACCTATATTTATACCCCGGAGAGAGAATTATATAAATCCTTCTTATAAAACATTGAAAGGAACCTTCCTAGTTCCTCTACTTACATCCGACTCAACTCTTTTTATCAGGGGCAGACTTAATAAAGCATTCTGCTTCTTCATTTTCCTGGTTGTGGTAAAAAATATGTGATTGACTCTTTTGTAACTCGGCAAACGGATTGTTTCGGCGAAGTGATTTTCGAAGGCGAGGATCCAGGTTTGCCGATTCCATGACGGGGTGATACCTTGTGGATGATGTCCCATCAGCCGTATAATTTTCTGAAACGTTTTCCGTTCAGTCTGTTACAATGTGTCGAAATCACACAAAACAAAAGAAGATTCGGAACAGCGTCCCAAATTTGGCCTCCCACTCGGTAACCTAAGTCTGTCATCAATCTGCCGCAGAAGAGGCAGACCCCTTTTATGACTGGGAACCAAGGCTCATTGTGCAAATATGCAATCTCCAGAAATTGGCTCTCAAAGGTTTCAAAATTAAGCAGGCTAGCATAGATCTCAAACCCTTTCTTTTGCAAACAATTTTCCTACCTTGCAGCTCAGCCTAGCCTCGGCGCTCCGCTCCTCTGCGGTCCTTCTTCCACGCAGCATGGCGGCGTTCGAAATCCTTCCGCATAACATCCGTGCCGGCGACAAGGGGTATCCATCCGAATGTCCCCTTTGGCGTTGAAGAACTCCATCAATCCTGGTGGCACGTTCGGCGCCAGTCAGGAGAGACACTGCCCATAGGACCTGTGCGTCATTCAATCGCACATTTGATGGTGTTGTGATTGGCTTGCCAGCCGTCTGATTGTATGCGGTATGGATATCGAAACCTAGTACTTGGTATTTCCTCGAGGTAACGTCGAGTCTTCCACGTGTTGGTGGTGGTCCTTGGATTGATGTGGTGAGTCCATTCTGCCTAGCATTGTCGTAGTTAGCGAGTGAGCGAAGTCTCAGTCGCCCGACTTCTTCGATGTTCATAGACAACACTATTCTCGAATGGATAAGTTCGGAGAACAGAGAACAGAGTACCAGATGATGCTCAGTAGAGGGGATTGAGTCGATCGTTGCCCGATATGTTGATCGGATGTTCAGAAGTCCGGTTTTCTTAAATGTCGATCTGTTTAGCAAGACGTATCAACGCCTTTGTTCTCTCACCCACGGTGACTTGACCTCGGTGTTTTGATACTGCCGACAACAGTGGTAAGCTGCGGGAGGCTGCTGGTATCTTCTTGATCATATTTGTGGCCCACATTTTGCATCCGCAGATTTGACGGAAACCCCGTACGAGGAATTCATCATGCCGATGATCTTTGTCTCGCCGCGACCTGGCCAATATTGAGGAGGCAGACAATGGCTGTGAACTGACGGATGCGTGTATCCGGAACAATTAATCGACGGTATAACTGATCCACCCATGAGAGGGGGACATAGGATCATCCAGCCATTGACGAAGGTTTGGGTTCTCCATCGGGATGAAGTTGGTCCATACTGCCCCTGAAAGGAGGCTTAGCCTGACTCCAATGGTTTGGACATCAGGCACTGATTCAGAACAAGAGGAGATGGGTAGAGGGGTTGAGTGACAAGAGCAATGGAGAGAGAGGAAGGGCCAGGCAAGAGAAGAATGGAGTGACAGGCAAGAACGGGCGCTTGGTCGAAGAGCACACAGGATAATATCGAGGTGAAGAATAAGTAAGTGCATGCAGGATAAAAGGAAGTTGGACGGTGTGGATAAGAGTGAAGGTATAAAGAATATAAGGCTCGACAATAAGTGCAATGGCGGCAATTAAAAGGCTAAATTCAATGATCATAGAATTTGTGATGACTTCCGGATCTCAAGTCGGAGAGGAGTCGGATGGAAGTAGTGAGGTAGAAAAGAACTTTCAATGTCGGGGGTATTATGTGATAATATAAATCAAAAATTTGGAGTTCGAGAGAGAGGGATGTTCATTTAGGGAGTCTCGGCTGGGGATCTAGTAGGTATAAAAGAAGAACACCAGCTCCAGGGCTTGCTATTGTATCAAGGGGGAAAAAAATATTATATGAACAGAATTGCCGAACTAAGACGGGATACAAGAAAAGGCGCCATTTTGTGCGCGTGTATCAATGATACATTGGGAACCAGATTCAAATCACATCGCAAAATAAGAAGTAAAAACAAGACATTTCGTGCTTTACAGCGCGATCATAAAGGCACCAGTAGCGACAGCGACCAAGGCGTAGAGGCCGGTGTGCCAAGCGCCAAGGATGACAGCCTGGGGAGCGGTAGCAACACCAGCAGCACCGCTGGAGGTGGCACCAGCGCTAGAGCCAGAGCTAGAGCCAGTGGAGTCAGCGTTGAGGGTGCCGCTAACGGTGCCAGTGCCGGCAGTACCGGCAGCCTTAAGCTGAGAGGTGCAAGAGCTGGCGGTGGAGGCAGCCTTGGTGGTAGCGGCGCCGCTGAAGCCACAAGCAGAGGCGGACTTGCCGTTCTTCTTGTAGTACTGGTCCATGGCCCAAGCGAGACGCTGGTTGGCGCTGCATCCGCTGTAGGCACCGTAGACACCGCTGGTACCGTTACCGACAACACCGTCCATGACACCATCCTCACCACCGAGGTAGCTGAAGGTGCTGGACATCTTCTTGGTGGAGATGTCGTCAACGGGGACACAGGTCAGGGAGTCGTACATGCAAGAGCAGAGGGAAGCGTCAATGGCGGGGGGCAAAGAGCTAGCAGCGAGCCATGAACCGGCCTCGACGGTGGGGCAGGAGCGGCCAACGGTGGTGGAGACGGAGTAGTCGCTCATTTGCACACCGGTGGGGGTGGCCTTCTTCATCTGGGAGGAGAGGTTCTCGAAGTCGGACAAGGTGGAGACGACGGTGCCGGAGGTGGAAACCAGACCATAGTCGTTGTCAGTCTCGTAGTACATGTAGACGATACCACCGCTCCAGACGTTCTCCATGTCAGGGCCGAAAAGAACGGGGACATCAGTGAAGGTACGAGGGCTTGGGTTGTTGCAGCCGTACTCGGAGAAGAAAGCAGGGACGGGGTAGTCCTGGAACTCCTCAGTGCGGGCCTGGTATCCGGAGGTCTTGAAGGAAGAGTCACCGCACCACTCGTAGATGTTGTAACCGAACATGTCAATGGAGTCGGTGGCATCGTCGCAAACCAGGTAGTTGGCAATGTTCTCACGAACGCTGGCATCGTCATCAGTGGCGTAACCGATGGCGAGGGAGGAACGGTAGTTCTTCTGGCTAATGTAGGTCTTCATATCACGGACGGCAGCCTTGACGTAAGCCATGGAGTCACTGTTGTTGGCGCTGTTGGAGACCTCGTTTCCGGCGAAGAAACCAATGACATTGGGGTACTGAGCGAAAGCATCGATAACAGAAGAGTAGCGGTCAAAGATGTCGGCATTCCACATGGGGTCGCTAGATTGGATGGACTCCGATGGGGAAGACAGATCGCTGATGACGTAGATACCAGCATCGGCAAGGGCATTCATACACTCATCGTGGGAAGAGTTGGGGTTGACGGCGTAAGTACGAACGACGTTGGTGCGGAGCTGTTGAAGGTAGGGGATATCACGCTTGCAGCTTTCGGTGTCGGCCAGGGGATCGGTGTAGTCGGTATCGGAGCCACCACCATTACGGGCGTTGTAGTCGGGTTGGTAGGCAACACCACGGATGTAGAACTCGGTGCCGTTGTTGGAGTAGAAGAACTTCTTGCCCTTGATCTCAATGGAGGGGACAGTTGCCATGGCCGATCCCAAGAGGGACAGACCAGCGATGAGGGAGTACTTCATCGTGGATGGTGTGTATCTGAATCAAAAGAGAAAAAAAAAACAAAAAGGTCCCAATAAAAAGAATGACTGGAAGGGCAATTAAGCCGTTCGTGGGAATATGGAGATGGGTGAGGGAAAAAAAGCGAATGGAGATTGGGAGGACGAAACGAGGAATGGAGGAAGTTGAAAAGGAAGAGGGAAAGAGGAAGAGAAGAGAGAGAGAGAGAGATAGGGGTGAGTCTGGGCTCGGGAAAGGGAAAGTCGCACCGGATGGTCCGGGGATGTACCCTGAAACCCTTTGGTACTTATCCACATGCTGGGCAAACCCCCACAGCAACAGGTCACTTTCCCCATCCAGGTACCTGCAAGAGATGCAAGTGTTTGAAAGTAAACGACGCATCATCAGTGGGCTGTGCCAGCTCCATTGATGTGCGGATGCCTCTGTCCTACAACTGAAATGATTGGCATGGATCCAAGCTTGAGCAAAGATGTGAGACCGATTATATCGCGGGTTTCAGGGTCATTGGTCCCTGAGCTCCACTTGTAACTTCCGCTAGGAGTTATTTGATTGTTTCGCTCCCCTGTGGATCTTCTACACATCCCTACGCCAATGACCCTGCATCGTTCTAGCGGCGCCCCTGAGACCTGCTTCTCCACCGTATTCGCTAGTAAGCCACTTCAGACCCACTTGGTAAGCCACATCGAACTCTGATTGGGTCATGTCAGGGTCTTCGAGGGTCCTTTGGCTTGGGGGCCCAGGGTTGGGAGTCTTGGGAGTGGATTAAAAGACCCTGAGTGGCTGAAGGGTTCAGGCTCCACTTTCCGATACAACAATCCTGCTTTTTTTAGGGAATTTTCATTTGTTGGATTTATTTATAACACACTTCTACACTCCGTACCAGATTCTTGTGTCGGATAGATACATGCGATGTTGAAAAAGATCCCGTAAACAAAAACCCAATCCTTCCAATGTTCTCTAGATCATCCCTTTTCCACCCACTTTGGACGTGACTTTGCAAACACAAAAAAGCTTGTCCTTGGTCGCCAAGGAGATCTCCTGCGCATAACCTACACAAAGCAAAGCATAATATCTCAACAATGTCGCGATGATGTCGAAAACACCTCAGGAATGTCAACTGCCATGGCACTGACTTCGGAATATTATGCCATTATGTCTCAAACCTTGGAAGAACCATGCTTTGAATGCCACGAGATACCACTTAAATACCACCTCCCCATTGTCGAGACAATTATCGAGACAATCGTCCGTGCCCTCATCTCTACCAAATGATAGAGGGTTGTGGATACTATGGAGACCTACGCGGGTCTGATTTTTGGCGTGTTGCATTCCAGAACTTTCGCATGACCCGTACAGAATACAACCGAGTTGGTCGTACTGTGTAGCAGGCAGAAACGTTTTAGCCTTTGATATCGATCTCCCTCAAGTTGAAGTTTAATCTTTTTTGGTTTTTCTTTTGCGAAAATAATGAGGAATTTTCAGCCAGTGCGAAGTGTTTCAAAAAACGTGCCCTTTCTCTATGGAGACCTGTGGGGCATGGGCTATCCCGCCTCTTGACGGGACGGCTTCATCTACGGGATCGCATTTATGTACAACTTATTTATTTATTTTCTCTACTCATTCAGGGCTCTGATTGCGTCACGACAAAAGCTCATTCGACCTCTGTTCAGAAAAAGGGTTGCCTTTCTCCATTTTCCCCCCTGACTATCACTGTGGGCTCTAAATGTGGGTCCGCGCATATCAATACATCATTGTGGTGATCCCCTCGCGTTCGGTTTTTGCCACAAAAACAAAAATGTGACCTGCGATCGACCACGCGTCGTGTCAACAGGAGCCAGTACTGTATATCTATGATGCTTCTCCCATGACCTGAGAGGTACCTGGGACTGAGGCTTTACGGTCGCCTTGCATTTTCGAGTTCGAAGCTCGACATCTAGTGCCAGGGTTCTCTGTTTGAGATACATTCACACCCCCCTGCCCCTGGAGATACCCTCCAATTTCAAGGCATATTAAACCAACCCCGTTCAAAAAACACGGGAAATCATCTTCTACTGTAGGATCCTATATAGAGTAAGGATCCTCGATCTATCCATCTTCCTCTGCATCATTTCTCCTAATTATCACGAGCTTGTGATCTGCAACCTGAGAACATTCATGGATCTCTAGCTTGCGTAGAATTGAAACTCAAACATTATGTCCTGAAGAGCACCATTTAAACCTTGAAGAAGTCTCTCCTGAAGCTTCCTGAAGTCTACCCTCTCGCGCGGCAGGATGGCCTCGGATTGCCTCAACTTTTACTCAGTACATCGAGTCAGTCATAAACACTTATAGCTGTCAGTGTTAAAAGAAAGGATTGTTCCAGAGGTCAATGGATCGTATCCGAACCTTCAATGAATGTTGGGAGTTAAGTCTGTTCTTAAAAAAAAATTCAACACCGGCATTCTGATCCCTAGAGGGCCCCCGTGAACATTGAGGCTGCATGCCAGGCTCATGTGCCCAACTAGGCAAAAAGACCACTATGATCGAACTCTACGTTCGATCATTGCCTGGACCTGCTTATATACCCATAATATAACAGAAGGGCTCTTCAATTGAATTGATTGAAGCCATGATAATGTACTGTAGAAATGTTCCAGAGGACCGTGCTGCACCTGACTGGAATCCTCTCAAGGGTCAACTGGTTGATACATCGGTCGGGAATACAAGAATTGCCTTCAAATGTTTCAAATTAAAGGGTTTACTGATTCCAATATTTAACGGCAGCACTTGAGACAGCGCACGATGCATAATTTTCAAAATGTTAAATTGCCACCTAAAATGTTGATTAAATTATGCACATGTGTAGATGTCTTCAACGTTAAATTTATATACAACCAAGGTTGGAATATTGAACCTTGGAACAAATTGACTGCGCACGATGCTTGGGTATTTTCAAGAATCTCCAACATTGAACGTAGCAAGTGGAACAACAGGGCTGGCTCGAACATTCAAATAATTTGAAGCTTTGGCCCTGGGCAGAGCCAAAGGTTGCTTCGACAGAAAGATCCACCTAATCTGGTCATACAATTCAACAGTGCTTGTAAAGGATGTTCTGAATGAGGTAAATGTGAGATTGAAGACCCTCGAGGGCTGTCGCTTAAAACGTTTCAGTTTGTTGCTCCGTATTTTCAAAAAATTTTCCGAAAGGAGAGTCAAAGAACCTGGAAAGGAAGGAAGAAAGAAAGAAAGAAATGGATGATTGCTCGAATCTCGAGGAGTCAAAACCCTGGACTCTTGTACATAAAAGAAAAAGTCCAAAAAAAAATAAAGAGTAACACATAGTACAAATTACCATGTGTTGCACATAATAGTACATACTAGTAGTATATATACGTAGCAAAAGACCATGACCACCCAACTATGTATCAAGGAATGGTTGAGGCAGGCTTTCTAATGGGTTTCCAATGTGAGATTGGAAGAGGCTACGCTCACAGACCAAGAATTAAGAATTAATCGGAGGGGGGGGGGGAGGGAAGAGAGATATATGGAGGGAATGCGCGCTTGCTATCGCGCATACTCTTACACTCTTATCAACTGAAGGGGGGTACATCATTTGGTACATAAGGTGGCTCTACCCCCAATAAACAGGGATCGAATTCGAGCTTAAAGTCTTTTCTTTTGGGGTACAGCAGTTCCGAGAAACGGTGTCACCAACTAAGAGGTCAAACTCGAAAACTACCGTAAACAGCTCTTGCTGGCATTGATGATTTCTATTCTAGAATTGATGTCAACTTTGTTTCGCAATTTCTCATTTCTCTTTCGTCACAGAATTAACAATGCTCCAGCTCTCTTCAAGAGCTGGTTGTCCCCATCCTTTCATCCATTCGGAGTGTAATATCTGCTGTGCCGTCGCTCTTTCGTTCGGTCGGAAGACCAGCATCGACCGAAGCATCGCCTCGAAAGCCCTCCTCTCTTTCTCTGTCACGGTCTCTAAACCGGCCTCAGCCCGAGGCCCCTGTATGCAATAGCCAAACCTCTTGTCCCAGGTCCTGCGCATGCTGTGGTGACCCATAGGCGCGTCTGGCTTCAAATCCAATTCGCCCTCCTCATTGAACCATTCCAACCTTCTACTCCATTTTTTCCACCACTCAGGAGGTAAAATGCCAATGACTTCGACTTGCTCCGCGGTGACGCGGTCTGCAGTTTGGAAAAAGGCCTCAAACAAAGGCCGTTGGCCAAAAACCTCCCAGATAGTACAGGCAAGTGTCCAAATGTCAGAAGCAAAGGAGAGAGGCTCGTCAGAGAACCTGGCCTCGGGTGGTTGGAGGAGAGGAAGGGTCTTTGAGGAGGACCTGAGGGTTTCGTGAGGATTGAAAGATTCTCCAAAGTCGCTAAGGATGATCTTCTCCTCTCCTAAAGCAATATCATCGCTGCGAGCACCATACCAACCGGGAACGTATACATTTGTGGGTACGCCATCCGACAATGGCTTGCCATCCACGCGGATAACAGCCTCTGGCTCAGGCTCTCCGAATTTCTCGTATAACTCGGGTGTAGAATACTGGTCGATAGCTTTGGGAAACTGGACTAGAATATTGCCTAGATGAAGATCTTAAAGCAGTCAGCTATGCAATCTAGCTGCAATCATTTATACGCATCGCATACCGCTGTGTACAATATGTTCATTGTGAAGAAATGCGACTCCGCGGATGAGCTGGGCAATAATCGATTGCGCGACCTTAGGCCGAAAAAGACCAAAAGTCGAAGCCTCTTTTGCATCAAACAGGCTCATTCGTGCCACCGGAGCGACGATACACCTATGCTTGCCATTGGGGCCGAGAGCCCAGAATTGTTCGATGAGGGTTGGAATAGTTTCGCTTCCTGGTCTAGACGGCGATTTTGCAAGAGAACATAGAATACTAGCCTCAGGTGCACAAATACTGGCATCAGCAGTAATGACTTTCACCGCCACATATCTGGCCATCTGTAGGTCACGGACTAGCCATATAGTCGAGTATCCTCCGTACCCAAGTTTGTCAACCAGTCGATATCGGCCGTCATCTAGGTCATCCCCAATCTTCAATGGATGATATCCCCCGGGCCTGTATCTGTCAAGGTCTTCAACGTATTCAATAAGCCTGTACTGTGGCTTGCCGGGTTTTATGCTCGATGGTCGAGATTCGCTGGTTCCATCTGTATCCCCACACATCTTGTCTGCATTAAGGGGGTTGAAAGTCGACATCGGTGATGCCTTTCCGACATGAGACTGGTTTCTGACAGATCCGCATACCTGCTGAAGAGATCGTCGGGCATTGACGCAAGTACGTGCGAACATTGAACATTTGCACAGGCAGCGCTCAGCTCAAAGACCTACACCAAAAGTGAACGAGTCCAATCTGTTGTTTTGATGACTAATATTTGCAAGAACAGCTGGGTGGATGGGTCGGGCTATTGACATTATTAAACGCGCTCATGGCACCCTAGTTAGGTCTTCTTTCTGCTCCTTCCATAATTTCAATTATTGTTTTTAGCCAGTCATTTCGCCAGATGCTACATTAGAGCGCCAGAGAAGACCTTTAAGGCGCTATGTACCTACATAAACACGCGGGCCAACGTTTGCCCAGGTGAACGCTCCACACTAAATATAGTAAGCGCAGGCAGCAACATAATGCAGGGAACCCACAAAACGGGTCCACGACTTCAGCCCTGTAGGATAAAGGCCCCAGGTTCTGTCATTTAGGGCTGCTTTAAATGTCCGATTTTTTTTTTTCTTCACGGCATAAAGCAATGTTTACCCCATCTTCGCCGTTGGCTGGTTCATGCCCCTTTTTGAACCTTGACTATAATACCAGCCCTGCTCGGGCTTTTCGTCCACGGGTCAGGTAACCACGGGCGCCAACTGGCTCGGTTTTCATTCGTCGAATGCACCCAAAGTGACCCGATCGCGCTCGAAGTTTGGAGGCCTGACACATGCAGGATTCAAATGCTGGAAATCGAGGGATGTGGCTAAGTGGCTAAGTGGACGCTGGCCATGTACTGCCACTCTGCCACCGGCATTTTTTTTGGTCTGTGCGTCCTTCACGGCGGATCTCCCCAGATGTTAAAGCCACCGACGTATTTCGTGTTCCGATTGATAGCCGCACGCTGACCCGACGTGGTGCAGATAATCGAGTACTCAGGTGATACTTGGTCCTCACCATGAGCGCCAGATAAAGAGTGCTCAATCTCTCGCCCGTCAGCCCGAAATTCAGCAAATTTCCAAGGGCAGATTCTAGCGACGGAATCACACGTGACTGGGAATGGACGCGCGCGTGGCTGTTCCCTGTTGAAATCATCTTGATTTGCTCAGCAAATGATCTAGGGGTTGTGGCTGCTGGCCGCGAATGGCTTGGCATTGCCCATTGTCAACCTCTGATTGCTCAATGGACCGCTAGGACCCATCGGACCATCGAAAAAGTGGGAACACCAAATGAAATTGAGTGTTTGCAAAGCCACATGTCCAATCAGCGACCGAGGTATGGCGTGGCCAGAGTGTGCCACAAAATGTCATCAGAAAAAGTTGAGCGATCCAGATCATGGAAGCTATCCCATGCGGTGTGACCTCACCTGTCACTTTTGTCTGTTGGGTTCCGGGAGAGCATTATGGAATGATGAGGTGATGGGCGCTTTTGCCAAGACCAAGAGATGGTCAGGGAAGAAACATTTGAAAGCTTTTTTCGAATGAAGCATCCTGTGTTTCTTGGTCTTTTCTTGGGCTTTTGTTTTAGGCTTTTTCTGAACAGGTCGCCAGCACATCCGCTTCCTCTTGGCGCAGCCTAAGCACAAGAGATATAAGAACAACACTATCAGGCACAATATATTAATGGGAGATATTGGACTGGAATTCCATTTCAAACTGTGATTCCGAAAACTAAAACCATCGGCGTCGCAATACCAAAGCTAGTCGGTTGTTGTACACGATTATAGTGCCAAGCTTCAACTCCACTGGTTGCGATCGCCCCTGGAACACAGCCACAATCAATGGAAAAGGAAACCCCCAAAGAATTGAACAACAAAAAAGTTTACACCATTTCCAATTTCCCCCCAATTCTTGACCGACTGCCCCTTTGATTATTTCTTTTTTTTTTCTTCTCTGTCCTCACTTTTGCGGTGAATGTCGCTCTTTGTTTGATTTTATCCCCTTGCTTCGCCCGCTAGCTCCACCCTTTGGGTTGTTTGGAGAATTCAATCCTTTGAGAAATCTCCATTGGAAAGAAACTTGGATTCTTTCAGTATCCCATAATATCATCCTGTGGCTTCGAGCCTCAGCCACCATACAACTCCACCCAACTGAGCCTCGTGTACTATTCTTTCTTTGAAACAAACTTTCATACCCGTAAGTCTTCCAAGGCGATTGCGCGCGTCTAAATTAAGGGAGGCGAGCGCAGTCCAGGCTGTCACTTTCTTCTTTGACCTTTAACCCCTGCTCTCTGTCCTCAAACCTTCCAGAACTCTCCTCTGGCAGGCTATATATGGCACCAACACACAACGAAGCGAACCCAAGGCACAATTCATTGACAAATTCCTCCAGGGCAACAATTATATCAAAACCCAATTAATATCACGCCGTTTCATAATGCGTGAGTCCTATTCCTTGTTTTTATATAACCCACCTGGGCTCGACCCAACAAAACCAAACCTTGAACCACCACACCTGAAACAGCGCAATTCATTGTACTACTCATCAACACACAAACTAAAATGCTCCCGTTAGACATCTATCGACGCCAGGCACGTAACCTGGCATGGTACGACGATGAAGATGGAGAGCCATCCCGCAACCCATTCAAGAAGTTCCGCAGACGCCCACAGCGTAGGCACTCCATCCAACTGGAGGCCCAGACGCGCAGCATGGGCGATCTGTCCCTGCCAGAGGAGCAGCGCCGGCAGCAAGATTTCCACGACGACGGCCTGGCTGTGCGCAACCACTCCAACACCTTCCCACCAGCAACGGCCAGTAGCGATCACTTCACGGCGGCCAGCGCTGAACGCAACGAGCCGTCGATTGCCAGCCAGAAACCCATCAACGTCAGTTCCGAGCAGGGATCTGATCTCGACCCCGAGGAAGGAACCGGCAAGACCAGACAACGGAAGGGTCTTTTTGCTCGTGGATCAACGGAGAATGATACACTGAAAGACGATTCATCAGAGGATCGGCCCAAGCCCCCAAAGTTCACTCTTGCATCGCAGTTAAGAGCTACCATCTTTAATTCTTGGATCAATGTTCTCTTCTTTGCGGCGCCGGCCGGTATTGGGCTGTACGCTGCTAATGCGAATCCTGTGGCTATTTTCGTGGTCAACTTCATTGCTATCATCCCATTGGCTGCTATGCTCAGCTTCGCAACTGAAGAGATTGCACTGCGCACCGGTGAGACCATCGGTGGACTTTTGAACGCCACATTCGGTAATGCGGTCGAGTTGATCGTCGCTATCATTGCGCTTGTAAAGAAGGAAGTTGTCATTGTCCAGACTTCGCTTATTGGCAGCATGCTGTCTAATTTGCTGCTTGTCATGGGGATGTGCTTCTTCTTCGGCGGTATCAATCGCATGGAGCAACATTTCAATGTTACCGTGGCTCAAACGGCCGCCAGTATTCTTGCGATCGCCGTCGCTGCTTTGATCATTCCTACCGCCTTCAGCTGGTCTGATAGTAAGTCCCTCCATAAATTTGCTAGTACTTGAAAAAAAAATCCCCGTTGGATCGATCGCAGCAGAAGCTAACATGCGATTTCAAGGTACTACCGACCACGCCGATAAAGTTGCACCCCTGTCTCGAGGAACCAGCATCCTTCTCCTTATCGTCTACGGCTGCTATCTCTTCTTCCAGCTCAAATCCCATGTAGAGATCTACAACCGTCCCAGTCCCAAGGTCGAGAAACGTCGCCAAAAGATCACCGAAGGAGACACTACCCGCAACATTGCTCAAATCGGCAGAATGACCGCCGGCACCATGGGTGGTGAACAGGTGCAGCAAGTGCAGCTGCACGAGGAAGACGAGCCCGAGCAACCTCAGCTGATGATCTGGGTTGCCGTGCTCACACTCGTAGTTTCTACTGCTTTTGTCGGTGTCTGTGCTGAGTTCATGGTGAGTTTCACTTTCGAAGATCTCGTATAGGGATAGACACACCGCAAAGACTTTTTGGCTAATACTTTTTCCCCGCCTAGGTCGACTCCATCAGCGCCTTAACTGCTACCGGTGCCATTGGCGAGACCTTCGTCGGTCTGGTCCTCCTCCCCATCGTCGGTAACGCAGCGGAACACGCCACAGCAGTCACAGTCGCATGCAAAGATAAGATGGATCTCGCCATCGGCGTAGCCGTTGGATCGAGTATGCAGATCGCCCTGCTCGTGCTGCCTCTTATTGTTGTCATTGGATGGATTATGGGAGTTGACGATATGGTATGCATGATCCGTCCTCGCCTGATTGCCGAGAACCCACACTAACTGGAATTAGACTCTTGCATTCGACAACTTCCAAGTTATCTTGCTTTTCGTCGCTGTTCTCTTGGTATGTTTCTTTCCCCATGAATTGTTTTTTTTTTCCATTCCTACTAGGTTCACTTACTAACTTCCGTTCTAGGTCAACTACCTTATTGCTGATGGCAAGTCCCATTGGCTAGAGGGTGTTTTGCTTATGACTATGTATTTGCTTATCGCCCTTGCTGCTTGGTTCTACTAGGTACCAGCTGGTATTGCATGGGTGCATGACTGGGATTGGCTATTTGTTTTCTGGGGCTTCCCACATTCCATTCTTTGTAGTTTTATTAATTCTTATTTGGGACCATTTATACCGGTGCGACGCATCTTAATACGACGCTTGGTAATGCTTTACTTGGGGAACTGCACCTACATAGATGAAAAGTAGAAGCGATAACTAACTAGTACTTCATCATTCTAACTAATAATTCCAACCTTGGAAAGACACCCCGGTGACAATATCATTTTCGTAAACCACCGTTCGCAGAGATTGGATGGTTGCGAACCAATAGATTCATTCAGTCCTCAAACCCACTTCAAGGTAAAGAACGCCTCTCCAACCCAAGTCGGTCTCTGGAGATCTATCATCGCTCCGATCTCTTTCAATGGCCTTACCAATCCAGGCCAGGCACACCACACCGGATTGTGTTGATTTTCCATTTGTATGACGCTCGAAGCCTGTACCACCAACCACGGCGATATAAACTGGGTGTTCTAACAGCATCGATTGCTTGATTTGTCTCTTCTTTATCAGTTACTGATGGAGAGAGGGGAGCTATCTGGAAGAAGATAGGTGAGAGTATAGCGATCATGTGATCAAACACCCACCTAGTAATACTAATTCACCCACTTGTCGGCTTCCTTTTCGTTGTCTTCGTTGTCTTCGTTGTCTTCGTTGTCTTCATCCTACTCGTCTTCCTCGTTATCGTCGCAGATGATGCCAAGCCCAAATCCACCGGGCAGAGATTGAAGTTTGGCGCGAGCAACCAAACCCGCGTCCAGGTATATACTGGCCAGGACATGCCCTCTCGCGCCTCCTATATCGACTATCGAATGTGCCTTCCCTCAATCTGTTCTCTGACATGGGGCCCCATACTTGCCGAGACGGAGCCACGGCCTCTGGACTGGCTTTCCGCCCACCCCCCAACTCCCTTCTGCTGCCCCGTGAGGCTCGCGCCCTTACAATAGTGGTATACCGCCTTCCGGCCGAGTTACTGGGGGAAATTGGTGGTCTGATGAATGTGGATATGGACGTCTCATTCACTAATGAGTTCCATGCACGCACTGCCAGCGAACACACCTTGGAGCCACCTCGGCATCCTCCTGGTGACCATATCGGAGATCACGGCCACAGGTGAAGGAAGAAGACTCGATTGGTTGATCAAGAGAGTGAAGAAGAAGAAGAAGAAGAAGGAGAAGAAGGAAGCGGTAGTCTGAGCACTCTTTATGTGCAAATCAGGAGGCTTGTTCCGGCAAACAAGAAGTAATCGCCAAACAGCGGCGTCAAACAAGCGCCAAACACGAAGACAGCAACGGAAGACTCCTGACAGATCAGTTTGGTGTAGTGCATATTCCCCGATTCTGAACCGGCATACGTCCATCTTATATCGTATATCGTTGCGCAGTTGGGGCTCTGTTTCTGAAACGCCGACTTCAAGGGCTAGAGAAGGCCATGGTGTTTGTCCCCGAGCATACAGGAGGTTGGATGGTGCCATCCACCACCCGGGCTCTTTGCTGGGTAATTTGCCGCACACTCTGGGCGATGTGCGAGCTACCCAATGATCGAGATGAGAGAATAAAATTCATCTGAGCGAGACAAACAGTGGACAAGTTAGCCATGAGGTCGAGAAAATCGATAGCACCGATGAGTAACTGGAATTGGGCAGAGCGTCCTGGCGACGTTTCAATCTCTCAGTAGCACCGGTCTCGTGGTAGATTGGGAAGCAACATTGAATTAATATCATTGCTTCCTTTGAAGTTAGATATTCTAATTTGATATATCTGAGCTAAGAATCATGCAGCTGTCATTTTCTACGTACTGACTGCTTAATCATAGGATACTGGAGTACATTATTGACTTATTGTTGTACTGACCAATATATTGACTCTGTTCCAATAATAGAGACTCGGCGTCAATGGAAAGTCAGGTCACCAGTTGTAGATGATCAGGTGTTGATAGAATCCCACAATCCATATTGACACCTGAGGCAGCCCTGGAGGAGACAGGAAGCACGAGACCAACCTTGATCGAATCTCCGGTACCCCATAGTTAAACGGCGTTGCTACGGGACTAATTACTTTAGTGGTTATTTACCCGTACAAAGGGCAACAGCAACTAGTCCCGGGACGGCTTCTAGATGCAGGCTAATGTGTTCCGCAACTTAGCCAAAATAAATTAGCCCATTAGCCCATTTTCCCGTTTGCCCGTTAATTTGAAGTTCGGGTAGATGGTTCCTGTGCTTACCATTCAAGTCAGTGAAATGTGCTTTCCAGGGAAATTCAATTACATTACTTACTAGTAGCTCCTAGAAAAACCCATTCAATAGCCGACCACAGCATAACCACCATGCTACGAACCCATCGAAACGTGGGGGTAACATCAGGAAGCAGACATGACGGAACCGCACCAAAAACACGAGCCTTGAATGGCTAAACAATCAAGCACGGTAATGAGAAGCCATGACATAAAGGAAAAATCGGGGCACTCGGAATCGGGATGCCACCGATGCCTGGATTTTTTTTACCCGAACCCGATGTGGGGACGAGTGGGTGAATGGGTAGTCAAATGACCGGGTTCTGAATTCTGATGACATACGTACGTAAGGGATTTTAGCAGCGATGATCATAGGAATCTTGAGTTTGATTTTGGGCTAGGGCAGGTCAGATTCGAAATGCACCATGTAGGTTGGATTTTTAACAAGTGTTTGTTTGTGCGCACTGGAAAGAAAAAAAAGGCAAAATTCTCAGCCAACGCGGGACTGAGCTGACGGTCGGAGTCGGCTCCGCGTCAGGATAGGATCCCGCCAGCCGCAGAACCCGATCGGTTATTTTCCGGATTCACCCTGGTTCGTTCACAAAGTCCAATTGTTCGAGAAAATAAAGTGGGAATAAAGAAACGTAAGCTAGGTACAAAGTTGTGAATTACGTCCGAATGTTAATTACAAGGGTCCACGTAGTAGCTTATGCAAATCCACCTGGACCTAGCTTGGTTCTGCAGCTGCACCTCTCAGCAAGGAACTGGGAAACTGGAGTACGGAGTATATGTTAAGTAAAAGATCTCCGCCCCCATCAAACAGGCTCTTTCGAAGGCTATGACAGACCGATTCGGTAATCCGACGGCGGGAAGTTCCCATTCGATTCTAGCCAGGCCTCTCCGGCCCAGAGAAATCGGGTAAAGGGTAATTGAAGGGGAAATATCGGGAAATGGGGGGGAGGATCAAATCCCATCAATTGGGTAAATTTCCAGAGGGGGACCACTTTTTTTTTTTCGTTCCTTTTTTTTTTTTGCTGGTCAGCTGGGAGGGTTATATACTTGGGTCCCGTTTGTGTCATTTGGGGGCAATTGGATCTAACCCGGGTTTGGGTTACTTCCCAAGCCAAGACCCAAAAAGTAAAAGAGATTAGAAATGAAAAAGGGGAATGGGGAGCCGAAGGTACGGGGAAGGTCCCGAGAGAAAAAATAAAAATTTATGCACTCCTGTCATTTTTTTGATTACTTGAGAACAATGACATCGGGGTAAGATTGTGGGGAATGATTCACACAATGACAGTAAGGTTGTATGCAATTATGGTTGCAGAGAAGAGGAGGACCGGGGAATTGGAGGGTTAGGTCTTATTCCAGGGTTAGCAGCGCTTAGATTTCCCTTTTAAGCTTTTGATCTTGGCTCTACAGTAAGGTTGTATGTTTCTCCGCATCAACTTGCCCTTGTTGCGAGGAAGCAGAATATCCACCGGGGAAAAGTCAAACGAAGGGACCCACCGAGGTCTTGACACGAGGCAAAAGGAATATCCCGTGAGTTGTTCGGTGTCTGGCGTATGAGTGGTTTTTATTTTATTTATTTATTTTTTATTTATTTTATTTTTTGATGATAGAATCTCACCTCTTGTTAGGTCTCCACAGGTAGAATTGGAAAAACCCCATGTTAAGTAGGAACAATGTCAAACAGCCACAAGTACTCGGTCCTTGATACTCCGTTAGAATACAGTGGATACAAGGGCAATTCGGGCCATAGCCGGCCTTACGTAATATGAAATTAGGAAATGCGGGGTTGCCCGGGGTCGGTTCACTGACGCCTCGGAGGCTGGGGACCAATCAAAGCGAAGAGTCGGACGGGGCCGAAAAGTCGACGGGACTGCCGTGGGGGTAAAAAAGGAAATTCTCGGCGTATGACTTTGCCGCCTTTCATTCCTTCAGGAGCAAGGGGGAGGTCTTTTTATTTTTTTTCTTTGCTGTCCATTTATATGTAACTTTCTGTTTCTGTGGTTGTGGGTTCTGTCTTTGAACCAGACCACCAATCATGCTTACCAAAATCTAAAATCTAAATAATAAACAGGTTCCATCTCGGATCGCCCATGCAGCTCGGCATCGGGTTCTATGTTTGTTGCCTGAAGAAAACACAAAAAAATCAAGGATCATGATCATCGGTGATGGCATTTGCGGTGAGATTCCGTTCAGTATTCTTGGTTGGACCGAAGGAATGAAAGACCGGGGCCCCGGGAAGTTGGAGATACTAGGGGGTGACACGATGCAAAATGACGGAGTCCGCCGTCCGGCAATCAATAGAAAAGAGGAGGCCGATCCTAGCGAGTATCCTAGCGAGGGGGACTAAAAAGAGGACTGATGTAACTTTCGGAGTGTAGGAACGAGGATCAATCGCGGATCTCGTCTCTGCGGGGAGCCCCGGTCGTATTAAGGTGGTTTTTGGACTGTTTTGTGTTTTTATTATTTTATTTTTGTGGTTTTTGTGGTTTTTGCTTTCCCTTTCCCTCAAAAAAGTCTGGGGGCGTCGAAGCGTTACGAGAATGTGAAAATGTGGTCTACCCGAGGAATCACAGATGAGAGAAATCCCGAATGTGGTTCCCCCCCTCTTTTATGTTTATCCAAAGTATTTTCCGTTTTTTTATTTGTTAATTTTTTTTTTAACATTTATGGTTCGCTTGTCTCTTCCTCGGTATATTAACATTTCCCCAGGCCATGTGGGAACCTAAGCCCTAGCAAATCCCATTCATGTGGAGTGCATTTGGAGCTAACCGTTCTCGCTGTACTCTCCGACTTTGACGGTGTTCTAGTCTCGTCCCCGTTAACCAGATATGGACTTCCCGACTCGGGGAAAACGTACGCTGTCATGTTTGGCTTCCTATGAGATCCAGCCATTTGCCGATCGGAAGACCAGGGTCCGTGTACATCAAGGACGGGATGATCCTGGAGAAAGGACACAAGTTGTGTCCGATCTCATATTTTGGTTTCTTTCATCTTTTTACTTTTTTGGTCTTTTTCGTCCCCCCACTTAGGTCCCAGTATTATCTTTTTCCGTTCCCTAATTGATACTCCCCGTACTTCGTACCCTAAAAAGGGAGCGGGAAGTGACCGTGGGATTGGTATTTCGGCCAGTTCCATCTGGACCTGGACCAGCACGGTGTGTGACCTAATGGAAAGTGTTCCACTAACATTCGGTAAGTTGGGTAGAGAAAAACAGCAAGGAAAAAAAAAGGGAAAAAAAAAAAAGAAAAAAAAGAGAGATCATGAGATCAGTGATTAGGCTCGGACCTCTGAAAATACTACCTAAAAGTACCCATCATAATCATGTTCGGCCTCGGGTTTGGGGAGCTTGTGGTTTTTTTTTATCTCGGTCTTCAGAAGGGAAAAAAACATGGGGTAAAATGGAAAAATAGAGAAAAAAGAGAAAAGAATAAAAAACGGAAACGCTGGTGAAATAAGATACAAAAATACCAAAATATGGGGTAATTTATTTACACGAATACCCGGAAAAGCTGGGGGTTCCACTCTCCACGAATCAAGCCAGCGCGCGTCCTTGCATACCTTGGGCCCTCCGCAATTTCAAATGTCCAGTTCACCAGCGGCTCTCGGCTCTACCGTTTTGATTTTACATACTCCCGTTCCCTTCCGATCTTCTTTTCTCCATTTCGCATTCCCGGTCCCGGGCCCCGTGGACTTTCTTTTCCCCCACACTCCGCCCATTGCCGTCCTATCCCCCTTCGGGTTCTTGTTGGCTTTGGCTTTCTTCCCTTGTCCACAGCTCCCTTCCCCGTGATATAGGTACGCTTCGGGCTCACCTTGCGCAATTTTACTTTCGTTAATCTCGTCTACCCCAGATCACGTTCAACAGACGTACACTGGATTCCGAACTTTACATCTGCCCCGGATTTCCTTCTCCAAATATCTCAACCCGTGAAAATCAAGGCAAACATCAGCAACATTCAACTGTCATAAATGGGAATCCACACACCGGATTGAGCATTTACCGATTCCCTTCCCCAAACCCTTGCCCGCAGACGTGGGGTCTGCCTAACTGTATTCACAATGCGGTCCAGTATCGCTTGCGCTCGATGCCGGCGCAGTAAAATCAAGTGCGTCAACTCCGGCATCGATACCACCTGCCGCGCGTGCGAATCCTCCGGCCGAGACTGTGTCTACCCAACCCCCGCCATCGGTGTAGGTGGAAATAAGCGAGATTTGGCCGCTCTGGTCGACGGAGATGATCGAAATGGGGACTGGGGAGATGGACCGAAGCGACCACGCCAGCGCAAGATCCCAGGCATAACAGGGTCTTCGCCAGGTTCCAAAACCGGCCTGGATGCCTTGGATGCCTCGATTCTAACCGCCAAAGTCTGGGAGGCCGTCTTCGATCTCTTCCAGTCACATTTCGCTACTCACCTACCTTTCCTCCACCCAGCGACTTTCCTCGGTCAAACCCGACAATTGTCCACCCCGGCTCCACCAACCCCGGTCCAGGGAGAAGGCCAGGAAACTGTGCGCAATGTGGCCTTCAAGGCTGACCCATCTTCGTCATTAATCCCGCTGGGTGTCCTCGCATTAACCGCTCGATTCCATCCACCTCTTGTCGCATTTCACTCCCCCGCGTCTCCGGGCCACCCGTCGAACCCGCTTGCAGCATCGGAATTCTACGCGACAGCTTTGCGCAGCCGGCTGGCCGGCCTCGATGGCGCAAGCCTCGCCGTACCGGATCTCGCTCGAATCCAGGCACTGCTTATGTTGGCACTCCATGAATGGGGTATGTGCCGCGGCAAGAGCGCATGGGTATACGTTGGAATGGCTATTCGGCTTGCTCAAAGCATGGGCTTACCATTTGAGCTGGAGAATGAGTTTCCCCCGCGAGATTACTCCCGCTCCTCGCCAGGTTTAAAGGCCGAGGCCGATCATTTCGGTCTTCTCCGTCGAATGGAACCAAAGGAGCAGACATCAGATGATATCATTGCACAAGAAACAAAGCGTCGAACCTTTTGGGCATGTTTCATCCTGGACCGGTGTCTGAGCAGCGGCAAGTATCGTCCGCGTATGATCAACGTCCGGGATCTCGGAATCCAACTTCCGAGTGATAATGCTTTTGCTTTTGGAGAGCGGGTTCGGACGGCCCGACTAAATGAGCCGACTGTGCGTCGCCCACAAAGCTTTGGAGCCCAGGGTGTTCAAATCCCAAGTATTCGGCAAAGCTTCAGCTTGAGTGATGACAAGATTCCTCCCTCAAATGGTACCCCTGATGGCAAGGCTTGGTCTCCGATCTCAAGGCGTAAGGACTCGAGTGAGGAAGACATTGATCGATGGGAGATTGGTGCCGAAGAGTCGGTCTTGAGTCGAGTGATTCGGATCATTCGCATCTGGGGAAGCATCTCCAAGTGGTCTTGTGCGGGCGGCCGAAGAGTGGAGCAGTATCCTCCATGGCATCCAGAGTCCCGCTTTGCATCACTGCGGATGCAGTTAAATGAGTTCCAGGACAGTCTCTCCCGCAATCTCCAATACTCCGCCCGAAATACCGATACCTACATTATGTACAAGACCACGCTGGCCTCTTATACTGTCATGCATGTGGTCTACTTTTTGTCGGTTATCGTTCTGCACCGTGCTTATGTTCCATTCTTGCCCCTCCGTTGCAACGAGCCCATCGGCCCCTTGGACGAACCATTATTGCCTTCTGACAAGGTCAATGGCCCACCCGAGGGCTTCTGGCGGGATAGCGCTCGGGAATTGTCCAAGGCGGCTCGTCAAATGATTGACCTGGTCGTGACCTGCCAAGGCCGCGGCGCTCTTGTTGAGAACCCCCTTGTTGGCTTTGCGATCTATAATGCTACTTTCTGTGGTGTTTATAGCTCCCATTTCCCGCATATGGACCCCGACGGTCTTTTGGCCGCAAGAGCTCCTCCCGCTAGCCATGACAGCCATTTACCCGGCGCCGTGCAAATTCGCAAGTCTCTGGATATCCTCCGAGAGATGCAACCACGTCTCAGAATGGCTACTGGGTGGTTCCGTACTCTCAACCGTCTTTACAGCTACTTCACCAAGGTCAAGCGAGATTTCCGCCGTTACTCCCGCAACCGTCTTGATAGCATGTCGGACGTTTCTGATCACGGAGGCATGAACGGCGTGCGGCCAATTCGGGAAGGTGGCCTTGGTGGTGGTTTGGAGGAGTTCAAGCTCCTGGAGAAGCTATTCCTCGACTTTGGGTCCATTGAGGATCAGCTGCACGACTCAATGGAGGAGGATGGTATGGCAATGGTCATGGGCGGAGAGCTGATGCCCGACCGCATGACAAACCTCAGCGACGCTGGTAGCAATGCTGTTAAGAGTGAACTTGGGGATATCGGCGACCAGCAACTGGACGGTGCCGGCGGTCGTCGCGAGTCATGGGTGCCCATCAACAGTCCTGGCCTGCCTATGCCCACCCACGAAGGAGATCGCCGCCCGAGTCTTCCTTTGCCCAACACAAACCGCCCCATGCCATCGCAATCCCCTTATTCCCTACCATCTTTGCAACAGCACCACCCGGATGGCCCTATGTACACATCTCCTCCCAGCCTGCCCTCCTTGGTAGCCACTACTCAATCTCCCTCGCAATATCTGACTGCAACAACCAACCGCCTACAACCCATCAACTCCTGGCTTCCTACCCGCCAGAACGTACCTCCTCCATACTCGCAGTCGCTGCCACCCATCAACGCTACTGCACCTCATGCACCTGTCCTCCCGCCACCAGGCTCAGTCGCCCAACTAGCCCCATCACCACCCTTGACCTCAACAGAGGGTCCCGATACTGGACTCATGTCGACCAGTCTCGGCGGTGATGATGTCATGGCCTTCCTGGATGGAGGTGACTGGGCACAGCTATCAATGATGCAACCCTCGGAAGTGGGCATTCCCATCGGATGGCTGAGCACCGTATGGACTACGTTCAGTCGATAGGTACCAGTGAAGCGTTGACGCCCTTCTCTGTACTATTATTAACGACCATCTCTTTCCCATCATTTTATTGCCAGTCACGTTACGTCTTACGTATTGTACGACTATCTATATCCACGATCGCAGGCGACTTCAGAAAAAAAAAAGAGAAAAAACTATCAAGCATGTTTTTACTTGAGGTGTCAATGTCTTCGTTTACTCCAACCGGATACTTCAACCCTCAAAGCTTGCACCCGCTAGCTCCTCTCTCCCCCATTTCTTTGATTCGAGTTATCTATCCCCGGCGCAGGAGGTTCCGTCAAGGGTGACTATTCTTTCTTGCCTGTCTCTTTGCCTAGTACGGAGCCATTTATTTGCTCCATCCTTTTTATTTCTCTTTACCAGCTTATCGCTTCATCTCTCGCTATCTGTCGCTGTCTCTGTTTACTTTATCTTTGTGTTCTAGCGAGCGTCGGTCGGGTAGGCAGGGCATGTTGGTCCGCCCTTGTCTTTGTTTCTTTGTGCCTTTTGAATTTTTTTCTTGTTTCCATCCAGCCCTTTTTGGGACGCGATTATGATGAGCTATGGCGTTATGCTGGGTCTAGCCTATGTTCTGAGTCTGTTATCAGTGTTCCTGCCATATAAGCTTTTGCTTATGCTTATGCTTAGGTATTATTTTTGACTTAAGTGGAGGTTGAGACAATTGATTTGCCGGGAGGCTTTTCTTCGTTTCATTCAACAAATATTTCATTTTGCCTTCGAATTTTCCAGTAGCTTAATCTTGAGATCAGCGGATGCAGTATCACTTTGACCGGGATTGAGTATCTACTAAGCAATTATTCATTGCATATGCTCGACGTAGTACATAGTACATGACTTGGACCCAATGAATGACACAACGACTATCAAAAAGCCAGCGGACCTCGGAATTTAACAACCAGTACGTGTACTACTACCGGTACTTCCAAATCCTAGTACTTTAATATTTAAAGGAACATCTAGAACACACCACTAAATGTACACATTCACTAGTACATTTCAAACTCCGATATGTACATTGACCCGTTGACCGACTTTCTCAGCCACACATTACACCTGCATAACCGCACACAATGTAGCTGTCACACGTGCTCCGTACCCCTCGCCTCCATTTTGAAAGCCGGAACATGCATATGAAAAATTCCCACACTAACCTCAAGATCCCGAAAGCAAAGCAAAACGCATCAATCCAATCATTTCAATGTTCACACCGACATCAAGCCAACCCTTCCTGCATTCCCCTGATATAATCCATCTGCGTCCTATACCTAGCATCCAGCCCATCCAGAACGCCCTTCTCCTCTAACTCGTCCATCAGATCAAGTACATAGTCCTGACAATTCCAGCCCGAAATATCATTGTGCACCTCGACTCGGCCCGCGATGGCCTTGATGGAATTAGCCTTCGGCAGGTCCACGTTGCAGAGGTAAATCAATTGGATGAGGTCAGGCGAATTTCGAGCGTCTTTTGTTTCGGCTTCGTAGCGGAATCTGCCGTCTGAGCCTTTTACTTGGAGGACGATTTTGTCTGTCTGGTTTTTGTCGTCGATGAAGAGGCCCCAATGTTTGAAGACGCCGTCGCCGTGCGTTACGGCGATGTAGAGCGGGATTGAGGACATTGGGGGTGATGGGTGCTGTGGGGTTCTGGTTAGATTGATTCATGTTTCTTATCCGGTTCCGCGTCTTCAGGTATCACCGGCTTGGGTTGTATGTTTTTTTTGAAGACTTACGATGGTGTGTGGAGTTGCAAGTGACCGCGAGCCGTAAGTGAGCATTTCCAATTGATGATTGATCGACCTCGAACTCAAGATATTAAGATGAATTGATCAATTGGTTGTCAGGACAAACGCGTTGGAACAGATGCGGAAAGGCGATGGCAAAGGAGAAAATTCGAGTCGACTATTTCAACATCTATGCCAGTAGATACATGGGTATTTATGTGCCCTCGCGTAAATAGGGAATACTAATCAGCGTTTCCGAGAACATCCCTGCAGACCCGAAAATAGACTGGCGCGTACATATGACAGTGCTGATTAAATTTACCCCACGCAGATGCATCACACAGCGAGACGCGCAAGATGAAACCGGGACCGTTGGGAGGGCGTCAATATTAAAGGTGATAGCTTGAGGTTGCTGATGAAGTTCCATATCCTAAGCGCCGGGAGTGGGGTCAAGATGATATTTAGTGTATAGTATTTCACCACCGCTCGCGTGAACCATGGTACGTGCTGGAGTAGCTGCTATGCTCGTCAGGAGAGACTCCACTTGGTTTTGTTAGTTTGTGTCAGATACATAGTTCTTTTGCCTAAATATCTGCATTGTGTTCGTTTCTTGGGTTTGGTGGTTTTGTCGGATATGTGGACCTGAGAATGAATGCACCCCTCACCGTACTTGTTTGCTTCCTGGGTCATTGGCGAGTCGCGCCGATGACGGGAGGGAATTCGAGTATTTCCATGTTTGCATTTTTTTTCAAATCGAGGATTTAGTGTCAGGCTTCTTTGGCCGCAGATTAATGGTGAGAATTTAGAATTATGTTGGTTTTGGCATTGGCCCTATCTTGATAGATAGTAGCGAGCCTACTATTAAAGTAATGATCTACGGTGGGGGGGATTTGCATGGCCAGATGTCACATGTGAGAAAGAAAAATGCCGGAAAAACTATGCTTATTTTGAATAGAGGGAAGAAAAACCAATGGATTATTCTACAACATTGTGCCTACAAACGTGCACCCTAATTATTCAAAAGCAACTTGAAATGACTACAGTCAACTGGTGATCACCTGAGGAAACCCAGATGCCTGAGTAAAGAGGCATTTTTATTACATCATCAAAGGAAATGCCAAAGGCGGTGAGACCAATAATAACAGGAAATTCCCCAAATCTTCTCGAGTACTTGTCAACACTGCCACAGCCACAGCCACAATCTACTAGTCCTAGTATGTACAAGAACAACAAACCAGCTGGAAATTAGCTGAATCACTGGGTCACTGTACCTCTTGGTTCAACACATATGACGCATTTGAACTCCGGGCCGTTTCAAATAAGTAAATATGCCCACGCGAGCATCTTGAACTGCATGTGACACTTGGATCTTGATGTCTCCTGATGTCAACTATCAATTCCAGCACCAGAATTGTGGTCATTTAAGCTTAAACATCGGGAAAATTACACCAATTTACTAGTAAGGACCTGTCAAAAATCAATGATACTTCAAGCATTTTCTTGACGGCAAATGTTCATAAAATGTCTATAAGATACAACCATTGTTTACACTCATGTACGTAGAGTAATGTCCAAAGTTCACTACATAATTCCAGATATTCTGATTCCTCGGGTATTTCGGCCATTTCTTTCCAAGGCTGAGCCACTGAAGCTAAAGGTCTGATGGAGCCTGATCACAGAATCGTGAACTAAGATCTCAGATCATCTCTGATAGGCGCACAGCCATGAACACTGGGTCGATCTTCAGCTTAACTTCTTAAGCCAGCCCGTCCCCACCCCACCCAGCCTTGTATTTAAACAGCCCACGTGCAATCTCACAACCACAGAGCATCAACAAACATTCAAACTTCAAAACAATTTGAAGGCCCCATCAAATGGAGCGCTCACTCGTGGACATCGTGCATAGCCATGACCTGGCCTCTCTCCACGATGAAGATCTTGTCCGCCTACTCTACGCCCAATTCGGCCCTGAAATCGATCACTTAAAACGGGTCCCCCACGCCGTCGAGGGTGACGAATCTCCCTCAAAAGGCAATCTCACCAACCACACACTGAGCCCGTCGCGACTACTATTCGACGAGGACTTTGACGAAGTCAATCGATCAATCACCAACGTCCGCGCTCTAAAATGGGTCCTTGCAAACGACTACGACGCCTTCGTCGCCCATCAACCTCCGTCCCCTATCAGGCTATCCCACGAGACCTTCCAAGCCCTCAAGCGCCAAGCAGACAGTTTCCTGGAGGACACAGACCAGCTCCTCGCTCTAATCGTTGCTCTCGTCATCGGCGACATGGGAAAAGACCCGCGCCTATCTGACGAGATCGCCGCGCGCAAGGGCCAAGACGCATCCGTAAACTACGAAAAGGAGAACGCGAATGAAAACCACGACGAGCTCCTCGCCGACGCAGTCGCATGCGGCATCCTGGACGGCCCACTAAGCCAGCTATCCGACGCTCGCCGCGCAGACGTGGTCCTCGGCGTGAACGTCGGAGCCACGCTAAACATCCCGCAGCTGACGCAGGGCGAAAACGTGCCGGCGAGCTTGCAGCCCATATTGAAATTCCGCGGCCACCCCGAGGCATTTAATCTGAAGTTTTTGGAGATTATCTTCGACGTGGCGGGGGCCGGGGGCCATCTTGATAGCTGTGGCGCGAAGCGCATGATCGAGCCTGTTTGTCAATCGTTTCTGCAGGCCGGGCCGATTTTGAAAAGCATTATTACTGATAACGTCTCGCTGCATGAGGCGTATGATCATGTTTTGCGGAATCGTGGGCAGCTGGTTGTTGAGCAGGGCTTTCCGGTGTTGTCGACGGGTGTTCCGGCGGAGAGGGCCCTGCTTCGTCTTTTTGCGATGGGCCGTGTGGCCGAGCGGTCGGTGGCTGAGAACTTCCAGGAGGCGTTCTGTGGCTTGTCGGAGTCGACTCGTGAGGCGCTTGTTCAGGGATTGAATGTTGATGGGGTGGATGATGGGCAGGCTGTGCTGTTGTATTATATTCCTGCGTTGTTCGCGGAGACGGGTCGGGCTATGCGCGATGCTTCGACTGAAGAGCATATTGTTGCGTTGCGGTGTGTCATGGATTTTATGGCGAGGACGTATGGGGGTTCGATATCTTGTCCTGGTCAGGAGGGCTCGATTGTTGAGCGTAATGTTTCGCCGGTTGTTGAGTTCGTGCGCGATCCGGCTTTTCGCAATGACCCGCATATCCTGGACGAGTATACCCTGCCTGAAGAGTCATAAAGAATTTCATTTAGTCACCTTATTCATATAAATTTCAAGAATAATGATGTTGGGCCCCTTTTTCTTTGTCTCCGACATGTACTTTGTTCGGCGATATAGGTTTCCCAAATAGGAAAGAGATATAGCCGAAGTCCGCGATCCAGTCACATGTGTAGCGCTTGCCATCAACATATAAGGAAGTAGCTTTCAACTACCCTTATGTTCAATACACATACAAATAACACATACGCCTCTGACATACCCAAAGATTTGGTATACAAGTTATGGCGTTCAAAATATCCCGTGTTCAAAGGCTTAGCGCCGTGATTGGAATTTCACTTTGCTTCTTTATTGCCGAGATCTCTAGTAAGTTTACTCCCTCAACGAGAAAAGAAGATTTCTCAAAGACTACATTTGAAAATTTGTCTCCAATATCAGATCTGACCACATTCATTTGCAAATAGTCGGATTTTACACCCATTCTCTCGCCTTGGTCGCCGATGCTTTCCACTATGTGCGTTGGTACCTAACCTGGGTACATACAAGACCATGGCCCAATCTAACAATTTGCAGTTGAATGACCTCGTTGGGTTCGCGATCGCCCTCGCTGCCACAATAGTGAGTGTTACTTTCATTTCGCATCCAACACACACACAGCTTCCTTGATTCTAACAATGGATATAACCAGGTTGCTGAGAAAAGCACCCCACCAAAAGCTCTCACATTCGGCTGGCAGCGAATACAGCTCCTAGGTGCATTTTTTAATGGCGTTCTACTTTTCGGTCTGGGCATCAGCGTATTTTTACAATCTATAGAGCGCTTCATCACACTGCAGCGTGAGTATTCTACCCAGCAAAGCCATCGCATGTCCTTCATTTTTGCAGCACTTTCTGACTATTATTTCTTGTGTACGTACAGGCGTCGAGGAACCGAAACTCGTCTTGATTATGGGATGTGTTGGATTTGGATTGAATATCATTAGCGTGTTATTCTTACATGGTAAGTGATTTTTGCGCATTGAATCAGGAGACGTTTTGTTGATTTATTATCTCTTTAGATCACGACCACGACCACGGACATGGGCATGGACATGGTAACGGACACGGACACGGACACGACCATAGCCATGAGAATAGTGATAGTGCAGAGAACGGAGCGTCTGTTAGTCTTGTAGATGAAAAGGTACTTATACTACATGCATCCTCCACTTCTGGACACCATTTCAGATTTAGCAACTTACATTTTTTCAGCATGTGCACCACAAACACTACACGAATACCAAAAAGTCTTTGTCAGGCAAGCAACGTGACCTTGCCATGATGGGCGTCCTGATTCATGTACTCGGTGACTGCGCAAACAACATCGGCGTTGTCATCGCAGCTGCGGTGATCTGGTTTGCAAGCTACGGTGAGAGATTCTATGCAGATCCCGCCGTGAGCATGGGAATTGCGATGATGATTTTCATTTCTTCAATTCCACTAAGTATGTATACTTATCCTCCTTCCGTATAGTGAGAGAACTAAGAACTAATTATAGAACAGTCAAACAATCGGGTCTTATTCTGCTTCAAAGTGCCCCACAGGGTGTTGATTACGATGATGTGAAACATGATCTCGAAAGGGTAAGCTCGCCTGACCTAGCTAGGAATCTTCATTGTGGCTTTGACGGGTAGCTGGTACTTGGGCTAACACAATTTTGTTTCCAATTAGATCCCCGGCATCCTCGCAATCCACGAACTTCACATCTGGCGTCTAAACCAGGAAAAGTCGCTCGCATCCGCACACATTGTCCTGGATGGGGAGATGATGACCGATTTCGAGAGCTTGGCGAAAACTATCAGGGAATGTTTCCACGAGTATGGAATACACTCGATTACATTGCAACCTGAGGCATATACACGACAGGAGGAGCCGAGGCCTGTCACAGCCGGACGTTGTACTGGGGCTGATTCCAAGAAGGATGGCGAAGATGGGAAGAGGAGGACGAGTATTGAGAGTGCTTTGAATCGTTGCACATCTGGTTGTGGAAGTTTCTGTGTAGAACTTACATGTTGTCGTTGAGAGCATCCTCGGAGACCAACGTCACCATCTGCGGACGGGCCGGGGGACACAGTCTAGATTCCAGAAACTGGCATTCGATGAATATGTATAAGAGCCCCAGAAATTGGGCCAGGATAAATTTGCCATCACAAAATTAAATTTGCATTCAAGATCTGCTGTTATGAGAATCTTATGACGAATCTATATCAAGGGATCCATCAATGGCCATAGGTTCCCTGTTTCATTCAAGTATGTTGGATCGAGATACATGCCCCAATCAAATGATAGATCCTATAATGTTATTAGCATCGCGACCATCATCTCTGTGGTTTCAAAACTCACAACTAAGTCTAAATCCGGGTCGGAGCTTGCTGTAGGCTTGGAAGAAGCTACACCCGTGCTCTGCTCGACCGACGATGTGCTGGTTTGTGTGTTTTGGGGCTCAGATTGAACTCCAGGAACCTCTTCATTCTAGACAAAAATGATAGTCAGTATATAAGTTGGTAAAAGTAGGATCAAGATTTTAGCTTATATTTACCATGAAAGGATTCCCCGGATACCCAAGCCAATTTTCTTCAGAATGTTGACAGTCTGCCTTGCCTTCGCCCTCGAGTAGTAATTCTTGGCAGCGTCGCGCGGCCCGAGGACAAGCATTTTCCAACGTGAGATTGCTCATAGTGCCACAATTCGCATGAGGTTTGTGTGTTTTAGACAGTAGTTCACTTTGAGCAGAAGTGTAGACCATATTGAGAAGCATGAACGCCTTGCAAGCCTGTTTCTCTGTCCTGACTTTGAACTCGAAATACTTTATTGCACTTTCAACTGTGCGTAGTAGAAGGTCGTGCTTATCATTGCTTGTGTTTGTGTCATGCGCGAGAGGGCCAGGGAGAAGGGGCAGCGCGTTATCTTTCACTTGTAGACGAAGCTCAAAGCAAAGAGTTGCAGCGGCATGAAATATCTCGCTTCTGAACATGCCTCCCCGGAGGCGGAGAATGTGAGGATATACCGGATGTGCGTCGGATTGTTGGGCAAGTGTAAGGGGTGACAGAAGAGATAGACAAGCTTTGACACATATGTCTCGCGAGTATCTGTACATTTCGTTTGGGGTCTCGGCAAGACTGAGAACGAAAGGACGGTGCAGAGCGAGGAGATATCTGTAGACGAGAAAGAGATAAAGAGATTGCTGGAACTTTGCAGGTGAATCATCGCCAGGGCTATGTCTGGCAGCAGCCAGTGGGGTTTGCGAGAGATGGGTTGTGATAATTTGGCTGAGATCCAATATTTCTTGATAATTCGATGATAATCGAATCTGGTTGACAACTTTGACAATTTTGATCCGAGTGCCTAAAGTTTGCGCCAAGAATACCTGGAATGAAGTTCTCGTTAATGAAGAGCTTGGCTTGGAAGCAGGAATCGCCGTCGAGTTAAAAGAAAAATCTTCGTCTTCCAGATTCGACGGCGGAGCACAATCATAGTCATCTTCTGATATTCCTGCTGGAACGCCCGTATCAAGGGCAGCTTGGAGATCCAGCTCAACAATAGTTGCCCAAAGCCGCCGGCGGATTTCGGCATAGAATGGCGACACACTTTTGAAGTTGATAGGGTCCCGGTGAAGTCCTATCATCATAGCCTCTCGTATAAGAGATCCAGCAGCAAGCCAAGCAAGATCACCCTCATAGGCGATAGCTTGTCTTACAATTAGGAGTAGACACATGACCTGAATGAAGTCAAGATCGAGTTTCGCATATGTGGTCACTGTCTTTACCCAGGACCTCACAGCCCGAAACCATTCCTTTGCCGTCTGGTTTGATACCTGGGGGTTATGGGATTGCGTGTCGCTTGTGGTTCCAGCATTGGCAGCGCATGCCATCAAACTAAGTAACTTGGCTGCAAATACATCTCGTGACCAAACATTCAGGGATGCACCGTTTTTTGAGTTCCAGAACTCCTCATACTCCGTTAAAAATTGAGGGACATGAAGGATACGAAATGTGGTTTCAAAGGTTGAAAAGTACAGATTGACAAGCTTGTCGGTCACTTCGCGATCCGGGAGTAGACTTTCAAGACTAGGCGGTTGCAGATTTAACTGGGGTTGTGTTTGGTATGTAGCTTCCAGTCGTCGTTGTGTCGTACGTTTCATGCCCAGATGATCCGACCCAAGTCCAGCGGGTCCTTTCTTTACATGGTGATATTTTTGCAAATGAGCCTTGAGATCAGGAAACTTTGAGATTGTCAGCAGCTTGATCCCCATACATGGAATCGATTAGCTTGCCATATCCATAGTCAATGCCCAATGACTTCGCCCGAAGTACCTGGTCCTCGTTCCAGAGCCATGGAAACAAGATTGAGTCAGTGAATCGACAGTTCCCATTCGACTAGACCCTGTGACCGGAAGATCATGGGTGCATGTCATATTTTTTCCACCATTGTTGTTTGTTGGAAGTACCGGAATGACATTGACTGGGGCCGCCAATGGTGATATAGGGGCGTCTGCATTTCTCTCTGCTGAGGCGGCAACAGGGGAAGTCGCAATTTCAGCTCTGGAAGTGGCAGACTTGCGTGAATAATCGCACCCGTCGGTCACGCTACGACGGGCGCATGGGCCGCAAGGTTCCAGACGGTCGCATTTGATTTTGCGTTGCCGGCATGGAATACAAGAGAGGACTGTTCTGCTCTTGCGTTGATCGGAGTTGTCACGCTGGCGGTTGACGCGCATGAAGCTTTGCTTCGAATTCCGTAGCTCGTGCAGTGCATCTCCCATAATTGACTGCCACGGAGGGTTCTTCTTGTACTAATCGCGAACACTTGAGTCATTTGACTTTCGCGTGGAGTCCGAAGAGTCGAAGATCAAGAAAGATTGCCGTATACCAGCGGCGGGCGCCTTATCGTACTTGATGCCTGAATTTGATATATTTGCCTGATTTATGCCTGATAGACCGAAATGCAACATGGATCACGAATCAATGCATGATACACCATTGGAAACCAGGCCAACGTAAAATAGACAAACTCAAGCCGGCTTAAGACTAGTACGCATTGAAAGTGTTGCATTATTTATCTATGAATGTTAAAGAGCATCTATGTGGAAATTACTGTACAATGTACGCCTTAAATTGCGTATCCATAGACTCATAGTACTAGTACACAATCCGCATGTTATGATCGATCCTGGCCTAATCTGTCAGTTCGAACTTGATTATTTCAAGCATCTCAACAAGAATAACAAAGGTTGAAACTTGAAATTGATTTAGTAATCCGTAAAGCTTTCTGCCGAATTTTCTGTCATATCAAAAGGCCGACAAGGCAGAGCAATTGGCAAGTCAGAAATCAGACTGGGGCGAGGTCAACTGGAGAAGAAAGATCAAGAACGCACGCTATAATAGGAGGGCGCATCTGCATTGAATGTCACACCATGTGACTCTTCAAATGTTCAACATTAGTATTACAACATATGCAAAAAATCAACTCAACATTCCATTTAGCCCTTAACTTACTAATATTCTGTACAGAATGAACATTAAGAGCTGTAGTATGTACCAAAAAAAAAACAAACTAGAAATGCAGGGACCCCCGATACCGCAGCCAAATGCCGATCACCAAAACCCCCACGCCCTTACCTCACCAAAAGCTTCCCCAAATTTCCAATTCAATATGGAGTCTCCATCCGACTTGATCTTCAATGTTTGAGGGGTACGTAGTATACCAACCTCGCAGTACATATGCAATCCAACCAAACCCAGCCCTCCCCGCCCACTCAAACACGCCACCCGGAAGTCAGCACGGACAAAAGTCCCTGGATTTTCACTAATCAACTACAACCACCTATCTGAGCACTATAGATTTCCAAGGTTGTATGTATGCACATTTGAACCTACTGCAATCCATCAGCCAAGCCCCTTGACTCCCAACCCCTCCCGGAACTCCACAAATATCCCCACTGCAACAACACAACCAGTCCAAACCCGTGTCGATCCATTCCGCGATGCAGAAACAGGGACCCGGCACTCGTCATTCCGATAGTACTGCAGAGCAGACGCATGGGAAAACAAACCCCACCTGCACGCCCGGGAATGGGCTAGTCAGCTCCTGTTGATCTCGGAGCGCGTGGGCGTGAGCGCGTTATTTGTGTGCTTGGAAAGTCCCACAGTCCAGAATTAGATGTCCCTCCACTTGGGAGACAGGAAACATTGTCCCTATACATACTGGCAGTACCACCCCATTCCCGTGCGTCCGGATTTTCCCAGGTCCCTGTTCCTCTTTTTCTACTCCGTATCCATTTTCCGCCTTAATTAAACGGTCGGTTCACGTTTGCCATTGGGACCAGTCTTTAATTCTATAGCGAGGAGACTTTGTTTTGTTTCTTCGGAGATATCATCGTCATGCGATTCCTCGCGCCAACGGCCACAGGGGCCCTTACCCTCCTCACAACATTGGCATTGACATCCGCGTCAAGAATCCCGATTCCACAGGTTAAATCAGTATCACAACCGGCTCACGCTCGTGATCACGAGCAAGAATCGTCGCGTCTGTGGGCAACACACTACAATGGCAATGTTTATACCCTATCGCTTTCGGGGTCGAATCTTTCTATCGCCGATACGCAGAAGACTTGCGGGGCGATGCCGAGTTGGTTGACTTTTGACTCGGAGAGTAGGATTCTTTACTGCTCGGATGAGAATGGCACTTCTGATCCCAGCACGCATGGCTCTTTGAGCGCGTATCGCGTGGATGGACCCGGTGGGCAGTTGGCGCAGATTGCCAAGGCGGATACGGTTGGGGGTGGAGTTAATAGTGTTATCTATGAGGCCGGGAAGGGGGAGAAGTATATTGCTATTGCGCATTAGTAAGTTTTGCCAAAGTTCTTGTCCTGTTCCTTCAGCCTCGGTCTGGTTGGTTTCGTTGAAAACTTGCGTTCGTGGGATTGAGCTGTCTGGTTATGATCCGTATCCGTATATGTGCATGCTGGATACAGATACAGATCATAACCAGATCAAACCAACACACCACCATGCATTTCAAGTTCGCAATACAAGAAAGCAAAACTAACGCCCTCATAGCGAAGGCTCCGCAGTCTCAACATTCTCATTGCCCCTGAAGCCCAACTCCGCCGCCAAACAGGTCCTCCCCTTCAAAATGACCCACAAGGGCGCAGTGGCCCAACAAGACTCTCCGCACCCCCACGAAGTCTTCCTAGACCCAACAGGCTCTTTCATAATCTCGCCCGATCTCGGCGCCGACCTAATCCGAATCTTCAGCATTGACGCATCAACCGGCCACCTCGAGACCTGTCCACCCGTCAACGTGACATTTGGCTCCGGGCCACGCCACGGCGTTTTCTGGACAGACGGGTCAAACAAGGACACGGACGTCCAGGCCGGGACCGTCACACACATGCGCCAGATGGCAGCAGTCGGGAAGACAATGATGTACCTGGTCAACGAGATCGGGGGCACGATGATGAGCTACGACGTCTCGTATGCGCGGTCCGGATGCTTGGATTTGGAGAAGACGGAGACACTGGTGCCTTACCCTGGTGGCAAGATGCCGACTGGAGCGACGCCGGCGGAGATCCGCATGATTGGGGAGAAGTTCTATGTTTCTATTCGGACTGATCAGGGTTTCAAGCCGAATGATTCAATTGTTACGCTTGATCGACTGCGAAATGGCACGGTGGTTGTTGAGGGGAAGAGCGATGCATATGGCAAGGTGCCCAGGACTATGGTTATTAACCGCAAGGGTGACTTGGTTGCTATCGGTGATCAGAGTACAGCGACTGTTGCTGTTGTGCGGCGAGATGTGAAGACTGGAGAGTTGGGAGAGAAGGTTGCTGTTTTGCAGGTTGGTGGGCCTGGAAAGGTTGGAGCTGCAGAGGGGTTGAGCAGCGTCATCTGGGAGGATTAGATATTCTCCTCGAAGTTTTGAGGTGTGAGATCGGCATTTAGGTGCCAATCTAAGGTGGTAGTAGACGGGTTTTAGTTTGAAGAATTTTGGACAGAAATGTAAATTTGAGACTTGAGCGAGAGCACTGAGGATATCCATATTCAGACCCAATTTCAGTGAAAGGATTATGGATACCTGCCCATCCCTTTCTATTAATCAACGACTTGATTATTTCGAAATTCATGTTCTTTTTGTTCAGTAAATATCAAATTCTCTCCTTTTACAGTATATACTATAAGCTACTTTGTGAAAAGTACATTTCGTGACGACATAATGTTATAAACCCAACCACACAGAACATCGCGCTTGAAAAACTTGAAGGAACAGCAAGCAAGGCTAGAAGAACGGAATCTTTGCCGTGTTGACATAGTCAATATTCCCCGCATGGCCTTCAATCCGAGGAATAGACGTATTGAACAACCGATCCCAGACCCGGGTCTGTTTACCATAGTTATGGCTATTCTTCCAGCCCTTGCGATGATGAAGATCATGATCCTCAATCACAAGTTCCATATCACACAACTTCAACAACCAGTTCCACGGATTCGCCGCAGTAGCAATCATCCGCAACCCACTATGGCCCAGAACCTCCGTAAACACCACATACTGCTGACAGATCCACCACTCATAGAACCCCATTGGAAATCCCATCAGCTTCAGGGTGCCGTAGGTGATAAGAGGCGTGCCAACGATATCCACAAACTCCTGCACCTCGTCCGCATACGCGGTCAACAGCGGATTCGGGTGCTTGGTCAGATGGTGGGTGCGGTGGAATTTCCACAGGTGCTCGATCTCGTGCGCGGAGCGGTGGAAGGTGTAGTACCAGAAGTCGAGGACGAGCGGGTACATGCCCGTTTCGAAGATGAGCCATCCCCATTTTATGGAGAGGGGGCCTTCGTCTGCGCGATAGGTGAGGAAGCTTAGGATCATGGGCCGGACGGCAATGACGCATAGGAGGGATTGAGCGGTCTTGCCGACGCCCACGTCTGGGACGCCGTCACGGGGGTGTTTGTCTCCGTCGAAGAATCCGATTGTGTGGCCCATGCGGCGGAGGACGTGGGTCTCGTGCACGGCAATGAATTCCAGGGCTAGGCTGTAGAAAACGAAGACTAGCCATACTGATGGGTAGCCAATGTAGTAGACGTAGGCTTGGTGGATGATGAGTGGGATGAAAGTGTGGATGAGGACCCAGCGGTGGAATTGGAATTCTTTTGCGTAGGGTACTTTGTCTGTCTTTTGGAAGACTGGGACTTCTTGGTCCAGTTCGACGTGGTGCACGTTTAGGACTTCTAGAAGCCAGTGGCCGAATGTCCACTTGGAACGATCCCAGGAGCGCCAGGTGGACGTCATGTTGTCCTTTGGATTACGCGTGGCGGCGGCCATTTTGGCGTAGCAATCTTGGAACGCAATTATTTGGAGATTATATTCAGCTAAAGGAAGAGTTCAGCACGGAGACCAGTGGTCTCTCTTATATTTAACTCGAACAACTTGGGGCAACACATGGGAAGGTGGGTCATCTAGGCAACAAAAGAGACTTGAGGAACCGAGGCGCACGCCGATCTTTTCTTTATCACTATAACCTAGAGGGCTGAGCTGAATCATCGATTTTCGTCATGGTGGGATGTTAGTGTTGAGGCAGAATTTGCCGGTAAAGTGGCTCTGGGGCGCTATCTTTATACCTATTTTAGGCTAGCGGCGGAGTTTAGTTGACGAATAGTAGGAATTGGTGGGCAGCCATCATCCATATGAAAGCTGACCGATGTGCTGTCAGAGCCTCCCAACAAGTCAAAATACCCGAATGGACTCTCTAAATTCATTTCACGTGGAAAGAGAAGCCTCAAAAACAGGTGTGAAGTTGATTTTTTTTTTCTTTAACATTAAAGAATTAAAGAACATCTGATACCGAGGTGATGTGGATTACGTGATCTGGTTTTTGGACCACTCGGAATGTTATTACCCAATTGAGCATAGTCAAGATGCAATATTTGATCGAAGATCCGGAGTAGATATAAAGCAGTTACATAGAAAAACACTAAACTCTTTAAATGTTAAGGGGTTTAACTTCACTGACGTTATCATGAGAGAAATTAGTATAATAGATCATCATATCAAGCCCCCTCAAAGTACATTTTTCGGCTATCCAGCACTTGGTTGTCACAATCCATGTATCACTTATAATTGGAGAACTACAGTAGATCGGTGCCAAATGTTCTATGACGAACGTGGCGAGAACAGCTTATTTCAACGCCATGCCGGTTCTTCTCATACATACTGAAAATCACGTACACACATGCGAGCGAATAGGTAGAATCATGGCAGACCGCTGGATGTAAGCCTTAAGCACGTGTTATTTATTACGAGATATGTTCCAATACTCGGCGCACTTGCAGTATCATTCGGAACATTTGAATGCTCATTGAATTGTCAATCTTTGATTTATTTTACAGCAACTGGGCAGTGTTCATAGTAAATTTGAAGCAAGAGCGCGCGGGCTGACTATCCTATTCTCACATGTGCATGGAAACAGAATAATGATGATCAAGAGCCTTCACTTCCTCCTTGATCTTTTTGAGCTCCTCCTTCTTGATCTCTTCATTCTTGAGTTCCTCCTTCTTGAGTTCCTCCTTCTTGAGTTCCTCCTTCTTGAGTTCCTCCTTCTTGAGTTCCTCCTTGATCTCTTTGAACTGCTCCTTCTTGATCTCTTCCTTCTTGAGTTCCTCCTTGATCTCCTCCTTCTTGATATCCTCCTCCCCCTTGACTTCTTCCTTAACTTCCTCCTTCTTGAGTTCCTCCTCCTTGATCTCTTTGAACTCTTCTTTGATTTCCTCCATCTTGATATCCTCCTCCTCCTCCTTAACTTCCTCCTGCTTGATATCCTCCTCCTTGTGGGTAGCGACCAGGTCCGCGTACCACTTCAATATAGATTCTTTTGCAGCCGGGGCCCAAGATCCCCTGGGGGAGGGTTCAGAAATAACTCCATGAGTGCATAGGTGATAACGTAAATTTGTTCTATTGGAAAAGGGTATCTATAAACGATTAACAATCGGTTGGGCATTCAAATGTTTGAATGTTCGAATAATGCTTACGGTCCGGCGCCAACAGGGCTGGAAACGACAAAACATTTCCCCAGTTATGACAATTAAGTGGCCTTGGTCGTTCTATAATTTATTTACATTAGCTAATAATCGACTTCCAGTTTGGATTGGGTCTGGTTTTGCGCAAGGTGACTTACCCTTTCGAAGGGCGGGAGGACAAGGTCTCCTAACTTCGCGCGCCTCACGTACTCCTTGTAATCATCACAATTCTCCAACCATTTTGGCCCCCGGCAAACCATCGTGAAGCTGTTTGTGAGGATGGGAGAGTGAGTGCTTGTCAAGTATTTAGCGTGAGCGCTTTTGTAAACTTTTAAGAAATGTGATGGAGATGGAAGAAGGAAGAAGGAAGAAGGAAACATGAAGTGGAGAGGGAAGAGGGAAGATGGAAGAGTGAGCATTGGGGAGACTTATATACTAAGTACAGTCAACAGTCAAGGCAGAGCAAACATTTGAAAGTAAAACCTTAGAAGGAAATGGCCGATACTATCTATCACAACATCAATGATGGAAGGGGCAATTACTAGCCTTAAGTATCGAATCCTAACTTCAGACTGCCCGTCAGTCTACGGATTTTATATAGTGCTTCATTTGTTCTAGATTCTGGGTATCTGGCCGAATTCCTTCTAGAGCTAGGAGACGAAGACACTTCCATAGCCCGACGCAGTCGAGTCCCCGAGGAAGTAGTTTTCGCAGAGTCGATGCCACGATAGTATAGGATGGAGATATAACGCTTCAAGAAACGGTCTATAACCAATAACGTACAGTCAAAGCCTTTGCTGTCAGGTGGTAGAGTCATGGAATCCATCGTGATGTGCATCTATGTATAGGCGAGGGTAATCTGGGAGGGGATTTAGGGACCCCGGTGTCTTGTTCCTCTACATCTTGTCTTAAAGCTGCAAGCGAAAGGGGGGCTTGAGAGAGACTCATAAACTGACAGACAATTATGAGGAGATGGAGATCCGAAATGACCGGAGGGTGTTAGGAGAAGGTAGCCTTTTCTCATGCTCTGGGACGTTGAAATCTGTGGAGATGTGGCTCGCTTGGGCTTTAGGTGTTGCAGTCTCATTCTCCATAAGTAAGAGTTGTTATTAACATCGAGAAGGCAGTGACGCGCAGTTTGCTGCTTTTGAGCGCACAAGGTACACATGTGGATATTATCAAGGCTCTGGGCCGGCGGTGGCCTATTCGGTAGTGTCCACCAGACTTGTTATTCCGAGCCAGGCAATCTCCGAGTCCATGTCGACTTTTATCGTATTTTGAAACTAAGGTGTACTTGGAAGATTTAGCAGTATGAAAAACTACGAGGAAGCTGGAAAGAAAAATCTTGTCATCACACATCGTGTTGATTTTGTCCATTTTTGAGACGCTCAGAAACCACAGCACAGCACACCCGAGCAAACGGGGCACAGTACAGACCTAAATGGTAGGACTTGAAAGAAATAGTGGTCAAGATGATTATACAGGCCCGTCCATCACACCAGAGATTCCCCGGCCAATATTAGACCCACATGTATTTCCAGAACCATCTCACAAATCCTTGATATTCCAAATCGTCTCACCCCTAAACCGTTGCCACACGACTAGCTCTGTTGATCACAGAAACTAATCTACTGCTCGGTCTGGAAGTAGTTGAGGAGGACGGAGCGCTCCTGGGACTCCTCACCCCAATCCTTGACAACGACGCAAGAGCAGTTGACGACCTTGCGGGCGTTACCCTCACGGTCAAGGGTGCCTGTAAACAAAATCCGTTAGTGGGAGTTCGTTTTTTTTTCTTGGCCAGAAGAGAGATTTCATCATCTCAGCCGGTGGGGAGGGGGACAAAAAAGGGTAACATACAGAGACCGACCCACTCGCCGAGCATCTTTCCATCGGGAACCTTGATCAGGGGGATCTTGTGCTCAGAGCAGAGAGCGACAACGAGCTTCTTGTAAGCCTCCTCCTCGCAACCCTCGTTGAGGACACACATGTGAGCCTCACGGCGGTCGAGAGCCTTGGCGGCCTCACGGAGACCACGGGCAAGACCATCGTGGATGAGGGAAATGCGGAGGACACCCTTCAGGGCATCGAGGACGGACATCTGGCCGGAGCCAGCGTCAGCGGAAACCTCGACCTCATCGGCGGCGACGGGGGGGTTGGACTGGGTCTCTTCTCCGTCCGACTGTGGGTTGAATGTTAGCGATGAGTCGCGCACAATATGGAATTGGCAGTGGCAGGGATTGAGCAATGTGCATGGCGGTACTTCTTGAGAATCGACGACAAAAATTTTGTTGCTCGACGGCGGGGTTTGGGAGTCGTCGACGGTGAAGCTCGTTCATTCTCAATGGCGTACACATGCACATTGTTCAAGTTCCCAAACACCATGGACAGGGCCAATTTGGTGTCAGACGTACCATTTTGATTGCTACTGTAGTTGTTGGGTAGCGGGTATGTTCTGAATGTCGGAAGATCCTCAAAGAGGTATTTTGTGTTGTGGAGATTGGTTGGTTAGAGCACGGGGAATTTTTGGATTCAAATTTGATTTTCGCTGTGTGTGCCCTACGCTTATGTCATGCCCCGCACTCGGAAGTCACACGTATTGCCACCGCCTACCGAATTCAATACTATCATGTGATTTTTTTATAATGCCTTAGGTCTAAGGTCTCAATGCAACTTTACAATTGGATATTGGAAGCAAGTTTGTTTCAAGCTAGTTTGGCCATTCAGGGTCAAAACTATACCGAGCTAAAAATCAGAATTCGTTACATGAACGCAAAAGGTATCATAATCGTACAATCAGAATCCGACCTGTACACCCCGCTGGAATTCTGCGGATCGCGCCATAACCTAGATAGCGAAGACGCTGCAAACAAGGACTAGAAAAGGCTAGAAAATACTAAAAATATGTACCGGCCCGTGGGTAGTCGTGGCCGTTGAGAATTCCGGTGCCATTTGTTTCAGGAAAGGCTGCCGTGGTGTGACCGTTGAGTTGTGAAGCACTAGACGCAGCTGAGGGCTCTGGGTCGATGTGCATTGTCAGGAAGTCGTCGAGTCGGAGTCCGTGAAGATGAGGGATGTGGGGAACAAGATCCATGAAATCAGAAAGCTGGTTGATGTTAGCGACGATGTTATGTAGCTGAAATAATAGGATGAGAATCTTACCCTGATCCAGAACACATGCTCCATGGCGAAATACTTGGGCTCTGTCTCCGAGTCTAACCGCATGATTTCTCCAAACGATGCATCGCGGTACTTGGGGTCATCAGTGTGAACCAAGTGTCGACGAGTGCATCGCCAAAGATTGTTACGCTGGGTTGGAGTGGCCTTGCGTTTTTCCCAGCTAGCATATTGCGACAATTGAAGGTCGTTGGTAGCCAGCAGAGGCGCAACCAGGTAGTTCGGAATCCATCGTTCGTCCGCCACATCTGCAGAACAAGTGGGCTCAAGCTGCCGGGTGAAGACGGTAACCAGAGGGGTAAACTTCTGAAGCCACTCGCGGTTTTTGCTGTAGCGGTCATTGTCTCCAACCAGATTCGCAGAGATACGAAGACGACCGGGAAGAGCGTCGCGGCGTCGTTGTTCCTGCATCTCCTGGTCACGGCGCATCTTCATAATACGAGCTCGCTCCTGTTCAATACGCTTCAGTCGTTCATCCTCGGCTTGTTTGGCTCGGCGTTGTTCGGCTTCCTTTAGCTTGCGCTCCTCCTCCTCAGCCTTCTCGCGCGCAGCTTGCGCAGCTTTGGCAGCACGCTCTGCTTCTTCCTTGGCAAGCCGTTCTCGCTCAGCTTCTGCCGCAAGACGGTTTTCTTCCGCGATGCGCTCTTCCTCAGCGGCCTTTTTGGCTTCGATCTGTCGCCTTTTTACTGCCTCAAGTTCAATCCGCTTCTTCTCTGCGGAGATATCCACCACGGGTTTTTCGGGGGGTTCAGATGGCTCTGTTTTGATGTCATCATTCTTCTGAGTGGTGTCATCTTTGGCAGGTTTCTGAGGGACAGGTTCTGGCTTCTTGGACTCGACAGACTTGCGCACGGGGGCGTCCACGTTTCCAGCATCCTCTTGAGGTCGACGACTTTTTGGTTTCTCGGCGTCGCCTGAATCTTCGGGCTTGCGATGGTGGCCGTTGGGAACATTTGATGACTTGTCGTCAGCTAGGACACGTCGTTTCTTCTGCTTCCGGGACTCGGGTGAAAGTCTGTCACTGTCTCCGCCTCGTGAGCGAGATCGTTCAGGGGACGCTTCGGTTCGAATGCGCTTAAGGGAGGCGTTGGTATCGGGTGGGGCATCATTGCGCGACTTGGGAGCTTCTTCGCGACCAGAAAGAGAATCAGACGAAAAGAGGCTGGGACGGCGATCGCGTTCTTGAGGGCGTCGGCCGGCAATTAGTCGGCGTTTGCGGATCTCATCTGGGCGAATCGCACCACTGGACTCGCTATCTCTGCGCGCTGGGGCTACAGTTTTTGATTTCGCGGAGTCGGGGTGGATTGAGTCAGGGTCGGAGCTGGCAAGGGCCTTCTCATTCGCATCACGATTTAGCTTCGCGCGAGCGCTGATTAGTCCAGTCCGTTCCTTTTCACGTCGCTTCTCCTTGATCTCCTTGATCTCTTTCAGCGAATCCATTTCCTTGGGAGGGCGAGTTTTCTGGGTGGGGCTATCGTTGGGTTTCTTTGGGCGAGCCACAGGGGAGGATGAGTCTCTTCTAGCGGATCGCTTCTCGTCCTTCTCCTTGCGCGACTGCCGAGGTGATGATACAGCTTTGCGACCTTTGCCTCCTGGGTATTTTTCATAGGCCGCTTTGAGGATTTCGTATTCGTCTTCCCAATTTTCGCCTTGGCGGGATCGAGAAAGTTCGAAGTAGGTTCGGTCTTCATATAAGCGACGGGTGGGGTTAAAACCTGGTTGACTAAGAATAAGGTTGATGACGCCAGTGTTGCCCCTTCCTATCGCAGCTAGCATCGGCGTATTGAAGCCCGGCTTGAGACCAGCACCACGTAGAGGATTTGGATCAGCGTCCGCATTTCCCATGGCATACATCAGTGATAGCACATCGTGGTGACCTCCCTTTGCGGCGGCGATTAAGGAGGCATTGTCTGCTTTCTGTAGAACATTCAAAATGCTCACAACACCCATCTCATCGCCCTTGGCAGCAAAATTCATGAGATTTTCCGGAGTGGGTTGTGTCCATAATAGGTCATTTCTCGTCGCTTCGCTTCGGCCAGTCTTGCGGCGACCGGCGGCCGCACTGCCTACCGGTGGGGGACTCCGAGATTGACTAGCGGCAGATGCTCGTCGAGACGAGGGGGCCTTGCTATCTGACCCAACTCGCTCTTCCGATCGCCGGCCCGGTCGTGTACTGGCCTTGGCATCCGCAAGCGCCTTCTTGATCTCCTCATATTCATCATCATTCAAATCGGTGGACACTAGCTCGTATGGTTCGTCTCCAGAGGCGTTGACGGTGCGAGGGTTTGCGCCTGCTTCAAGCAACACTTTGACCACATCCACATGACCATTTTCCACTGCGTCAATCAAAGGCGTATCTTTGTCGATATTTTTGGTATTAATATCGCAGCCCGAATCCAACAGGAATTTAACAATCGACGCTTCTCCATTCAGGGACGCAATCTGCAAAGGCGTGTTTCCTGCATTATCTGGGACATTCAAATCTTCCGGACGTTCGCCAAAGCGCAAGACCACTTGATCATGTTTGCGATCCGCGCATGCTCTGGCAAGCGGTGTTCGGCCACTCTTGTCACGCAGCTTCTTCGGCCCCATTTGCTTTGCAGGGGACGCAGAGGCGCCTACCCCAGAACCCAGCCGGCGCAAATGAGCACTTGGTAACGGAGAACCGCTGGCGGATGATGACGTGGACTGCCGGTCTTCTGACGTCTGTCGTTGGAAACCAGTAAGAAGGGGAGTAGGGGCCTTTTTCTTGGAGTGGATTTGGGAACCCGACGCGGAACGTTGATGCGACGGGCGGGACGGTGAGAGGGAGCGGGTATTAGGGGGGTGAGGAAGGTGCAAATGGTTGCCATGTTTAAGATCGGCATGCGAGCCACGGCGGCGCTCTCCCTTTTCGTCCACAGTGTCGCTGAAACTCCTCTTGCGGTAGATTCGCGGCTTGTCGGTGTGATTGAGACAGGCTTCATCCAACACATTTCGTGGTACGGATAGGGGATCCTCGAACTTCTCGATCTTGACGACCGACGGGGGCGATCGAGCACGCTCCGAGGGACTGGGTGACCGAGAGGCCGAATGCCTACGTTCGCCATTCATACGCGGTTTCTTTCGCCTCATCCCATCGATCCCGTCGACGGCCTGGCGTAGGGGATCATGTCGTATATGTTTGCGTTTCTTTTCTGGCGACAGCGACTCTCGACCGGACTGAATAATAGTTTCCGCCTCTGAATCCGCCTTGGGACTAAGAGGTCCCTGTTCATCATCCTCTAATAACCCCAGATCTGATCCCAGGCTCGCGCGTCGTGAAGGGGAAGTCGGCTTTCCAGGGGATCCCGGGGCGTCCGCCCTCACGGGCGCGAGCGTGTTGGCACCAACATCCAGGGCAGTGGGTAGTGAGACAGCCTCGACATCACTCATAGCGATAGCACTCGATGTGTGAGAATTCCGCTCGTCATTTTGGGAGGTACGCGACCGGGTCCCGTCGGGGGTTGGCAACGCCAGCCAAAGCAGACGCTGTGGGTGAGACGTGGACAGACTAGGTTGCCCGGTGATTTCCTCGAATTTCGCAATTAGGGGGGTGTGGGCGTTGATTGAGATGGGGAGTGGCGGTAGTATATATTATTAAGTTTTTTTTTTTATAACTATACCAGGAAAGGAGCAAGAAAGGAGGGAAGGGAAAGATTGGAGGATTTGGGAATATTGGGGGGAAAGAGAAGAGAAGAAGGGAAAACGGAAAGGAAAAGAATGGGGAGGGGGGAAGTTGTTAGGGGACTTGGCCACATCTGTGGAGTTTGGCTTCTTTTCCTTTTCTATCACACCACCTTCGTTTCTTAACAAGTCTCCAAATTCTTCTGTTTTAATCTTTCAATTAAACTTCGTATTCATTTTACTCCCATTTGCTATTCCAATCCTACTGTACTAACAGAACAAAAAAAATTCCCCCAAAGTTCCCTTCAAGACCGTCTGCGGGCACGGCACGGACCCTCAGCATTCCGGACGCAGCCAAAGCAATTGAACTCCACTATAGGTGGCGATCGCCTCGATGCGACCATTCAGCTTTCGCCTCTTATCGAAGATCCAAATGAGCACATGGGAAAGCAGGCAAGATTTCATGATTTAACTGGACATTCGTCATAAGCACTTCAAACACAATAGCCATTCATGATGGATTCTATGGATCTAATCATTTCTTTTACTTTCATCAAAGAAAAAGCTTCTAAGCATAAACAAAGCGGGATCTACGCCTTGAGATGTTTCTTCTCCACCTTTTCAGCTGAGGTATACTCGGCTATAGCTTGTCACAGCTACCCAGCTCATTTTCCATCATAGATACATGTATAATAGCCGCCTAACTTCAGCTATGGACCCGTCGAGGCCCCTCCCTTGCCGCAAATTCAAGCTCTCTAGCTCTTGATGATCCTTCCACCATGAAGCCCAATAGAAAGCTTGGAAATCCCCAACTCTGCCTAACTTCTCTCTCTGGCCACTCACTGACTTCTTGTGTATTTATGGTTATTCTATCCCGATTGGATTTCCAAGTACCCAAGTATAGATAGTGGTACATAAGCAATAAACCCTTCAATGTGACGAAGATCACATTGATTGCACGTGCCCAGGTAATATTGGAGACAAGCATTGCCTCGTACATACTTTAGATGTGCATTTATATATCAATGAGTCCACATATGTCAACTGGTGCAAACTTAGAAGAATCCGGTGCAATATTGATTTCCAGCAAACATTGTTTGAAGAGATTCTCATGATTTCTCAAATACCTAAATCCTGTTCTAAAATCCGTCTGCTTCAAAGGTGTGAATCTAGTCCAACATCCATGCCATACATATGTACTAGGTACCTCTGCAAGGCAGACAAAATGCCCCCCACGTCACAAAATATGCCTCAGGCCACCTGCCCCACCTCATCAGCATTCAAACCCTCCAATTGCAAAAGACAATTCAACATCCCCAAACACTCACCATGGCGCCTAAAAACAACGCCAAAGGCGGCGACAAAGCCAAAGCTGCAAAGGGCAAGGGCAAGGATGCCGGTAACGATGCCGATAAAGGAAAAATGAAGGCCGCGACGGCCATCAACACGCGACACATTCTGGTATGGCTTCTCTGTAGATATCCGAACCATCCAACCTAATTCCTTATTTACTCTCATTTAGTGCGAAAAGCACGCCAAGAAGGAAGAGGCGTTGGAGAAGTTGCGCAACGGAGTCAAGTTTGATGAGGTTGCGCGCGAATTTTCGGAGGATAAGGCGAGACAAGGTACGTTTTATTAGGGAGTTTTCTCTTCGTCTCTTTTTTTGCTGGTTTGGTGGGCATGATCTGATGTTTCTCTAGGTGGCTCGCTGGGTTGGAAGGTTCGGGGCAGTCTGGATGCTGCTTTTGAGAAGGCCGCATATGATCTGGAGCCTAGTACCACTGGAAATCCCAAGTATGTGGAGGTGAAGTCGGGCCATGGGTATCACATTATTATGGTGGAGGGCCGGAGATAAATTATGTATTGATTATGACCTCAAGTGCTTCCAAAGAGATACCACAGATTCAGTGTTGACAACTACAATGCTACCATACATATGCATACGTTCAGAAACTTCAATGTTCGTTTGTATCGGTTCAATCGGATTCCTTGGTTTCTTCGTATCTTTATTGATCGACTGGATATATTGAATCTTTCCCACCGAACTCCATGGTTCTTTCTTAGCTTGAATAAGAACCGCACGCCATACATAATGAAACAAAATTAACATTTTCTCTACTGCGCCTTCTTGGCAGCTTCGATCTTCGCCTGTTCCTTGGCCTTCTTCTCCTGTCTTTGCACCACAGCCTCGGCTCCAATACCGCCGAATACCAAGGAAATTCCAAGCCACTGTCCAGCGGATAGAGAGTGGCCAAACCAGAACACGCTCAGAAGCATAGTAAGCATCTTGCGGGTGACCGTTACGGTAACCAGAAGCAAAGATGAAAAGTGCGACAGGGTATAGAAGATGAATAATTGACCAACAGCGCCACAGGCAGCAAAGCCAAGAACATTCTTCAGGGCCTCCGGGTGACGCTGCAGGAATGAAATCGCAGACCACAATTCCGTCTCAGTAGACGGGGGAATCGGGATCGGGAGCAGGTTATGCAGAATACCGCTTTGGGACAGTTGTGGCATGATCAGGAGATACGCGGCGGTGAGGACGGTCGACAACACATTCTGTGCGACCATCATCTGGGGCCCGGTGAAGCGGGTGTACAATTTCGGAGATGTAAACACATGGTCTTGAGTTGTGTTGGTCAAGCCATCAAGAAGGAGGTTGATAGACAACAAGAAAATACCCCACCCTGATGATCCTGGAGCTCCCTGATCTGCAGCTGCAGCCACCTTCTTGCTTGTGCCAGGATGGTGCAGAGTGAAGGTAGCCACACCCAAAGTGACCATGAGAACAACTCCATATTTATACAACGGGTACTTCTTGCGGAAAATTGTCAAGTGAAGGAGCATGACGGGGAGAAGCTTGCAAGATTTGGCAAGGATGAAGGTCAGGTAGTCGATGTGCGCAAGACTGGCATACCCGAAGGGCGAGGCGAGCGAGGAGGAGATGCTGACCAGGAGAAGGGGAAAGAGGATCCGGCGCGTGGGAAAAATCGAGGGGATCTTCTGACCCTTTGGCGTGGAGAGGAAGAGGTATAGGAAGCCGGTAATGGCGGCGAATGACGACTGGATGGTGTTCAAAACCAGTGAGTAGGTAAATCGTTCGGGTGCAGGTGATGGATCGGCGACTGTCGCGAGGACAGAGTAGCTGGTTGTAGTGATTGCCTCTTGTAAAACACCCCATGAAAGGCTTTCTCAATGTTAGTTCTGAACGTACATAGTGTATCAAATCATCAGGCCTTCGCAAGGAACGTACAATGCTGCATATATACCGAGGACGCAAATGAGCAGTTGCATGAGACCCGGGGTCTCGGCGACGGTCTCGGCGACATTTTCCACTGCTGCCACTGCGACCTTTACAGGCGCACTCTCTTGCACAGTCGAGGAGATGTCTGCGCTTCCATTTGTCTGCTTCTCTCGAGCTTCAACCTCATTGCGCATCGACTGCGACGGGGTGCGCTGAAGCGGTGTTGTTTGCTTTTGCCGGCCCATTGCAGCGTATGCGGGTTTGTAGGACTCGAAGGAAATATAAGACAAAACGAGGAGGTTGAGGGAAATAAGTTCGGACTTGAGTGTACTTATCAAGACTGTTGAAAAGTTCTTATCCCTTATGTCTTGAGGTGGAGTATGAAGAAAAAAAAGATGATGCCATGTGTTCTTACTAGTTCACGCGCATCTTATCGGCAATCAGTGATCGCCAGGGGGCCCCACTCAAGCCCTGTAATTTAACGCGAAGGAGTGGGATTGAAGAACGAAGTATACGAAGAACTGAAATCCAGTCTTTAATCTATCCATCTCGAATTTTGGATAAGACTAGTTAGAGAAATCAAAACAACAGAACAACCATGTCTATGTCCAAACCTTGCCCATACATTAAACTCCCCATTGAGAAAAGCGGTAAACAACGCGATCGTGTCAGGTAGGCGGTGAAGAGAGCTTCTCCGTTTCTGCCCAACTTTCTTTTTTGACGAGGGGAATCGAAGCTTGCAATTTGCGACTCAAAGAATCCAGATCAAAAGCACCCGGATTTTCAGCTCTCAATATAATTGCCCAATATGACATCAAGTCAGCCAGAATTCTCCCCTCTAGAGCCATCGGCCCTCACAAAACTCATTGCCTCTGCCTCCGCATCGGAAAACCCTCTCTCCCGCAACCACCATCCAAGTCCTGCACAACCTCCAACATCAACATCTATGGACATCTCTCCAAATTCACGACTTTAACGCCCCAAGCACTACTACAGACCCGGCTCTTGCGTCCTCAAATGAAAATACCAACGCCCCGACTTTGATCTCAGGTATTCCCCCGCACCGGGTCTACACCCACCCTGATGAGCAGCTCTACATGCTTGGAAAGGGCATTCAGGAGGACGACCTCCGACCGGAACGGCTTTTTGTTATCCCAACTGCACAGGGCCAGTCATGGAGTCTGCGGCGTATGGCATCTGCATTTGATGCCATGGCAGGGGTTCGGATTGTTGATGATGGAGAAGAGCGACAAGCGCCGGAAGTGAATGCTGAAAAGCAGCAGGCGCTGGATGAATATTACGAGAAAAGAGAGGAGGCTGTGGCTACGAAGGAGTGGGGTTCTCAGCGCTTGTTAATATCGATGGTGGATAAGGGTATGGGTGGAGAGGGGACGGTGGTCTACTATGTTGTGCAGGATGGCGAGGTGAAGCCTCGACAGAACTAAATAAATATAATATACTATATCGATTCCCACTTGACGGCTCTAGACCATTGTCGCAATAAATGGGACGTTTTTAATAGTTAATAGGTTAAAAAGAGGCTAGTTCTTATTTATATATTCCACTAGACAGCTTAATAAAATTAAGCTTATGGTCCTCAAGCATCCGGCAAAGCTCCTTGGTATCTTCACATGTGCAGGCTAGAAACCCTTCTCCTGAAATTCAATGTTCGTCTGGACATCTGGACGCTATTGATCTTGATACCCACAATAAAACCAGGGCGCACCCTTTTGGGAATTTCGTCCCTAACCTCTACGATCAACCTCATCCTGTTCTCCAGGCTACCTCCGTGTGCACCGATCAGTTCTGAGGTTAATAGTGGGCGACAAGAACTGGCTAAGTACTAGGTACAATGACGCTAGTACGATAAACGACTAGTATGATTTAGTATCTAAGTAGACCCTTTTCTAAACTTTACTCATCTAAAGAAGGTCATGAAGATTCTTTTATTAATATAAAATAATATAATATAATAATATAATTTAATAATTATTAGTTACAAATGTTTTGAGGATTCTACCTCCTAAATTTGGGCCTGGCCTCGATGCACAGGCAAAGTATCATCTCCATATTGCTGGAGTTCAATGCCAGAGGCTCGGAAAGCCCGGGTACTCCAAGTGCTTGGCGAATCCAGCTCGCCATCTACCTTACTCATCCGGATTTCTAGAGCTCTCACCCTCTTTACGAGGGCTTTCTCCTTGCGATTTTTCCTGAGTTTGTACAAGTATCCGAGGAGCACGCACAGGTGCACCACGGCCCCCAAACTAGTTGTGACAAGGGCAATAATTGTGACCCATTTCTGAAGGTCATCCTCTGTACAATTTTGATAATTAGTATCTGCTTACATCTGACTGAAGAAACTCAGGGGAACCCGGGTGCTTACCTTCGCAAACAGGACACTGGGGGCATGGCAAGCATGCCGAACAGGAATTGTTTCAAACCCGGTTCGACTGGGGTATGCATTGCTTGACTAGATAGATTATATATTGGTTAGTTATCTAACTGGAAGTTTTTATAGAACTGAGATTGCTGAAGAAATAGAATGCCCAGAAAACATAGAGTGCTGTAGAACCAGCAAGATTGGCCAGAGAATGCGGTATTTTTCAATCATATATCTCATCATGACTCAGTGAGCATCAAAATGAGCCTCCAAGTAACATCCAGGCGGGCATCCAAGTGAGATCCAGGTGAGTCTCCAAGTAACATGCAGGTGAGTGTTCAGATGAGCATCCAGGCATCCAGGTGATGATCCGGGGAAGTGTCTGACACGGCATCCGGTCGGCTTACCACGTCCGTGTAAGGGTTTCTATCTATGAACAGAATAAAGAAAACAAAGACTTACCTGGGGGCCGGGAGCCACGGCGCCGAAGAAGAAGGCCATTTTGTGAGGGGCGGGGGGTTTGATTGTGGGGTTGGTGAGAGAGTTGTTAAGGGAAGATTCAAATTCGGCGGCGAAGAAAGATATTGTGGGATGCGGGTTTGGTTTGATTATAGTGGGTTGAGGTGGGTGAGAGAGTTGCTAAGAAAGGCATTTTGAGAGGGAGGGGGGTGTTTTGATTGTGGTGGCCCTGTGGGTTGAGGTGGGTGAGAGAGTTGCTAAGGGAAGATTCAAATTCGGCAACAACTTACTACTACTACTACTACTACTACTACTACTACTACTACTACTACTACTACTACTACTACGACGACGACGACGACGACGATGACGACTGACTACCAAAATACACGTGCTCCTTCCTTTTAGAGGAGTAACAATAAACTTGAATCACGTAATCTTTCCACAAGCACGATCCATCAGTCTCTCCTTCATAGTAACCACCTCATCAACATGGCTCAACCACGAAGAACAAACCTACCTTGTATCTTTAGGATCATTAGTCTCTTCAACGCCAAAAGGACGGTGTGGATTTATGAGAACTTCCAAGTTCTTCAGGTTGCTGCTAAATGTAACTATCGTATACCTATTTGTTAGCCAAATCAAAAAAACCTGAAACGCTTTCTAATGTTTGTACCAGGATAGGTAGTAGATATAGATAGTACATAAAACTAGGGTTCGTATTATTTTACCACGATGAGCCAAATAAGGTTATAGTATACAAGTAAAGAGCACAACGTATACGCATGGCGCACAGTTCATAGTTTACTACGTGCTTAATACTTGGAATAGGCATAGACTCAGTACTTAAGATACTATGTACCTACTCAGTACCTGAGGTAAGTATTGTACTCACCACTACTTAGTGCCTACTTTCATCTCCTACTTTCCAACTACGAAGTTCCAACTGGGGAAACCGACGGAAAAAATCACAGGCACCCATGTTCATCCATACTAGTAGCTAGTAAGCATAGGAAATTCATGAATTAAGTGAGCGATCGAAATTTGCGCATATTGCGCAAACTTGAATGCACGCAAATCACTTTTGAGTCACGCAGCGCCCTGATCTTACAAGTTGCAACTACTAATGCCAACTGGGGATATGATTTATCCTTGATAATTTTAGGAGTTTAGTTTAAACCCCTTGTAAGGATTAATCAACCGCTAATACAGCTTCTTGATTTAACTGCACCGGTAATGATTTATTCCACATGCAGGAACCGTATGTGATTTGATCCGGACCAAGTAGTCCTTGTTGTGGATGGCATGGTTAACCCTCAAAGACTTTGATATCGCCTGCGAGAACTGCTGCAAGTTTAAAGATATCTTTAGACTGGGAAGAATGATGAAGAGATGGAATTGTTCCGGATTTTATGGCCTTTTTAAGAGTCTGATATCTGGAGGCTGAGATTTTAGCGGACCGTGAAGGTTGAGGTATCTGCGTAAAAAGTCTTCAGATGATAGAAATCATTACTGTACACAGAATTCCAAAAAAGAAAAAAATTTGAAAAATTTATTAGATTCTTTTAAATGAAAAAAAAATAATGAAACTGAGAAATGAATGGGAGCAAAAAGAAGAGCGACCGTGGTTCGACGGTTGAGATATCTTGCATTCAGCTTTGCAATCTCACGCGTTACCACTGTGCCACCACTGCTAGAGATGGAAATCGGCTCAAACATTGAACTAATGTTATATGTCGTAAAGAAATTATCCATAAAATATTTTAGTTAACCAGAGACGGACATGCTATTTCAGAGCAAACCTTGTTGCTTCTATCTTCCTTCCAAAAATCATTCTATATACTTCGGCGTCTACAAGGTATACAAGTGGCTCTATCTTTAGGCCAAATCCATTCATTCCCTTTTTTTCCAATTAAATAACGCCTACTTTTTGGGCACGGCTCATTCGACTGGTTGGTATGTATCGGCGATTTTTATTTTGTCCACTGGTTAGAGCGTTATTTGCTCACGAATTATCTGCTAGAAGCGAAAGGCTGGCATCACATATACACGCCAGAATTATACAGGGCACATATACATCATGAGCTACCGGGTATAGAGTTTGCAGGGGGGGATAAAAGAAAGAAACTCAAGAAAGAAAAAAAAAGCAACCGTATCTGAACAACATACAACATCCATCAAGACATGTCCAGACCGCAATCTCAGAGAAGCAAGTTTTCGTTCTTTTTAACTTGTTCTTGCTCCTGTCGACAGCTGGTGCAGTACCTCTCGTACCATTGCTTCACACTGTCGGTGTTTTCGGCGAATATGCGTTGGGCTTGCGCATCTGTCTCGCCCTCGTCACTCCCCCCGCGAAGGAGAATCTCGACCTGGCGACAACGTCGAAGTTCCTCTCCAAGCCATCGCTCCCATTCAGTCTGAATGACTTCCTTCTCGATGCTGTTTACTACACGCAGGCCCACCAAGAGATTGTGTCGATAGGCTCCAAGCCGTTCGCGAGTCTGCTGGAATCGCTTTGTCGCGCTCTTGGCAACTGCGTCTCGAGGCCCCGAGGTGCTGAGGGATAGAGGAAGCTCCGCATGTCGAAGTGTATTCTCATGGAATGCCCCAAAGCAATTGCTTGCATTCCCAGTATGAGCCCACATTGTTGAATTTCCGACCGCCTCATCGATGTCTCGGATGTAGATGGCTTTGCTCATGACCATATCAGGCTGCACTCCAAGCTTGGCCATGTAATTTCTTGCATGTCGCTCATGCCACCAATCCCAAGTATCTCGGGAAGAATAGAAACCATTCATCAGCGCGCTAGTGATCAACAGAACCAAAATGATTTTGTGTGCACTGACGGTCTTCCATGACCAGCGAACGGCATCGATAGACCACATCATAAACAGTGATATGGCACTTTCCATGAAAGACAATGTTGTCTCAGTGATAAGTTGAGGCAAGGTACGCTGAACTCGTGGTTTTCGTGGCTCTACTTTCAAATCGGCTCCAACGCCGTTGAAATGAGATACGTTGGTTTGACGTCCAACATGGCCAAAAATAGTAATGGCCTTCTTGGTGCGGCTATGTGCGCCCAGGCGTCGGACTTGATCGCTCACCAGATCGATCAAATCCAAAGCATCCTCTTCAAGGTCGTTACCTGCCCTCTTGTCGATCATGTCTGAATATCAATTGTTAGCAGCGGAAATAGTGTTAATAGGCGGGAATAAAGCTTACTTCTTAGACCATAGGGGGATTTAATCCACTCTACCTTGGTATAAATTGCGAGTTTGCTTTTAGACTTGGCAGCAAATGTGATGACAACTTTGCTGACTAGCCGGAAGTTTCGTCGGAAAGGAAGATGCCATGGAGTGCGCTTATCTGTAATCACATAGCACAAATGATCATTGAGCACATCAATGATTTGGTAATCGGAAATAGTATTATCGTGGATGTTTCCTGTATAAAACATATTGGTTAGCCGAGATTTCAATAGACACCAAAAAGGCGGAAGATCTTACCAAAAATGTCTGTCGTCGCAATCTTGTATGTAAAGTCTCTTCTGAGATGTCGTGATTCGTTGCTCGTCCAGGGGCCTTGCTTGATGTCTGCAGGATATGTTAGTATGGAAGTTTGATGAACGGGTTTTGTCTCATCCTGGCTTACCTCGTGCCTGTCTCTCGTGAAGTAAAAGCTGCCATACGGCACTCTTGTCTCCAAAGAGAATATGGAAAAGGGCTTTGGGGCTGACATCAAGTGTCTTTTCGATCGTCAGGGAAATATCTCCTTGGGGGACATATTCCACTGGCTGGGTGGGGAGTCTGAATTTTGGAATATCACGCCCACGTCCGTTCAAACCTCTGTCTAGGTCGAGATCCTTGTCGATGTAAATGGGAACACGGAAATCATTACCCATGGATGCGAGATTGCGTTCCTGTTTAGCATCAGATTCGATTTCCTCCCAGCTATCTGCGCTCGAAGTTCTCTTTGAAGTTCCACTGTCCATCTTAATAAGCTCTTTCAAGAGTTCTTCCAGGCTGAGTTGCTCCACCGCAATAGATGCTTGAATCAAAAAGTTCAAGCGCTTCTGAAGAAGTCTCAGCGGCTCGAGGAAGGTCTTAACTGCGATCCTGCCGGGCGTGTCGCTTCCAAGAGGGGGAATGGTATGAAGGAAAAGGAAATCGCAATCTCTTCCAGTAGCAGCTGTGACTTCTTTGATGCTTTCCAGCCCGACGCTTGTGGTCAACACAAGTCCGAAGTGATGGCTGTAGAAATAGACGTTCCTTGTTGTAACGTAAGCTCTTCCAGGGAATTCTTGCTGCTCATTTGGACTCCAGGTGGCCCTGAAAACCAGGACTAGAGCTTCCTCTTTTTTGACATCAGGGAAAAGCAACCGGAATTGAGCATCTTGAATCCTGAGCTGTTGTGGGTACACCGCAGGGTACTGGCTTTGGACATGTTGCTTGACTGCACTCTGTGCGGCTTGTTGAATCTTGGTAGCAGCTTCTCCATCAAGACTGACGGTCTGTCTGTGGCGGGGACCAGACGGCGTATCTTGTGGCAATGTGGGGAGATCTGTTTGTGCGGCAATTGTTCGGGTTGTGGAGGAATCGCTCGCCGGAGACGAAGGTCTATCGTGATTTCCATTGGCCTGTCGAGGCTGTTCCCGCTCAAGCTTGTTGATGAAACCCCAATGAGAACTTCCCCAGAGGTTTGCCATCATACCGCTGGGCATACCACCCGTATTATCCAGACGTCCTAGACCAATACCTCTTTCACTGCTCACAACCACTGCAGCCTTGCTCATACTTGTTGGAGCAGGTGGATTCACGAGAGTGGGAGGGGCAAGGCTTGCCCCGGGCTCCTCTAGAGTGCTCATACTGCGGCCTCTCGCCTCGTTCCCGTCTTTTGAATTGACAAAATTGGCACCATTGTAGGGCAGAATGTTGTGACTGGCCGAGATAAGACTAGCAATACCACCCGCTGGGCCTGGAATCGAGGGTGATGCTGGTGGTCCAATGTTCGCTTTGCGATGAAGGTCCAATTTCTGGATGATGTGTGCTCTCGTGGAGCCTTCGGCATCATGGCCCGTGAGTCGCCGACCACCCACCTCAGTACTGGCCCTGAACGCAATCCCATCTCGGTCTGGAACTGGCAGAGTCGCACTGCGATCTGTAGAACTTTGTTCGTCATTAGGATGCGGTGTTAGAGAATCACTAGAATCCGCAGTAAACTCGGGGGCAGGAGGCTGTGAGATCGCAAATGCAGGATCTTGTATGGTCATCTTTCCAGATACGGACAGGTCAGTGCTGCTTGGATTGTCAAGGGCTTTTTGCTTAGCAGCCTCAAAAGCGCCAATCCAATCCATTAGCTCCTTTTGGGTTTCAGCTTGCAAGATGATGCTGCTATTCTTAGTCTTCACTTGGAAGCAGAAACGTCGCTCTTCCTGGAAAGCAGGACGAACACTGCAAAGTAGCACGCCGATACGTTCACTTTCTTCGACGCCGCCAGTACGGGCACCCTGGACTAGACACCCAAAGATACCGTGTTTCAAAAAGGCCCAGCGCCTCACCCAAACCGTGCGGGCGGGTTTGCCAGAGAGGGTCCGCAGGCCAAGCCAGCCCTGTTTCTCTGGCCTAGCTTCCTTGCTCATGTTAAGAGTTGAGAGGGGACGAGAGCCAAGGTAAGGCACAGTGGAAATGGCATAATCCTCCAGCTCCCGGGAAGGCCGGGCAACAAGTTCCGCGGCTTCTTCAATCTGCTTTCTTGTGGAGAGAAGCTCCCGTTTGGAGGATCTATCGCTTCCTTCCATCTCGTGGATCCACCCTTTGATACGGTCCATCTCATGCGCCCACTTGGAAAAGGTTGCGGCATTGTTATTGTGGAATCCCCGCATCTCTCGCCATTGATCAAAAGAGATTCGAACAAGAAGGCGATCTAGGGCATTTCGAATTGAGGGACCCTGGACAGAGAAGTCCATGGAGGCCTTCAGATACGCCTTGCGAGCCTCGTGAAGCTGAAACGCTTCTTCCCTCAGTGTAGATGTATCCTTTGACTTCGACTGGGAGGCGTACCGCGCGTGTACATAGTCGAATTGTTTTTGTGCGTGTTCAAATGTGCGGCGAATGTCCTATGCAGATGCCATAATTAGCTGCTGTTAGATTGATGTCCAAGCGAACCTTCAGGGGAATCAGTGGGGGTACATACCTTGAATTGTCGTAGATCTTCCTGCATGAAGACTCGGATCGGCTCGGCGATCATTGACTCCATTTTCTTGATCGTGGCCACCAAGCCATGCCACAGATCTTTCGAACTCTCCCCATTCCTCCTCATCGCCAGTAATGCGTAGTCATGGTCCACGATAGCCTCGGAGACAACCAGGGGGTGAGTGGAGTAGGACAGGAAGCCACTGACGACACTTTCAAGAGTCAGCAGCTCCGAGGAAAGTTTGGTTGCAGCTCTCGCATATCCGTCTAGCCATTTCTCGATAAAGTCGATCTGGTCGCAGAAGTGGAGGGTGGTAGCGCGGAAGGTCGGAGAGTCGAGAGCGGCTTCTTTCAGGCCAACGGGACTGCAATATTCAAGACCTATTAGCATTGGCAGTTCCATGAGGTTCAGGGGCTTGTCCAGAACTGACACCACGCTTACAAGCTTCCCAGCCTGGGGTAACGGGGTGTGCGATTGAGTCGACATCTAGTGCATGCCTCCAACCATACACTTGACCCGAGGGAAATAAATCACGGAGGAGAATAAATGATGAAACTAGTACTCTCTTCACAGTGGAATCAAGCCTAGAAAACAAGAAGATGCTGAGAAGCCTGGTGGGAGCTATCCACGTGCAGGTCAGCGGATTTGAAGCCTCACAATAGGATGATCTAATTGGCTACGTCAGTCGCCGAAAGCTGGAGAATGTTTATTTGTGCCTCATTATTCAGGTGCTTATAAGGCCCCCACTCAGGCGGATCACTCAGGGCGGTGTACGATTTTTTTTTCTGCCTATCGACTCTGCCGCGAAACAGAAAAGAGAAGAGACTATTCTACGACGAGAACCCTTCACTTTACCAAAATGGAGCCCCCTTCAAAGAAAATGCGGAAGCTCATGGACGATGACAGCTCTGACTCTGGTGATGATGCTGGTGGTGTTCCCATCAGCAAGTCACCAGAAGCCGGCTTCAAGATCAACGAAGATTACGCCAAACGTTTCGAGTACAATAAGAAGCGGGAGGAGGTTGCAAAGCGTATGTTCAAACCGAAAAATGAAATTGATTGTGAGGGTCTTGACTAACATGCGCCTCTATTCCAGTGGAATCCAAATACGGCAAGGCTACCAATCTAAGCAAGCGCGGCTACGACATGGGGGAGGAGGAGGACGAGTCATCCACCGACGAAGATGAGGATGATATCGGAGAGCTCGCAACAGTGGCGCTTGACGCCGAAATCATGGATACTCTTAACGCTATCCGAAACAAAGACCCCCGCGTTTACGACAACAACGTCACATTTTACTCAAAGTTCGACGAAGATGAGGCCAACGCAGCCCCCAAGGAGAAGAAAGAAAAGCCCATGACATTGCACGATTATCATCGCAAGAACCTGTTGAGCGGGGCTCCCACTGGAGAAGAAGATGTCCCCTTGACTTTCGCACAGGAACAAGCTGAGTTGAAGAATGCACTTGTCAAGGAGCTGCATGCTTCGGATGATGACATGGAGGATGCGGATGATTTCCTGGTCCGCAAGTCTGCTCCGGCGCCTGTTGAGAAGAAGGAGATCAAGCTGGATATTGAGGGTGCGGACAAGGACCCAGAAACATTCCTCTCCAACTTCCTCTCCGCTCGCGCATGGGTTCCTGAAGGTGAAGGTCGAGAACTCCACCCCTTCGATTCCGACGACGATGATGATGTCGAGCGGGCCGATGTCATGGAGGAGGCGTACAACTTCCGTTTCGAGGATCCCAACAAGCTTAACGAGGCGCTTGTAACCCACGCTCGTGATGCGACCAACAAACAATCCGCCCGAAGGGAAGACAAGAGCTCTCGCAAGAAGATTAGGGAGGCTGAGCGCCAGCGCAAGGAAGAAGAAATTAAGCAGCGCGAGACTGATAAGAATCGCTTGCGCAAGCTCAAAACCGAAGAATTGCAGACAAAGATCCAGCAAATCAAAGAAGTGGCTGGGTTCAGAGCATCAGAACTTACTGATGATGACTGGGTTCGCTTCCTCGACGGTGCCTGGGACGACAAGGAGTGGGAGAAAGAGATGGAGCAGCGATTCGGTACAGACTACTATGCTGAGGGTGGTGCTTCCGATGACAAGAAGCATCCCAAGAAGCCTGAGTGGGACGATGATATCGATATCACTGATCTGATTCCGGACTACAAGGATGACGACGAAGCTCAACCCACATTGGAGGATGATGAGGATGAGGAAGAGGGCGAAGATGAGGCTCCTGCCTCCAAGAAGAGCAAAACCCAGGATAAGCGGGATCAGAAGCGGGAAGCCCGCAAGGAACGCCTGCGCATCACCGAGGCCGTTGACCGCAATTTGGACCTGGACATCACCCTGCTTCCTGGAGCGACCAAGAAGAATGCGACCAAGTTCCGTTACCGTGAGACTTCTCCCCAGAGCTTTGGCTTAACATCGCGGGATATTCTCATGGCCGACGACACTCAGCTCAACCAGTTTGCTGGTCTGAAGAAGCTTGCCTCCTTCCGTGATGAAGAGAAGAAGGCCAAGGATCAGAGAAAGCTGGGTAAGAAAGCACGTCTCCGCCAGTGGCGAAAGGATACTTTCGGAGATGAAAATGGCCCTGCGTTTGATCTTGGCTCAAAGGTCCCGGAGACTGTCAATGAAGAGGCAGGTGATGATATGAAGGTTGATATCCGTGAGGGTGATGGACGCAAAAAGCGTAAGCGGTCCAAGAAGAACTAAGCAGAGCGCAGCCTTCCAAAAAGCATTTTATTGTCCATAGCTATTTTCTACACGAACGGGGTATGGAGTTTTGACTTGATAGTGTACAATGTTAGATTTCAAGGTTCCTTGTCTACAATTTCTCTGCCAGTATATAATATTCATATGTGCAATGTTCTAAATCCACTAGTAACCCATAGATCAATGGATCTGTGCACAAGTGTGTTCTTCAATGTTTGATATATAAAGCCTGAAGGATGGGCATCATTTGAATTTTCCAATATTCAAAAGGGTTGTATGTATTAAATGCTGTGTGCTACCTAGTAGGTAAACATTCCAATATTGATGCTCAAATGCCCAGGTGGGTTTTACAGTGCTCGAGTGCTTGTATTGATGTACTAATAGGCGTACGCAGAGTGCCTTCTATGCTAGTAGTTTGATGGATCAATCATTGATTTATGCAGACTTTCGCTCTCCAAGTCCAAAAAAAGCAAACCGTCTCGCGACCAGGGGTAACACTAACCTAACAATGGCCATCCATTTTTAGACCCCTTTAATTCCGATGGTCAAGTTATTTATTACTCAGTCCTGTTTTCGCTCTTTTTTTTTCACTTTAATTATTTTTTCTCAAGTCATCTTTAAGAGTAAAAGCCAAGCTCCAGGGCCGAGGGAAATAAATAATGCCATGCAGCTAGGGAGCTACGATATGTGATATGCACATCAAAAGCTATGCACATGTATCGAGTACGGAACACATAGATAGCATTATCCGTAGTTCCCGGATCCCAGCAGGCAAGTGGATCCGGCTGTAATTTTGGCGCAGTACCTGGCCTTGTCTGGGTACATCGCACATGCGGCTCACCTCCACCTTAAACTTTGTACCAGGTACATAAAAATAGCAGCGAAAAAAATGGCTCATATGGAAGAAATTTTTGTTTGTGTATCCAGGGGTTTATATCTGATTGTAGGGGGTTTTCAATGAAAAAATTTTCAACAGTCTTTATATGCATCAATTGATAGAGCTCTCGATTTTAGGTTTCTGTACTCACGTTAAATCTGATGTGTACTGTTTTATTCAATTTTAGATAACATCTGGACCTCTCAGACTTCCATGATACATATGGATGTATATCGCATGTACCCGATCGAGTTTACTACACACTTCCCGCAGATGGATTCTCTTTCATTCAACCTTAAAAGTATTCCCGAGGTCAAGTATTATTATCCAAGGGGCTCTAGAACTAATCATCAGTGGTGGATTCCTAATTTCCCCAGGACCAGAGAATTGGTTCGGGGTATAAAATTCTACAAGGGTGGCAAGTGAGGTCGGGTCGCCTCCATCGGATACTCGGGGCAGGGAAAAAAGGAGTGTTGCCCCGGTTGTGAGTGGACCAGCGGATGGGGAAAGATACGCTCGTACCCAGACATGACGGTCCACCGGGCGCTTGGACTCTCGCCGTTGCTCGGGCTACGTGCTTGGAGGGTATCGATGAGCAAGAATATCAGCCTTGATAGAATCATGTAAATTGAGGACAAAGATGCGAGAAAGGAATGAACAGGAGGTTATTGAAGGCCGCTCTCTGGCACTTGTAATTTTGTTTTTTTCACTCTTTCACTCATGTTGATTTATTTCAAAGTGATCTATACAATCCTCTAACCAAGACCTGTTCAATGCAGAGATTTTTTTTTTCAGGCCGATCGGGAGATATCGGCAAGGTGGCCGGCCCATACAGGGAATTACCGTAATAAAATCCTGATTGGGTGTTAGTGTGCTGCGTGTCGCTTCTGCCCGTGTACGGCAGTATTTTTCTCCCTTCCGCCCCCTTCTCTCTTCTCTTCTTTTTCTTCCCTTCCATCCCCGATTCTTTCTTACTTCTTCATCTCCTCTCTTTTTTTCGTTGTAGCATCTATCTTTTTGCACAACCTTCACAATGGCCAAGGGTGACGTTAACCAGGGCGATAAGTCCGTCTTCGGCATGCCCGTAAGTTCTTTCCCATTCATTCCTTGCTGTCGATGAGCTAGCATGGTCTCGCTGCACGCGTCTCGAGAATCGATATCTTGGATATTTTCATCCGGGATTCAATTCAAAGGTAGCAGTGCAGTGAGCAAGCAACGAGCTCATCGTAGCCAATGCAATATTCATCATGAATCAGAGGCTAATAGAAATTTCTTCTAGGGATTCGTTGTCGACTTCTTGAGTATGTGTTCACATTTCCATTTTTCAACATCGGGTTGAGAAATGTTTCTACATCGACTATATTCCAAATAATTGATACTAACTGGTTACACAGTGGGTGGTGTTTCCGCTGCTGTCTCCAAGACCGCCGCTGCCCCCATTGAGCGTGTCAAGCTCCTCATCCAGAACCAGGTTGGTCACATCCCTTCCATCAGCAATTCATCCGTCGATATGGGTCGACGATAAGAACGAAATCACCTTCAAATCTCAAGTGTCATGGCAATTTTCCCACAGGTGACATCCCAGGGAACACTTGTTTTCGACACCTGAGGCAAGAAGAAAATTTTTTCCGTTCTACCGTGATCCAAAATGATGTGTCTTATTCGATCCATGGTTAATCTTTTATTCTCCCTATAGGATGAGATGCTTAAGCAGGGTCGTCTTGACCGCAAGTACAACGGCATTGGTGACTGCTTCAAGCGCACCATTGCCCAGGAGGGTACCGCCTCCCTGTGGCGCGGTAACAACGCCAACGTCATCCGTTACTTCCCCACCCAGGCTCTTAACTTTGCCTTCCGTGACACCTACAAGTCCATGTTCGCCTACAAGAAGGACCGTGATGGATACGCCAAGTGGATGGCTGGTAACCTTGCCTCCGGTGGTGCTGCCGGTGCCACTTCCCTCCTGTTCGTCTACTCCTTGGACTACGCCCGTACCCGTCTGGCCAACGACGCCAAGTCCGCCAGTGGCGGTGAGCGCCAGTTCAACGGATTGGTTGATGTCTACAAGAAGACCCTCGCCACCGACGGTATTGCCGGTCTCTACCGTGGTTTCGGTCCCTCCGTTCTCGGAATTGTTGTCTACCGTGGTCTGTACTTCGGCATGTACGACTCCATCAAGCCCGTTCTCCTGGTCGGTCCTCTTGAGGGCTCTTTCATCGCTTCCTTCTTGCTCGGCTGGACTGTCACCACTGGTGCTGGTGTTGCTTCTTACCCTCTGGACACTGTCCGTCGTCGCATGATGATGACCTCCGGTGAGGCCGTTAAGTACTCCTCCTCCATGGATGCTGCCCGCCAGATCATCGCCAAGGAGGGTGTCAAGTCTCTCTTCAAGGGTGCTGGTGCCAACATCCTGCGTGGTGTTGCCGGTGCCGGTGTCCTGTCCATCTACGACCAGGCCCAGCTCCTCCTCTTCGGAAAGTCCTTCAAATAAGTGACTCGCCCTCAAAAGCAGTTGTCTTAATCACCTTGTAGTTATACTGGAGTCGGGGATGTCTTCCCTGCCCCCAGAATATCCACTGGGCGCGGGAAGCAGAGGTTGTGGTGACGGCAAAAGATAGATGCGTCAAGAAATGGGTTCGGGGGATCTTGAGCATAGAAATGGTGTGATTCTTCCTTTATGGACCCGATGTACTTTACTGCCTGCAAGCTCTTTTTCTTTTTCTTTCAAAATCTGTATTTTTTCAACGTATCTGGCTCTTTGTAAAACTCTTCCATCTTCTCTCGTAGACCTCAACTGCTACATGAGGGACCTCGCCCCCTCGGTCCTCCACAATGGCAATCGCATGAATATTCCTTCGTTTCTTGGATTCCTTTGATGAGTTTTCACCGTCCCTGAGCTGATGTTTTTCGCAATTCGCTAATGTTGTGATGAACTCCCCCTTTGGCACTTGCGATCCGTGGACATCCCCCTGGGTTAACCTACTCCATGCACACAGCCAAAGATCATCATTCTCGAACCTGATCTTGCTGGACTTCAATACTGCGTACATACAGAAATCATCTCCCAAGGCTCTGAACCACTGTTTTGGAAAAGGTTCTTCCTGAACTCCACCACGAGTCCACCCCATACGCGCCCCACAGTGGAAAAGGCGCATGACGTCTCGGTCGGCAGCTGTAGCTTTCTTTAAGCTCCCCTTCACCTCCTTCCTCTAACATCCTCACCTCAATCTACAAATCAACATACCTACTATTTTCCAAAATGTCCGATTCATCAGCTATCCCAACCTACACGTCCGCGCCTCTGAATCCAAACAAAAAAGACCAAGAAACCACAGCCGCAAACCCTCAACCCGAACCCGCCACCGCAATCGAGTCCTCCATCACCACAGCTCCCCAACCACAAACCACCTCAGCAACAGCAACCGCACCCTCCAACCCCCCAACATACGCAACAGCCTCAAATCCTCCCCCACCCCAGCCCGCCGCCGCACCAACCCTCCCAACTCCAACAGCAGCTCCTCACCAAAACCCCCAACTAGGCACTACCATCGCCCCAACACCAACAACCACTCTCCCCTCCACAACCTCGCAATCACCCCCAGCCCCACAACCAGGCGCCGTGCCCACTGCCCCAGGTGCAGGAACATGGCCAGGAGCAGGACCCACACCGTCTGCTCCCTCGCCCGTCCCACCACCCCCCAAAGCAGGCGAGGCCATCCCGCCATCCCTGCACTCTGCGCCCGCACCCACGGGCACCGGTGCCGCGCAGGCCCAAACCCCCTTCACGCAATCATACTCCTACCAGCGGCATCCGTCGGGCTCGCACAATGCTATTCCCAACGCGACTACGGCCTCGTACGCGGACGTGTACCAGAGCTCGTCTGATGGGGGCGCGTCGCGGTCTCAGGGCTTGCCTACGCACTACGGTGGCGGGGGCGGGGGCGGAGCGGATAATATATTCCCTGAAGATGACGAGCCTGGGTTTATGAATGTGGCGAAGGGGTGGATGCAGAGTGCCGGTGAGAAGTTGGCGGAGGTGGAGAAGGAGGTTTGGAAGCGGATTAATGATGCCCATGAGAAATGAGGTCGGGTTGGTTATACATTTCTGTTTTGTCCGTGGCTACGAGGGCCTTTTGTGAAGTTCTTAAATGCTTTGGGGACGGCTTTAGGGTTAATGGGGATTGGTTTTCTTACGGGCGTTTTCGAGACGCACTCGGTCAGTCTGGATTGGGGGTGGGATTTCGATATGGCGATATGGATACATGAGGCTGTTAAGTCGGGTTTCATTATGTACTAAGTACTGGCGTGAAGATATTTTTTATGCTTTATTTGGGTTGATATCTTAAATTGATTCAAATTCTCTCAAACCATCACCTCACAGTGCTTCCGAAGTTGGCATGGCATATTCCATATTGAGGCCATGTTTGGCTATAGTGAGCCGCGCGTCGAACACCACGAACACCACACGCTTGTCCTGGGGCTTTAGTAGCGCCTAACGCTTCTTTGCCTTGTTCGTCCCCATCTTGGGACTTCTGTTTCTGGGTATCATTTGGTTTCGTAGCGGGACCATGTGTTGAGAACTTTGCGACTACCTTCGCCGTATGTGGTCCCCAGATTTGTGCTGTTTCTGTAGGGCTCGGCGACCCGTGCATCGTATTTTCCGGGGCAGAGGTTCCTGAGTACCGAGCGTTAGCTGGGTAACTGGTGCAAGATTCGACGGACATGCTGTAGGCAGGTATCCCGGTGCGGTGCAAAGGGGAGCGATAATGCCAGCTGAGACTGATCCCGAGAGGAAGTTCATTGTGCTTGATAGTGCTTGATAGTGGTAGTAAGTAAGCCAGCATTGAGTTGACTTCCAAGGTTAGCAGGGATAGTTGGTACATAAATATCGACCCATTCCCACCTAATGTATGATCTGTTACGCCCAGGGATTCCATACCTGTTAGTCAAGACAGAGGGAATGAACTGGGATAAGAAGATAGGCAGAGGGCACTGCTGTTGGCATCAGCAGAGAGGGAAGGGAAACTAAGAAAGGTAGGGCAATAGGACAGGAAATATAGAGGAACTCTGAAGTATAAGGAGAATAAGATCATGATATTACCTAGTAGGATTACTGGTAGGTCGTTGAGTGAAAGAGCTTTCAAGATCTTACGTATTTTCAATTCCCTCTTATTCCGGGCGAATAGGTATTCGGTTGTTTGTAACGACTTGGCTCATGTTGATGAGAGACCATAGTCTCATTTGATTTCTATCAATATCTGTAGAGCCCACTATGTTATGGCGTGGGCTCATACACCATGACAAAGTCAGGTGCTATGTACTCGCTGGTTGATTTTCCTAACAAGGACCCATATTCCACCATCCACATCCCAAATCCAAATCCTATTCATCATCCACCATATCCCAAACCCAGCCCCAAGAACCTGAGTGTACCCATAAAAGACAAACCGGAATAAACCCCGGCACCAAAAAAAAAAAAACCGCTCTCAGTGAAATCAGTAAAGATGACTGAGAGCACAACCACAAGTCAGGAGCCAAAAAAACCAGAAACCAAGAGAAGTGCGAAGTGCCAGTAACAAATCAGCCAAGACGACCAACGCGACACACTCTCATGATTCTGGTAGGAAGTATTCGACAACCTGAATGCAATCGACATGGAGCCTGGGAATACCCAAACAAAGACAAAGGCGGAAACGAAATTGAGAAAGTTCAGTATTAAGAAAAAGTAAATAAGAAGAAAAAAGCGAGTTCCTCGGGTGAAAAGGTTGAAGCCCGGGACTCGATGCGAGAAAGGAAAAGGGAGATAAAAGAGAAGAGGAGAAGAATAAACGCCCACAAAGTTGTAATGCACCAAGAAAGCAATAAGCCCAGAGGGAACAAACGGGGGGTATTCGGTGCAGTTCAGGGAACTGGTGTTTGCGTGGGCATAACCATCTGGTTGCAACAACAAAAGATAACGCCTTGATCCAAAAAAAAAAAAAAAAAATAGGAAATAGTCAAGAGAAAAAAATAAACTCCAACGCCAGATGGTATCCAACCACCAACGTCATGTTGCAAGCGTTCCAATGTGGAAGCCTCATTTTCCTGATGAATCGTAATAGAAGCCAAAGTGGTCCGGACCAGCCTTGATGACCTCATGATGAAGGTAAAGCATGAAGAAAGAAAAAACGAAAGTGGGGGAAAACAGAAACGCCGACCGATGATGAGTGTAGGTGTAGAGCTTTACATAGAGCCCAAACGGAGAAGCGCCTCTACCGCAGCGCGTTCCTGGTGATCAAAGGTGTGGGGGGTGGACTTCGCCATAGTGGATGGAGTGGGTCCGTTGGCGTGACCAAAAAGCCCAGGAAGAGGTTTCGCCCTCGCCGCAACATTCATGTTACGAACAAACCCCCCACCACCAGTCATCGACTGAGCACGCAATGCATCCGCACCAATCTGCGCCCAGTCCTCTTCATCAGTAACATCGCCCTCATTCCACTCGACCTCCTGCAACTCATCCGGCGCCTCAGAAGACGAGCAGTACTCGCGCTCATCGCCATCCAGCGACATCTTATCCGCCTCGTGCTCCAGCATATCAAGATCCTCATAACGACCCCTGGCCCCGTACTCCTCGTCCGCAAACGACGCATACGAAAACGCAATCGAATCATTCCGGCCCGCGCTAGCGTACTGATCCCGAATCTCGCTATCCCGCCGACTGTTCCAGCCGCCCTCGATCTGCAGTCCGCGCTGCTGGAAGGATTCGGCCACGCTGGACGGAGGCGATGCGGCGTTGAAGGAACGGTCGCGCACGGGGTCCCCGCGTCGACGCGCATCCCAGCGGCCCCAGCCGATCTTCTCGAACACGACGTCGCCGTTCACGCTGGCTGCTTCCCCGTTTCCGCGGCCCTCTAAGGCGGCGACGACGAGACGGCGCGCTTTGGCGGGTGGGATGCCAGAGAAGCCGGGCACTGAGGTCGTCAGGTAGCCCATTACATGGCGGATGGCGAGGGGCCCCTGCTGCAGCAGGATGTCGGGCAGATGGTATTTGGCCAGCATGAGCGGGGTGATGTCACCGACGCTATCGATGTCGTGGGAGGGTGTTGGGCGGTCTTGGAAGTTTGCGTGCTCGACGGCATCCTCCAGGTCAATGTCAGAGTCCAGCTGGGGGACGGTGGAGAGTGGGGAGCCTGGAGAGAGGGTCGGGCGGTGTTTGAATGCTTGCGGGCGGAGAGTGGGGGAGATGGAGTTGGGTGGCGTTGGGAGCATGGTTGGTTGGCCGGGGCGTGACTGAGACTTGCCCGTCAAGCCAGCACGGGGCTGAGGGATATCAACAGAAGCGGTCTTGCCAGCAAGAGCCATGGCGATGCTGGAGTTGGACTGGAAAGCCATGATAGATGTGGGATGAAGAGGATTGTTGTCTTCTGAAGGAGAATGAGAGCGCGTGCGCAAGGACATATACTATGTATGAGTCAGATTTGGGGTCTGTTCCATACAATGCGACAAAGAGGCGCGCCGTGGAATGACAGGTTTAGTGGCGACAGGGGTTCTTTTTCCAGAAGCGTCTTGCCGCCAAACGAGAACAAAGAAGCAGATGGGGGGATTTTTCCAACTCACACTCTCAAAGGAAAACAAAGAGTTGTCACGGTGGTTACGCACTAACACACGCAGGTACGCGAAAAGGTGCACGTAGCGTAAAGTTAGGGATGCGACACGGCAAGGGGGATTTTCGCGACAAAGGGAGAGATAGATCACCACTGATCAATCTACTTATTTTCGAACAAACTTGAAGTTGGGGGGGTAATGAAAAAGAAGAAGAAGTAAATGAAGTAAATGATTTGTGCGACGTTTTGACTTGTTTCTGAGTCAATATCGTGCCCCTCTTACACCTTGGAAAGGGAAAGTATGGGACTCCGCAGGTGCTGTCCAGGCGCAGCGCGTGGGCGGACTGATTGGCGCCTCGTGGATCTACTTTACGCCCCGGGTGGTTCCGGATTTCTTTCTTATACTTCCAAACTATACAACTTGTACGCATTTATTGGTTTGGAAAATGTCATCTTGACATATGGTATTTGACAGTTGTATCTCTTTCATCATTCCAAGTCCTCTTTACAAAACAAATCCCTGATCAGCTCAGGGATCCCTCTTTCCCACCACTCCTGGGCCTCATCTGATAAACTGGGTTTTGGACTAAAAAAGAAGGAACAGGGGGGTCCAAGAGTCCAAGAGTCCGAGATCGCTTGACCCCTCAGCTTATCACAGCCACTTAGAACTAGTGAACTTGCCTGTAACCCCGTGAAAGTGTTACCCGCAAGCAGTAAAAATCACTTTGCAGAGTTCTGTGGTTGGGAAAGTCTTTTTTTTCCCTCTTTTTTTCCTGCTTTCACTGATAAGCCTCCCTCCTGGCACGTGGTGCTCCCAGGAGATACCAACCGTTGACTTGATCTTCATGTAACTCGGGACCTTCAGCTAACTTTTCAATTCAACCCTAACCAATGCCCACATTTCCATTTCTCTTGACGAAACCAGCTAAGAACCCCCGCCAACTTCCTACCCCATCACTCCACTTGGAACATGGGTCTTACCTAGTCCATTACTCTAGGATCCTCCTATCTTCTGACGTCATGCGGGTACCGAATACTTGACGAGAGGGTACACAGTGACCCCGTGCCCTAAGTTGTAGGGTATCAAAGCCCGACAAAGAAGGCAACATTTCTACTTGCCCCTACGCCCCTACGCAAAAATAGAAAAAGGTAGAAAACTAAAACAAAAAAAATAATTTAAGAAAATCAAAAAGAGCAAAACTGAAAAGTACCCCCGACGCGTGTTCCTCATAATGCGCCCGTAGCGCTGCCAATAGGAATTCTAGTCATGCGCATCTGGTGGCGGGGGATTTTTTTTTTGCTCAGTGCCTGGTGCATTTAACTTTGTCTGGATCAGCTGTGCTGTTATGCTGCATTTTCCGGTACTTTCTGCCTTGTGTTTGTGAGTATTTCCTCTGTGGTATGTTGGCTCGGTTAACCGAAATAGTCCGAGGGAATGCCGGCTTACTCTTTGTAGGGTCGTACACACACAGTGTGTACTTGATTTTCAACTTCAACTTCCAAGATTCTATATCTATTTTTAGTGGCCTACTTTTTTCAATTATACAGTCCTGCATGACAAAGGCCATGGTCTTTCCAGAATGACGCATTTCCCTTTTGGAGGATTGTTTTAGTCCTTAGATTCCCGTGTTCCAAGGTGGGGGTAGCCGTGGGGTTCGGACAATAATCAAATCGAGGGGTATACAGTGTATACTTCGGCTTCTAGTCCGAGGTATGATTCTGATGAGTGATTTATAGTCTCCAGGGTATCGCCTTTCCCGAGTTTCGCCAGCATATCCCCGATCCACAATGCTTGGAAATTGTTGGGAATAATTGACATTGGTCATGTTGTGATTCGTATACACGGTTGTAAGACCCCGCGGGAACGCATGTACAACCCAGGAATCACAGATCGTGGAAGATGATGGAAGCAGTAAAAAGCAAATGCATATTGATCATCACTTGGCATTGGTACTTGTTCCCTCTGGAGAATGAATGATTTGAAATTCCATTGATCAATTACAAGACACTTCCACGAGCATTTTGTTCAAGGTAACGGATTTATCCAAGTTTTTACATATCAGGGTTGTACTACACACCCATTGGGACCTGTAGCCCTCTGCAATTGATGTTTCCTTGCCTCGTTTCAGCCACACCTTCCACTGGAGTCCAACATCGCATCACTCAGATCCCTACCTAATTTTCTTCCCCACATCAAACTCCCCACCTGCACAAGTTCCCGCCAATCCAGGTACCGACATGACACATCTCACCGGAAAGCTGCCCCTCGTCTCACAATCGTCCAATTCCTATGCCTAGAAACCCTATGCATTTCAAACAGAACCCCCTCCACCATGCCACTCGGACAGCAGAAGTAGCTGGAATTGACTCCACTGCTCACATTGATACCCATCAATCAACGCGGGCCGGGCCACAACTCAGGTTCCATGTTTGATTTCAGGATCCCGGTGAGTATAGTCGGGTCTGCTGGGAGTCCGCCAAGGCAGAAATATGGGTTTCTCGGTATTGAAGGACTTTCTTTGGTTATACCATCCTGCATATCAAAGCGAACAGAAGAAAGTCCACCAAGCGTGCTTTTGAGCATTGCCAATGACACCCTGGCTTGCGTGCTCACTAGACTAGAGCGGGGTCGGCGGCCACCGAGCCCTGAAAGGCTTCCAAAAAACCCGAGGCTGAATCCAAGACTTTGGCTTAACCTGACGATAGCCCTTTTGCTTCTTTATGGATAAAATGAACAGGATTAAGCCGGCTCCAACTGGTGGTTAAGATCAAAGCTTGCCATTCCCCGGATTATGCCTGATTCCCCGCTCAAAGTCATTGTAGATCCTGGAGAAAAATGACTTGATTAGCCCTTTTTGCCAAGGGAAATACCCCGAATTGGCTATTTGGATGTTCTTTCCCCCCTCTAAATACCATGGAAATGCCACAGGAATTTCAGTCTCTCTGAAATCTCGATAGATCCGCTCGCCCGGAGCCCTAGGAATAACATGATCTTCAAGACATGAACCTCTCGATCCCGGTTGAATGAGATTAACATACCTGTGTTTTTTGGCGTTATTCTTCCGGCGCGGGGTTATCTGGGGTTCGGATAGCTGGGCTAATTACCCAGGTGGCTTTTGTGAAGAATTTTAAGCTTATAAAAGAGTAGGAGGACTCAAGAATGGCGGTAGAAATTGGTAGTCAAGGGAATGCTTCGATGTTCGCGGATGTAGCCAAAATGTTTGATATGGTTGGTATTTCTCTGTTCCTCGCAGCTACCGTAACTGCCGCGTTGAGTCCGAGCTCAATAGGTTCGGACCTCTCGATCGTGATCCATAATGATCTTCTAGGTAACCGGGCTCAACCTCTATGTCATAAGTTTTTGGAGACGAGTGAGCGACATTAACAGTTTTGTCATCGATAGAGGGCAACAGTACCTTGGCTGGATCAGGTGTTCTACTCCTGGATCCAATGCCATTGCAGAAAGCCATCGACACCTGTCATAGCCTCGGAGAGACCCTGTGGTCATACACAAGTGGAGTTTCGGAAATACAGAATGACTTGGACTATCTCACTTATCAGGGCAAGTATAGTAACAATCAACAATATTGGATTGGTGATATCCGCAACACGCCCTCAACAATCAACGCGAAGGGACAAATTCAGAAAGCTTCTGCGAACACCTACCTTCCAGCACTTTGTACCCAGAGTGCTCCGTACTCGAATTCCGATACCCAGAATACGAGCTCAACCTGGCAGGTCTCTGTTCGTTCTAATAACGAATACCTCACTGGGTAAGGTTTTTCATCTTCAGTTGTCATCGCTGAACCGCCCTAACCTTGATCCAGGTTCCGTGATCGAGTGAGCTTCCGCTTTCTCGGCATCCGATATGCCCCTCAGCCCAAGCGTTGGACATACTCCGAGCTTTATGAAGGAACTGGCAAAGATGTCTCCGCCCTCGACTACGGATCTGAATGCCCGCAGAGCTCAAGCGGATCAGAGGACTGTTTCTTCCTCAACGTTTTCACGCCATACCTTCCCAAATCGACGAGTCCAAAAAAAGAAAACCTGAAGCCAGTCATGTTCTGGATTCACGGCGGTGCTTTTCAAACCGGAACAGGCAGTGATCCGACCGTCGATGGAGGGAATCTCGCTTCAAGGGGTGATGTAGTAGTAGTCACCACAAACTACCGTCTCGGAAACCTAGGATTCCTGGCTCTAAACGATGGAACTACAAATGGCAACTACGGCCTGGGAGACCAAATCACCGCACTGGAATGGGTGCTGCGCAATATCCAGGATTTTGGCGGTGATCCAGAACGGATAACCATCTTCGGACAATCTGCCGGTGCAGGCTCAGTTCGAGCCCTCCTAGCATCCCCCAAGGCCCGCGGGAAATTCGCCGGTGCCAGCATGCTAAGCAACCTAGGAGGCGTGGGATATGGAACAACGTACTCCGAGTACTACAGCATCGCCGAGGAGATGGAAGTTGTTGGAAACGATATCCTCAGCGAAACAAACTGTACGAATGCCAAATCCCGGGTCGATTGTCTACGCCAACTGTCCGCATCAACAATCATCAACCTAAGCGCTAGTGCCAGATACCTAGTTGTTGACGGGGAGTACCTTGTAGCCCCAGAACTGGGTTTAAAGAATCCCCAAACTACAGCAAACGTCCCACTGCTCCTCGGCACGACCAGAGACGACGGCGCAGCCTTCATAGCCTATCCATCTGTAAACGAAACCATTCAGGAATTTCTAGATGCATCGGGTCTGCCCTCAAACGAGGTCCCCAGCACGCTTTTCCCCATCCCATCGGGAACAAATCACACCCTCGACATCTTCAACACAACAGCCCGGATATCGACAGACGGCATGTTCCGCTGCATCGACCAAGCAACCGCATACGCAGGCCTGAAAAACCACATCTTCCCATCAATATTCTTCTACGAATTCAACCGCACCTACCAAATGCCAGGCTGGTCGCCGAATCCACCTCTCTGCCAAGCGCCCGTCACGCCCGAGTTCCCGAATGGCGACCCAAGCCTAGAGTATTTCAAATGTCATTCCGGGGAGCTGTATTATGTCTTTGGGAATGTACTGCGTATTGGGCTTCCGCTACGGGATCAGTTCGATTTGCCGTTCGAGCAATATGTGCTTGATTCGTGGGCGAGTTTTGCTCGGTCTGCGGATCCGACACCTAGCTTGGCTTTCTTGAAAGCGAGGGGGTATGTGAATACAACGGAGGAAGTTGAGAGGACGGGATCGTGGATACCGTTTGGGCAGAGTGGGTATCAAATGAGGAGGTTGCAGTGGCCGTCGGAGATGGTGGCTTTGGATGAGACGCTTCAGTGTCAGGCATTGAATATGTCGTTGAGCTACTATACTGTCTAGAAAATAGGTATCATCTGACAATCCTCGTGCATAAAATGTGCACAGTGCAAGGATAGGTTATAGCCAGGTGGGTCCGGCCATGAAGAGTTTGTGACCCACTATATCTTGATTCTTGACTGATTTTTGAGACAGGTGGATTCTTGTCCCGATTCTAGTTTATTATGACATACTCGCTTATCAATTCATCAATTTATTTGTCATAATATTCTGGGGAACTATCACGAGAATTTGATTTCATTTCCGTACAAAATTTCAGAAATCACACCCACGGGCTGTGGCCAAAAGTCCATATTTTCCAGATCCTCCACAGACGATTGATAACACTAAGCGCCAACCAACCTTAAAATTGGCTCCATCAGACTCTTAGCTGCTCTAAATACCGCAATAATGTCCCACGTTCCTCGATTCGAGAGCGAAAATGTCGATCCCAGCCCCCTGGGCAGGCCTCTCACATTCACCTTCTCGGGCCGGACAGCCCCCAACAGATTTCTGGCAGGAGCTATGAGTGAACGGCTGGCATCGTTCACCCTAGCCGATATCGAGAACCGGGGCATTCCTTCCCCCGAGCTAGTCAACGTTTACAAGAACCGCGGCACGGGCGGAATCGGACTCAACTTGACCGGCAATGTGATGATTGACCCTGGCCACCTTGAAGCGGCAGGGAACACAGTCATCCCCCGTCGCTCGCCTTTCTCTGGCGAGCGCTTTGAGCGTTTCCGGGAACTCGCAGCAGCGGGAAAGGCTGCGGGGGGTCTCATCGTCGCTCAGGTTGGGCACCCGGGTCGTCAAACGCCCGAATATCTTCAGTCAAACACGATCAGTGCTAGCGCTGTGCCGATGAAGACGGGTAATCTTGGCATGACGTTCGCGACGCCTCGTGCTGCGACTGAAGATGATATCGCTGGTGTTATTGATGGCTTTGCGCATGCTGCTGAGTTCCTTGATAAGGCGGGCTTTGATGGACTGGAGCTACACGGTGCTCATGGATACCTGCTTAGCCAGTTCTTGTCGCCCACTACCAATCTCAGAAATGATCGGCATGGAGGTAGTCTGGAGAACAGGATGAGGTTGATCGTAGAGGTCAGGGACGAAATTGCTAAAAGAGTGCGCCCTGATTTTGTTGTGGGTATCAAGATCAACAGCGTCGAATTTCAGGAGAAGGGTTTCCAGCCTGAAGAGGCTAAGGAGCTTTGCCGGACACTTGAGAACCACAAGTTCGATTTTGTTGAGCTGTCCGGTGGAACATATGAGAATTGGCCTCTTTCCGACCCTAAACGGTCGTCCACTATTGGACGTGAAGCTGTAAGTCATAAGTTATATTCTAATCTCCTTATTCATATCTCAGTCTGACATAAGCACCAGTTCTTCCTCCAATTTGCAAAGCTTATCGTGCCCGGTCTTACAAAGACCAAGACCTATGTGACCGGAGGCATGAAGACAGTCGAAGGCATGGTCAAGGCATTGGATACTGTCGACGGGGTCGGTCTCGGTCGCCCTCTGTGCCAGGAGCCCAGCTTCTGCAAGGATATTTTGTCTGGCAAGATTCAGGGCAGCATGGTTCAAAAAATCGACATGCAGAATTTCTTTGCCACTGCTGCAGCAAGTGGTCTCCAGATTAAGCAGCTGGGACAAGAACTTCAGCCCATCGACCTTTCTATTGAGGAGAATACTGCTAAAACTTTTGGTGCCTTGGGCCAGTGGAAGGAGGCGCAACAGAAAAACCCCGACTTGTACCAATTTCCTGCTGTACCCGATTATAACGTCCCATTTGTTGCGACGATGGCCTAGTTTCGTCAAAGTAGGAACCTGAAACTCGTTGAGAGACATGTATCTAGTATATTCTCAATTGTTGTAAATACAGACATCATCTGGAGAGCTTCCTGAGGCTGCGCTTCGAGGTTCATGTAGCATTTTCCCCGTAAGCGAGAGTATCTTGGTATCACTTATCGGTTCTGGCTTCTTGTTTGTCAATTTGAGAAGTTGGAATATACAAATGTATCACGGCAGATGTTGTTCTATCACTTGGAAATTACAAGTAACGTCTCGATGTGACGCCAGTTATCCAAAAACTTACACAAGAAACTTGGAAATATCAAAGTAAAACACTTACCTGGTAAGTTCCAAAGGTATTCAGCACAACTTCACATGAGACCTATAAAAGGAGAGCTCAATTCTGGGGTTTCGTGAAGAGACCTCATCTTTTAGGTGCCGTCCACGGTCAACAGATTCAAACCCATCAAGTCAGACCTCTTTCAAACCACGTTCGCTGCTTTCTTTTTGCTCCCATTCATTTCTCAGTTTCCAATTTTTTTTTTACATTTAAAGGAGGATAATGATTTTTTTTCTTAGAATTATGTTGTACAGTAAGTATTTCTATCATCTGAAGGCTTTTCGCGCGGATGTCTTAACCTTCACGGTCCGCTAAAATCTCCGCCTCGGACTCTTGAAAAGGCCATAAATTCCGGAACAACTCTCTCTCTTCATCATTCTTCCCCAGTCCAATAAAAATATCCTTGAACTTGCGGCAGTTCTCGCGGGCGATATCAAAGTCTTTGGGGTCAACCATGCCATCCACTGGGAGGACTGCTTGGTCCCGAAACAATGTCAACATGTGCCCGACGCCATTGACATTTTCTTGTTCCTTCGCCTGTAATATGACGTCCTCGTTGCTGAACCTGATTGGACAAGGGACACCCGGAAAAAGCTCGTCCCAATCCGCCACAAGTTCCATAAGCGATTCGCGGAGAAAAAAGAGATCGCGATTTTCCCATACTCCGGTTGCGAGCCAGATAGGTTTCCGGATGATAGGAACTGTCTTTTGTTGAAGGACTGCCCAGTGCCGAGGTGCGCGCTTACACACCTGAGCTTCATAGTATTTGTGGAGGGTCTCGCTCTCCAAATCGTCATCGATTCGTTTCTGTTCGCTTTCGCTCAGACTTTCGAAATTTTCTGGTCTTTTAGGGACAACCCAACCCTCCCGGACATGACCAGGATGCCTGCACAGTCTTGGAACACCAGACTGGTAGAACAGAGGCGCGACACATGCTGATTGCCAGTCCACAATGCGGGTAATTTGATGGGTGTCTGGATCTACGAAAATATTGTCCAGGTGGAGATCAGGATGCCATAGAACATTGGCAGATCCTGATTCGTCGGTTGAAGGGGGAACAAGATAGGGGGCCACGTCAATATACTTCTTGAAAAGTGCGAGACCATCCTCGGGGAGCTCCTTGATTTGACTGGACCGGTAATGATTCATTCGAGGAACCGCATGTGATTTGATCCACGCCATTTCATTGCGTCCCAATGCCTCAACGTATTCACGTGGATCTTTCCCTATGCCCAGTGAATTAGTATCAGCAGAAGAAAGTAATAGTCAGTTTCCTTACAAGGCCCCCGCTCCAATACCATATCTCTCCTGGCTCCGCTCCACAGTTCGTTCGAGGTCAATGGCCCAATTGAATATCTTTCAAGGGCCCCGGGTGCTACTTGACTGGTATGGATTTCTTTTGCTTCCCCGATCAATGAAAGAAGGTCATCTTTGAAATAAATGCAGCCATGCCTATTGAAGGTGATGGTAGTCAAGGCGTTCTCGACCTCGACCACCTGAGCAATGAGCTGGAGCTTTAGCTCTCGAGGCCATTGCTTCCAAACGGAGCCAAGCAGTACACCGGGTGCCTTCTCCTCGATGATGTACTCGGCCCCCACCAGGTTGTTTGCAGCGTCGCAAGACCATGCGAGTATTTGGGGAACGGGGACATTGAACACATCGCGAAGCTAAGAACTTAGAAAATATTCAAGAATTACGGAGACCGATCGTCTTACCAGCTCGCGTGTAGCCACCTCAGACGCGATAGTGAAGTGTGGAGGCCCCGCGTTGGGGTTAGGGAGTTTCGCAAAGACCTCGGATCCATTGTCCATTGTCAACATGAATGCTTTGTTATGGAGGCCCTCTGAGCATTTTGTGACTTTGATGCCTATTGATGATATCAACGATTGATCTGCCCTGGATGTAGTAGGATCTCAAGGGTTAATAACGCACATGATTGAGATCCGTTACAAGCATTGACAGCTACTTTGATAAGTTGTTGCAAGTTGAACTTGACGTAGCGATTTGAAAGTCCACTTTTCTCGTTGAACCTGGAATTATGGTTCAAATGAGCCTTGATGCAATCATCATCAATTGTGCAGCTTAGCTTACAGCCATCGGTGCCTGGTGTATCGGTACAAGTCTTCTTCGGATATTTTATCCTCTACAAAAGCCCCTTTAGTAACTTGACGTACTCCAATGCAACGAATATTACGGAAATTCACCTGTGCCATTCGGCCTTTCCACGCAGAGCTCAGGACAGTGAGTAGGTGGGTTTTGCTTATCCGACCGGTAATATGAAAAACATCTTATATTTGCTGGTCGAAAGTGGAGGAAAATCGTGGGATATAATCTCTGATCCGCACTCCAAGCCGTTCTTAGGAGTTTATTAATGGCCATATCAAAGGCAGTCTACATTGGTGCCGTTTGCAAGATCCAGGTGAATGTTTCAGGGCCTGTTTTGTTTTGTTTGTTTGTTTTAGGGGTTTAATCTAAATACAGGTCACTCTCGAGTCTCGAGTCTCATGCAAACACAGGTCACATGATGCGCTAACCCAATCTGGACGGAATGATGCCTGAATACGCCCAGATGTGCGCCCAGATGTGCCTGAATCTGCCTCGGGCAGCAACAGCTCTAGACCGCTTTTTATCACCGTTTTTAAAGGTCTCACCGCCTCCTAACAGCTAGGAGGTCCCCACCCTCCTTTACCCGACCGGAACTTAACAAGCCTATTTCTAGGCAAGTTTTGAACCGCATCTATAACAGCATCTGGAAAGGCCTTTATGCGGTACTGGTTCGTGATGCCAGTCGCTTCAAAGACAATACGGAACTGGCCAAATTCTTTCCCGACTACCAACCCGAATGTCCTAGCTAGAACGTGGGTTCGCCATTATATGATTATTCAGTCGAAAGAATGGGTAACCGAGAATCTTGCTAAATAATAGCTGGTTATAAGGATAGGGGAATGTAGCAGGCACTGAACACCTCTGAAAAAGAGAAGACGTTGAGCGCACTAGCACGCCAATAGATTGAATATCGACGCTAGGAATCAGTCAAAAAGAGTCGATCACCACTAAGAGTAGAAAAACAAGTAATAGCTCAAGCACCAGAGCGCTAGGAAAACTAGGCACCCTAGGTATAGTAGTCATAGGAGGGAATATAATAAGATCAACTTGCGAACCAACCGTCTTAACAACAATTGAACCCTTAGACGTATTCAGAAAACTTCAAGAAGAATCAAGAAGATCTTCAAGTACTCCTCTTCTGTTCAATTATCTTTTAACACAACAATCGCGTATTATTAGCCGGGGGCCGGAGGGCATTTAATCGCTTGGCGGGCTGGGTAGCCGAAACGAATCAACTGGAGTGCGTCCAGCTGGTCTCCGTTTCAAAGGTCTGGGGTTTTCGGGGCTATATCCTGTGCGAGAGGGGGGCGGAACGGGGGCTTCGAGAGCGGACGTCGAACCCGAAATTTCCGACTCATGGGTGCTGTCAGTAACAGAATCGGCGGCTTCCGATACAAAGCTATCGGGTTCAAGTTGGTGGGCAAACCACGGGGAGGCCAAGGAGTCCTACTCCGGCGTTGGGAAGAGCCACCAATCCCGTCTTCACGGATACCGATACCCTCCTCGAGGTCAAGGGCCCGTAGTCTAGTGTATTGATCGTACCGCTCTTGATGACGATGAATCATCATGCTAAGCATTAACACGTTCTTCTCGGAATTGATTTGTTCCGATGTAAACGATGTCTGGCGGAGAATAAGAAAATAGCGTGTAAGATTGACCCAAATTGTTGCATGTCGATCAACGGCTTCAAAGCCATCAGGTTGAAACGATCCGAGAGTAAAGGGTAGGATATGCGCGGCCTCGAGGTAGGTGGTAGGTGCTTCCTGTGGATGGGAATGACTCGGTAACCACTGTATCTGCCTGTTGCAAGGCATCTGTAAGTTGTAACCATCTCTTTCTAAGCAATGATAGCGAAGTTGAGACTGTTGGCTTCGAGTAACTGGTTCGATATTTTCACTCTTTAAGTTCTCAATCGAGTCTTCCACACCAGATCTTGGAGATGGGGTGATGTCGCTAGGTATTTTACCCCCTTGTGCCTTTAAGGGAATAATAAGACCAGTTTCAATACTGCGCACAAGTTGTCGAAGTGCTTCGGGACTTTCTTCCCTGTCGACTTCACATTCTCCTTCCCGGGTTCAACTGGTTCCAATCGTGTCTCTTGGCGGGCGGCAGACTTGATGACATGTCTCGTTTTCGCTCCCGTCCCAAAGATGTTAGGAGATGAGGATGTTGCAGGTATGCCTCGAACACCGAATTGTTGCGCTGTAGCGACTTTTTGAGAATTGGGTCCAAGTCTATAGAGTCCAAATCGCAGAAGTGGCCAAGGTGGCTGAAGAGACACGAAGTCTACGAAGGAAGAGGGCGAGAACGCAATACAATGGTATTGAGTGCTGCAAGGAAGGAAAGAAGAAGAAGAAGATAAGAAGAGAACAAGCTATCTACAGGACTCAGGAGAATGGAGTGAGAGTACGGTCACATGAGTGACATGACCAAACAGTGGCCGTCCACTGTCCAGTAGGGCAAATCGAACATTTAATCACCAATGTTCAACAATTAGAAGAGGCTCAAATTTCCACGACTCGGGAGCCCCCCCCCCCACCAAAAGTCTATTCTTAAGTCTATTCTCAAGTCTATTCTAGTAGTTTATACACTAAAACCTATAATCTATGTCTACTTTTTCTTCAATAATAATATACCTTAGTAGTATTTATACAGCAAAGAGGAAAAATGGGAGCAATCCCTATCGTATTATTCATGTCAAAGGATCGTTCTTGAACAGTCTTAAAATAAGCTCGTTCTCACATGCAGCTGCAACGTCAATACTAGTCCTCTCTACCTTGTCCTCAATCATAGGGTCCAACCCCATATCCATCAACCGCTTGAACCGTCCGACTCCCACGCGTCCAGAACCGGGGTGATAACATTGAAAAATGTGTCTGAGCTCCAATTTAATTCCGGCAAGGAGATGGAGTAGAGTAGACCCGTCATTGTTTCGGGCGAAAATATCAGCCCCACATTCCAGGAAGAACTCGAATGTTATGTTTTTATACGTTTGGTCTTCTGCCGAACCATATAGTCCATCATTGTTCTGCTTCAGAAGATTGAACATTGGTGTTTCTCCAATATTGTTTCGCGCGTTTATCTCGGCACCCGCTTTGAGGAATCTTTTGAATAGATTTTTGGTTGGTTTGTGGTCGAGATATCTGGCAAAGTGGTGGAGAGCTGTGTCTCCATTTTTGTCCGGTTGGAGGGGATCCGCTCCATTGTCCAGAAGAAATTCAATCAGCCCAAGAATTCGGAGACGCAGAGCATAGTGAAGAGCCGTCTCATTTTTGCAGTCAATCTGGTGTACGAGGTTTGGGCTAGCCGCCACAGCGGTTTGGAGGGCCTCTTTAGTGGAGCTGACATCAATCAGGCTTTCGATGTGATGCAGGATCGTTCTCCCTCCGTTGTCTTGGGCCATGACATTTGCTCCACGATTGACTAGCTCTAGCAAGCAGTCCGTGGCATTCAGATTTTGAGGTTTGGTTCCCATGCCGAGTTTTTGCTTAAAATTCTTAGATGCGGCTAAGATCAGGGTGCAGCCATTCTCATCACGACGCTCTATATCCAACGACGTCAGGTTGAAAAATGGGTCAACAATGTGGCCACCGCTTAGAAGCTCGTGGATTATAGTCGCGCTTGTGACTGGAAATGTCTTGGGCTCCTCTTGGGCTCCTCTGCGCAGAATCTGGTATTGCTGTTGATCAAAGGTAGCATAAGGATCTGCTCCATGCTTCAAAAGGATCTCTAGCAATTCATTTTTAGGGCTACACACAGCTGCGTATAACAGTGGCAAGGTTCCAGCTCGGAGGGTTTTGAAATGACCCGATCCAGTATTGCGGGAGATTGTTTTTGGAAGCGGCTGTTTCAATATCGAACTTCCAGATCGAGAGAGTAGAACCTCCAGCAAATCTATCTTTGCCAGATCCAGAGCCGAGAGGATAGCGGACGGATTTACTTCGGCGCCATGTGCAATCAAGAGTTCGATGATACCCATATCGTCTCCAGCGGTTGAAAGACATGTGTTGCCATCAGCGTCAATCGCATTGACATCCGCACCGGCTCTTATGAGAGCTTCGGTTGCCTCCCTGGAAAATGGGTGACACGATTTGAGAGCAACGATGAGGGGTGTCTCTCTATTTCTGTTTCGAATATCGACATCTGCTCCCATTCGGATCAAATACGGCATGGCTTTTCCTACATGCCACCATGACTTTCCAACAGCAAGATCATGTAAAGCCCCACTCGTACTAGTAATCGATGGGCGGTGTTTCCTATGGTGAACCACATGCTCCGTCTTTTTCGCATTGATGTTGGCTCCATAGTCTTCCACAACCAATTTCAGAACGTCCATATTGGGAAGTTTTCTTTTGCAAGCAGAGATGACCAGTGGTTCACTGCATTGTTGAATGTCGTTTTCGTCTGGATTGGAGGTCCAGTCAGTGCCGTCAAGTTGCCTCGTTATTTCTCGAGTACACAAACGATCGAGAATTTCGACAAATCCCCGACGAGCAAGCATATTCAGGGATGTGTATCCCTTATAACCAGGAACGTGGGGGCTGTCTGCTCCTCCTGAAAGCTCTTCAAAAAGGTCATAGTATCTCAAAGCCAGAGCTTTCTCCGCTGAGAGTTGTCGTGGGGACGGAGTATGATTCTGGTTCCGCCTTTCTTCTATTCCATCTGCTGGTTTGTAAATATTCTCTAGGGTGGCCTTTATTGTATTCCGGCAATTTACTGCAATCAATATTTTCAGCTCTCGATCGGGATCATCGCACTGGGGGTGCCCAGCATAGATAGTAAGAGGTGAAGGATATCGTTTCGGTAAGGATGGTAAACAAGAGATTGTATATCCGTATTCAGGCTGTGCGGCATTTTTCCACGCATTTTCCAGAGATTTGTGATCACTGTCAAGATCAAGCCCATGTTTGATCAGCATATTTATGATCTCTTGTAATCGTGTTGTATCATGCTCCGAATTAATCCTCCCGAAAGTGGCATCCGTACCATCGCCAGACCGGTCGTAGAATGGACGTGTATCATCCTTCAGCGTGAGACCTGCAGCATTGATACCTTTGCTCGACATCATCGGTCGTGGATTTAATGGCACACGAAGATCCCAAAGCGAGGCTTCCTTTTCGAATTCCCCACACATTGCGAGTGGGGAGTGCTTGTTGATGTCAAGAACATTTACGACTGCTCCAGCCTCAAGCAGGGATTTGACGGTTTCAGGGCGTCCGGAACGGCATGCATAATGAAGGGGAGTTCGCCCGTCTTTATCTTGACTGTTCACAAATTCTAGGTATGCTTGCTTAGCAAGGGACGTGGCTCGAGATAATACCATATCCACGATTCCCGACTGACGTGCACGAGCAGCAAGATGAAGGACCGTCATCTTATCATGGGTAGTTGCGCAAAGATTGGCTCCAGCATTGAGAAGTTTGTGAACAAATGTTTCAGAGATCGTAGCAGCGACATGTAGCGGCTGGACGCCCTCATGATCACTGACTGTTAGACATCTGCACTGTTCGAGTACGTAGTCAAGGATGGTGTCAACCGAGTATTTACTTAAATCGACCGCTAAGTCTCTTGAACAGACAGCGTGCAGGACGGTCCGGCCTTGATGATTAGGTTGGTTAATGTCCATACCCATTTCCATCAACCGTTCCAATACTTTTCGCTTTCCAGTGAATGAATGATTATTGACAACTTCATGGAGTGGTGTGTTGCCATCATTGTCTGACACCAAATGATCAACCCCAAGGCTTTGGAGAAGCGACAGTGTTTTCAGGTTCTCAATGGAGCAATGCCACAGAGTACGGCCTTTGCTGTCTCGAGTATCAAGTCGCGCTCCCTCGCTCGCGAAGTGGCCTAGAATTTCTGAATAGTCACGCACTCCTTTTCTCGGTGATAATTGAGCAAAAAGAACTGACTGGCCCTTGTTGTTGCATAATTCAAGATCTGCTCCGCCTTGAACAAGAGCTCGGGTTTGTTCCTGGCTGAGCCGGGTGCTAGTTTGATGCAATGGTGTGTTCCCCGCTGCGTTTTTCAAATTCGGATCGGCGCCTGCGGCCAGCAATTTGTCAATAAGCTCATGGTTGACAGACGAGCGCCTCATAGCCAGGTGCAATGGTCCGTCCCCTTTCCAATCCGTGGCATTCAAGTTAGGCCTGTAGGCCAAAAGCTCAATGGTTTTGTGGTCTTCACTCAACATGTCTGCAAGGCGACAAAGCAATGGCGTCATTCCATCCTGTGCTCTGGGTTTATTGATATCCACTTTCCCACACTTGAGGAGCAGTGATAGCGCTTCATTCCCACGAACAGATGAGAAATGGAGAGCTGTTTCTCCGTTGTGGTCTTCAGCAGCAGGGTCGGCACCTGCATCCAGCAGAGGCTCCATCCATGCGATAGATGACTTATATGCGTAGTGCAAAGCTGTCAAGCCTCTTGGGTCCTTCGCATGAACATCAGCGCCAGCTTGGACTAGAGCTTTCACACATTCAGTGGCTTGACTGGATGCCTGCTCTCCGTAGACAGAATTTGTACACAGAGCATGAAGCGCCGTGTATCCCCTTGCGTTGTCACATAATTCTTTCTTTGGTAAGTCCTCCGCAGAAGAGACTGAAGTTTGTATGCCTCTTACATCTACTTCGAAATTTTGACAGAGCGCGTTTGGTTCTGCGCCAGCTTTGATTAAGGCTTTGAGTGTCTTAAGATCTGCACTTTTGCAAGCAAGAAATAGCGCGTTCTTGCCTTGTACCTTGGTATTGACATCAACTCGTGGTTGCTGTAAAATCAGCTCCACAATGCTTGATCGACCCTTCTCGGCTGCCCAGTGTAATGCTCTGTGCATATCTTCCACATTCTCCAAGCACTTCACGAACTCAAGAACGGTCTCCAAATGACCAGCATGACACGCATACATCAAGGGGGTGTGGCCTATGGTAATAGGCACAGGCCCAGCTAAGCAACATCCCGTAGGCAAAGGCGTGTCGTTCCTTGTTTTTGGTGTCAATGGACTGACTCCAGCAGCGAGCAAAGCTTTGACGGCATCCACATGGTTTGATTTGGCGGCTAGGTGCATTGGCTTCCGCCCTTCCTCAACTTCAGCATCTGGATCAGCTCCGTGGTCAACGAACACCCGAATAACATTTCCGTGATTGTATGATGCTGCCCAGGATATTGGCAAACCCGCAGACTTTGTGTTTTGAATAATTCCACCCTTGGACAGAATATATTTTGCGAGTTTAGATAAGCCAATCCAAGCAGCGACATGAAGGGGTGTAACACCATCAATCTTCTGGCCTGGCCATGCCAGACCCAACCAAACAGTGTACCGGTGCGTCTCTGTAAAAAAAGTATCAAGAGCGTCATGGAACACTTCCAAATTTTCGTTGGACCCCTCTGCCAGGCGGGCATGCTTGTACCAGTTGTCTGCGGCGTACTCCAAGAAGGGAAACCGTAGTCGTACTTCTTGTTTTTCCTTCATCTTTCGATCAAGAAATTTGCCATAGCTCTCTGTCGATGTTGGTAATAATGTAATCTCTATTTCATCGAGACATCTTGCTCGCATATAAGATAAACATTCCATAGCAAGGCGCAGATTGGTTGAACCAGCTTCGAAGATTGGATACTCGAAGGTGTCTTTGGATCTCGATCTGGCGTAACCATTCAGAAATTCGGTAAAGGTATGATGGATGACTGAAATAGTTTCATCGGGCAAGACTTCCAGAAGAGGTCCGCAAGCAGTTCTGACCAGGGCTTTGGTTTCTTTCAGAGTTTGGTTGCACTTGGAGTTTATGTTGAGCATCTCAGCCATTTCGAGGAGTCTGAGCGGGCGTGTGGCGTGGGTAACAAACTGAAGGATCAGCAGTTGGAGCTCAGAGGGCACATTTGATCTCCGAGAATGCTCCAGTAGAAGGTTATTGTACATAGTGTTCAAGTCCGTTGGTAGTGCGTTGAGGGCCTCTTGCACATTTGCGCCAGGCTCGAGAAACACATCCATAGACATTTTTGCGTATAGGAATATCCCATTCGCCCGACCGGGAATTGCTTCTTGAATGGCACTCCGATTTTCTTGGGTGATAGATAACCCGCGAAGCTTATGCTGAACGTATGCCGCAATATCAAGATCCACCAGTCTCTCTTCTAATCGGATTTGAGGGATAGAAAAGGGTCTTAGAGAAGTTTCCAAGCGGGCTATTGGGCGCGAGGTCATTAAAACCTTGAAATTTTTCGGGCGCCATTGGCCTAGATCGACCAAGCTCTTCAGAAAGTCATCATGTCCTAGATCCATCTCATCCAAAGCATCTGTCACACAATAGGCCCTAGGGAAATCTTGCAATGCCATCATGAGGTCGCTCCACAGATCAGCCGGCGAGAGACTATCTGGCGATCGGTCTTTTTCAACGTATTTCTGAAGTTTGACTTGGAGCGGAGGGCTGTAGTCCAGAACTTGACAAAGCCAATCTCGTAACGCGACAATGGGCTTGTGATTAGCCTCGATGATCATTCGGAAGAAGAAGTAGACTACGGGAACATCTTCCTTCTGCAGTTCCTTGATTATAGAAGCAGCCATCACGGACTTCCCGGAGCCTGGTATGCCCTTGACCCACAGAAGTCCATTATCGCCAGAGTGCCACTGCTGATAGGCTTGAGTTGATTTGAACCAAGCACCAGTCCCGAGTAGATGTGAGGCACTATGTCTGGAGTATTCGCTTCTTTCGAAGTCATATGGCGTTGGCTGAAGCCATCTAGTAATTTTGGCAAGATCGCTCGCCGGTAGTGGGAGTATTTTGCCAGAGTTAAACCCTTGAACGTGTTCTGCACCAGGCAGGGGGGCATCGCTGCCAGAGTCTGCTAGAGACATGATTGCATGGGCTTCCCTGCCTTTGGGGAGCGGAGAAGAGGGGAGGACGCTACATATTTTTAAATAAAATATATCAGGCTTGACGAGTCAGCACTAAGCTAAGGCTAAGACATGACCCATGCACACACAGTGACACACTGATATAGCCTCACAGCCTCATCTCCCCCACTCCCCGCAATGACACGCGGCCTTTCTCATAGTGAATTTAACAATTCTAAGGGATTCGTGCACGTGACCCATACTCAGGTCCAAAAAAAAAAAAAAAAAAATAGAAAGCAACGTCAGGTGACTCTAGGTTCTCACGTGACTCATGCTCGGTTGAGCCCTTGGGCCTTGAATCCTTGATGGCAGCCTTAAGCCAGTTCGATGTATTTTAATGGTTTTAATATTACAACACAGTCCTTTCCCCGCTGGTCCACTGGGACCCCTCGACGCTCGTTCGCGCTCATGTCCCAGACTCCCAGTGGATATTCATTGGGAGTTGGGACATAACTTGATGTATTCCGCGAGCCGATCACTCCAAAACACGTAGTAGTTCCAATCTACTAGATAGCCTCACTTCGTTCAGCGATTAACTAGTACTACCATTTTCAAGCTATGTAGATTATACACCGTCTTCGTCACGACTCACCACCCTGTACAATTTTGGAAATACCATAAGTATTAATTTGGTAATCAACACTGTCCTTTCGCCTCGGCAGGGCTCTTATCCTCAGCAGCAATAGCATCTTTGAGGTCGATGACAACGGTATCACCGAATTTGGCATTGATTTCTTCGAGACTGAGTCCCTTTGTCTGGAAAACAAATGATTAGTTCCAAATAAAATAAAAAAATAAAAATAAAAATGGCAGAGCTAGATTTCCGGGGCCTTACCTCGGGGAAATAGAACGCAAGCACTATAGTGCTCACAGTGGTGACAGCGACAAATATCATGTAGTATTTCCATCCAATGCTATCAAGGGCCTGCTGAACCGGAGCGGCATATGCGACTGCGTTGGCGAAGAAACTAGCGTAAACGATAGTTGCGCCTTCACTGCGTAGACGGGTGGGCCAAATTTCGGATCCGTAGACATATGCGGTGCACTCAATGGTGGAAGTGAAGAAGGCACCGAAGATAAAGTACAGAGCAACGGTCGCGTTGACTCCCGGCATATAGGTAGTATTAAGATAGTGCTTCTCAAGGCCTCCCATAAGACCGACAATCAAAGCACTTCCAAATCCACCGATGACTATATCTTTGTTAGTCTCTATTTGTCGAAAAATCTCCCATGTAAGTCTAGGATGTCTGCATACCGAGAAGTTTGACTCGTCCGACCTTATCCATGATCAGGACGTTGATACCGCATCCGATAACTGCACACACAGTCCAGACTACCCCGAGACCTAGCTGCATGGTAGTGCCGAATCCCAGGGAGCCCATCAAGGTGGGAATTAAATTTCCAATGGTAGTAATACCAGTCGCTTGGCCCATAACCCACATAAGAATAGAGCAAAGCGCTCTCTTTCGGTGACTGGGTGTGCGGGCGATATAGATAAATCCACCTGGCGTGGTTCTCTCAAGCTCGACTTGAGCCTTGATTTGTTTTAACTCGGCGTGAGCAAATGTGGCCTTCGTGTCATCCTTAGAACTGTGCAAGTATTCCAGGACCTTTCCGGCTTCTTCCTCGCGATCCTTCTCCATCAACCAGCGTGGAGATTCAGGAATGAAGAATAATGACCCCAGATATATTACCCCAAGTCCAGTTAAGATAACGAAGATACAGCGCCACTGGATAGCATCCTCGACAAATGAAAACGCAAGCGCACATACTGCAGCTAGTATATAAGCAGTCACGACGCCTACACCGTGCAAGCCCACAAGAAGGCCACGAGTGCGTGGTGGTGAAACCTCACTCATATAAACGGGGGTATTTGCGAACACCATTCCAGAACCAACACCGCAAATGACACGCCCCGCTATAAACATGCCAACATTGACAGCTCCAGCTTGAATGGCACCTGAAATGATGATAAGGACGGCGGCAGCTCCGTTTGCGACACGACGGCCAAACATATTAGCCAAGGGGGCCTGGAAAAGTGCACCAACCAGGGCAGCACCAAGGAAGCTGAACCAAAAAAAATTATAATTAGCAGTGACAGTGGCATGATGACTTGTGAAGAATATTTTCTCTCTCTCACCCCCCAAGTATAGCATCCTCTAGTGCAGCTGCGTTACCCACAGACAGAAACTTAGCGATAAACGTCGTTTGTGATAGAGAGCCAGCGTAAGCATTTGCAGCAAATCCGTATAGGAATCCTCCCAGACAAGCGGTGATGATGACCTGGATTCATCAGCAGAGAGTACCCCAAGTTCAGCCAAGATAAAATTTACCAAGATATTAACCCAAGTTGTCTCTGGGTGTTCGCGCGGAGTCCTGAAGCTGTACGCGTGGTCATCAGACACAGATTGAGAGTTCTGCGGCTCCTCAACCATATCGTGGCTCTCTTGTCCCATGATGGAAGCTAAGTGCGGAAGCTGTACAGAGAAAAAAAGGTGAAGAATACGTCGGAAAAGAAAAAAAGACTTTGTATGCAATTTATTATCTGCATGATAACAAGTGGAGTTCGACAAAAGCGGCATTTTCGAATCCCTCAACGAGAGCCATTCCGTCCAAGTGCAAACTTGCATATCCGAAGACCACGCTTGTATCTCGGCTATGCACCGCAGGATCCAATAGAAAATGTACAGTATGTTTTCTCGCCCCATACTTCCAAGGTTTGCTTCCGATACATACTAGCAGACACGGCTTAGAGAATACGGTCGCTGCTTGAACTACACCTATCGCGGTAACAAACATGCTTGTTGACCCACTTCCAGGGTGTCAAGCTTGCACCGAATCACATGAAGAAAGCAGGCGGTTTCCTACTGACAGAAAAGCAAGAAACTAGCAAATGCAGACCAATTTTCAGCCGAAGAAGCTTGGGCGATCAATTAGCTAACGGCAGCCTTGCCACCTCATTGATGATCGTAGGCCAATAGAAAACGGTGAGTGGATCAAGCTCGCCTTATATTGAGCATGAGCCGCATGACGCTAATGCATCCTTCTCTCCCTGTCCCCACAGCGGCTGAGGCACTGGAGCCACTTGTTTATGGAAATCCAGACACTCTTAGCCCAAGAAGTGTTGTTTCTCTACTGTACGGATCAAATATGGACCTTAATCACACCACACGCCAAGTCGCGCATATGCCAATTCTGTGTCCTCAAAATGTCGCCGGTATTGATTCTCTATTTGTGTACGAGTACCTGTACATATACTAGTGCTGTACGACCAAATACTGATTATTTATTTGAAGCTAGTTCCACCCACCCAGCCCCGCACCATAATTAAAAGGTCATGTCGATCCTGACTTAAGTTGAAGCTGACATCCCTGCTCCAGATGTCACAAACTGAAGTGATCACCCCTCCGTTAATTCAAGAAAATTCAAACCAAAACCCCTCGAACCTCAAGCTTTCAAACTGCAAGCATGGAAGTGCCAGAAGCTGCTCCTATTCTTCCTCTCCTGAAGGGGAAAGTCGCAATTGTTACGGGTGGCTCTCAGGGCATGGGCAAGGAGACTGCATCTGTGTTCCTGAAAGCCGGTGCTAAGGTGGTGATTGCCGATATTAAAGTCGAACAAGGCGAAGAAGTAGCGAAGGAGCTCTCTTCTCTTGGAGAAATTCGCTTCGTAAAGACGGACATTTCCAAGTCAGACGAGGTTCAGAATCTGATTGCGCAGACTGTCAGTGCGTTCGGACAGCTAGACGTTGCAATCAATAACGCAGCCCACTCTCCCGATAATGCCGCTCTTATTGAACTAGACGAAGCAGTTTGGCGAAGATTGATGGATGTTACTTTGACTGGAACGGCGCTGTGTGTGAAATATCAAATGCAGCAAATGCGCAAACAAGGCTCAAAGGGATCCATTGTGAACATTACTTCAATCAATGCATTCTCGCCTGAGCCTAATATGCCCGCATACACCTCGGCAAAGCATGCACTGATTGGATTGACCAAACATGCTTCTAACGAGGGTGGACCTTTCGGTATTCGAGTGAATGCCATTGCCCCTGGTCCAATCTATGTAAGTTGACTATAAAATCTTTTCAAGATGGCAACTTGGTCGCATTGGCAGTAACTAATGCGGAGAAAACAGAGTGACATGTCCGCAGCTGCATTGAAAATCATCGGCATTAGTCCTGAGGATTTTGCAGCCAAAAAGACCAGCATGAACCGGTTTGGACAAGCCCACGAGGTTGCTCAAGGATCCCTTTGGCTTGGCTCGGATTGTTCTTCGTATGTGAACGGGATTTGCCTGCCCATTGATGGTGGTTCATTGGCAAAGTGGTGATTAGGCCTGCAGCTTTTGTATATGATAACTTGAACTAGCTTCGGTAAAAAGGGTAAATTAAAACGAACCTGCTTCTCAAGTGCTGCTGTAATAATGGATCTTTTGTAAAATATAAACTGTTTGTTTACTAGTGTACTTTAAAACTTCCGATAGACCTAAACTAGGTAGTAGTTTACCCGAGGTCAAAAAATCCCTGGAGCTGTATACGGAAATGCCACGGCATACGGAACGTTGGTTCTCGTCTGTTTCAGCCAGTGGAAAATCATGTCCAACGTACTATTGTATCTCTAGACCCACAAAATGAAATTCGTTGAGAAAATACCCCTCAGTCTCACCTCAGATCCTTTCCTTTGTCCTTGGAGTCTTCTTGTCCCTGCCTGATTCAGTGATGGCTCGTATCTTTGAAGGAAAGCTCGCAATTGTAACAGGCGCATCAAGAGGTTCTAAACAGAACAACCCATGATTACGCGTGATCTAACCTCTAATTATGATCTCAGGTATCGGTGAGGGAATCGCTCGCAATTTCGCAAGCAAGGGCTGCAATGTGGTCATCAACTATACCTCCGCATTTTCCGAGGCCGCAGCAACAGAACTCGCCAGTGATTTGAGCAAAGCCTTCGCGGTTCAGGCCCTTCCTATTAAAGCCGATATATCCTCACGTGCAGAATGCGATCGAATCATTCAGGTCGCCAAAGAAAGATTTACAAACCCCGATTCCAAACGCTTTCAAATCGATATATTGATTCATAATGCTGCGATTTGCTTTCTTGGCCCGGTGGAAACAGTCAAAGAACACGAATTCCACCGGATATATGAAGTGAATGTTCTTGGACCAATCCTTCTGATGGGTGCTTGCAAGCCGTATCTCCCGACCGACCGCAGCGGTCGCATAGTCCTATTATCAAGCATCAATTCCAAGGTGGGGACAGAAGACACGACTCTCTACTCAGGGACGAAGGGGGCCATAGAGGCCATGACCCGTGTCTGGGCCCGTGAGCTTGCTGAAAACGCGACTGTAAATTGTGTCAACCCGGGCGCTGTTGCTACGGGGCAGTATCTGGCAGCAGCGGATTATATCAAAGAGTCGATTGCTAGATGGAATCCCCTAACACCATTGTCACCCATACGAGGTGATCTTGACACCCCGGAACTGGTGGCGCATGGAGAAAAGTTTGGTGGTCGCCCAGCTTATATTGAAGAAATTGCGGGAATTATTGCAACGATTTGTAATCCGGAGTTTGGATGGTCCACTGGAGGTATCATATCAGCTAACGGAGGTCTATCTTTCAGTATTTGATGTATGATAAAGTTATCCAGGAAGACGCGAAGGGTGATAAGAGGGGAAAGGGTTGCTGGAGCTCAGGAGATTGATGATGCGGACCAATACAAAAAAAAAGTCACCTGCAGAGTGAAAAGTGCAGGGCGAAAAAATAAAATGTGAGACGAGGAAGGGGAAGGGTACTTCGTACCACCACCCATACCACCACCCACGAAAGGCATATTGGCGCTAAACTTAAACGGGGTGGTGATAGAAGCAAAAATTTCGTTATTCTCATACAGCATCCGATATGGTGTAGTGGCTAACATCGTCGTCTCTCACACGACAGCCGGGGGTTCGATTCCCCCTATCGGAGTTTCTTTTTTCTTTTTCTTTTCTCCTCTCTACGGTTGTTATTCATCAGCCGAAGACTTCTTTTTAACTTCGAAACATGGCTGACCTGGATACGCTCATAAGTTTCACGGAAGACTTGCAAGAAGATGACCTTGGTTGCTTATTTTAAAGCAATGTGGATTCCAATACCAGCCCTCCACGGCTGTCGATTCTTCAATTATACTACTATGTATACTAGAAACGTATGCCCAGGTGTTGATTAACCTTGGAATTTAAGAGTTTTCACCAATGATGATATAGACAAAGGCCATCTACACATCAAAATGGGCCCTTTCGACCTCGAATGGCTTTGATTCCTCTATCATCATGTTCTTTCCAATCTGCTGGATCTGGCAGAATTACACTAGGCTGATACTTGCACTCTAACAAGTTTTTTTTTAGGGGCGCGACAGGATCAACCGATACAGGTATTGTGCGATAGGGAGTTCCAAAATTGGATTTGCGGGGAAATGCACTGTTGATGAGCCCTCTCGCCTTGGCTTAAATTTTTTTTTTTTTGGAATTCTGTACAGACAAGCGAAATGTTAAGTCGCGAAGTCGCGGAGTAGGCTCTCTTTGTAAATTGCTCGATTATCATCGTTGGCTGACCAAAGGGCGAGTGCGTTCCAGGTCGCAGAGCTGCTCCATTTATCACTGTACTTGTTTGCCTTCTACCCGTATCTCTCTTCTTCTCTACACTTCCTGCCACCTCTTCCTCCGACTTCTAACCTCCTCACTTCCCCTCTTCACTCATTTTAGCGGCTTTACCTAGCCACCAGGATCAGTCTATGAAGTCTTTGCGTGAATGGCCCACAAGGAGAAATCCCAATACAGCTAACCGCTATCTAGATGGAAGAGATTTAGGTGCGTTTTGATGCAAGTTTATTCTCAAGTCTATTCTCAAGTCGACTCTAGTGACCAGAATATATTCATAAGCACCTGAGGTAAGTGCCTACTGTATGGACAGGACTGTCAATCCAAAGTAATTTTTTTTTGTTTTTATCAGTATGTTTACATACAATTTCTTTCCACCTCCACACCCCAGGAGTCAGGACCAATCATATGGTATTGCTTCCAGGTGAACTGTCCAGAGTGGCGGCCTCAAACTTCGAGAACAAAAGAGGGAACTTTTCATCAGGTTGAGGAATAGAGAATCCTCCCGGTATAGTCAGAGATCCCAACAGTTCATTGGGATGCCCGTCGGAAGAAATTCCAGGGGGAAGTACGGTAATCAAGTCGCACTGGAGGGCTCTTCCAGCACCAATAAACTGCCGATTGACATCATTCTCAATAATTTTTCCATAACCAGTCTTGGCAATATAGTCATCGAGACTATGGAATGACAGAATTGCCTGTGATCTGCCTACAGGCGGACTGGTATTCGTCTTCACGATCTGCAGAAATGGTTGGGTAGGGTGTTCACCAAAAAAGAGTCCATAAGGATCGTCCACTTGGGTCTGAAAAGCAGCGGTGATCTCCGTGAGGCGATCTTGGAGGACTGCGGTCTAGACAAACATGCAAAGGGTTTCGATTTCGTGAGAGTGATCCCGAATTTTGTCCATTGTGTCCATTGTGTCCGTAAGTCCCGGATAGTCACGTTCGCGGGAAAGACCGGCGCCTTGCCTTGGCACCTCACCCCGTTTCTCGAGCTCAATGCACAAATACCCACATCTGGCGATCAGCAAATGGGTTATTGAAAGCATAGTCCTTGCCTTGGTGGTACTTGCATCGGGGACATTAACGAAGATTGTCTAGAAGATTATTAAGTGCATCGAAACGCACCCGAATCTTCTCCATCTAGATAGCGGTCAGTGTGCATTAGGCTTGCTCTTGGTGGGCCACTCACGAAAGACTTCATAGACTTTTCATAACCCTAGCAGCTAGGTAAAGCTGCCCTTTGCCCACCAAAGTGAGTATAGAGGGCAAGAGAGGATGTTGAATGTTGGATTTTGGAGGTTGGAGGTTGGAATTTGGAGGTTGGAGAAAGATATGAGAGAAAGTGTAGAGAAGAAGAGTAAGATCGGTGTAGAAGACAAACAAGTACAGTGATAAATGGAGCAGCTCCTCGACCTGTAACGCGGTCGCCCTTCGGTCAGCCAAGCATTTCCAATCTCCGTATTAGTTGCCAAGCTCCTCTATAAGCATCGATTACTCGAAAGTCTCCGGCGAGAGAGGCTCATTTGATTGTGGGGGTTCGAGGCATATCGCCCGTCCCCGGGGCCACATAGGCCTGGAAGGAAATAAAGCGGCGAATTTACTTATGGACGAAGGAGCCCAGACGCCACCCGCTCCAGGTGCCCTCTTCATGGAGAACCGAGAACAGACCTAGTAAGATGGTAAAACAAGGCTTTGTCCTCCCCTTCTTCCACGCCCGCCAGCCTAGTCCCTCGTCCAGTCCCATAGGGTGCTTGTGTCTTTGTGTCCCGTCGAATACATTGTTTCGCCGAAGACGCTAGTAGCTGGATGTAACAGTTGTGCTTGCCAGCGTTGTCAGGATGCGGTGGTTGTTGATCGGCTTCAGCCCCCATCTGCCCCTTGGGTGCGGTATTCAGTTCTCTCATTGCCGGTAGTGCCTTGTTGTAAGTGTTCGTATGAAGTCAAGGTTTGAAGGATCGAAGCGACAAAACAGGGTAAGGAGAATTGTTGAAAAAAGGCAAGCGACAGGTCAGAGATCACGGGGCTGTACTGAAAAGCTATTGGGCCAACTTGCAGAATGTGCTAGGTGAGAGAGCGAGGGAAGTTGAAGGAGAAGAGGATAGGTGTGTGGGTAAGCGTGAACTCAAATATGCTGTTGAAGAGCGTTCGCGGAGGTTGGTCTTCATCTAGAATAGATCGAGACAGACTTGAAGGATAATAGTATAAAACTGTTTTGGTAATACAGATATTCTAGTCCACAGTAACACAAAAGGGGCTAATAATGGTTGTTGCGGATCTAAGAACATTTGAAGCTAGTAATATAAGTAAAAAAATACATAAGAAGCTAGTAGTGCAAGCAATAAGACACATAAGAGACTGATAGTAAAAGCTGCAAAACACACAGGAAGCAAAAGGATAGAGGCCATATCATCCGGGTTCTTAGTCAATAGGCTAGTATGTGAAGTCGCTCGAAGAAAATTCGCTCGCAAGTATCTCTGCCTCCTCAACATCACCACTCTTGACAAGCTCCACAGCACTTTTATATGTCTTCACCACCGTCATATCCCCATAACATCTGCCCGACATGTATGTATAACCAATGGTATTCAACAGGCGAATGGTATGCGGATGTGTAGTAGACCCTAGTTAATAAGCCTGTTAGCTAAAGACTATTATAGTTTACTTGAATGTATCAGGTAGCACTGACCAAGTGTTCGGATAACTTCAGCATCTAGGCCATAGATTAATCGGAAGAAGTATTTATCTTCTGGAAACATTTGAAGGCTTGTCGTCGTGTCAGGAACATGAATGCGTCTAGCAGAGCGTCATCATTGTGAACACCTGACTGGTTCAAGGTCTGAATGCGATCTTTGGTAGTTCGGGTACAGGTGGTGGTACACTCGCGTAGGAATGTCAGACAATTCCGCTCTCTGACGTCGACCAAAAATTCCCTAACCTCTTCCAATTTTTTGTTGACCTATTCAAACTTCTTTTGCTAGTCTTGGTTGCACTGGGCCATTTTGTCAACTTCAAGGACAACAGACCGCAGTAGCAGGAGAGTACAGAGCACGTTATTTGTTATCATTTCGGCTACCAATTTCTTTGCACGTTGTAGAAATCACTGGCAGGCAGAAATCCTAGCTAACTGATCCTTTCTCAAGTCTATTCTCAAGTCCCTTCTTAAGTCTTTTCTTTAGTCCCTTCTCAAGTCCATTTCTAATCTTCTACGCCTCCTATATAATCTTTCTTCTTTCTACTTCTCTCTTGATTGTCAGCAAAGAAAGACAGTCCTCACCAACACACCACCTCACGGGCGTACTACGACTTCGTAGCCCCCCGGGTCAAGTCATCATTGATGATTTGACTAAAATGATTCACCGGTGCTACTTTATTCACGGATCTTTGACGAGCTTGCACTATATTAAGGTTCAACCCCCTCATTTTCAGTCGACTGGCAAGATCTTGCATAATTTTGACTTCATCCTGTCTTCGTGACAGATATGAGTCCTGAGTGCGTCCTCCGCTGCTTTGCTCACTCTCGCGTGGTCGGAGGCATTGGTTCTAGTAAACACCAATCTATCGTCCAGGTGTATCGTCACGTGGTGTTCCAGATTTTCCCAGCTTCAAACATGGTTACTCCACGCGGTGCTGACTCCAAACGGTGTCCTCAAAGTCGACAGTGGTTTGCAGGGAATATCTTGTGGTAATATGCTTCCTCGATGTCGTATTTCGATTACCGTGTTGCGCGTAAAATGTTGTTCCGATCTGCCGCTGTCGGCGGTGGCGCGTGGTTTCGTAACCGTTTTTTGTTTAAACATACGGTTCAGTTGTTATCATGCCTTCCAAAGTTAAGTCCATGAGGCTTCAAGTGCTTTATTGAATTTATCTAGTCTTTCAATATATCTCTGAGGATATGACTTATCTTATGCTGCTATATCTTCAGTGAAAAGAGAATGTAAACATTAGGAAAATCTCCTATTAGTAGCTAGTCAAGGACTAGTGATAACAGA